CACCCTCCCCACCCTCCCCACCCAGCCCCACCCCTCCCAAACTTGAGACTTGACGCGCTTGAAGCGCTGCCAAGACGAGCAGCACGCAGCACGCGGTCGTGCAAATCGTGCAATGTCCGGATCGTTGAGACGGCACGCGCGAGCACACACGCGGCCCGGCGTGCAGTGTTTGTGTGCTCGCATTGATGCCTTCCCCTGGGAGCGTTGTTGGCAAGTGAGAATGGGCAATTTGTGTAACAACTACACTCACTGCAGCAAAGCCAAAGATCCCCCACCCCCCCTCGTTCCCCGTGTCGCATTAACAGACTGTTGGGGCAAGCGCTGTTAGCGAGCACCTATGAAGGCCGGCACGGCGCACGAGAGGGTGGGTGGCCAACACCACGCCCGGCCGCCTTTGTCTCCCTAGTGGCGATGTTTACACACACCGCGCCAGGCACTCATTTTGAGGCTGAGTCGACCTAGGGGGGGAGAGGCCCAGGAGCTGTTTGGATAATCGTCACCGGTGTTGGCCGTGAGCGGGAATCGAACTCGGGCCGGCGTGTTCGTAGCGCAGCGCAGACCGCTACGCTACCACTCCCCAACACACACAGACATACACACAGACACACACAGACACACACAGATACACACACAGACACACACAGATACACACACATATACACACACAGATACACACACAGACACACACACAGACACACACAGAAACACACACACCTTCACACAGACAGACCCACACAGACACACACACAGACACACACACAGACAGACACACACACAGATACAGACAGACACACAGACACACACATATACACACACAGACAGACACACACACAGATACAGCCACACACACAGACACACACACAGACACACACACGCTGACACATAGACACTCACACACAGACACTCACACACACAGACACACACACAGATACACACACACAGACACACACACACACAGACACACACACAGAGACACACACACACAGACACACACACACAGACAGATACACACACACAGACACTCACACACACAGACACACACACAGATACACACACACAGACACACACACACAGACACACACACAGAGACACACACACACACAGACACACACACACAGACAGATACACACACACAGACACACACACACACAGACACACACACACAGACACACACAGACACTCACACACAGCGCCCCAGGTTTGCAGTCGAAGGCTGCAGCGGCTTGTGGAGCGCCGCGGATTTCTCCTGCGAGCTGCTGCACAGCGTGACATTTGACTCTCAGTTTTATATTAAAAACGCGGAAACGATCTCATCGTTCCTCATTGTCCATTGCACGGATATCGTTTTGTAATATAATACAGTATATACAGACAGTGTTGGCGTTTCTTTGAATAAAAAAAACCCTGGATGGGAAACCTGAGAGAGAGAGAAAAAAATCACATCACGAAGCTGTGTTGACCGAGTGGCGAGTCATGTTTGAGTCGGGTGTTAGAAGGAGGCTGGGGACACTGTCCATCACGCACACACACTCCGCACACGTGGAATGCACTGTACTCACCCACGCCGCAGAACGCACACGCAGCATCACACACACCGTCACACACACACCATCACACACACACCATCACACACACACCAACACACCGTCACACACACCATTACACACACACACCATCACACACACACACCATCACACACACACCAACACACACACCGTCACACACACCATTACACACACCCCATCACACACACACACCGTCACACACACACACCATCACACACACACCATCACACACACACACCATCACACACACACCATCACACACACACACCATCACACACACACCATCACACACACACCATCACACACACACACCATCACACACACACACCATCACACACACACCATCACACACACACCATCACACACACACACCATCACACACACACCTCATCACACACACACCGTCACACACACATACACCACACACACACCATCACACACACACCATCACACACACACCATCACACACACAATCACACACACACCATCACACACACACCACACACACACCATCACACACAACGTCACACACCATCACACACACCATCAAACACACACCATCACACACTTGTGATGGGACTTTGTATGATGGACGTTGAGATTGATAAGGGCACGGGGTGACCAATAAGGTCTGCATTGTTCTGTAATAAGATAGGGCACTGATAATGGGTTGACAGGTATGATGTTGTATACATAAGTTTGATTCGCAAAAGTACACCAAAACCTGGGCACGGCAGCTAAACAACAGCAGGGCCAGTGGCAGACCACGCCAAGACAGCGACACGCAGCTTCATCGATAGCGCTGCACGGGCGAAGTGCTGCAAGTTCACTGACAGGAGGCGACGGGGCAGACCCGGGTGGAATGTGTTGACTGCACGTGGATGAATGCGCCTGCACCCACACACCTGTGCTGCCCAGTCTGTCCGTTCACATGGACACAATCGCACACACACACGGCAGTCCATTCACATGGACACAATCGCACACACACACACGGCAGTCCATTCACATGGACACAATCGCACACACACACACACACGGCGATCCTTTCAGCACTTGGCCGCTATACACGTGCACGCGATAAGCCACTTCGTTGAGCTGTTTATCGCACAGCGAGCCTTACCTGGCGGCATAAAAAATGTATAGTTTGTGAGATGGGCACAATCACACACGCACACAGCAATCTATTAAAACGGACACACACACGCACTATATCACACCGCACACACACACACACTCTCACACACACACACTCTCACACCACACACACACATACTAACTCAGACCGCACACACACACAATGTCACACCACACACACACACAATGTCACACCACACACACACTCACACCACACACACACAATCTCACAGACCACACACCACACACACATTCTCACACCACACACACACACCATCTCACACCGCACACACACACACGCACTGCGGGTGTTAACGATGCCTCAATATTGCCTCCGAATCTCACCATTACAGACATTGTGCGTGAGGATCAACGCGTTTCGCTTCACGCGTGTTGCATGTCATGGATTCACACGTGTTGCATGTGATGGATGCACGTGTGTTGCATGTGATGGATGCACGCGTGTTCCATGTGATGGATGCACGTGTTGCATGTGATGGATTCACACGTGTTGCATGTGATGGATTCACACGTGTTGCATGCGTGTGTGTGTGTGTGTGGGAACGGGGTGGCCGGAGGTTGATAGTGAATCATCACACCTTAAGTAAACACACGTGCGCGGGCACACACACTGGTCCATTCACGCCTTCATTCATACAGACACACACACACAGCCACACACACACACAGCTACACACACACAGCCAATACCAACACCCCCGCCATTCGCCACTAAGTGACGGAGACGTCACCACGGCGCCTGTGCCAGGCCAGGTGCACTTTGAGGCCACGTGAAGTGTCGAAGGCTCGCACAGCCACACACACACACGCGCATACAGCTACACATACACAGCCACACACATACAGCTACACACACACAGCCACACACATACAGCCACACATACAGACACCCACACACACGCATACAGCTACACACACACAGCCACACACATACAGCCGCACACATACAGACACCCACACAGCCACACGCATACAGCTACACACACAGCCACACACATACAGCCACATATACAGACACCCACACACACGCATACAGCTACACACACAGCCACACACATACAGCCACACATACAACCACACACACATACAGCCACACATACAGACACCCACACACACGCATACAGCTACACACACACACACAGCCACACACACACAGCTACACAGCCACACACACACACAGCCACAAAAGACAAAGATCCCCCGTATAGCCTTAACAGACTGTAGGGGTAAGTGCTGTTAGCGAGCACCTATGAAGGCCGGAACGGTACACGAGGGGGTGGGTGGCCAACACCACTCCCGACCGCCTTTGTCTCCACAGTGGCGATGTTTACACATCGCACCAGGTACTCATTTGAGGCTGAGTCGACCTAGGGGAGGCCCAGGACCAGTTCGTAGCATAGCGCGCTAACTGCTACACCACCGCTCACACATACAGACACACATACAACCACACACATACGACCACACACATACGACCACAGACACAGCAACACACACACATTCACGAAGCCGTGCACACGTGACCCTGACCCAGCTGCATGCCCCCATGGAAGCCAGCACCCCCCCCCACCCCCCCACTTGCGAGACGCTGGGCTCAGATTCCTTTGCCTGATCACCACTCACTCCTCACCACTCCCTCCTCCTCCTCCACTCGCCGCTTGTCTTGGGAATTGTGTCTGGGCATCACTTGTTATTATTCTCGGAAATCCCCCCCCCCCCCCCCCCCCCAATATATTGCTATGAAACAGAATTTCTGTTGACATGATTGTGGGTTATGGTTGTACTGTATTAATCCCTAATCTCTGCCATTACATATAATGAAACAAGAAAAGGTAAAAAAGATAAAACAGAGCAATGTAATACAATACACTATTAGACATTGTTGTAAAAATAATTTTAAAGTCCATCTCATATGTTAGTGATTTTTTAAAATATTTTAGGCAGGAAATTCGTTTTCAAATTTAGAAAAAAAAATTCTGGGGGGGGGGACCCCCACACCCCCTGGAAGATTTGGTCCCCCCGAATGTTGACTCCATGGCTACGGCCTTGGTAGACAGCCTACAAACAATAGTCAGTAGTATCTACTACACACCCTACACACAATAGAATCAGTGTGTCTACTACACACCCTACACACAATAGAGTCAGTGTGTCTACTACACACCCGACAGCCATAGCCCACACGCCGCGGTTATTCTAGTATCTCAAAAACGTGGCACTTGAGCTGCCTGGGCCCCCTAAGATCTGTCGCCTGCTTTGTGTGTCACCTGTGAGCAGGCCCGAGGTCCCGGTGTTCGGCTGCGGAGGGGAGCTGAGTGGCGAGAGCGGCTACCTGGGCAGCGAGGGCTACCCGGGCCTCTACCCGCCTAACCGCGACTGCCTGTGGAGGATCACGGTGAGCGTGTCCCGGGCGCTGCACGGTGCCCGTGGCCTTGTGCGTCTTGGCAGTTCTACATTGGTGAAGGAGATGTGGTCATTGACCCGTGTGAGCGAATGTGTGTTGAGGTTCTTTCGCACCGTCCGTAGCCAACCGTGCTCATCGGAGGTACGGGGGGGGGACAAACTAAACGTAAAAACGCAGTTCTAAATAAATGAGTCTTCAATGCAGATTTTAAAGTTGCATTGCTCCAGTGGCTTCTGAATGTCGGGAGGAAGAGCGTTCCAGAGGGCTGCAGAAACGCATCTGAAAACGTGCGATGAGGTGACCGTCTTTGTAAGCAGTAACCGTCTAGTTCTAAAGAAATTAATTTGTCAATCAAGATGACGAATTAAAAGTTGCATAGCTCCAGCGGCTTCCGAATGTCGAAAGGAAGAGCGTTCCAGACGGCCGCAGGAGCGCATCTGAAAGCGCCGCGCGATGACGCGTCGACCGCCGCCTTTGCGAGCCGTGACCGCCGAGTTCCTTAAAAAACGAGTTTTTTTATTATTATTGAAAAAGTGATTCCACACCTCGTGGCCGTGTCCCTGGCCAAGGCAGGTGCCTCCCGGCCACCGCGTGCTGCTCTCCCTGCAGCACCTGGACCTGGAGAAGGCGCCGCTGTGCCGCTACGACGCCCTCACGCTGCACGACGGCGCCACGCCGGCAGCGCCGCGTCTGGCGCGCTACTGCGGCACGGCGCCGCCCGGCAGCGTGCACTCCACGGGGCCCGCGCTGCTGCTGCGCATGAGCACCGACGGCGAGAACGCCGGCACCGGCTTCCTCGCCAGCTTCACGGCCGAGAGGCCCGCGCAGCCCGGCAAGTCGCGCCCGTGCGTATTTCACGCGCTAATAACCAGGGCGGCCTGCCGGATTCGAACCGCGAACCTCCGCAACGCGCGTTACGGCTGGGCCGCGTCACCACCCCCGTTGCCTGGCCACCCCCCGCGACACGGCGAGCCGTGAAGCCATCGCAGGGAAAGTGGGGACCGCCGCTCTCCCCCCCCCCCCCCACGTGTGACCTCCACTGGATGCCACTGAGTGTCCCCTCCCGCGCGTGTGCTCGCCCCTGCAGGCGGGAGCGTGTGCGGCGGGCGCCTGCGGGGACCCAGCGGGAGCTTCTACTCCCCAAACTGGCCGCACTCGGACTACCCCACGGGCATCACCTGCTCCTGGCACATCTCGGGCCCGCCCGGCAAGGTGCGCGGGGGCCCTCCCTAGGCACAGACTCCCGGTGACCTCTCCTGCCGTTGACCCACCACCCACAGCCACTGCCGCCGCCGTCACCCGGCACGGCCGATTAAGTCAGGTTTATCACGTGGACTGAAAACGTGACAAATTGGCGATCACTTCGCCACCGTCGGTGCGATGGCGAGTCAGCCCACGACGTTTCGCTGGCGTCTGCAACCAACTTCATCAGGGCGATTTGCCAGAATTGCGAAGAAGTCTTCCCGCTTCCCGTCATGAATAGCAAGATGATGTCGTCACTATGAGCCGACGGGGTGTGCAGTTCAGAGGGTGGGGTTTATTGTAATTGTATCCACCAAAATTGATGAAATTAACCTAGAAATATGCGGTCCATATTTCCAGATGGGCCTATCAGGTGCGAAGATCAGAGGGTGGGGGAGGGGGGATTGTAATTACAACGCATTTGTCTTTACGCAATCTCACCCAAAAACCTTTATCACGAATAATATTGATCGCGAAAGGCTGCGTGTTAAATTCACCTCTCCCGCCAGTGGAGACAGCGAGCAGTGAGACTTTGTCTGTGGACCGGTGGTGCCAAGCCTCCTGACGCTCAGTAGAGTCAACTTCTTTCGCTCCGGGCCCCACACCAGAATCCTCGCGTGGCCCCAGAGCGTCGAGACGCACGCGGCCGCTTCGGATGTGTGCCGCGTGGCGTTGAGTTTAGAAATCTGCCGCAGTCCCCCCTCTACCCCCCATGGGAGGGTGCCTTCGTCCGTTCCCTCATGTTGAGGGTGCGTGACACCTGGCCTGTTACACGTCGTGTGACGTTCCTCCCTCCCTGCTGCTGCTGCTGTATATTTGTAGTTTGCGGTGTCTCTCTCTCTCCGTGGTCACGTGGATTGTTGCTCCGGGTCCTCAGGTTGTTTTCCCCTCGACATTTAGAATCAACATCGCCACGCGTTTACAGTATTTGGATGCTATACATTTCCACGCGACGACGATAAGCCACTTCGTTGAGCTATCAATTGTGATAGCCAGATCGCTTCCGAAACAGAGCTATAGAGCTCAGTGGGGCCTTATCGAGTACAATTTTAAAAAATAGTTTCGTTTTAGTTAGATATCCCCACTCGCTTCTGGGTTCTCGAAAGATTACAAAAATCCGCTTGCACACACACAAAATAAAGAAATCTGAGTCCCTGGCAGAGTAGCCGGTGTTGTGGCCGAAACGTCGTGAGAATTATTTTCTTATGTTTTATTTTTATTATTTCCATTCTACGTGACTTTAGCGAAAGAACCAAGAAGATGTTGTTTCTGTTGGTGAAACCCGCTTTAAGTAAACGCCTCTTAGCTCACGGTGTAATTGAAAATAAACTGAACAAGTCTGGGTTGACCCCCACCCCCGCCCCCCCCTCCCGGCAGGTGGTGTCGCTGCGCTTCGTCAAGTTCGACGTGGAGCGCGACGCCTCGTGCCACAGGGACCACGTGTCGGTGTTCGACGGCCGCGAGCTGGATGAGGGCCGACGCCTGGGCCGGCTGTGCGGTGACGAACCGCCCGAGTGAGTCTCCCTCCCCCCCCCCAACCCTGCGGGTAGCCAACTCTTGACTGAAGCTACTTTTCGGAAGATTTAAATATTCAAATGTTTTTATATTATTAAAATATCGTAATTCATCTTCTTGGTTCTTTCGGTAAAGTCACGTAGAAGGGAAGTAATAAAATAATAAAAATAAAACATAATAAAACAATTCTCTGAATTTCAGACACTGTCGCCTCGACAGACCTGGTTTTCACCTGATGACGGCTGCTTGTGTTGTGACCGAAACGTCGTGAGAATTGTTTTATTATGTTTTATTTTTATTATTTTATTACTTCCCTTCTACGTGACTTTACCGAAAGAACCAAGAAGATGAATGCCTGCAGTCACGAAAGCTTGAAATCGAAATTTAATATCGTAATTGTTAAGAAAAACGAAAGTCACCCAGATTGCTTTCAAATAGTGGCCGGGAGATCGACGCCAATTCCCGGAGAGACTCGCAGCCAAACCGGGAAGGCTGGCAACCCTCTAGAGGGACTCCTCGACTTAAGAACGAGTTAGGTTCCAGAGGTCTGTTCGTAAGTCGATTTGTTCGTGAGACCAACTTTACTCCTGTCGATTCCAAACACGTTGTACGCACTAAGCGCGCGTAATGGCTTTAAAAGTTGTATAATCTCCTGTAGATGTAGATGCCACCGGTTATTCACGTTCTGCAGATGTAGATGCCACCACCGCCCCATCTATTGTGCGACGGTTGTACTTACGACTCGGTCCGAACAGGCAACTGGACATACGGACCAGGTTTGTTTGTATCTCTGAAAGTTCGTAAGTCGAATGTCCGTAAGTAGAGGAGTCCCTGTAATGTGACACGGCATCATTCAGTGATTTCTTACCTTCGAATTTTCTCCAACGCTCTTCTCCTGCCGCGTAGGCCGCTGATGTCGTCGGGCAGCGAGCTCTTCGTGCAGTTCGTGTCGGACCACGGCACCACGGCCGACGGCTTCGAGGCCTTCTACTCCTTCCGGGCCCGAGCCTCAAACTCGACCGGCAAAACCACGACCGCCAGAACCACGACAGCCAAAACGACGACCGCCAAAACCACCACGTCTAGAACTACCGCCACCGCCAGGATGACAACTGCCGCCAGCAGTCCGCCTACAACAACCTCCACCGTGACCGCCCCAACAGCAACAACGAGAAGGAACAGAGGTAGGAGGGGAGCACAAACTCTCACGTGGCCGCAAATGTGCCGTGCGTTTCCGCAGGAGTGGCTCAAGGGAGTCTCGAGAGCGTTTGCCCAGGAGGGTTCCGCATTGACACGTTTAGCCAACTCTGTGGGGAGGCATGTGGCAGAAATCCGGAGAACCCCGGAGACAACGCACACACATCGGAGGGGGTTGACACTCAGCACTTCCACGCAGCCCCACACCTGCGAACAAAGCCCATCCAAGCACCCACCAGGCTCGCGTCTGCTGAGCTTCAGAGTATGCGATGACATTAGGCACATTGAGGGCGATACGTTCCGTCGATATGAACGGCCCAGAATGGCGAGATCGATCATTAGGTGAGGGCACGTCAGGTCTTGGCAGCTTGCAGGCAGTGCATGCGTCACATAGGCACTCTTATGGGTGCAGATTAACCTCCGATTAGCACGGTTGGCTATGTACGGTGCAATAGAAGTTCAACGTGAATACAGACATATAAGGGGGAACAGTTAATGGCCATACCGAGCATGCACCTGTGGTTTGTGTGACTGAAACGTCTGTGGTTAATTGGATCACTACCTACAAGACCATCACTCAAAACTGCTCTAGAGGAGTCGTACAGCCCTTGCTGCCACTGCTATCCAGTGGTCTTAAATAAAATCTATAGCTTTAGATGACCAATGCTAGAAATTATCATGTATGTTGATTATAGTGTGCTGCTACTACTGTTGTTACACCTACTATTATGGATTGACTCATTCAGCTAGCAAAGGATGCTAGGTTTAGTAATATACGTTGTGTATGTCGCTATTGTAAACTTTCAACCACATTTCTTATGATCACTGTTACATTGTGTTTCTAGTATTATTTTAGTAATTTCTAGAAAGGTTTAGTTTAGCCCGATTTTTTGATGTAGTAAAGAGTTAGACTAAAAATGTTAATCTATATTGTATTATGATTGTTATTGTGACCTAACATCAAAATGGATTTTTTTGCACATTTTTGTACGCAGCATAAACAAATGGTGTCTTTTCTGGAAGATTTCATTGTTTTTGTAGGGGATGTTTCAATTTGCGTACAGTCAATTTTAAATGTATCTTGTAATTGTATTGTTTGTTGCGGTTTCACCCGAATCAAGAGCCGAATGGCTCACAGGGTTATTCCAAATAAATGAAACTGAAACTGTGTGTATGTGTGGTTATATTTCCCCCAATTTTCAGTTTCTTCAGTAAATCCGCGTTCTTCCCCCTGCCGGAAAAAGTGTTTGCGCCGTGGAACGCTTGAGAGCAACTTCTGCGCTAACGATTTCGGTAAAGTATTTTCCATTATTACCATCGCTGACTGCAGTATTCACTCCGTGCAGTATTCACTTTGTGTCGTATTCACTCTGGGAATTGGCATCGATCTTTATAACCCTGTGGCCATGGTACCTCAACATTAAAACTAAAACTATTTCACCATTTTTAAGCGAAACTATTTTTTACTTTACCAGGTGAGGCCCACTGAGCTATATAGTTCAGAAGCAACCGGACCACAAATGATAGCTCAACCAAGTGGCTTATCATCATGTGGAAATGTAAAGCAGCCAGTTACTCTAAATGCGTGATGTTAATTCTAAATGTGGAGGGGAAAACCAAAGGACCCAGAGAAAAATCCACGCGACCACGGGGAGAGAGAGACACGCAAACTTCAAATATACAGCAGCAGGCGTCAGGGTCGGGATCGAACCCACGACCCCCTGCATACCAGGCGAGGGAGTTAACATCTCCTAGCCACCGCGGCGCCCCACACGCGCCCCCAGTCACCCCTTACCCCACGCAAACGTCCGGCAACTTTCCCGCCGACGCACGGAGTGCCCCCCGGGGCAATGCGAATTTCAAAGCTGGCAGGGCAAATTGACCGGTGGGGACGCGGCCAGACATCAGCAGCTCGCAGGAAGGACCCCAAGCTGGAGGAAGACCGCGGTGGTTCAAGTTCAAGTTCATGTATTAGGAGTAGCCCTGTGAGCCATTCGGCTCTTGAATCGGGTGCAACCGCAACAAACAAAAAACATGAACAAAAAACATCTTAAAGTGAATATGTGACTAAGTGCAAACAGAAAATCCAAGAAAAGACAGCAAAATATTGCAGAAAAAAATCACCGTACACCAACGCTGTGTGCAAAAATCCCAGTGGGATGCAAGTCAAACAACAACAACAACAACCACAAGACAACTTAGATTAAGGCCATCAGTCTAACTCTGTACTACAACAAGCAAACATGGCTAATATTCTTAGGTTTTTTCGGTAAAGTCACGTAGGTAAAAAAATATAAAAATTAAAAGTAAATAAAATAAATTAATAAAATAATCGTATATAATAAAATAAACCAATACACTTTTCGAAATCACCAAAATAAAGCCATGAAAGCAATGAAACAGTGGTCATAGGAACTGTGACGGAATTTTCACAATAAACGGCATAAACAACATGTACTACCAAAACCCTGCAGCCATAGCTGGCTGCATGAGTCACTCCACAACAGCAGCGGTGGTGGAGTGACAGCGTGCGTGCTCGCTGCAGTGCTCGTGGGCAGGGTGGTGAACCTGCGGCGCTACGCCAAGGGCTCCGTGCTCGCCGTCGACGTGCTCCGGGCGCTGCGCTCCGGGCGGCTGCAACTGGCGCGGGCTGCGGAGCGCACCACGGCCAAGCTGCGCGTCGCCTGCCACACGTGCCCGCTCGTGCGTCAGGGTAGGTGGCCCGCCCCCTCTGCTCACGCCCATGTGCTCCCACTCACCCACCCGTAACCGCAAGCACGTTACGATAATTCCGTCCGCTGGATGGGACGTCGTTTCATCTTCTTGGTTCATTCGGTAAAGTCACGTGACTTTTTACCGAAAGAACCAAGAAGATGAATCCCTGCAGTCACGAAAGCTTTAAATCGGGACGTCGTTTGTGAGTGAATAACCATCCCTCATCGTGACTGCCCCTACGAGCATTGGCCGGGATGCGTGAGTAGCGTCTGACCGCCATTGCGGTGCAGGAGAGGCACTGCTCGCATTAATTGCATTGCACGAGAACATTGAATAACGTAACGAATAATAATAATGATAATACCATTATTTACCCATGAAACCCTCACCGAGCCTCGAGATTCTATCCAAGAGGAGCCTGCACTAGGATGTTTGGCCGGTGATAATTGTTGGGCTTGGAGACATGGGGAGCGCCTGGCAAATAAACCGACATCCGCGATGCTCGGCACTGCCAGATCTTGTCGACGCCGCGCAGCTCCGCTACTACAACACCTGGCAAGCCCTGCTGGTCGCCCATCTCAAGCACGAGCCGGCGTCGACCACGCTTAGCCCCCCCGTGATCTGAGAGGGTGCCTGGGCGCGGGCAGGGCGACCCAGCTCGTGGGCGCTCCGCGTCCGACCCCCCCGAGACGCAGCGCCGTCACTCAGCCGCTGCCACCGCCACTGTGCCCCCCCCCCCGCTCCCCCAGGGATGAGCTACGTCTTCATGGGCAAGGTGGGGCCGGACCGCGTCGGCACCCTCTCCCCGCACGGCCTCGCGCTGCCCTACTCCGCCAAGCTGCAGCGCACGCTCGCGCGCCTCCACGCCAGGAGGAAATGCTGAGCGCGTCGGCCTGCGAGGGTCGAGGTCTCACCGCTCCTGCCCCCGCGCCCCTTGACCCCCCCCCCCCCCCCGTGGCGGCGGGGGGCTCGCGTCGCTGTGACGGGTGGACGTCCGGCCGACGTTGGGGAAATCTCAAGCCGCTGCCGGTTCAAGCAGCATCCCCCCCGCCCCACCTCACAGCGTGCGCTTGCTTGCGCGCGGCCCACAATTCATTGCAGCGGCAGATCCAAGGGGGCAAGGTGATGGGGGGCAGCTGCCCCCCCCGCCGCCCATCTCTCCTCCCTTTCCCCCACACCTCTTGATACACCGAAACTTGATGTTGCGTTCAATCAATCAATCTGTTTATTTAACGTGGCAATATCGCCCCTCAATGAAGTAGGCATCAGAGTGGACATCACAGCGGAACGGGAACGGTAACAGGGGGCACGGAGCAGCAACTGGAATGATAAAAGAGACCCATCACGCCTTCGGCGGCTAAGGCCACCGGTAAATTGTAACCGCGCGCAACGAAGAGCATATGAAAGTTAAGTGGTAAATAAATAAATTAAAATCAAAGGGACGGTTTTTATTTTTTACTTTTAGACGTTATGGGAAGGCGGGTCTGAGTCGGTGCACCTCGCGCAGACCACAGAGTGGAGAGACACTCGGAGCGTTTCGGATGTCCGGTGGCAGGCAGCATGAGGGAGTTGAGCCTCCACTCGAGAAGGCCTTCGTGACCCCAGCCTTTGAATCAGACAGACCACACAGATGTTACCAATTGCCTTTAGAAACTAACCCCCCTTTTCCTGATGACAACCGCTTGTGTTGCGATCGAAACGTCGTAGTTTTTTGTTATTTTTATTGAACCTATCTACGTGACTTTACCGAAAGACCCAAAGAATATGAATTCCTGCAGTCACGAAAGCTTTAAGTCAACATTCTTATAAAAATATAAAATCTTCATTGTCCGGGAAAACCTGACTGGGGTCTCACTGCTGTAATCAGGAAGGGACCATTTCGAGATGGTTGACTAATTCCTGTTAGCGGAGCGTTCAGCGTGCGAGAGAGAAAAGCCGGGTGCCCGCAGTCAACCCCAACGAGGAGCGGTGACTCTCAGCAGCCCGGCCAACACGGACGCCGCAGAGCCCCACTTCCCGTGCTGCCATGTCCTGGGCCAGCCGGCGTGGAGCGGCGCATGCCGGGGCCTCGCTGGAGCCCTGGCTGACGGCCGCGGCTGCAGCAGGAGAGAGAGTTGCGCTTAAAATGCACGGTGTGGGGTGGGGGGGGGACACTGTTCCTAGGTCGTAACCGGGTACCCGATACCCGTACCCTACCCGATACCCGGCTACCCGTACCCGGCCGGGTACGGGTAGCCGTTTGCGACCCTGGTGCGGCCAGGTACGGGTACGGGTAGGCCGTGAGTCACTGGTGAGTCACCGTTTGTCACTCATTTCCCAACGTCTTGTCTCTTCTCACAATTCAAGTTCCTAGAATCAACCCACCCGCGCCTGCAACATGGCTTCATCCCAGAGGTCGCAATCGGGTACCCGTTTTCGACCCTGGTGTGGCCGGGTACAGGTACCGGTAAGGAACCAAAACCCGTTTGCGACCTCTGGCTCCCTCCCACGCGACCGGAGGGGCGCGTTCGAGCCGATTCCGACCACGGGGGAAAGCGCGTTGAGGCTTCGCAGGAATCCGTGGCTGGGGGCCGATAACCGTGGACGCTCGTGGGGAGACGAATGCGGCCGGGCGTCGTGCTGGCCACCCGCCCCCCTCGTGCGCCGTACCGGCCTTTGTCAGGGCTCGCTCACAGCACTTGCCTTTGTGTAATACAACAGTGGCATTCTCAGAGCTGGCCTGCAAAGTGGGAATTATTCTGCCAGTAGGGGCCAATGTTGCGCTCGCTAATCCAACTCGGTAATTTGTCGCTCGTTTTTTTTCTTCTTCTACAAATTTGCAGTGTAATAGGATGCCAGTGGCGGTTTTACGAGACGTGGTATAGACAATGTTGTTGTTATTATACTCACGTAAATCACCACACTAGCTTGGAAGCGATTAAACGAGTGGGGAAGGTGAAAGTTTGTGCAGCACAATGCCACGTTGGGTATTTTCAAGGAGCGTTGCACTCCGCTGTCGATACGGCAGAGGAGCGCCGAGTGCCTCGTGTTGAAAGCGCTCAAGAAGAACTCAAAGCCGCGACTCACATTTCCACCATCGACGAAGGTTTATCTGTGAATGGCGCACTTCACTTTACCGACGTTTTTCTTTTGAAACTCGGTTGTTGCACTGTATAAGATGAAATGAAAATAAAAATGTTAACTGAGAAAAAACACATTTTATTTTTCCGTCTTAAGGTGTCATTTGTTGAACAAAGCGGAACAACGCGAACGTCCAGGATACACCCAAAACATCGCACCTCCTGGCTCTCACATTCCTCCTCGAAGACGCCGGTGGTGGAACCATCAAGCACATCATCAGAACATCACCGTCAGGCCGATGCGCACCACATCTCCTTCAAGAGTGGAACATTCAAGGCACGAGCCGCAGTCGTGTAACTGTGGCCATGCAACCCAAGCTATAGACCGTCTTGTAAACCCATGGAGACACACCGACTAAAAGTCAACTTTATCTTTGACCAGAAGCGACCCGGCCACAAATGATATCTGCTCAACTTCGTGGCTTGCCATCATCATGCGGAAATGTATGGCGGCGGCCAAAATAATCTACACGCATAGAGATGCATAGAGACTCGTGGAGATACATAGAGACTCATAGAGGCCCACAGAGTCATAGAGGCCCATAGAGACCCATCGAGACATACAGACCCATAGATATACATCGAGATACACAGATAATAGAGAATCAGAGACCCATAGAGATACATTTAAGACAAGCCACAGTAGTGCGATTGTGGCCAAGAAAACCCCAAATTATGCACCAAATATTTAAACCACTGTAGTTCTGTGCTTCGACGAAAGAGCAGGAAGAGCAAAACCGACACGAACTCTCTCTCCATCTCTCTCCTGAAGCCGTCTCGTGGTGGCCAGCTGTGGGCCCTCGACCCTGGCACCGATAGCTCCCGAAGAACGCGTTGCGACACGTACATGAACAACAGATGATAATTTGTCAGGAGGCAAAAGGCGTAAGTTGTTCTACACAATAGTTTTTTTTCTTCTTGGGTCAGATGTCGTAAATATAAATGCGTAGTTAATCCAGCCACCAACACACAGGCTGATTCATAAGGTTTGTCACGTAAACGAAACGTGCCGATTAGTTACTAGTTCAGCACTTCCCGGTTGTGTGCTGGAGGGTAAAACCCACTACAACATTTACAATTCGAGTACCGTCACGTTTCGCAAGGTAATTACAACAGCAACAACAACCACCACCAGCATCATCAGGCGAGAGCCAGAGTCGTGGAGAAATCCTCCTCCTGGTTCGGTCTTGATTAGAGGTGGGGATAAGTGTGATGTCGTCACTGTGAGCCAAGCAGATGCGAAGACCAGGGCGGGGGGGGGGGGGGGGGCGGGTTAATCTAGTCATATCAATTACAATGGGTAGCTATCATTAGTTGGGTTATTCAGAGTCAATCAACGTACACAATGTAAGTTGTTCTGCAGGTGGTTACCGGTGAGTCAAGCACCGCGTGCCAACCCACGGGACTGACAAACACAGTTCTCCCAGCAACACTCAGCCTCTGGGAGGCAGACGAAGAGACTCCGACACCGTCGGTTTTTTTTTTCTGTTACCCTCAAGTTTTATTTCTAAAATGATATTGATTAATGCTGATAATCACGACATCAAATTACACAAAGCACAGTATGGGCACGGCACAGGGCATTGACAATGTATCGTATGTATCGTACTGAGATGTGCCACCACGAATCATGTAAATAAATTTGAGGAGAGGAGTCCAAGAGGGGGCATCGCACGGTTCACCTGCACGCTTTGGACACTCACGCTGCGCCAGCAATCATCGACGGCCACACGGAATCATCGACGGCCACGTGGAATCATCGACGGCCATTTAGAATCATCGACAGTCAGTCACGCGGAATCATCGACAACCACTCGTAATTATCCACCGCCACGCTGAATCATCGACAGGCATCCAGAATCATCGATAGTCAGCCACGCGGAATTATTGACGGCCACACGGAATCATCGATGGCCTGGAGGAATCGTCGGCGGCCACGAGTAGCGCGACAGACCGGACCGGACGCGCCGCTAGTTGAGTACAAGCTCTCAATCAACAAGCGCTGGAGATTCACCGGAGCATAGAATGCGCCGGCGAAAGTGAAACCTCGATATCTCTTCTCTTCAGGGAACACCGATCCAAATCCAACGTGAGATGTGAGAAAACGTTCAACCAGGGAACCACTGTAATCGTAGAATGTAGATTTTTTTTTTACGGGACTTTTTTTACGGGACAATTGGACGACTGTGGCTCGCGTCTTAATGTCCCATTCATGAAAGAGACGTGGTGCGCATCGGCCCGGTGATGATGTTCTGATGGTGCGGTTGATGGTTGCACCACCGGCGTCACCGAGGAGGAGACGGAACCGCCAAAAGTCAGCAGGTGCGATGTGTTGGGTCTCGGATTTGGGGATCGTTCCGGACGTTCACGTTGTTCCGCTTCGTTCGACAAACGTGAAATATTTTTTAAAATATTTCTTTCGTAGTTACTTGAGCTAATGTAGTTCGCGAGCGACGGGGCAGAGCGGCCGCCTAGTTGCGGGTGTGGTAGGTGGCGTACTTGGCGGTGCGGAAGCCCAGCAGGTCGCGCATCTCGTTGCGGAACTTGCCCAGGTCCTGACGCAGCTCGCTCAGGCTCTCCACCGTGGCCTGCTCCGACGTGTGCCGGCGGCGCCGCGCCGCCATGAGGTAGCGGTGGACCAGGCAGCACATCACCTTCTGGTAGCTGGCGGCACGGCGCGCACGCACGCTGCGCCACTCCTGGGGGGGGGCGACAAAATGACCACAGCGTGAACGCCGCTCGACGGTCCGTCTTTCGCGCTCGCTCGTGAGCCGATTTCGCCACGAATTTCTACGTGGAATGAACCACAAAGCCTCGCCGAGCGGAGACCCATGGTCACGCAAACAATACAGCACGATAGATACAGTGTAACCACGCATGACCATCGACAGTACGCAAAGTGTCTCACGTACCCCCTAGTGACGTCACACGTACCCCCTAGCGACGTGTCTCACGTACCCCCTAGTGACGTGTCTCACGTACCCCCTAGTGACGTCACAGGTACCCCCTAGTGACGTCACACGTACCCCCTAGTGAAGTCACACGTACCCCCTAGCGACGTGCCTCACGTACCCCCTAGAGATGTCTCCCGTGTACCCCCTAGCGACGTCACACGTACCCCCTAGTGAAGTCACACGCACCCCCTAGCGACGTGCCTCACGTACCCCCTAGAGATGTCTCCCGCGTACCCCCAGGGTGCCTTAGCCGAAGCCGAATCACGGAGCTCCTCGCCCCCCCCACGCCCCCTGGGGAGACTCACGCGGACGCTGCTCTCGCGCTTGGCCCTGCCGCTGGCGGTGTGCGACAGCACGAGCTTGCGCAGGCCGCCCAGCGCGTAGCACACCGTCTTGGGGTGCGGCAGCAGGTTGAACGGGGGCGGCAGCGTGCACTTGTCGTCAAAGTAGCTGAGCCACAGCTTTGCCCGGGCGAACTTCCACTCCTTGTCCTCGTGGTCCTGCTTAGGGGCGAGGGATGGCGGCGGCGGAATTAGCGGGCGAGGACGCTCGCTTGAAGGGGGGGGGGGTAATGCAGCACACGTTCGGACAGAGGCGTGCGAGCGTGAGACGGCGCGGTGGATCGGAGGTCAGGACGCTGAGCTGACGCCGTTGAGATCCTCGGCTTTTGGATCCAAGCCGCCCGTGACTAAACTGGGCTCCCAGTGAGTGCGACGGTTTGAATCTGGTGATCGGTATCTGCGCAAAACAACAACAAACCGAATCGCATTCGGTGCTGCACTTCATTCGCGTGAATTTCAGGTTTAAAATATATATATCTGTTTGACTCTATGTACGGTGCAAAAGAAGTTCAACATACACACATAGGACCAACATTCTGAGAGTGGACCCCTAACAGGTGAGGCATTAAAGGCCGCTCGAAGGCATTTTTTGGGAGACTCACCGCCGCTGGCTTATAAGGCCATGGCCGACTCACTATTTATTCATTTAAATCTCTCTCCCGCGGCCGATCCCCGGCACGCACAAGGGCGCACCGCTCTCGGCGAGATTTACAAAAGCGTTCGTCATCTGACGACGGCGAGGAAGCGGCACTGCACACGAAACTGACAGCTTTGAAACAGCCGCCCATCGCTGCGAGCAACTTCGCCACGCTAATTGGACACTCGTGTCGGGGGAGGGGGCGGGGGCGAAGGAAAGTTTTGATTCTGGCAACAAATAACCGCGCGTCTGGTTTTAGCGTCACATCCAGGCCACGCGCTGTGGTCGCGGCTCGAGCCGGTGGTCCAAGTTCAACACCGGGTCGCGTGGGGACTCGGTGTTTAAAGTGCGACTCAACCCTCAGCAAGGTCAAGGTTCTCCACCCCTGGTGGAAAACCACCCCCGGCATCGCCGCCTTCGTCACGGTGCCGACGTCGCGTTCGCGTCACCGACGCCGTCGACGGTGCCGCCGCCTTCGACTCGTCGTGGCGTTCGCGTCGCCCCGCGAGCACTCACAGCGATCAGCTGGAAGCTGTTGTGCAGCACGGCGACGAGCAGCTTGGCGAGGACGATGACCACCACGACGTTGTAGGTGCCCACGATGAGCGCCCCCACGAACGACTGCAGCTCGTCGGCCGTGGAGACGCGCGTCACGAACAGCGCCACGTGCGCCAGCGAGAACACGTACCAGAAGAGCGCCGAGCACGCGCCCAGGAACCTGCGGCGACAACGTGCGGAGCGTCACCGGGGCGTGAAGGAAGCGCGGGAGAGGTCGGGTCAGGGAAATTGGTTGGCCATCGCACAAAGACGGTCGCCGCATCGAGCGCTTTCAGATGCGCTTCTGCGGACGTCTGTTTGTTCTCCTTACCCCTCCATACCTCCGATTATCACGATTGGCTACGTACGGTGCGAAAGAAGTTCAACATACATGAGTATAGGTCTCTTCCCAGCAGCGTTCAGATGCGCTTCTGCGGCCGTCTGGAACGCTCTTCCGATATTAGGAAGTCACTGGAACTACGCGTTTTTAAATCATCATCTCGATTGAACTGCTGTTTGTGCTTAGTTTGTCCTTCCCCCGCACCTTAGATTAGCCACGGATAGCTACGTATGGTGCGAAAGAAGTTCAACGCACGGTACATGCATGCGCACGTACGAAACGTGTGGCGAACCAACTGGGACCCAGCGCCAACGACAGCAGCAGCGTCATCATTATCGCTGTCGTAACGCATCACCCCGCAAGCCTTCGTTTACACAGGGGCTGTGGGGGGTGGTGGACTCACCACGGCTTACAAGGCAGTGGCTAGTGGCTGACTCAATGCAGCTCAGCGGTATTTGTGGCAGTCAGTGCTATCATTTGGGGCACCGTGGTGATGAGATGTTAACTACCTCGCCTTGTGTACAGGAGGTCGTGGGTTAGATCCCGACCCTGACACCAGTTTTCATCTTCTCCCCGTGGTCGTGTGAATTTCTCTCCGGGTCCTCCGGCTTTTCCCTCCACATTTAGAATCGACATCACGCGTTTAGAGTATTTGGCTACTGCTATATTGTCCACGTGTTGATAAGCCCCTTTCGTTGAGCTGTTATTTGTGGCCAGGTCGCTTCTGAAAAAAATCTATGTAGGCTCAGTGGGCCTTACCTAATAAAAATAAACAATAGTTTATCGTTGTAATACCCAGACGGTGTCTGTGTTGTGGTCAAGCACACGAGTGGGCTCAGCGTGGAGTTACAATGTCCGTGGTGAGGTCAGTGTTGGGTCTGGGGTTCGTGTTTATCGCGGCGTGGGATTCGAATTTTGGCTTTGAGATGGCCGGGGTGGTGATGGCTGTGCATGCGGCCTGTGACCCAGCACTGAAGGCCTTACCTGGTCAAAATAAAAAATAGTTTAAATAGTTGTAGCATGCGTGCGTGCGAGCGAGGGCTCACGAGTGAAAGGTGTCGTTGCTCTGCCGCTCGCAGAAGATGCCCGGGCAGTCGGCGCCCTCGTCGGGGAACTTGGCGTAGAGCTGGGTGAGGCCCACGGCGAACGAGACGAGCACCAGCAGGTACATGCCCAGGAACTTGACGAAGTCGCGCAGCATGCGCCCCATCGAGATCTGCGGCCGACGCGGCCACGACAAGACTGTCACGTGAAAACGAAGACGTCTGCCCGCGCGTGCCAAAGCGTCGACCCCATTTGTGACCGATGAGGCTCCTTAAGATTTTTCCGTGGAATTCGGTCGTGAATAGAATGAAGCTGCATGGGGGTGAGGAATCCGATCAACACGTGACTGGCTTGTGTAATTATTTGTGGTTGGCCACATGTGTGGCTGCCTGTAACCCGGCGCTGTGGAGGCAGCAGCTAGGGTTGGTGGGTCACCGCACGGATGTTGCTAAACTCCCTTCCTGTGTGTAGGCTTCGAGGAGGAGCCATACCCTACACTAAACAAGTGGGAATACATCCACATTTGTGGAATCGAGTGTTTCCCCCTCGCACGCGTGGGTTTTCTCCGGGTGCTCCGGTTTCCACCCACATGTAAACACCGTCATACATAGAGGACTGAAGAGCTTGGGAAACTGTCGGTCGCGCGAGCTCACCGTCTGGCTGCTGCCTTCACGCCTGTCCGTGGTTCCTCATCGCGCCTGAGTCATCCTCTCCCCACGAGATCGAGCGAATACCGTGCGGCGGCGGTGCGTTACATTTTAAAAATTATTCTAATTCAAACAATCTTTTCGCTGGCGGTGGTAGGGTACCTGCAGGGGCCCCAGCATGGAGCTGGTGGTGTACATGAAGAAGAGCCGCAGGTAGCTGAAGACGTTGGCGAACGCGAACAGCCCCTCGGCCACGAGCGTGGGGTGGAAGGCGTCCCAGTCCTTGCGCTCGGCGATGGCGTGGAACTGCGGGACGGGGCGGGGAGACGCGCGGGCTGCGGGTCACCACGCGCAGGTTCGTGTGCCCTCCACAACGACAACAACATCCAACGTTTGCCAAGAGACGCGAGCAAGCTACACGGCCCCATGCTTTATTAAGCATGCTTAGATACGCACGTGGCGGGAGGTGTACGGACTCTGACCGTACGAGTCTCATCGCTCGCCGTATCAACATTCGAGGCTCCCCCATCTCGCCGCACCTCCGATTTGCGGTTCGAAAGAAGTTCAGCATACTTACATACCGCATGCAAGTGGCTTAGTGCGTTACTGGAGAAGGAAAAAAATCCCCATAAACGATGGCATGCCATACGTCACGGCGGTGCTATGCACGCGAAGGGATCCCTCCACAAAAACAACGGGAAATGGGAATTCCAAAAGTTAATTTCGTTTCCAGCCAGCAGGCATCTTCTTCTGGCTGTTCAATCGCCTCGTCAGCCAGGGAAAGGTCTTGAATTTACTTTGGCGCGTCCAGGTTTTTAGGCAAACCGCGACTGATGACATCACTGCTGCTGCTGCTGACTTATCAGACAGACGGCCGCGTCATCCATCACGGTTATGGCCTCCGCCTGAAAAGTTTCTACCACATTTTGCACAATAACGAAATAGATAGAAATTGTGCAAGACGCTCCAGGCTTCCCAAGCCCTGCAAAATAAAAAGCGTTGAGCTTGAGAGTGGGACAGCGATCGTTTGGCGCGTGTTCGCTTTGGCCAGCTGTCTAATACGTATTGGTGTTGCGCACGCCGGTGCAATCTCACTGAGCCTGAGAAGTATAATTTTATGCTGACCAACATTGTTCAACAAACGAACGTATTGGTGGTACACCGGTGGTGGTGTACCGTATAAAAAAAAATCAGCAAATTTTTCGCAATCATTATTTTCCCCGGTCATAAAATCTCGCGGGGTGGTGGTGGTGCATCAAAATCAGTTTCGTGATGTCTAAGCAGTCGGAAGACGGAACGTTTATACGTGCGGCTGAACACGAAGCTTCGGGGCGTGTTGCCGTATAGCAGCACCTCGCCTGGTGACAATTGCCTGCTCCATGTTCCAACGGCAACATTTGACTCCTCGTACCCTGGACTTGCTCGCCACCGTTCCTCGATTCGTTGCCGCAATAATTTCTTGGCGGACGGTGACCATCAAAAGATCGTGACTCATGGTGTCACGCGTTCGAATTGGGAAAGTAGCTGCGGAATCTAAGTGCAACTTCTGACGGAGAGTCCTGCAGCTCGCTCAAGGTCAACAGCGACATCGCCGGACTGTGTTATGGGGCCGGTGTGTTGTTATGCTGCACCGGTGCACCGCCAATATGTCGAGGCTAGACCATGCTTGAAGCTGCTCTATGTTTGTCCTAAATTAAAAAAAGGTCCCAGTTTTATTTAAACAAGAAATACAAACAGAGAGAGGTGCAAAAAGCACACAGCCTTCCCTGCGCATAATGCAACAACCATCAGCAGATCCTGAAGAAGTGCATTGTGGTCCTCTTGCCCAGGGTCACCGTCAAAGTGAATTTTAGTGAATGCGAGCAGCCGACAGGCCGTGCGCTGTTTAACGTGTTCCGTTGAGTGTTTGAAACTCTAAACTTTTGCGGGCCGGCGCTATTACTCACTAATGATGGGGCTTTTTTTTCTCGGTATTGACAGATTTTATTGAATGTGCCAGTCTCGGCCCTCTCCAGCTGGTGCCACGCGTGGCGTTTGTGATGTTTAAAACCCTCGTGTGTGTGTGTGTGTGTATGTGTTTGTGTGTATGTGTGTGTGTATGTGTGTGTGTATGTGTGTGGGTATACGTGTGGGGAGCGGCAGTGTAGCGGTTAGCGCGCTGCGCTACCAACCTGGCGACCCGGGTTCGATTCCCGCTCACGGCAAACACCAGTGACGATTATCTGAACCGGTTCTGGGCCTCCCCTAGGTCGACTCAGCCTCAAATGAGTACCTGGTGCGGTGTGTAAGCATCGCCACTAGGGAGACAAAGGCGGCCGGGCGTGGTGCTGGCCACCTACCCCCCTCGTTTGCCATTCTGGCCTTCGTAGGTGCTCGCTAACAGCACTTGCCCCTACAGTCTGTTAAGGCTATACGGGGGATCTTTGTCTTTGTTTTGCCACGTGCAGCGTGCGTGGTGGTGGAATCGCATCTTCGGCTGCAGCGTGGGCTTGCGTTTGACTCCGTGTGACACTCAGGAGCGTAGAGCTGTTTCCGTTCCTAGGCACTGGCAAAGCCAACAGGCACACGGGAACGCCACTGCATCGGATGTCCTTGGTGAAAACTGCATTTGAAGCACGGAACGGCGAAATTAAACGCACACGCCGGTTAAAGTTATATCGCCATCGATTAATTACGGTAAGCTACGCAAAGTAATCGTTATCGCCGTTGTGGAGAATAATTCGTAGCAAGATAAGAGGGCAAACCCGCCTCCTTCACACAGTACGTGTTCAAGAGAGGGCCCTTGCTGATCACAAAACTGGCAGGTCACCAGCATTGATTCCAGCGAGCCTGACTCACTGTGTGTCGAAGCCGCTCCAGAGATTTGCTTGTCTTGGCTTCAAATCACCCCGAAGATCGTGGGGGCTGCTGGGATGCGTAAGCGATAGACGGTTTAGCGAAGGAGAGGCTGCCTGCCCATCGATAGCGTGCAGAGCAATACTTGTGTCACCAGGAAGGGTTCACTTCGGCTCGAGAGGTTTATTCGAGGGAGTTTTACTTCGGGATGTTTGGGCAATTAATGTTTTTTTTATGCTGTGCATTTTGTACACTAATCTGAAGGAAGGGTTATTTATATATATATATTACACTAGCGCCTGAACCTATGGGCAGCAGCAGCGACAGCGCAGCGGTTAACTCACTGCGCAACGAACCCCGGAGACCCGAGTTCCATTCCTGGTCCCGGCTAACGTCAGTGGCGAGCGATAGCTGAACCACTTCTGTGCCCCCCACATCGCTCAGCTGTCCTGACCAGATCGGTGAAGTATGGCCAAATCCCACCACAATGGGCCACCCTCCCCATGACCCGCACAGCATTGGCAGGCCTTCATCCAGCAGCGTCATCGTCAAGGGTGAATTCGTTTTGTTCCCGACCGGGTAAAAAAATAAAATGTTCCTCTTGTTCCAGAGAGCGAGCGGCGTTGTTGCGGAATGACATCACCGTTGGGCGGCCCGCCGTCCCTGCCGTACGTTGAACTTTCTTCGAACCGCAACGTAGCCAGCGGAAGACCTGGTCAGACTTTCCACGCGGGGCGCAATGGCCCCCCCCACCCCCCACCCCCACCCCGTGGCTCTTTCGCGTCGACGGCGGCCCCCAGTCTTTTTAATCCGCCGAGTGCGCACCAAACACAACGCGGCCTCGCCGCGCGCATTCCGTCATTTGGCTGCCAGCTCACACGGCCGGCCACGGGAGGGATTTATAGCTCTCAGCCCCGCCGGCGGGGGGGGGGCGGGGGTGGGTGGGGGGCGCGAGGGTTGGGGTTGGGTGAGGGGGCACGAGGGTGGGTGGGGAACTGTGCGGGGGGGGGGGCGCGGGAGTGGGGGGGTGCGGGGTGGGTGGGGGGTGTGGGGTGGTGGGAGTGCGGGGGTGGGTCGGCATGGGGGTGTGGGTGAGGGGGGCACAAGGGTGGGTGGGAGACTGCGGGGGGGGAGGCGGTGGGTGGGGGTGCGGGGGTGGGGAGGTGGGAGGGGTGCGGGGAGACGTGCTCTGAATGTGGCTAAATCACGAGCCTGCGTGCTGATATTCGGCTTTAGAATTGCGTTTCGTTATTTACTGAATTGCTTTTAGCTCTGTGCGGCGGCTTGCGACCTCTGGGTGAAACGTGCTTCGTAATTGTACATCATCATTATTATTACCACGGCGCAGCGCCACCGCGCTCACCTTGCAGTTGGCGACCACCTTGAGGGTGAACGTCGCCACGTAGAGCGAGTTCATGACGAAGCTGAGTTGGTTCCGCGACTCGGCCATGAAGTCGTCCAGACTCTCGTACCAGAGCTTCTTCACGTCGGCCCACAGCAGCCCTGCGCGTCGACCCCCCCCCCCCCCCACACCGCGGGCCGAGGGTCAACGGAGGAAGACGCCGGGGCCGGGACGAGGGCGGCAGCGCAGGGCACGTGGGAGGGGGGGGGGGAATGCACGAGATAGTGACACAATCAGCAGGTGACATTTGGCACCCGAGTGGCATCACCGTGATAACGACGACGACGACACTCGTCGCCAGGCTTGTTGCCGCGACAACGACGAGGACTGCGCACGGAGACGCCGCGCGGAGCCCGCACCCACCGGCCATCCACATGATGATGAGGTAGTCGACCAGCTCCAGCGCGGGTCCCATCGTGTTCTTCTTGTCCTCGTTGTACACCAGCGAGTAGTGGTTGAGCAGCAGCAGGAAGGTGAAGTACGACGCCCCGTGCGCCACGAACTTGGTGAAGGGGGCGTGCGCTACGCGGCCCAGCCGGGAGCGCGGCCCCAGCAGGTAGGCGAGGGCCAGGCCCGGCCAGGCGAGGCCGAGCGCCAGCACGGTGAGGCCCTTGGCCACGGCGTGCCGGCGCCGGTACCCCGACACCTCGCCGTACCACACCGTGTTGAGGAACTGCTGGCAGTTGGACTGCGACACGAACTGTCGGGCGGCCCAGGGCCCAAGCGAGTTGCAGACAAACGACAACAACAACAAGATTTCTATTTCGTGGTTCTTTCGGTAAAGTCACGTAGAAGGGAAATAATAAAATAATAAAAAATAAAACACAATAAAATAATTCTCACGACGTTTCGGCTACAACGCAAGCAGCCGTCCTCGGTGACTTTACCGAAAGAACCAAGAAGATGAACGACAAGATTGTTGGAGGACAGTCGGGGCGAGTGGACGTCGAGGTGGTCCTCATCTGTTGACGGCCCTGAGCCAGCGGTGGGAGCGTTCCGCATTGATGGGGGGGGGGGGGGCGAGATGATTCGCGATCGCTCTTCGCGCGAGGCCTCCGGTGGAAACAGCTAAGCGAGTTTGTGTCTTCTTGGTTCCTTCAGTAAAGTCACGTAGAAGGGAAGTAATAAAATAATAAAAATAAAACATAATAAAATAATTCTCACGACGTTTCGGCCACAACGCAAGCAGCCGTCCTCACCTGAGAATTATTTTATTATGTTTTATTTTTATTATTTTATTACTTCCCTTCTACGTGACTTTACGAAAGAACCAAGAAGATGAATCCCTGCAGTCACGAAAGCTTTAAATCGAGTTTGTGTCGTTAAGACCCTTCGCCGCCTGACGCGCCCCAAACAAATTCAACTGTCGCGTCCGCATGCGTTTGCCTGTGGTTCCTCCTCCATATCGGTCGTGCAAATGAGAACTCCTCTCCTGGTCTCTCGCGTTCTCACCTGGGTCAATCAAAATCAACTTGTAACCTGAATAAACGAGACCACTCTGGCATCCTCTGTACCCCGACGGCGTTCGTTTGGTGCTCGCGGAGCTGCATTGGCTTCCGGGTTGCCGAACTAATACATGAGGTCATCACACTCGTGACACACAAAGCGCTCTCGCCACAAATGAACCACGGTACCTTGCTCATCTTGTCAAGGAGCATAAACCATCACGCAAACTCCGGTCATCGGCTGGGACATCGAACAATGAAGATCGCCACATGGGGCGCTTTAAGATGCGCCGTCTGGAACGCTCTTCCTTCCGATATTAAGAAGCAACTGGAGCTATGCAACTTTTAAATCTGGATGGAAAGCAATTATTTCTTTAGAACTACTTTTTGTTGTTTAGTTTGTTGTCCTTCCTCCTGCTCCTCCGACCAGCGCGGTTGGCTACGTACGGCGCGAAAGAAGTTCAGCGTACACACGCCCATCCGTGCGTGCGTACGTGCGTACCTCCTTCTGGTCGTACTTGATGGCCAGCTTGAGGCGGCTCAGGTTCATGCGCTCCTCCAAGAGGCCGCGCTTGTCCACGGGCTCGTCGCTGGCAGTGTGGTTCAGGATGGCCTCCAGCTCGCGGGAGTTGCGCGCCTGCGCCAGCAGGTCCTTGGCGAAGCTCTTGCACTGCTGCGCCAGCTGCTCGTAGTCGTTCCTGGGCACAGCCACGTTCCCGCTCAGCCGGCTCCGCGCTGCTTCGCCCCGAGGATTTCCCAATGCTCACGGCTCGGACGTAAGAGGTCCAACCCGCGATGAAAACAACGGGGGCTGTTGCCCGGCCGCGGTGGCTACGCGCGCGCACGTGTCCTGTGATCCAGCCTCGACTATGCTGAGCCACGTGCTTCTCAATCCTCACCCCTAGGCCCTTTACTCTCGCACTCCGCGCCGCGTCCCACCCCGCGCTGGGCTGACCTGAACTCGACCTCGACGAGGCTGAGCTCCTTGAGGTCCACGCTGAGCTCGAAGGCGCGCAGAACGGGGTCCTCCTCGGTGAGCATGATGAGCGCGGGGCTGGCAAGCGCTCGGTAAATGTCCAGACGGAACCTGCGATCGAGGGGGGTGGGGGGGGGGTTGGGATGCGGGTAGTCAGCCGGACTGAATCCTCGGCAAAGAACGCGACGGGCACCGGCGTTTTTACGCAAGCGGCGAAAAAATATTTCACCGGGAGTGTCGCAGGCTGTCCTTGCGGTTCTTGGCCTGGCAGATGCAGCACTCGCAGCCGACGGCGTGCGGCCTCGGCAGCGAGATGTCCTGCTTGAGCAGCACGGTGAGGATCTCGTAGTTGTCGCGGTGCGCGGCCAGGATGACGGGCGCCACGTCCATGCTGGTCGAGTACTCGGGGTTCTGCATCTTCTGCATGAGCTTCTGTGTGGCGAGTGGCGCCATCGCGTGGCGGAAGGGGGGGAGACGGGCGTCGCGGGATCAACTCCACGCCTGTCAACCCCTTATCAGTGCACTACCTTATTGCAGACCCAGCTCAGACCTTATTGGCCTTATAAATCTCAACGTTTATCCGACAAAGTCCCATCACAAGGACACAAACAAATAGACACGGGGTTTTTTTTGCCCGTATTGAAACGGCTGTATGCCGTATGGACCTGAAAACTCAATTTCCCTGTACAAAAATACGGGGCAAATAGTATGGGTTGCCAGGTATGCAACTCCACCCTCAATATATTACTGTACATTACATACATTATTTGTATTTAACCAGGTAAGGCCCATTGAGCCACATAGCTCTTTTTCGGAAGCGACCAGGGCCACAAATGATAGCCCAATGCAATAGCTTATCACCATCACGTGGACATTCATGGCAGCCAAATGCTCTGAACGCACGTTGAGGGGCGGGTGGGTGGAGGGGTTGGTGGGTGGAGGGGCTCACCTCGATGGTCGGCTTGGAGGCGCGGCGCGGCCGGTGGTTGAGCAGAATGTCCACGGCCCCCACCACACCGGCGTCGATGGCCACGAGCAGGGCGTCGTTGGCCTGCTCGCCGTCGACACAGGGCGCGAGAGCTCGTGGTCAGCATTGGCGGCCATGACTTAAAGTCGGACCGGACTGCACCCTCACCCTCACCCCCCCACCCGTGTGTCTCTGGTGGCGGGGTGAATTCGCCCGCTCGCGACTCGATAATTCGTCGCTTTGCACAGGGCTGCGATTGACTTCCCTGCTGCTGCTGCTGTTTCAGATGCGCTTCTGTGGCCACCTTCGAACGCCCTTTCTTCCTTCCGATATTCGGAAGCCACCGGAGCTCTGCACTTTGAAACCATCATCGAGATTGAAAACTTATTTCTTCAGAAGTGCTTTTAGTGTTTAGTTTGTTGTCCTTCGCCCCGCACCTCCGATTATCGCGGTTGGCTCCGTACGGTGCGAAAGAACTTCAACGTACGGTACCTACATCTCTGCGTGTTATGCAAGGCGCTCTGAGTGGTGAATCACGAATCACCTGCACCATCCCCAATTGTTTCCTCTCGTTACTCCTGCTGCCCTTCTCCCGACGGTGACCCCTACCGCAGCGCCCTCAACGCACGCTATAAGAGTTGTCGTGAGCACCGAACGTGCGAGTGGACCGCCATCGTCGTCATCCATTCATCGTTTTACGACGACGAGGATCACCGCGGGAAGCGGGAACGCGAGCGGGAGGAGGAGCGAGGAGCCGGATGGAGAGACGGCGGTAGCGCAGGAGATCTCGAAGGGACGAGGAGGGAGAGTGCCCAGGGCAAGAGACACGCGGCAGCAATCCATGAAGTCCTCGACGTCGCCGACGAGCGGACAAGAAGGGACACGTGCAGGTGTTGGGGCGCCGCGGTGACACGATGTTAATTCGCTCGCCGAGTATACAGGAGGTCGTTTGGATTTTTATCCGGGTCTTCCGGTTTTCCCCTTCACAGTTAGAATCGACATCGCGCTTTTAGAGTATTTGGCTGCTATACATGTCCACGCATTAATAAGCCACTTCGTTGAGCTGCTATCCCTTGTGGCCAGGTCGCTTCTGAAGAAGAGCTAGATAGCTCAGTGGGCCTTACCTGGTAAAATAAAAAATCGATTTTTTTTTTGTTTAATCAGAGGTGCATTTGTGGCCAGGCTTCTAAAAACGAGCTATATACCTACCTCAGTGGGCCTTACCTGGTCGAATCAATCAACAAGTATAAGTTGAATCGGGGTAGGTGTTGGGGGAAGGGAGGCTCGATTGCCGCGGGTCCGAATCGTCGCCGTCACCCTGAGTGTGGCCGCACCTGGCACGAGTGCTGCAGTAGCAGCACGAGCACGTCCAGGTTCTCGTTCTCGATGGAGATGTTCACGGCGCTGCGGCCCAGTACGTCCAGGCAGTCCACGTTGAGGCCCGAGCGGCCCCGCTCCTCCAGCAGCCGCCGCACCATGTAGTAGTCGCCTGGGGGCAGCACGCACAGCGGCGGCCGCGGCGGCGGAGTCAGCCTCGCGGGTCACGCAAGGAGGCCGCGGTCGCAGCGGGAGCTCATCCAGCGCATGACGGGGTTAAAGAGCGCGTGGCGGTGTGCTGCTGTTGCTCGCAAACTGCACGTGGCAGGGCGCTGCTGCTGCTCGCAAACAGAGCGTGGTGCTCGCAAACAGCAGGAATGGACAACCGCTACCAAGCGCGTGCCATGTGACCACCACACTGCATGGTCTGATGCTCTCATCCTGCTCTAGGCCACGTGGAGGTGTCCTTACTCACTTACTGAGCACAGCTGCTGCTGTTGCTGAATACACTAAGCATGACCAGGACGGGCAGGAGATCTTGATGGCGGTGCTGATCGTCACCCCTGCCATGCAGTGCGGTGCTGCGAGTTCTCCGGTTTTTTTCCCGCATGAAGAGAAACTCTCAACGGTGGGATTGACCAAACATCAGAACTCAGTGAATATTTTCTTCGTAATTTTTTTTACAATAATTAGCTAATTGGGTGGCTTTCATTACCCTCGTGGATAAATAGAGAGGAACAATGGATTTTTACACTCCATTGTTTATGTATTCCCCAGGATTACAAACACTTGCCAGTCACCAATGACTCCAGAAGATCCAACTCGCTCATATGCTTTCTCACTTAATTTAATTTTGATGAATTATTCACCGGACATATATAACGTGAACGATCTGCACAGATAGGCTTCATAATCTGGAGACGTTGTAACGATCGATAGATCCTCGAAGGATGTTGGAGATTGCAATCAATCTCCAACATAGGTAGGTAAAGCCCTTTGCCGTGGGGCTGATCAGCGGAAAGGGAAACGATTCAAGTCGAAAGAACAGTGGGACATTGAAAGCACAGTGGGGTAACCTCTATTTTGATTTGAAGCTTTCGTGACTGCAGGAATCCATACTCTTTGGTTCTTTCGGTAAAGTCACGTAGTTAGAAATAAAATAAAAACAAATCACGTTTCGATTGCAGCACAAGCAATCATCATCAGGTGGAAAAACCACAGCAAGATTTTTTTTTGTTTCAAAAACGTCGTGATTTGTTTTTATTTTATTTCTAACGACGTGACTTTACCGAAAGAACCAATTTTTGAAAACCCAAACCAAATAAAAAAATATATTCCCGATGAGCCTTTGAAAGCCACAGATCCTGCCAGTGTAGCGGACAGGCACAACCTGTTCACGATGCCACCGAGTGGCGTTGAGCTGTCAACCCGGCGGACGCGACTTCTGATTCCCGGCCAGGGCTACCGCGAGCGGCGAGCGGTCCCGCACCCGCGCCGGTCGGGGTGGCCAAGTTTGGTGAAACGGCGCGCGCTCTTGAGTCTTCCCCAAACACGGCGCGTTGGGAGGCGTTCACCCAGCGGCGGATTGGTGCGGGGCCGCAGCTGCGCATCGTTCCTGTGTGAGAGCAAAGCACCTTTCTCGCAGGCGAGCAGGAAGATCTTCTCGTCGATGGTGGTGTCCTCCTTGACCTCGCGCATGTCCTTGAGGTTTAGAAACTTGTCGGAGCCCGGCTCGTCCCGGCTCTGGTAAAGCCCGGCCATCCCCGCACCGCCGCCGGCCCTGGCCACGAGCATCACCGTGCGCATCAACCACTACCATCATTGCCATGGACACCACGACAACCACCACCAACTCAACCACCACCATCGGCATGGACACCACGACAACCACCACCAACTCAACCACCATCATCATCGCCATGGACACCACCACAACCACCACCAACTCAACCACCACCATCATCGCCATGGACACCACGACATCCACCACCAACTCAACCACCATCATCATCGCCATGGACACCACTACAACCACCACCAACTCAACCACCATCACCATGGACACCACGATAACCACCACCAACTCAACCACAATCATCATCGTCATAGACCCCACTACAACCACCAACTCAACCACTACCATGGGCATGGACCCCACTAAAACCACCAAAGAGAAAGCTCCCCCGTATAGCCTTAACAGACGTTTGGGGCAAGTGCCGTTAATGAGCACCTATGAAGGCCGGCACGGCACGTGAGGGGGTGGGTGTCCAGCACCACGCCCGGTCACCTTTGTCTCCCTAGTGGCGATGTTTACCCATCACGTGAGGCACTCATTTGAGGCAGAGTCGACCTAGGGGAGACCCAGGACCGGTTCAGATAATCGTCACCGGTGTTGGCCGTGAGCGGGAAATCGAACTCGGGTCCCCGGGTTTCGTAGCGCAGCGTAGCGCGCTAGCCGCTGCGCCACCGCTCCATACCACATCCACCAGCTGCCGCATGAGCGGCTTCCCGCACACGAGGAGGTGTTGCTGTTGTTGGTGTTGTTGTTGGTGGTGTTGGTGTTGGTGTTGTTGTTGATGGTGGTGTTGTTGGTGTTGTTGGTGTTAGTGTTGTTGGTGTGGATGTTGTTGTTGGTGGTGTTGATGTTGTTGGTGTTGTTGGTGGTGTTGTTGTTGGTGTTGTTGGTGTTGTTGTTGGTGTTGTTGGTGTTGGTGTTGTTGGTGTTGTTGATGTTGTTGGTGTTGTTGGTGTTGTTGGTGGTGTTGGTGGTGTTGGTGTTGGTGTTGTTGGTGTTGTTGTTGGTGTTGTTGGTGTTGTTGGTGTTGGTGTTGTTGGGATTGTTGTTGGTGTTGTTGTTGGTGTTTATATTGTTGGTGTTGTTGGGGCATTTCGAGCCGTCTCGACCTGCGCCGTTCCTCCTCTGGACCGCGTGGGCTCAGTCGAACCCCGCCGCGTAACGTGGAGTGGACAAACTGGGCACAGCCACACACACGTATACAGCGCAACGCTGTGTGTACACACGCAGGGCACACGGTGGTCGGCGCGGCAATAAACCAGCCGTAGAATCAAATTAACGCGATATTTCAAATCGATTCAGAGTGCCGACCATCACGACATCGACGATCTCGCACTCCAGTTGCGATGTTGAGTCAAATCGGTTGCAAGAAACCAGTTTATATCCTCCAAACGCGACGGTACAGCAGCGCTGAATACTGAAACCCACGTCCAGACCGGAGTAAAACCCCGGCACAGTTGATGAAGGTTTGTTTAAGGACGGCCCACGGTTGTTTATACGTACTGCTAATGCCGCCGTGACGAGCTCGCATCTCACAGCGCGGGAGCATTGAGTGGGTGCTGACATTGGCAAGACGTTTCGGCCACGAACACAATCTTAGGTGCCAGAATTCGCCGCAGAGACCCAGTCGCCAGCGCTGGTGGTTACGTTGCCTTCCATGTGTTTTGATGACGAGTACAGGACGTGTTGTCACGTGCTGCCAGGCGCATCGGCATCAGCCAGCTGACCACCGATGCCACCGTACATGATGTGAACAGCATTGGCAAATCAACTCTTGGGTGGGTGGCGCAGTGGTGAACGCGCAGCGACTGTGAACCCACGCCAGCCCGATCTGGATTGTCGGCCACGGCTAACCTCAAGTGGCCAGCGATGTCGGAACCGGTCCCTGTGACCTCGACTCCCCTCCCTTCACCAACCCGCAATGACCATCGCGGTTAATTATGATCAAAACAACATCAATCCCCATGTGGCATCACAGCGTGTGAAGGTGTTGATCCAGCGCGGATTTAACACGAAGAAGGGCTTCCGGGCGTTACGACCCACAGCCGTGTCGCGGCTCCGCGTGACATCCGCGCTGCGTGACAATAACAACGTCGATGGCGTGCAGCAGCCCGCACCGCGCAGCTCGGCCGGCCTGTGTACCTCAGCTCGCGTCCAGCAATAAACACGGCGGCTCCCGGGCCCGCTGCCTGGGCATGCGGGCTGGAGGTCGCCCTTGGCTGATAGGGGAGCTCTCCTAGAGCTCCGTGGCGCTCCGTGTCGGCAGCGGCGCCACCGCGGAACGACCAAAAATCCCCCAAATCAACAAGAGAGGTAAGCACACACAGAGAGAGAGAAACGCGAGCAAGGGGCCTACTCGCTCGCACCGTCACATCGGCAGCAGCAGTAGCAGCAGCGCCTCCAAGCGAGCGGAGCGCGCAGTGCGGACAGCGCTCGGCTCGCCGCGGCGCTGTCCACGGCGCGGTGGTGCTGAGTTACCTCCCACAACGAGTCCCCTTGCTATGCCGCGTGGGAAACGCAATAGCCCATGGAAAGCACACCACGTCATAAGCACGCATACGTGTTTGCATTATAATAATATATTGAACGTTTGTGATCTAAACCACTCACTACTCCCTCTCCAGGGAAACACGAGACAGCGTACAGAGCGTCATGGTGTAGAAAAAAAATCTCTCAACCCTCACGTGCCGTGACGCATTCAACACAACCCAATGCTGATCAGGTCTCTGGTAGCTCAGCCTCGTATCCCTGACGTGTCTGCTCGAGACGAGACTAAATAAACAAGAGTTGCTCGCCATAACTTCACGTGGCCGCATGGAAAGAGATCCGCAGGGCGAACCAGGCTGCCTTGGGGCTGCCACGTGCTCACCCACAGCAGAGACGAGTCTGGGTCTGCGTTAGCACCGACTTTATTTTACAGTCCAACGTTGTTCGTGCAGCATTATGGAACATCTCACGTTCGGTCACTCCGCGTTGCAACACAAAATGCGATCTTTGGGAGTTCATGTCTTTGTGTTGGCACCGCACTTCCGTGAAGTCTCGCCCGTCAAGTTACAGATATAGGGCACAGTCAGTTCAACACGATGGCTTTTGCGACCAATATTATCCATAATAAAGGTGTTTGGGGGTTAGATCGCGAAAATGTGTCGTTCAACCCGTCACCACCCGACACAGCCAATTAACAATTGGCTGTGATGGACAACTGCAATGCCCCAAACCCTGTTGCCTGCCAGGGGCAGGAGGTGGCAGCACTTTAGAGGTAACGGATCTTCGTGCGTTTTGAGAATTTCGTTCGCCGCGCCTCGACTTACGATCCTCCACTCTATCTCTGCCGTCGCTCTCCCGTCACGCGAACTCCGTTCATCATCGCAGCGGCAGCTTTTGGCTGACCATGGAACAAAGACGGTCACCAAATCGCGCGCTTTCAGATGCACTTCTACGGCCGCCTGGAACGCTCTTCGTTCCGATATTAGAAAGCCGCTGGAGCTTCGCATTTTTAAATCATTTTGATTTAAAACTAATTTCTTTAGAACCGCTTCGCGTGTGTAGTTTGTTGTCCTTAACCCGCACCTCCGATTAGCGCGGTTGGCTATGGACGGCGCGAAAGAAGTTCAACACACACACACACACCCTGGACCACAGCTCACGGTAGAACTCTGCACAGCAGCGCGGCTACAATCTACGCCTCCTCTCCCCCAAGACCCAGGACCGGCACTGCCGAGTGGCGTTTCTCTGCGGCAGCCCCTGCCGTCTGGGACATGGACCAATCGTCCGCTGCTGCACATTCGCAGAAATCGACACCGAATTTTCAAGCGACATTTAAAGGCCCCCATACATCTCGCCTGTCTTTCGAGTTACCCTGAGCTTGCATCCACGCCTCAAGAGTCTGTGAGACATTGTGCGCGTGATAAATTGCATTTTATTATGACAGTCTGTACGTTTTGTCTGCATGTGTACTCGTTTCATTCCGTGAGCTGGCACCTTCTGAGACTCACCGAGATTATACTACTGGTTGAGTAAAGCACAAACGTTTATTTGTATTCGTAAACTTGACAAACACTGCAAAAGACACAAGGCACTTAATCCCATCAATCAGCACGGTTGGCTACGTACATTGCGGAAGAAGTTCAACATACAAACAAGGCACCAAGTCAAATTTAAACAAATATTCACCATTTGAATTCATAAAGTTCGAATACGGTATAACACATTCTCGTGTCCGAGAGAACTGGCAATGATGAATGGCAGTATCACTTGTGTCACGTAACAAAATAAAGACCAAGCGAATGTCTGTGCCTTCAACAACACTTTTCTAGTCTTGATTTGAAGCTTTCGTGACTGCAGGAATCCATACTCTTTGGTTCTTTCGGTAAAGTCACGTAGGTAGAAATAAAGTAAAAACAAATCACGTTTCGATTGCAACACAAGCAATCATCATCAGGTGGGAAAACCACAGCAAGAATTTTTTTTTGCAAAAACGTCGTGATTTTATTTTATTTCTAACTACGTGACTTTACCGAAAGAACCAGAGTAACACTTTTCTATTTGAGGTTTGCAAGCCACGACGTGAAAGGGCTTCAGGGGAGACTTGTAAAAGTTGTGCTATTCCTCCTCCGTTGAAGGACAGACTACAGTGGTTTTCTATATGGTCGATAGTTTGGGTTGCATGGACACTATCGCACGACTGTTGCTTGTCTTGAATGCATCTATACGCGTCTCTATGCATCTCTACGAGTTGACAATATAGTCCATAGTTTCGGTTGCGTGGCCACAATCGCACCAACGTGGATTTGTGTCTTCAATGTTCCATGCGTGGAGGAGGAGTTGCGCATCGGCCTGGGTGGGAGAAGCCGGCCCCCCCTTCCGCACGCTTCACGTCTCCGTGTGACCGTAAAACACAACTAGGCGACACGGACATCAATAACTCGAATCCTGATATGAGCAGTAACAGCGCCGAGGCCACGGGAGGGCCACAGTCACACAATCTCCCTGGCGTTTGCCCAATCATCCACCGCCCTGATGGTGGTGGTCGTAACGAAGCCGGTGCTGTGATAACGCAACAGCAGAGTGACATCACAGCGCCGCGAGCTGTCGAGAGTGTGGGACTGGTGACTGCGTGACGCGTTAATACAGAGTAGTTTTTGTGAACAAAAACAATTACCGCGTATGTTTATGTATTTTAAAAAGAACATCGTGTTTTGATGCGGTGAAATGCAATGTGGGAATGGTGCCATTCATTCATCAGAGCCCGTATACACCATTAATCCCACCCAAAGTCAATCTATTTTATCCACAAAATGTACTTCTCTGAGATCCTGCCTCCTGATGTATCAGATATGAGTTTTCATCTGTATTGCTATTTGTGTTGCATGTTGAAACCACTCGTGATCAGAATGTGAGGTTTTGCATTTTCTCAAAGTTGCCGTTGATCCGAGCCATAAATGCTTCCGTTTGAGCAAGCCAGGACTCTAGCTCGTCAGTTTTCCTCTTTTTGCGTTCGAAATCTTTCGCCAGCTTATCCACGGCGTTCACAAGAGCCTCCATCTCCGGATAACGGTCAATCGTGGCCGTCATTTTCTTCTCCAAGCTCTCGAAGCTCGCTTTAAACTGCCAATGAGACTCGTTGAGTCGTGCAACTTCAAGGTTCAGGTCTGACAAGGCGTCCAGATTCCTGAGCGCCCACTTCTCCTCGCTCACCGCGTCGTCTTTACTCTGCGCAATGATGGCCTTGGTGTTCCTCAGCATGCTTCCACGCAAATCCTCCAGCTTGGTCTTCAGCAAGCTCACCTCGTGATCCGCTTCGTTCACGGCCACCGTCACTGCGCTCCGGAACGATTTGCTTTCGTCGCGCAAAGCCTGAATATCTCGTCTCAACTGTGGAAGGGTTTCGTTCAGAAGGATCTGCAGCTCCGCCTGCTGTACGCGCCGATCCTTCAGTTGCTGCTGCGACCGGTGCTTCTCCTTCAGCAAAGCTTCAGAGAACTTCAGCTGGAAATATAACCACAGACAGCAGAATGTGAGTGAACACACAGCATACCAGCCTGGCAGTAGGGGGGCGGGTGAGCGATGTTGCTATTGGTTATTCCAGTTAAGTAAACTAACATGCGATACTCTGCTCACTAAGCAAATTTCAGCCAGACAAGTTGGCCTGTGGCTGCACCTGCGGCACCGAGGCTCTACTGCTGCCCACCGCACGCGTACATTATTTTATTTTACGCATTTAACTTAAATCAACAGGTAAGTTTAGCCTCTGTAGGCCGTCCCTTCCTGTATAGACCCCACCCTCTCCCTGTATGCCCCGCCCATTTACTCCTTAGGCCCAAACCCTCGTTGCCCTTCGAGGTCAGGACTTCTGAGACACTTTACAAATCTTTAAAATCTCGACTAACACGACTGTGCCTAAAATGTCTTTCTCTCTTCAGTTATTTTCAACCATCTCTCTCACTTCTTCTTTACTTGGTTGTTGACTATGTTTCGCTTTGCCATGCATAGCGCCCTGAAAACGATTGTTTAAGGGAAATCGATTGTTATTAGGCCACGCCCATTCCCCTGGAAACGGGGTGGGACTAGTTTAGGTGGTGGTGGAGGTTGTGTAAGGGGGCAGTGCATGGGCAGCAGGGGTAGCGCTGTATGTATGTTGAACCTCTTTCGCACCGTACGTAGCCAACCTGTGCTATCGGTGGTGAGGGAGGACAACAAACTACACAAAACAAAGCAGTTCCAAAGAAATTCGTTTTCAATCCAGATTATTAAAAAAATGCATATCTCCAGTGGCTTCCAAATACCAGAAGGAAGAGCGTTCCAGACGGCCACAGAAGCGCATCTGAAAGCGCGCGATGCGGTGACCATCTTTGTTCGATGGCGGGCCAAAAGCCGCCGCGAGGATGATTGGAGTTCGTGTGCTGGTTTATGCTCCTTTACGAGATGAGTGAGGTATTGCGGTTCATTTGTGACAAGCACTCTGCGTTTAACGGGTGCAACCTTAAAGCACCGTATTCGTTCGGCAACCGTAAGCCATTGCAGCTTGGCGAGCACTGGACGGACACGGTTGCATCTTGCGGTACCCGTTACGACACGTGCCAAAGAATTTTGGACACCCCGCAGCTTGGTAATGTTTTCGCCAGATGTACCGTACGGTAGCGAGTTGCAATAAATTATGGATGGGGTTGATAGGGGTGGAGCAGATTTCACAACCATGACCGGCAGAATCCCTCTTAAGAGCACCAGCAACATGACAATCGACGCTTGCTTGTGTCGTGACCGTTTAATACAGGGGTGGGGAACGTCCGGCCCGCGGGACGTATAATGCCTGCAAAATCATTTGATGTGGCCCTGCCAAGGCAACCGCAGGCGGGACTCGAAATTCAATAAATCTAGGAGCAAACCTGGAAAAGCAGTTGCGAGTAGCAACATCATCAATACCAGCTAACATCGCACGCATAACCAAAGAGAAGCAGTTCCAGCCATCACATTAGGGGTGAGTTAATTAAATGCTTGACAAAATATAACAAGCTAATTTTTAAGTCGATAATTGTGTACGGCCCGCGAATGATGTTATGAATATCCAATTGGCCCTTAGCAGAAAGAATGTTCCCCACCCCTGGTTTAATGGTTGACGCGGAGCGTAACTGACAACAGCACACATTCAGAGGCGCTCGCCTTTTCCGACAAAGCTGAGAGGTCAGCGTGCAGGGAGGCCACGCGGCTCTGCAGTCCCAGCTGCAGCTGCGCCAGTCTGGCCTCCAGCTCCCCCCTCTTCACCGAGTACACGTACGTGAACCTGGGGGGGGTGGAAACCACACGCACACACAAACCCCACGTCTAACAACAGCAGCAGCAGCGACGGAACCATATTTACACAAAGGATGTAATAAAAGAGCAGCAGTTTTTTCTTGCTGTGGTTGTCCCACCTGATGACGATTGCTTGTGTTTCGATCGAAACGTCGTGATCTATTATTTTTCTACCTACGTGACTTTACCGAAAGAACCAAAGATTATGGATTCCTGCAGTCACGAAAGCTTCAAATCATATTTATTCGAGGCAATGATTGTCCTTGTGTGGAGTGTGTACACATTCCGAAAGCGGGAAACCCCTGACAAAGCCACACCTTCCGTGACGTGGCAGATCGTGCACATGAACCCAATCACTTCCCCTTTGGCAGCACACGTGGCACAGTGACAGTATTCTTTGTCATGCTCTCGCTGTGCCAATGTGGAGCACTTAACCCTGTGCCACTGTTGAAGCGACACCAGTAGCAACAGTGCTGTAACAATGTTTAATCCTGTGCCACTGTTGAAGTGACACACCAGTAGTGACAGTGCTGTAACAATGTTTAACCCTGTGCCACTGTTGAAGTGACACACCAGTAGTGACAGTGCTGTAACAATGTTTAACCCTGTGCCACTGTTGAAGTGACACACCAGTAGTGACAGTGCTGTAACAATGTTTAACCCTGTGCCACTGTAGAAGTGACACACCAGTAGTGACAGTGCTGTAACAATGTTTAACCCTGTGCCACTGTTGAAGTGACACACCAGTAGTGACAGTGCTGTAACAATGTTTAACCCTGTGCCACTGTAGAAGTGACACACCAGTAGTGACAGTGCTGTAACAATGTTTAACCCTGTGCCACTGTAGAAGTGACACACCAGTAGCAACAGTGCCGTAACAATGTTTAACCCTGTGCCACTGTAGAAGTGACACACCAGTAGTGACAGTGCTGTAACAATGTTTAACCCTGTGCCACTGTAGAAGTGACACACTAATAGCAACAGTGCTGTAACAATGTTTAACCCTGTGCCACTGTTGAAGTGACACACCAGTAGCAACAGTGCTGTAACAATGTTTAACCCTGTGCCACTGTTGAAGTGACACACCAGTAGCAACAGTGCTGTAACAATGTTTAACCCTGTGCCACTGTTGAAGTGACACACCAGTAGTGACAGTGCTGTAACAATGTTTAACCCTGTGCCACTGTTGAAGTGACACACCAGTAGTGACAGTGCTGTAACAATGCTTAACCCTGTGCCACTGTTGAAGTGACACACCAGTAGCAACAGTGCTGTAACAATGTTTAACCCTGTGCCACTGTAGAAGTGACACACCAGTAGTGACAGTGCTGTAACAATGTTTAACCCTGTGTCACTGTAGAAGTGACACACCAGTAGTGACAGTGCTGTAACAATGTTTAACCCTGTGCCACTGTAGAAGTGACACACCAGTAGTGACAGTGCTGTAACAATGTTTAACCCTGTGCCACTGTAGAAGTGACACACCTGTAGTGACAGTGCTGTAACAATGTTTAACCCTGTGTCACTGTTGAAGTGACACACCTGTAGTGACAGTGCTGTAACAATGTTTAACCCTGTGTCACTGTTGAAGTGACACACCAGTAGTGACAGTGCTGTAACAATGTTGAACCCTGTGCCACTGTTGAAGTGACACACCAGTAGTGACAGTGCTGTAACAATGTTTAACCCTGTGCCACTGTTGAAGTGACACACCAGTAGTGACAGTGCTGTAACAATGTTTAACCCTGTGTCACTGTTGAAGTGACACACCAGTAGTGACAGTGCTGTAACAATGCTTAACCATGTGCCACTGTTGAAGTGACACACCAGTAGTGACAGTGCTGTAACAATGATTAACCCTGTGCCACTGTAGAAGTGACACACCAGTAGTGACAGTGCTGTAACAATGCTTAACCCTGTGCCACTGTAGAAGTGACACACCAGTAGTGACAGTGCTGTAACAATGTTTAACCCTGTGCCACTGTTGAAGTGACACACCAGTAGTGACAGTGCTGTAACAATGTTTAACCCTGTGCCACTGTTGAAGTGACACACCAGTAGTGACAGTGCTGTAACAATGCTTAACCCTGTGCCACTGTTGAAGTGACACACCAGTAGTGACAGTGCTGTAACAATGCTTAACCATGTGCCACTGTTGAAGTGACACACCAGTAGTGACAGTGCTGTAACAATGCTTAACCCTGTGCCACTGTAGAAGTGACACACCAGTAGTGACAGTGCTGTAACAATGCTTAACCCTGTGCCACTGTAGAAGTGACACACCAGTAGTGACAGTGCTGTAACAATGTTTAACCCTGTGCCACTGTTGAAGTGACACACCAGTAGTGACAGTGCTGTAACAATGTTTAACCCTGTGCCACTGTTGAAGTGACACACCAGTAGTGACAGTGCTGTAACAATGTTTAACCCTGTGCCACTGTTGAAGTGACACACCAGTAGTGACAGTGCTGTAACAATGTTTAACCCTGTGTCACTGTTGAAGTGACACACCAGTAGTGACAGTGCTGTAACAATGCTTAACCCTGTGCCACTGTTGAAGCGGCACTGTTAACCCGGAGTCTTGTGCGACACAGTTGCCGCAGTTGTTGCTGTAAACTCACGTTCCCAGTGCGAGTGGCACCACCATCAGCAGCAACAGCGTTGGCGCTCGCAGCGGGGGTCTAAACCCCGCATCCACACGCGACACCATGGCCCAGGCAGGGTCCTCTCCACCACACCGGGAACAGGAAGAGATAATGAGAGCGTGAGATCAGGAGGAGATGGAATCGTGAGATCAAGAGGAGATCATGGGATCATGAGATCGTGAGATCAGGAGATAATGCGATCAGGATAAGATGAAATCGTGAGATCAGGAGATCATGAGAGCGTGAGATCAGGAGGAGATAATGCGATCGTGAAATCAAGAGATGATGGAAGAATGTGAGAACGTGAGATGCCAAGATCTGGAGATGATCGCGAGATCATGAGATCGTGAGATCAGGAGGAGATCATGAGAGCAAAAGATGGGAGATCGTGGGATGCCAAGATCTGGAGAAGATCGCGAGATCATGGGATCATGAGATCACGAGATCACGAGCCCGCAGCGCTTGCACCGTGCGGCCCCTGGAGTCCCCCTCGCGTCGCGAGCGGCCCCGGACCACGCGGCCAGGGGCCGTGCGAGCGTCGAGATGCGAGCCAAGACGCGGCCACGGTGCGGCGGCGGCAGCCACAGCAGCCACGCACCGCTGCCAATACCCGCCAAGTGTGACGGGGACGTCGCTACGGGGGCCTGTGCCAGGCTAGGTGCACTTTGAGTCGCTGCTGACAGGAGGCCTCGGGACAGACCCAGCAGGTACCGTGGGTTGGCTGACTGAGATGGCCGCTGGTAGATGCACACCAGCTGTGCTCCTCACTGTGCCAACTCGCTGTGCTTTATCCACCCGGCGTTCCGCTCGTTGTTGTGAGCGTCGCGCTTCTGCCCTCTGTTGTTGCTGGAAGGCCTCCAACTGCCCAGTAGCAGCAGCGTCCATCACGAGCCTCCTCCCACCCACCACTACCACTAACCACCACTACCATCAACCACCAGCAACAACCACCACCAACTACCACCACCAACCAACCACCAACTACCTCCACCAACCAACCACCACCAAACAACCACCAACTGCCACCACCAACCAACCACCAAACAACCACCAACTACCTCCAACTACCACCACCAACTGCCACCACCAACCAACCACCAAACAACCACCAACTACCACCACCAACTGCTACCACCACCACGAGACGACTTCACCTCGAGACGCCCCTTGCCCGTTGCCACGGTTCAACAACAATAATAACAATAGGCCTGGAACACACAATAGGCGTGGCGCACACAATAGGCGTGACACAACACAATAGGCGTGGCACAACACAATAGGCGTGGCACAACACAATAGGCGTGGCACAACACAATAGGTTGCACGCACCTGAATTGCTTCGAATTGCAACCATATTGCATGCAACTGATCGCGGAGGCGTACATCCCGAAATAATTAATACGCATAAACATCATGAATATTACACCCCATGAATGTGTCACAACATGAATATCACAATGCATGCATATTTCACTTCATGAATATTTTACCTCATGAATATGTAACCTCATGAATATTTTCACATCATAAATATTTTCACATCAATAATATTTCCCCTCATGAATATTTCACCTCATTAATGTGTCCCCTCATGAATATTCCCCCTCATGACTATTTTCCATTATTCATATTTCCCCTCATGAATATTTCCCCTCATGAATATTCCCGCCATAAATATTTCACCTCATGAATATTCACCTCATGAATATTTCCCGCCATAAATATTTCACCTCATTAATATTTCACCTCATTATTATTTCACCTCATGAATATTCACCCTCATGAATAATTCACCTCATTAATAATCCCCATCATGAATATTCATAGAATTCTAATCACGTGTGTTTACCTCGCCGGGTCCTTAGGGTTCCACAAGAAGCACAGATGGCGCCAAACTCAGGTAACCTCCTCGGCTGCGCGTTCGCGTCGTCTTGCTTATGGATCTCCTCAATTTATCGACCCCTTGATGATGATGATAGGAGGGATGTTGCTGCCACTTTGAGGGCGCCGCAGCACAGTCGATAGCACCTGGTGATGCACCGTGTTGGGGCTGTTCGTACACTCGCCCGGATAAAAAAAAAATAAACGTTTAAAAAATAATGGTCAAAAATATATCGATGGTATAATCTTGGTTCTTTCGGTAAAGTCACGTAGAAAGTAAATAACATAATAAAAATAAAACATAATAAAATAAAATTCTCACGACGTTTCGGCCACAACGCAAGCAGCCTTCCTCGTGTGAAGAAACAGAGCTGTCGGAAAGACAGCGTCCTATCGGTTGTGTCGGATGGTGGAGGGGTTATATCGTCGTTAACATTTTACGTATCTCCATGTTGAACTTGTTCGCACCGTACGTAGCCAACTGCTGTAATCGGCGGTAGGCGATGATCTGAAGCAAAAAGCCACAATATTGAGTCGTAAAAGTCTGCGCATACATTAAGTAAGTAAGTAAGGCATCTACAAACTGTGCTTAGGAAGCCATCCTCCGGATACCAAGGTGCCTCGCCATGTGAATGTGGGATGACTTGTGGGAATGTCGACTTCGTTTAAGTTTCTACATTTAAATTTCGACATTCAAACTACAAACGCGCCTCGGCCGTGGCGTCTTTTGCCGCATCCAGCTGCCCGGGCCGCGATTCATGTGGTAGGAGGCCCCATTCATTCATTCGGCGCGAGTTACAAGCAGTGCAATGCAGGACTTGCAATTCATTTACTTTAATTACCACCCACGGCACACGCCTTTTCCCATAACGTTACTAAAGTCGTGTTACCATTGCCACATTACCCATCGTTAGATTAGCGTGCAGAGAGCACATGCGCGCGTTACCATAGTTACATTGCCACGCACAGATGCAAATTCCATAGTCGCATTACCGTAATCACATTACCGTACACATCACAAGCGCATTGCCATACAACATTAAAATCCAATGCGCATTGTAGCCCAACTGCCGTGCTCGCAACTCGTTGCAGTGAGAGTTTGCATTGTGATGCGTAGACGTTGAGAGTGAGACCTCCGTGTGTATCCGTTTTGCGAACCCACTTGCTGGATTGGAGTCTTGGCTGGCACGCGAATCACGCACGGCGCCTGTGTGTGTGTGTGTGTGTCAGAGAGGCTGCAGTGCAGCGCTGTGAGCGAGGTCGTGCTCAGCAGGGAGCACTGAGGAGCAACAGGCTCCCATCCTGCCTGCCCCCCACCCTGCCTGCCCCCCACAGTCCACACGAGAACATCGGGCGTCAAGAGACTCCTGAGCAGGTGACGGCGACACGGGGAGACGCACAAGGCGGGGGGGGGGTAGAGACACAGGGCACACACAGGGACAGGGTGACACGGGGAGACGTGTAGACACACTGCGAGACACAGAGGGTGGAGTGGGACAAGGTGACACGGGGAGACATGGAGACACACTGCGAGACACAGAGGGTGAAGTGAGACAGAGTAACACGGGGAGACATGGAGATACACTGCGAGACACAGAGGGTGGAGTGGGACAAGGTGACACGGGGAGACATGGAGACACACTGCGAGACACAGAGGGTGATGTGAGACAGAGTAACACGGGGAGACATGGAGACACACTGCGAGACACAGAGGGTGGAGTGAGACAGGGTGACACGGGGAGACATGGAGACACACTGCGAGACACAGAGGGTGGAGTGGGACAGGGTGACACGGGGAGACATGGAGACACACTACGAGACACAGAGGGTGGAGTGAGACAGGGTGACACGGGGAGACGTGGAGACACACAAAGTGAGACAGGGTGACACGGCAGGGATACACCGCGAGGCACTGGGAGACACGGGGGGGTGGACAAACTGATGACACACAGGGACCCAGGTTGATTGAACGGCTCACTGAATTAGACCCATAGCTATAACCATGGGAGGGAAACTTTATGACACAGTGAGCATCCTATCTGCAACCCTATTATCCACTAGTGTTTTCGATTTTGCATTCAACTTGCTGAGACATATTTTGTCCGTAATGGAGTCTTCCTATAATTATCGGTTTTAATAGGTGGACAGTAAGGGGAGTCATGCAGGCATTACGAGGTATTTTCATGGATTAGCACAGATCATAGGAACCACCAGGAGCTTAACTGTACGGTACTCTAATCAGGATGAACCTTGACGTGTCATATCACATTTGCACGGGTCCTGGCAAAGTGGCAGCAATTCATCAGTTCCGAATAAAAAAATGCACATCTGCAGACATATCCAATAGATATTACACTCCAAAGTGCCGTCATGTAATGGATCACTAGAGGCACGGCGAGGGGCACAGGCACTGGGACCGCTAGAGATGTGTAACGACTCTCCGCCTCCACGCTTGACGATCACGGTTTCATACTCGGGTCGTATTTTGCCCCTGTGGTGGAGGAGTGATATACAGTGTAGTCCAGATGTCTTGTGACCCCCAATTTATTGTTTTTAATAAACGTTACGTAAAAATAACATTACGTTTTAGAGAATTAAATAGGGGGGAGGGGGGGGGCGGGATTACAAGACATGTGGACCACCCTGTACAGTGGTGTAAATATATCCACCGTCTAGTGAGTGGTTCCAAGTGTCTGAACTAATCTAGTTTAGTGTCTCTACATAAGGCAGTGGCGACTGGTCTGAGACAACCTGCTACACTTGGCAGGCAATGTCAACATCACGGATGCAAAGCTGTCAACCCATATGGTTTACCTGTATTCTTGTACAGGGAAATTGAGTTTTCAGGTCCATGCAACATTCAGCCATTTCAATACGGGCAACATTTCTTTGTCTATTTGTTTGTGTTTCTCCCTTGTGATGGGACTTTGTGGAATGAACGTTGAGATTTATAAGGGCACGGAGTGACCAATAAGGTCTGAATTTGTCTGTAATAAGGTAGGGCACTGATCGGGTGTTGACAGGTATGAGGATGTATGCGTTTTGATGGGTTTTTTCGCGAATAAGATGAATTACATTTAAGTTTATATATATTTTTAAACATGGCCAGAACATTTAGGAGGCTTACATCCAGCAGTGGATCATTGACCATTGCTGATGATGGTGATGTACATCTTGTTTCCAAGCAGTTCTTCAAATGATTGGAACTTCTTGTTGGGATGAAGAAGTGAATTGGAAACATATGATTCGACAGCCAAGCAGAGGCATTTTAGTTTTACAGCCTCCTACAGCTGGACTCACATCTTTGTGATTTTACAAACATTTGCGTGTATAAAGAAATTTGAAATACGCTTGGGCCTGTTGTTCGTTTGGTGTGAATCCAAAACAAACGACCACAAAGAAAACAACTCGAATTCCTTGTGGCATCTTTGTAAGCAGAGCACTGTGTAGTGAACGCTTAAAATCTGTTTCAGAAGCCTATAAATGCCTATCTTGACCAGCTGGAAAGGGTCTGAGTTTGCAAATGCACAATTATCCTTTTATAATGATCGTAGTTTTACAAATCCTCACGCACGTGGTCTTTAAGAAAGGCTGCTCTGCGTCGGATTTACCGCTCTCAGCCACCTCAAATCACTGAGCAGCGTGCACACGGTCTCCTGTGCACAATGCTGGTTGGACAAGTTTAGTGGGAACCAGCCGAGACACAGCTCTGCACCGCCTGCAGCTACGTGAACTGCTGCAGTGTACACGCTTGCGGGAACTTGCGGTTGGACCGCTGTGAGTGCGTGTGTGTACATCCCGTGCACTCTGTTCCTTTTTATGTTGTAACGTTAACTCTGTTGTAACATTCTGACCCCGTGCCTCTACTGAGCCTCTGTGGAAAAAAAGCTTTATAAGCTCATCGGATTCCTCCAGTATAAATACATTTTCTGATTCTGATTGTTTCTGTAAGTAGCAGCAAAGACCAGCTGTGCGAACGCTGGTGCTGCTTGCGCGTGGGTGTCGCGCTCGCAGCCCCGCGGGGGCGCAGTCGCGGCGGCGGCGGTGGCGGCGGTGGCAGCGATGGACGCGCACGCGGAGCCCTGGCTCTTCTCGGCACTCGACGACGGCAGCGGCAGCGTGTCGTGCGAGCGCGTGCTCGAGTTCTGGCACCGCGAAGGCATCACGGACGCCGGCGCCATCCTGCAGGCAAGCGTCCACGTACACACGGGCGAATTGGTATGCATAGTTAGATAGAGCTGATTGCACCCTAGCCAATTAACCAAACGAGATTGAGGCACTTGCAAAGGAGACCAGACCAAGGTGGTTTCTCTGGGAATAGTTGTTTGCATTATTTGGGTCATTCCACATTCACTCAACCGAAATCCGGGGAGATTGCCACCTCAAATTTTTGATTTTGTCGAAATTGTTTCAGTTGGAAGATGTGGATCAGGTATGAAACCTCCAGGAAAGATACATGTTGACCTTCCAAATTGAAGATGTTAAAGCAACACCTGCTCACAGATGACTATGGTCAGTCCAAATAATTATTAACAACACAGTAATTGAAATTAGACAATGAATCTGCCGCCTCTGAAAAAGCAGACTCAGTAATAGGCAATCTTTATTTGAAGTTTTCGTGACTGCACGAATCCATACTCGTTGGTTCTTTCGGTAAAGTCATGTAGGTATAAAATTAAATAAATCACGACGTTTCGGGCGCAACACAAGCGTCCGTCATCAGGTGGGAAATCATGGCCTGCTGCTGATGCAGACTGTTTTAAAAGGTCGTGATTTATTTTATTTTATACCTACGTGACTTTACCGAAAGAACCAAAGAGTATAGCAATAGGCATGTTGACCCCTACACTATTTTACTGCCCAGCTTAAAAATAAAAGTCTCCTGTTTGTGACTATGGCTACAAACACCACCCCATGGAGCACACACGTTCGAATTGCTCCAAATATTAACGTAGATTATTTGCAGTTCATCAACTCTCAGACAAAGTAATTAAATGGCTAAATCGCTTAAAACTGAATTCTCTAATAGCTAGTTGCTCTTCATTGGCCTTGCAAAATCATCATCATCATCACCGCCCAGCTTAATTCTGCAACAAATACGACTGTAACATCCGATGTGCTTCCCGAACCCGGAGAACTCCCGAGTGAGATTCCCGCTCGTTGCTAGCGCTGTGCACAGAGAATAAGGGTAGTGGCCTCCCTCTAATCCCGACGGCTGCTAAGTGAACAGTCCTTGTAATCCGCTTGTGCTTGGACTCATTACAATTACAAGTTTAAATGCAGATGCTTAAGCAGCATGGCAAGCCCGGCTGTGCATGCTGACATCACAATTAAATACAAAATAAATCTTCACATGTTCGTGCTTCACACCAGTAATGTAATGTGTGCTACTGGTGATGCACCCAGATTCAATACAGTTGAGCACTGTTCACACAGTTCACTTGCACAGTTACACTGAGCGTCCGGTCCTAGTTAATTTGGAGATGTTAAAAATGGTAATAATTTGCAGCCGTTTGTTAATCCACTGTTGTACGTACGTAAGCCTCCCCACGCTATGTTGGTCACGGGGGTTGTTTCACCACCCTGCAGCCTGTTGATCACTGGGACTTGGGGAAGGGGGTGGCCCGTTCAGATATCGCTCACCTCTAATGTTAACCAGTTTTTTAGGGTTCATAGGGCAGTGTGCTAACAACTACATCATTGCTCCCTTATAATAATAACAACTTACAGCATTTTGCCAATCCACTGCTACATGAAGGCCATGGCAGCCGTGGGAGTTGCTTGACCATACTTCACCACACTGGGCAGCGCAGGTTGGCAAAGGTGAAGCGAGCTAAATGTTAATTCCTCACAGTGAGGATCTCAAAAGTGTACTTTCTCCTTCTGCTCAGCATGGCTTTCCATCAATATTCTCCAGATTCCTCCCATAGCTGAAGAAAAACATGTATTTCAACTGTTATTGGCCAAAGATCTCAGTGCTGATAATGTACCTGCAAAAAAATGAATAAATTCTGATTTCACATAGCAACTCTTGAACGCAATGCACCTAGAGCATGCCCCTTCCCTGTCTGTCTGCCTGCTGGCTCTGATGTGCGTGTGCACGTGTGGTTGCGTGCAGGCGCTGGGGCTGGACTGCCGCGCCACCGTGTCCCTGGACGAGCTGTGCCGGCTTGTGGACGAGCAGCTGCCGTGCGCGGGGGGCTATGCGGCCCAGGCGCTGCTCGTGGCCTGCAAGCACGAGGTGGCTCAGCTCAGGTCAGTCGCTGTCAACATCTAAGTCTGGCCAAATCTGTTTCATTTGAAACCTTTCACCACCCGACCCGCCACACTAATTGTTACCCGTGCAAGCGTTTAACATGCCAATTATTTTATTCATTCAGCTCACCGGTGAGTTTAAGAACAATCCTCAACACCAGATTTAGCATTTAGGTATGACGACATCAGGACAATGTCTATGTAATCCAGAAAGTTTACTTGCTCTGTCATTCTAGATCTTGTCCTGTGAGCTAAAACATTGAAATAATTAGCTCGTTAAATGCTTATTCTCGTGACAATTACGTTTGTTAGGCTGGGTCGGGTGGTGAAGGGTTTGTTACGAGACAGATTTGGTCAGATCGGCTGGGTATAATGTCAGTGGAAAAACCCACTCGTGCCGTGCAGGCCCCCTGCCGGCTCGGCACGGATGTGCCAGTGGAAAAGGGCACGGGAGGCATTCACACAAAGTGGCGGCGGGTGCTGGTGTGGGTCTCGCGCAGGTCGTGGCTGGGGGAGCTGGGCGCCGAACGCGACTCGCTCAGGGCATGCCTGCGCAGCGCGCGGCTCCATGCGGAGCAGCTGGCACGCGACGCTGATGAGCAGGTGGCCAGCGCAAACGCGCACCACCACGCAGATCTCAGGTCAGCATGCCAGCACGTCCGCCCTCCCCCCCGTGCTCACAGCCGGGAGAACTGCATTAAAGTCGCTAAGTGGGACGTAGCCTGCTCACCACTTGGTATGCTCACAATTGTCTGGTGAGATCCGACCGTGTCCGTCCACTGCTCGCCAAGCTGCGTTGGCTTCCGGTTGCCGAACGAATACGTTGTTCATCTTCTTGGTTCTTTCGGTAAAGTCACGTAGAAGGGAAGTAATAAAATAATAAAAATAAAAAATAATAAAATAATTCTCACGACGTTTCGGCCACAACGCAAGCAGCCGTCCTCACCTGAGAATTATTTTATTATGTTTTATTTTTATTATTTTATTACTTCCCTTCTACGTGACTTTACCGAAAGAACCAAGAAGATGAATCCCTGCAGTAACGAAAGCTTTAAATCGAAATTTGAATACGTTGTTATCAGGTCGCACTCATTACACACAAAGTGCTTGCCACAAGTGAACCACAATAATTTCCTGATCTCGTCAAGGAGCATGAACCATCACGCAACCTCCGGTCATCCTCAGTGTAGCAGCTTTTGGCTCGGTTATAGCATTGCACGCTTTTAGTTGCACTTTTGCGGCCGTCTGGAACGCTCTTCCTTCCGATATTAGGAAGCCACTGGAGATATGCACTTTTAAATCAGCATCTAGATTGACAAAATCATCTCTTTATAACTGCTTTTTGCGTTTAGTTTGTTGTCCTTCACCGCACCTCCTATTAGCGCAGTTGGGTAGGTACGGTGCGAAAGAAGTTCAACATACATACAAACAAATCAATGCTCATGTCCATCCTAGGTGTTATACTATCACATCCTTGTTTGTCCATTGAAAAAGTCGGGTGGGCAGTAACATGTAAAGGCAGCGAGAATACCTTTCATGCTCAATGTGGTTTGTATGTACTCCACGATTTTTAGATTGATCACTAACTTTGGTAAGGCAACTGTTTGTTATATAGGTCCACTATTTACCATCCTACAATACCTTAAGATAACTTTCGATTTAGATTTTATTTTCATTATATTAGTATTCTTTGTGAAAAAAACAGTTGCTAAAATCAGTTTTTCTTCATAACAGTATCTTTTTTAAACTTTAAATGTGGGTTTTCTTAGCCAATACAATGATTATTTATATTTTTAAGTTTTAAAGCACGGGTGAGGAACTTTTTTGGTCAGAATTTCATGAACGCATTGGCCAACGTATTAATAATATCTTGGTGAACGTGACGACATCACAGATTGGTGCCAGAAATGTGGCACTACTTGAGCATATTGGCACAAGACAGAGGAGAGTGGAAACAAAATGACGAAATGTGCAGTGGACACCTACTGGCTATCTGCCCATGGATCGTGATGATGATGATAATGATGAACGTGCAAATCGTGTCGGGTGGTGGAGGGCCAACGACAATAATTTTTACACAAAACTACCACGTGGCCTAATCCAACAAATACGGAGCGCCGCGTTGGCTACGGACAGCAACGTTTTAAGTTAATAGGACGCAGCGTTGTCAACGCAGTGGCTGGTGTCTCGAGTGGGCGAGGAAGCCGGCGTTCCGCACGCAGACACGGGGTGGCTGTTGTGGATCGCGTGGTGCGCGAGGCGGGGCTCCTCATCTCCCGCGTGCGTCTCCCCGGGGCAGGCGGCTGGAGCAGGAGCGGGCGGAGGCGCTGGCGACGCTGCGCTCGGAGCGCGAGCGCGAGCTGGAGCGCTCCGAGCGGGAGGAGCGCACTCGGCAGGCGGAGTTGGGGCGGCTGCATGCCGAGCGCAGGCAGCTGCGCAGCGAGGTGGAGCTGGCGTACGCGGTGAGGCCGGCGCGTCCCCCACGGCACTAAGGCCCCGCACAGCCCCGGTCTGGTATACAGGATGGTCGGGGGTTCGATCCCGACACCTGCTGTGTATTTGGAGTTTGCATCTTTCTCTCTCTCTCCCTATGGTTGCGTGGATGATTCTCTGAGTCCTCCTGTTTTTACCTCCATGTTTAGAATCAACATCATGCGTTTAGAGTATTTGGCTGCTATACATTTCCACGTGAAAACCCACTTCATTGAGCTATCATTTGTGGCCAGGTCGCTTCTGAAAAAGAGCTGTATAGCTCAGTGGGCCTTACCTGGTTAAATAAAAAAAATGTTTGTTTAAATCGTCCCGCCTGTGACCCCAGAGACGTCCCTGTGCCCCGGCTGCCTCGAGCAGTGCGTAGGGACCCTCTGGCGCGATGATCCCAAGCGGCGCTGTTAAAATCCATTTTGTTGAATTTCCAGTAACCACGTCAACATATTTTTTAAAACTTGGTATGAAATGCTGCTTTCCAAGCGGTGTGGATTTGACTGCCTGTCACAGGAGATACGATGAGTTCAGTCGACTCTAGCAAGGGATTGGAACTTCCCACACTTTCGGGCTCATGAAGGTCCCTGCGATCCTATGATAGGGACCAGTCTCTTCAAACGGCAAGCCATTCTTAAAATGATCTCAAAGTAGTACTCACTTTATCGATCCCCAAGGGCTGGGCCTCATGTGCAGAGCCTCCTACACACCTTTTAGAATGTACCACAGCAACGCCCTTGTGTGCACGCCAGAATGGGCTAGTGCTGGCACGCACGTCAGTAGTCACAGTTACAGGAAGTTTTCATATCCGACGGCACGATTCATAATTTATGTTTTGGGTTCGGCAACGTAATGATCTGACCCAATTTGTGGCATTAAGGAGCCTCGAAAATGATTAGTCACGTGTACAATCGTTTAACAACGCACTGATTATTATTATTGTTGTATTGGTTCACCGGTAAGTTGAAGCACAGTACTCGCAACAAACCGAGAAAATATATACGCGTAATTATTGGCAAGTCGTAACGCTCGTTCACATGGCAATTTATTTGTTTGACTGTGTTGGGAGGTAGTGAAGAGTTTTCTAGCGACACAGATTTGGTAAGATCATTACGCGGCCCAACCCAAAAGTCTATTGCGAAATGTAGTCCATCATTTACCCAGCAGAGCCTCACTGAGTGTCCTACTTTGTCCCCTACTTTGGGACGTGCGGAACAGCGGTGTTCCCGGCTGGAGACGGAGCTCGCAGACGCTGCAGCGCAGTGCGCCGTTGGCCAGCGCGCGGTGTGCGACCCAGGCCTCGGGGAGCCGGAGCCAGGGGGGAGCGCCCGGCCCTCTCTTCCCATCGTACGACCGGGGGAGGTCACGCGGCCCAGCCGGCAGTCGCTTAACAAAACCAGTGAGCGCCGTCATTCATCCACTGTTACGTGTTCTCTCTTCTCTTTCTCCTGCTCAGTGTCTGTTGTCCCGATTGTGCCACCATCGGCGTGAGACGAACCATCCATTCTGATCTCTCACAGAGCAGTTCGGCCCACTGGGATGTTTGGCCATTGGTAGTTCCGGTGTACGGTTGTTTTTATCTGTGGGAGGAAATTGGAGAACCTGGAGGAAACCAATGTAGGTAAACTAACCTGTAAATGCATTCATTTGATTCCACAGACTACTGCAAATCGGAGTGTAAAGCAACAGAGTCTCAAGAAAATGGCATTGAGGAATGCGGCAAGAAAACCGGTCAAAGTGATGAGCCAACCGACAAGACACCGAGCTGGCAAACCAGCGAGCACATACTTAATAATAATAATAACAAAACATGCCAACAAGGGATTGAGCAATGTGGTACAAAACCAGCATGCCGTTCAGAACAACTGTCTAGGGAACAATTCGGTAAGGTTTCCAGCGAGCATTGCAAGGACGAGGTCAGAGAGAAATGTGACAAATTAACCAAAGTGCGTGTTTATAATCCATCCAGTGGACAAGTCCGTAAGCTCGCCAGCGCACAATCTAATGAACAGACCAGAGACCATATTGATAAACGAAGCCTTAAACACAACGTCAGAGAAACCAAAGAGCATTATAGACAAGTGAGAGAGCAAACGATCATCCAATACAGGGAACAAACTAACATTGAAGCCAGCAAGCCAGTTCTAGCACCCACCAAGGAACAAGCCAATGGACAATGCAGTGCACAGTTTACTGAGATAGTCACTGAACTAAACGGAAAGACAACTACAGAGCCATGTACTGAACAGCACAGAGAAAAGCTCCCTGAATCGGTCAGCAAGGAGTCCGCACATCTTGCACCCGACAAACAAACCGTCGAGCTGATGAGCACACAAACCACAAAACCAGGGAGGGAAGAATCTATGGTGAAAACAAAATTGGGAACAGACACGTCAGCCAGTGAATGTTCCGCTGGGCACAATGGCGAGCAGACCAGCAAGCAGAGAAAACAGCAGTGCAGTGAGACGTGTAAGAAAAGCGGCGAAGAACTGGGCGACAGAGCGTGTCGACAGAGAACGACGGCGCAATCTAGTGGAGCACCTTGCGAGAAGAGAAGCGGTGGAGAATTAAGCGTTTGGGCGAGTGAACGGTCGCAGAAGTTCGGCAGCCCATCCGTAAATTCAGACGCCAAAGGGAATTGTACGGCAGCACCTCAGCGCCCCAATCCTTGGTCGCACGCCACGGGCCTCATGGTGGCCGCTCTGGGGGCCACGCTGGACGAAGCCGTGGCTCTGCTGCAGCGACTCGAGGCGTTCGCCCTGCAGCTGCTGAGCGCTTGCTGCCCCCAGGGCACGCTGCTGCTGCGCGTGCTCTGGAGCGGCCTGTACTCGCACGCCGAGTGGTTCGCTCCGCCTCTGAGCTGGCTCTACCAGGAGCTGGCTCGCGCCCGGCAGCTGCTCGCGACCGCACGGCGCCAGCACCGCTCCCTCTTGACCCTGGGCCTCGCCGCTCCGTGCGACGCGAGGGGCTCCCCGGAGCGTCCGCCCGCGTCTCGCCCGGCCGCGTGCGCCATGGCGCTCCCGGGGCGGTCGTAGGCAGAGGGCGGTTCGCCAACGCCAGGGACCCGCGACGTCCGTGGAATTTCAAACTGCGCACAAATACGCCTTCACGCAAAACTTGAAATGGGGACTCGTTGCAAGCGTCTTGTGTTCGTTCCGCTTCAGCAGCGTCTGCTATTTAAATGACAAATTTGCGCATTTAATCTTCGTGAGCTAGTGCTGTATGTCTAATAAGTTCAGTTACTTCTGAGCGGTAAATTATTAAAATAGGTCCATAGGCTGTGTTCGTGGTGGCTAAATGGTCACAATGACGGTTAGGTGAGATGTTAAATCCTCCACAGGACATCGCTCGCACTTCTCCATTCTGTGTGGAGAAAGATGACGCCGCTGCCATTCTCGTGGTACTGTCATTCAATAAAAACGTTCAGAATGTAATCTTAATGCATATGACTTAAATAGACATGTAAAACACATGTCACGGATTATACAAAATCGGCGTCGACTTCCTTTGTTTAAGCACTGTTGAGACTTAAGTTGAATGTTTAATAGGCAAACCTTAAGTCGAATTAACATATCACAAGGGCTTGTTACATTACCTGCCTATTGCAGAATGTTGGGTATTTATGCGGTTGTTACATTTTATGCTGTATAAGAACATTTCCCAGGCGTTCTACATTAAACACTTTTAAATGTATTTTACATCACTCGTTCGTCGTGTGCTCGTTGAATTGATGCGTATTGTTGTATCTGTGTGTTGCATCTTTACACAGGACATTAAACTGCACGTGAGGATATGGCAATTACCAAATCAAACGGCCGTCTCCAATGTGTTAAAACGAAATGTGCAAGTATGTGTTCATGGATGCATAAATCATTATTACCGTGGGCTTCAATCAATGTATGAACAATGTAAACCAAAGACTAATTTATTTCTTGTTCAGCCTCAATTATCTGACCAAATCTCTGTCGTTCTGAACTCTCAACCAACTGCGAGCCAACACGAATTTGTCACGTGTACAAGCGTTTATATGAGCAGTAATAATTTAACAAATATTGTAATCATTCAACAATTATATTATTGGTTCTTTCGGTAAAGTCACGTAGAAGGGAAATAATAAAATAATATAAATATAAAACAATAAAAATTCTCACGACGTTTCGACTGCAACACATGATGATTACACACTAAAGTGAGTGAAGAACACTGCCCTACAGCCGCAAAAAGATTGTGAACTTCAATTCCACATTGTAAAATGCCAGCCTTTCACAGAGCGCATTGCGTGACGTGACACAGTGTCGTTAGGGGGGAAGGGAGGTAAAGGAGGTGGATTTGGAGCAGAGGTGGAGTGAAGGAGGAACGGGGGATGGAGGGGGGGCGGACGACGCTTCGGGCCGGTGCGTAATTCCCACTGCCCCTTGGCAGCCCGGAGCTCTGCTGAGACTTGGCCTCCGCTCTCCCCCCTCCGCCCTGCCTTATTGCGCGACGTCGCTCAGCCGGGGAGAAGAAGTGCGACGGACGTGTCGCTGCGTCGCGCGCTCTCAGGTGCGCTCCTGCGGCCGTGTGGAACGCTCTTCCGAGGTTAGGACGCCACCGGAGCTGTGCACCTTTAAATCATCTCGATTGACAAAGTAATTCTATCAGAACCACTTTGTGTGTGTGCATGTAGATTGTTGTCCTCCCTCCCCGCACCTCCGATTACCACGGTTGGCTACGTACGGTGCGAAAGAAGTTCAACGTATATCCAGGAGGGACCGAGTGAGACGGAGATAATGAGGCTGCCATCCAGACCGACGGGCGATCCTGCTGCTGCTGCTCCTGCTGCTGCTGCTCTCGCTGCTTCTCCTGCTTCTCCTGCTACTGCTGCTCCTGCTGCTCCTGCTGCTGCTGCAAGGTGTGGCACTGCCGGGGTTGAGCGGAGGGGACGTCTCTTCATCCGCCGTGCCACTTTAGACGGCGAGGCGCCACCGCGATGGGCCGCAGGACGTATTGCGTGGAAGGCAAAGCAATTCCTAGAGCTCAGGAGGCAGCAGTCAACAGGCAAAGGAGGCACTTGTGTAATTACTCTTCCCGTAATCAGTGGTGGAAGTGTTGGACTGCCGGTTTGAAACCGATTCGTCCCGCAGCCCACGTTCACTGCGACAGTTTCGATGGACACAGGCTGACGGAGACACATGCCCAGTTTGGGTCTGCGGAAACAGTGGCAGCCCTCGTCAATACCCCGTCCGGGTTCTCATCCGAGACGAGCGCGCAATTTTACCGTTTCAATTTGTCAAATAACTGGAGCGTTTGGACCGCGACACATAATGCCATAATTTCTGCATGAAGGTGTCTTCAACGGCAGGACCTTAGGGAAATCCCGGGCATGCTTTGCCACAATCCTAGAGCATGTTGTCCATCACAGGGATGTGTGTGCAGAACATTTTCAAGAGTGGCAATGTCACCTTGAAGATGCGCGATCGTATTCTCCCACGATTTCTGCTTTTTTTCCTGTCGGGGGATGGTGGCGTGACGATGATGATGAGGAGTTAGACCAGGACTCGGCAACGAAAACAACAACAAGAGCGATTTTTGTTCTAAAACGACTGTGTGTGGTGTGTGTGTGGTGTGTGTGTGATGATGAGGTGTGTGTGTGTGATGAGGTGTGTGTGTAACGATGAGGTGTGTGTGTAACGATGAAGTGTGTGTAACGATGAGGTGTGCACGTGTAGTCTGTGTAGAGGAGGCTGCCATGGCCGAGCTGTTCGCAGGACGAGTTCTGCTGAGCGCGGGCGACGAGGATGACGACGACGACGACGCCGCGGGGGGTGGACGCCGCGAGGTTGACGCCGAGGCGGCGCTGCGGAACCGCGTGGTCGCCCTGCACTTCTCGGCGCTGCGCTCCCCGTGCTGCCGCGACTTCGCGCCGGCGCTGGACGCCTTCTGCGAGTCGCTGCTGCGGACACGGCGCCGTCCGCCCGCGCCGTTCGCGCTCGTCCTCGTGTCGGCGGACGACAGCGAGGTGGACATGAGGGCCGCGGTGCGCGGTGGACACCGGGACTGGCTCGCCGTGCCCTGGGACGACCCGCTCCGCCTGTGAGTCTCGACTCCTTGCTGCCCCCCCTCGCCCCACAAGTGACCATACACGGGTACTCCTCTACTTAGGAATATTCGACTTACGAACTTTCAGAGATACGAGCAAACTTGGTCGCGTATGTCTAGTTACAACCTGTTCGGACCGAGAGTCGTAAGTTCAACCGTCGTGCAATAGATGGGGCGGTGGTGGCATCTACATCTACACAACGTGAAGAACCAGTGGCATCTACATCTGTAGAATGTGAAGAACCAGTGGCATCTACATCTGTAGAACGTGAAGAACCAGTGGCATCTACATCTGCATAACGTGAAGAACCAGTGGCATCTACATCTGCAAAACGTGAAGAACCAGTGGCATCTACATCTGTAGAACGTGAAGAACCAGTGGCATCTACATCTGTAAAATGTGAAGAACCAGTGGCATCTACATCTGCAGAACGTGAAGAACCAGTGGCATCTACATCTGTAGAACGTGAAGAACCAGTGGATCTACAGGACATTCTACAACTTTTAAAGCCAACCCCCGTGTTTAGTGTACATGCCGTGCAACACGTTTGGAATCGACAGGAGTAAAGTTGGACTTACGAACAAATCGACTTACGCACAGACGTCTGGAGTCTAACTCGTTCGTAAGTAGAGGAGTCCCTGTATATATGGGCCTGCGGTCTTCCATATGTGGACAGACATCGCTGGTCTGAGATTTCGTCGGCTGTTCGATTTTTTTATCATCCGATTTTTGTTTATTTCCAGCGCCACGGTGGCGAGATGTTAACTGCGGTACCTACAAAAAAGAGAGAATGTTGTACGGTAGTCCGTCAGCTTCATCGCCTTCCCAGACCGATGTTAGCAAGCAGCATTTGTTCGCTCCCGAGCCTGCTTGCTTTGAAAGCCGAGAGGCTGATGGACTAACATACACTACATGCTATATTACAACTTGCTTTTAATCCCAATGCAGATATGATACTTCTCAAGCAGCTGCTCTTTAGATAAAGCCAGTTGCTGACAGCTCCAGTAGAAAACCTGCTTCTCTTGCAAAGGAGATTGTCCTTGTCTCTTGCTCAAAACCCTGAAGAGGTTGGTTCTGATGCTTCACATTTAAAGTGAAGCCACGGTGGTGAGATGTTAACTACCTCGCCTGGTGTGCAGGAGGTCGTGGGTTCGACCCCGACCCCGACCCTGATGCCTGCTGCTGCTGCTGTATATGTGGAGTTTGCGGTGTCTCTCCCCGTGGTCGCGTGGATTTTTCTTCGGGTCTTCCGGGTTTTCCCTCCACATTTATAATCAACATGACGCGTTCTAGAGGAGCTGGCTGCTGCTATAAATGTCCACGTGATAAACCACTTCGCAGAGCTATCATTGTAGGTCACAGTATGTTGAACTTTTTTCGCACCGTACGTAACCAACCGTGCTTAATCGGAGGTGCATTTGAGGTCAGGTCGCTTCTGAAAAGGAGCTATATGGAAAGCTCGGTGGGCCTTAGATGATAAGATAAGTAAAATGTTTAGTTTTATAGTTTATAGAGTGTGAACCTCATTGGGATCGTGTTGTGGGAGGGTGGTACGGGTCCCCCATGTTAGAACCAAGGGTCACGTGAACCCATTTCACACAAGACATCATCAGCCATGATCTACCCGCTGCTGGCTTGAATACTCTTCCCACGCTATGGGGGTAGAAGCAGGCCTGCCTCTCTGTGGCTGAGCGACTGCTCATACGCAGGCGACGCACTCAGAGCCAGGGGCATTAGCCGGCAGAGATGCCGGTGGGGATTCGTTAATTTTAGCTCAGCCACCGGTCTCCCCTGAGCCGCTTAACCTGACGAATTGCCAACTCACGCCCGCCGTTGCCATAGCTGCAGGTGGCATAGTTATACAATTGCCTAGCGTTGACCCCCCCCCCCACTCTTATGCCCGTACGGTCAAATAACCCCCTTGCTCTCGAGAGGGGAAGCTGGGTTGAGGACATTTATTCCTTGGGGGAGCGCTGAGTCGGCACTGCTGAGGTCCTGGGTTTGAATCCGGGTTTCATCGCCCGCGATTAAACGTGCTTCTCAGGTGTAGTGAGTTGATGGTCTGGAGTTGCACTGGGAAATTTGCGTCAGATCTTCCTTGAAAATAATACACTGATGGCCTCTGTGGGCTTGAAGATTGGAATTGAAATTATTGAATTAAGTGGGGGGTCTTCAATACGAACGTGGACATCAGTGCGGTTGGGTTTGCGCGTGGGAGCGAGGCACACGTGGGCACGAGGGTGCGTGGGAGCGAGGCACACGTGGGCACTCGGAGTGCGTGGGAGCGAGGCACACGTGGGCACCAGGGGTGCGTGGGAGCGAGGCACACGTGGGCACGAGGGTGCGTGGGTGCGAGGCACACGTGGGCACCAGGGGTGCGTGGGAGCGAGGCACACGTGGGCACGAGGGGTGCGTGGGAGAGAGGCACACGTGGGCACTAGGGGTGCGTGGGTGCGAGGCACACGTGGGCACCAGGGGTGCGCGGGAGAGAGGCACACGTGGGCACGAGGGTGCGTGGGAGCGAGGCACACGTGGGCATCAGGGGTGCGTGGGGGAGAGGCACACGTGGGCACTAGGGGTGCGTGGGAGAGAGGCACACGTGGGCACCAGGGGTGCGTGGGAGAGAGGCACACGTGGGCACGAGGGTGCGTGGGAGCGAGGCACACGTGGGCACGAGGGTGCGTGGGAGCGAGGCACACGTGGGCACGAGGGTGTGTGGGAGCGAGGCACACGTGGGCACGAGGGTGTGTGGGAGCGAGGCACACGTGGGCACGAGGGTGTGTGGGAGCGAGGCACACGTGGGCATCAGGGGTGCGTGGGGGAGAGGCACACGTGGGCACCAGGGGTGCGTGGGAGCAAGACACACGTGGACACGAGGGGTGCGTGGGAGCGAGGCACACGTGGGCACGAGGGGTGCGTGGGTCCTGCTCGTGCGGCCACATCCCCAGCGCGGTCTCCGTGTGACTCGACAGGGAGCTGCGGGAGCGCTACGGCGTCACGTCGCTGCCGCGTCTCGTCATCGTGCGGGAGAACGGGGCCGTGATCACGGCCAGGGGCCGGACGCAAGTGCGCGACTGGGGCTCCAGGGCCTTCCAAGGCTGGCTGAACGCTTCCGAGGTCTTCCACAACTTCCCCGAGTCCTGAGCCCGAGGCAAACTCCTGCTCATCGCTCGCCACGACCCAAGCCAGCCACGCCACGTTGTCCTCACTCAGCCTCCCGGCTCATCCGCGACTGGGTCAACTCCACCGTGCATCCTCGTACGTTTAAACCACGACTACATGTCACGGGCCACCGGCTGATTCTCTTGTGGCGACACTCTCGTCGATTACTGGAGCGAATCACGCGGCTTACCACCGCGCCACCGCTCCCCACTCACTCACACGGTGCGCTAACCACTGCGCCACCGCTCCCCACTCACTCACACAGTGCGCTAACCACCGCACCACCGCTACCCATTCACACAGTGCGCTAACAACTCCACCACCACTCCCCACTCGCTCACACAGTGCGCTAACCACTGCGCCACCGGTTTGCCGTAATGGACGAGTCACACTGCCCAATTTACAGATGAACTCATAACCGTGAGCAGACATCCAGTAGCCCAATCCGGGCGTGACTTGGAGGGGGATGGGGACGTTTTTGTTTGGAAATTATTGGGCATGTTCCACTTTCCCTTCACGTCCACCATCAGGAACGCCGGTGGAGTGGTAATCGCCGGCTCGTGGGATCGCCTGTGGCGTGGGGAGGCGTCAGTGTCCCGTCCCTTTACTGGCGAGATGTTAACTACCTCGCCTGGTGTGCAGGAGGTCGTGGGTTCGATCCCTACCCCTGACGCCTGCTGCTGCTATATATTTGGAGTTTGCGATCCCTACCCCTGATGCCTGCTGCTGCTATATAATTGGAGTTTGCGTCTCTCTCTCTCTTTCTCCGTGGTCGCATGGATTTTTTTCCCCCTCCACATTTAGAATCACGCGTTCAGATTATTTAGCCGCTATACATTTCCACATAAGCCACCTCGTTGAGATATCATTCATGGCCAGGTCGCTTCTGAAAAATAAACTAATAGCTCAATGGGCTTTACCTGGTAAAATAAAAAAATAGCTCAGTTTTATTTGTGTGTAAATATATTACTGATTTGCTTAACTTTCCTATAATTTGCACTCCCATCACGTTTCTGTACTGTTTGTTGTTGTAATGCTCTAACCCCGCCTCCGCCGGAGACATCTGTGGCAAAAAGAGCTTCATCGCTCATCGGATTCCTCCTCGGGTGTAAATAAACATTCTGAATCACATTCTGCTCACGTGATTATGTCGGACGAAGCTCAGCTTGACGTCTCAACCCCTGGGACTTGCCGCTGCAGCAAAGTGGTCGCTGTGGTGAGAACGGTCACATTCATTGTGTTACCAATTTAGATTTATACAGATAGTCCCCGAGTTACGATGGTCCAACTTACGATATTTCGATCTTACGATCGCGATACGATACGTTCAATGCATGTTAAAAGTTTTTTTTTATAGCAGATAGGATTGTTTCCTGAAAAAAACTTTCTATTAAATTGCAGTTCATATAGGTCGGCTAAGAATTTACTTGTTTTTTTTTCTTTACATTTTACTGTGCAATACAGTATTGTAATTAATGAATAGATACAATATATAGTTTATACCGTACGGTACTGTAAATTGCTCTGTTTTGCTAAATTATCACCATTCTTTAAGACTCCTGGGTAGGCTAGGCCATCTTCGACTTACGATATTTTTGACTTACGATGGGGTCGTCGTAACGCATCTCCGTCGTAAGTAGAGGACTACTTGTACATACTTTCCTCTTCATTGTTTACTTTTGTGCAGTCGGCATTACGTGCTCGTGTTCGCACAATACGGTGCGTGATGTTCTTGGCTTGAGGGTATTTTGCCTGTCCACACAGGGGCTTCATGCAGTGCCGGATAAAGCTAGTGCAGGGCCTGTAGTATATGTTATGTAATAAAACACAAATATTAAAACACACATTTTTTACTTGCATAGTAAAGTAATTGTATTTTTTCATCTGCTATACAGCCGGATAATACGACAAATCGCTAACATTAAACACCCCGTCGTTCATAAAAAGTTGAAGGCGGTATAGTACTGTAGTAATCCCAGTGCTCGCGTGGATTTTTCTCCGGGTCCTCCGGTTTTTCCCTCCACACTTAGAATCAACATCACCACGCGTTTAGAGTATTTGGCTGCTGTACATTTCCACGTGATGGTGATAAGCCACTTCGTTATCATTTGTGGCCAGGTCGCTTCTAAAATAAGAGATACGTAGCTTAGTGGGCCTTACCTCGTAAAACAAGAACATTGTTGAACTTCTTTCGCACCGTACGTAACCAACCGTGCTAATCGAAAGTGCGGGCGAAGGACAACAAACTAAACACAAAAAGCCGTTTGAAAGAAATTAGGTTTAAATCGAGAGGATTTGAAAGTGAACAGCACCAGTGCCTTCCTAATATCGGAATGAAGAGCGTTCCAGACGGCCGCAGAAGCGCATCTGAAAGAGTGATGAAAAAACACAAAGCCCCAACATCGCAAGTGAAAATGTAATGGGAGCGTGAGTAAACTCAAACGTGGCGTCTGCTCGCCAGGGGTCGGCGTGCGTCGGTGCGTGAGATGCGAAGGGGCACTGGGAGGTGGTGGGGGTGGTGATTGGTGTGGGTGGTGGTGGTGATTGGTGTGGGTGGGGGTGGTGGGGGTGGTGGTGGGGGTGGTGATTGGTGTGGGTGGTGGGAGTGGTGGTGGAGGTGGTGATTGGTGTCGGTGGTGGTGGGGGTGGTGGTGGTGGTGGTTCGTGGTGAGGGTGGTGGAGGTTGTGGTTAGAGGTGGTGGAGGTGGTGGTGGGGGTGGTGGGGGTGGTGGGGGTGGGGGTGGTGGGGGTGGTGGTGGGGGTGGTGGAGGTGGTGGAGGTGGTGGAAGTGGTGGTGGGGGTGGTGGTGGTGGTTCGTGGTGGGAGTGGTGGGGGTTGTGGTTAGAGGTGGTGGAGGTGGTGGTGGGGGTGGTGGTGGTGGTGGGGGTGGTGGGGGTTGTGGTTAGAGGTGGTGGGGGTGGAGATGGTGGGGGTGGTGGGGATAGTGGTGGGGGTGGTGGTTGGTGTGGGTGTGGGTGGTGGAGATGGTGGGGTTGGTGGTGGTTGGGGGTGGTGGGGGTTGCATGGGAGCCAGGAGGGGCGTCTTGTGACCGTCATGAGACTCGTGAGCGCGTGAAGGGCTCAGAACTTCTCCGCCTCCTCCTCCGCCGCCTCTCCCCGCACGCCGCCTCCACGCCGCGGCGTCTCCGCTGCGTCGCGCTGGCCCCGATCGCCCGCGGAGAGAGGTAAAGTCGACCAGCGACAATCCGCACACTCAGGGGCCCGACGTTTTGTAGATACCCAGACACCCCCCCCCCCTCTCGTCCACACCGCAGTCTGACGACTGGCTAACCGCTGGGCACCCGTCCGTTCGTATGCTGGGTGCGCCGTGGGCAATAAACTTGGCCAAAGCCAAACCAATGGGCTCTCAAGCGCCATTCCTCTAACCACCAAAACGAGCGCGTGTTAATTTCTCTCGGTGGCTTCCTAAAATCAGAAGGAAGAGCGTTCCAGACGGCCGCAGAAGCGCATCTGAAAGCGCCGCGTGATGCGGTGACCGCCGCCTTTGTTCGATGGCTAGAAGGCCTTCATCGAGCAGAGGGTTGTCAGGGCTGCGCGTGTTTCTGGTATCATTTGCAACAACAACCCCCATGGTGTAGAGTGATGTGTTCCCATGAACCATGGCTATTCAGATCTTGGCTCGAGGCAATCTCAATGGGCGGGCTCCCACCTCGTTAAAGGCCATCGATTAAGGGACATTGCTGTTGATTTCGCACGTGTGTGCATGTTTGAGAATCCATCTGGCGGCCCCTGATGACCTTTAGTGCGGCCCCCACACTGCCGCCGCTGCTGCGAGCATGAATCAGAAACGGTTTTAATCGCCATGAAAGTTTACACATACACGGAATTTACTATGGCCGGAAGGTGCATACATTCAACATTGAGCAATTCTAAAAACTCGAATAGGTGATATACAGTCTAACTATACTAACGTTACAAAGTATAACTAATACTAACGGGCTAAAGTATTTAAAATTATGAATAAGTAGACCAAATAAAATGTGAAATGTAAAATGTGAATTAACCATAATATACAATCTTAGAATACAAAAATACAAATAAGATAACACGTTGTACGTATGACTAGGTGTAATTATGTAGATAAAATGTTATAGTCAGTGTAAAAGTCATTATAAGTATAAAAGTCATTTTAAGCCCTTGGCCTTGTTGAAGAGGCCAATAGTCAATGGGAAGAAACAGTTTTTATGACGTGAGGTTTTGGTCCTGATGGACCGCAGCCTTCTGCCGGCGGGGAGTATCTGGAACAGAGAGTATCCAGGGTGAGAGGAATCGTCCACAATCTTCCTCGCTGACCCGGGACGATGCTGCTTGGACGAGATCAGCAAGGCCCCTGGATTGCGTGGTTCACTTGTGGCGAGCGCTTTGTGTTTGTTCTTGAGTGCGACTCCCACACCTGAGGTGTCCCAAGTTGACGTCAGGCGGCGGACGCGGTCGTTTCCCACCGGCCCTCGGCCGTGGCCTCTCCCGGCGCGGCCGCGCTGCCACCAGATGTCGGGGGCCTCTCCGGGCACGGCGACGTGAGTGAGTGCGGACACCCCGCGACGATTCTCGTCGTTCCTCGTGGGACGCTGCCGCGCAGCGGGTGGGCTCGCAGGGAAACTGTGTGTGGGGGCCGCTTTGTGATCGTGACATTTACATATCGCGTCTTAGCCGAAGCGCTGTGCAGTGAACTGCGGTACAAGGATGGTTGACGAGATGGAACGAGACGAGTGGAAGGGATTTAAGTAAAATGAGGCGGTGGCGGTGGTGGTGGTGCGTGGAATAACCGAAGATGGAAGTGAGATGCGTGGAGTGATGATGGGTGACCATGGGGAGTTGGGGGGACAGGGAAGGCGACGTTAGTACGAGGTGGTGAGGACATCAAGGGGTGAAGGGTGGGGCAAGAGAGAACGAGTTGGTTTTTAGAGAAGAGCTGAAGTTCGTGAGAGGGGGGGGGGGGGGGTGATTGATGTGTGATGGAAGTTTATTCCGGTGAAGGGGGCTAGGAGAGAGGATGAGGAAATCCGATATCAAATTCGCACGCGTCGACAATTGCAGGAGAGCGAGCAGCAGTGATGGGCACTTGACCAAATGAGATGGAGCGCATCCTGGCCCCATCAGGTCTTGGAAGATGTTATTTACGTTATCATCATTAATATTATTATTTCGGGAGGGTCTTGCCAAGTTTTCGCTGTCGTTTTTCAAACGTGGAAAAAAATGTTGCCCATTACGCCAGCACACAAATGACGCCGCAGGTTCTTTAACGTCCACCGCGAAGCAGATTGCGCGTATTTGTAAAGTAACTCCACACCCGCGACAATAACCAGGGCTGCCGGATTCGAACCGCTTTTCGCGTTTAGTTTATTGTCCTTCCCCCACAACGCACCTCTGATTAGCGCGGTTGGCTACGTACGGTGCGAAACAAGTTGGACACTAACACACACAACGCGCAGAACGTACGTACCGCGGACCTTTCCGTTGTAATCACACCTCTTCGCTCGCTTCACATCGTCGCCAACTTTGTCGGGCAACATTCCCACAGCGCAACAACAACCGCCATTCGCCACTAAACAGCGGTGAGGTCACCACAGTGCTTGTGCCAGGCTAGGTGCACGTCAAGGCCACAACCCTACCCACCACCCACCCTACCCCAGAGGTCAAAACCGGGTACCCGATACCCGTACCCTACCCGATACCCGGCTACCCGTACCCGGCCGGGTACGGGTACCCGTTTGCGACCCTGGTGCGGCCGGGTACGGGTACGGGTAGACCGTGAGTCACTGGTGAGTAACTGTTTGTCACTCATTTCCCAACGTCTTGTCCCTTCTCACAATTCAAGTTCCTAGAATCAACCCACCCGCGCCTGCAACATGGCTTCATCCCAGAGGTCGCAATCAGGTACCCGATACCCGTACCCTACCCGTACCCGGGCGGGTACGGGTAGGGTACGGCCGGGTACGGGGGTACGGCCGGGTACGGGTACCCGTTTGCGACCCTGGTGCGGCCGGGTACGGGTAAGGAATCAAAACCCGTTTGCGACCTCTGCCCTACCCGCACTTTTGTAACCCCACGCGGCTGCCGTGAGCTCTCTTGCCAATCGCGGCGCGCACCGCGTCTCTTGCCGCCCCCAGCGCCGGGGTGGTGGTGCTGCTGCTGCTCCTGCTGCTGGTGCTACTCGTGCTGCTGTGCTGGCTCTGTCGACAGCGCCTCGGATACGCCACGCTGCCGGTAAGACCAGCGGGGCTCTTCTCGTCGTGGCTAGATGTTGACTACATCGCCTGGTGTGCAGGAGGTCGTGGGTTAGATCCCGACCCTGACGCCTGCTGCTGTATATTTGGAGTTTGCGTGTCTCTCTCTTTCATCATCATCACGGTGGCAAGATGTTAACTACCTCGCCTGGTGTGCAGGAGGGTCGTGGATTTGATCCCGACCCTGACGCCTGCTGCTATTTGGAGTTTGTGTGTCTCTCTCTCCCATCGTGGTCGCGTGGATTGTTGCTCCAGGTCCTCTCAGTTTTCCCTTCACATTGAGAATCAACGTTACGCGTTTAGCTTATTTGGGTGCTGTAAATGTCCACATGAAGATGATCATCCACGAAGTGGGCTCGTCATGATCAGCCCACTTCGTTGAGTTATCATTGTGATAGCCGGGTCGCTTATGAAAAAGGGCTACAGAGCTCAATGGGCCCTTACCTCGTAAATTATAAAATAGTTTAAAGGTTACTTTAGTGTGAAACATGTTAGACGTCCAATTTGTCAAATTGTATTTTGATTTTAAAAAATGTTTCTTCTGTTGTCTGGAAAATCGCAACATTTACGATAGACGGGAGAACGCGATATCCAGTAGGGCGCTCTATCGGGTGCGGAATTAACTTATTTTGTCAACAGGGGGGTGGTGGGAACCGCGTAACACTGATGTTGTTTTAATTGCTGTCGAGGACCAAAGTAAATGTGCAAACTTTCTGAATCGGCTGCGCTACGGGGCGGCGAGGCTGAGGACCTCGATTGCTCCCGATCGATGAACGAGACAAAGATTGCTACCACCAATCTCATTGTCGAAGCGTCTTGATGACCACCCTCTTGACACTCGAGAGAGAGGCTCACCTCGATACGCCCATTCATTATTATCATTGCCATTCATTTATTGTGCGCGGCAATGAATCTCAGCCACGCGGGGCTATGTGTGCAGCAGAGGGCAGTGCAGCGAAAAAAAATGTTTTGTTGCAAACGACGCTCCAACATCGATGCCCCCTCCGCACCAGCCCACGCAGGCCAGTGTGGTGTGAAGTGTAGGAAAGTTGATTGCCAACGATCCACACGCGCCGCGGGGACGGTCCGATTCAGCGACGGATTGACAAGCAGGGCCGAGCACGTCCGACAGTGAGAGAGAGGGGCACGGGTGGACCCTACTGCTGCAGCTGCTGCAGCTGCTGCTGCGTTGCCTGCCTGTGTTACGGTGCGCAGAGCAGCCTGACGGCGCAGCAGATGCTCAGGGAATGGGTGCAGCTGCACCACGTGCTGCGCAACAGTCCCGAGCACGCAGAATCGGAGGCCCAGGGCCACGCAGAACCCGTGAGTTCCCTCTGCGTCCACGTAATGCTGCTGCTGCTGCCACCACGAGGACGACAGTTCAGTGCACGCGGCATTAGCACCGATTTTAAAGCGCGCGAGGCAAACCATCCCGCACCTCCGATTGGCTACGTACGGTGCGAAAGAAGTTCAACTTAATGCTATACGAACAAGGCGCCGCTGTTTCACAGACACGGTCTGCAGTAGCTTCGTAGTGAGGGGGGCGACGATGCTGCTGCTGCTGCGTGCGATCCCAATCGAGTCGTCTGCAGAGAAGCATCGCGTTGGGAGCGTGACGCCGGTCCACAGTGGGCCGCTCTCTTCAAGTGGCATCGGAATTGATAGCTTTTAAGCTGGGATCCATCACTGCCACCTTCCCAACTCAAATCCAGCAGCCTCTGCAACGATGAGAACACCGATCACGTGGTCGCGGCATTCCGCAGGGCAGTCACAAGGCCCGGCCGCGGGCGAGTTCGCTGGTCGTTGCACAGCTTTCATGGTTCGAACCCAGCAGGCGGCCCTGGTCATGACCCCCGGTGTTGTCAACGCTTACGCACCGCCTGCTTCACGGTGGATGCTTATATTACGTGACGTTATTCGGTGTCGGGGTTCACATCTAATTTAAAACCTGCAAATTACTCAATTGGGGGTCGCACACGTGTGTACGCACGTATGTTTAACTTCTTTTGCAACGTACGTAGCCAACCATGCCCATCGGAGGTGCGGGGGAAGAACAAACTAAACACAAAAAGCAGTTCGAAAGAAGTTTTAAATCTAAATTATTTAAAAGTGCATAGCTCTAGTGGCTTTATAATATCGGAAGAGCGTTCCAGACGGCCGCTGCTGCGAGGATGACCGGAGTTCGCGTGATGCTTTATGCTCCTGATCGAGATCAGAAAGGTGTTGTGGTTAATTTGTGGCAAGCACTTTGTGTGTAACGAGTGCTGGTTGTTGTTGACAAGGCGGAAAGCACTGCCCATGTGATGCGGTAATCACGTGGGAGTGCGCACGAGGCGTGCAGAGGACAGCGGCGTCCTCCTGCCGTGTGCTAGCAGAAGCACCCCCTTTGCGTGTTGCTATTCTGTCGAGCCCCGAGTAACCCCCCCCCCCCTCCCCGGCGTGCTCGTGTGGCGTCGTGCAGGCGGCATCGGCTGCTGGCGGGGACCGAGACACGGACCCATCCCCTACGTACACCATCTCGTTCCAGCCGGCCCCGCCGCCGCCGCCGCCACCGCCACCAGCAAACTTCCCTTGGAGACGCGGGGAGCGGGCAAGCGTCGGCATCGGCCCCCGACTGTGCCCCGATGTGAATCAATGCGCCGTTGTTGCAAATGTTGACACGAGTTGAGCGTGATGAGTGATTTGCTCTGTAATTCTGCATTGTCACTGGTATAACCACGGACCACATGGTAAACCGCTGCAAGTCTGCGCTCCTTCAAGGCAGCAGGAATGGCACAATGACACCAACTTTCTCTCCTGAAGCCCTCTTGTCGTGGCGAGCAGACCTCGACATTGGCATTTGACTCCTGAACGTGTTGCTACAATCATGCGCAAGAGTAGACATAACTGGTACAAGAGTATACATAACTGGTACAGGAAGGACCGCCCAAGACGGAGGACGACGGGGAATTGGCGAAGGGATAATTTTCCCCAGGTCTCACACAAACGAGGGCCCACACAACGCGGCCCTGTAAATGGAGGAGTGGGGGGCCCATTTATCTTTCTGCCCCAGGCTTCCGGGGACCTCTGGGCAGCTTAACCCTGCTTAGTTTCGAGATCCGACGAGACTGGGCACAATCACAATAACACTTATAAACCACGAGACGTTTCGAATGGCGGTGGTTTGAAAAGTAAAGATTCGTTCGTCGGTTGGGAGGGATGCTGTGGGGCGGAGAGGGAAACGGGCGGCAGGATGGTAAACCCGCCGCGGTCGAGAGACGTCCCCAAAAGACCGTGGCTTCCCCGTTGGTTACGTTTACCGCATCGCAGCACCTTCCGTCGAGCAAATGTATCCACCGCGGTCAAATGCCGCATTCAGCACCATAACGGTTGGATGCTGGCTATTCTTGGTTTGAAAACATTAGAATTTGCAGTATTGGCTTGTTATTTTTTCAACAACTTCACACTGAAAATAAACTATCACTGCTCTGTGTTTCTCCAGTGCATCGACCAGGATTTGTGGTTTGGGTTTTTATTCCTCATGCAGGGAGGATACTTGTATAATTTGTCGTCGAACTTATATTACACATACAGATATATATAACCCTAAATCTCTTATCTGCTTCTTGTACACATTATCTAGCGCGTTGTTTCTCAAACTTTTTTGCATTTCCGCAGGCCACCTAGCGTCCCACCCCTGGTGACAAAACACATTCAACTTCTCTCTTTAAATACCAGCCATACAAAACAAATCATATTACCGAAACATTATTATTATTACACAGCTATAATTTTTTTAGTGGTGGGCATTTAGATCTTAGGGTTATGGTAGTTTAATCAAAGTAGCTTACCTAACGTCATCTTTAAATTAAATATCATGAGTAACATGAATTCATGTCCGAAACAAAAAGGTATCAACGTTGTCACTATATCCGGATCAAGCTGCGTTTGCACCACAGCCCTGCGGACCACTGGGAGAGCCGTCACGAACCACTCACCGGTGGTGCGGAGACCACACTTTGAGAACAACTGCCCTAGAGGTACTAAGCTTATCACAAACAAGTTGCAAAAATAAAAATCTCTAGCAAAGGCAATTTTTAAATTCTCATTTTACGCTCTCGCAAAGAAGATGAGAATCTGCTTGTCACATCACGCCAGCGCACAGCCTTTGCGTCAACCACGTGGATACAAACTCACCAAGATCAATGCCACTAATAACCGTTGGAAGAAAATGAAAAATACTTTGACCGCCAGTGTACATACGAAGTGCAGGTTGCTCAGATTCAAATCTGTAATTGATGAGAAACCCCATCAGAACAATTTCGTCAGACCATCACGTGGCCTACCCCCAAAAATAATCAATCGTAATTTCGGCTGCAAAAACCGACGTGCTGTGATCCAAATCTCACTTGCCAAGTACACAGTGCCCCGTCCTGCCGTCTCACGCCACGTTTCCCATGGCTTCGACTTAGACGACGCCAACAGGATTTCGCGAACGGCAAACAAAGCCCGGGCACTTGGTCAGCCCCAAAGAAACAGACAAAATCCACACCCGAGTTGGGATTCCAACCCCGGGCCTTCTTGCTGCCGAGGCACAAACATTGCCACTCTAGAGGCCTCGGGGGCATGAGCTCCTTAGAATTTGAAAACGACTCCAGCAGCTGACGCCACCGCCCCCCCCCCCACCCTTTTCACGATCCTTGCGCCCGCACTCCCGGCGTGTCGGCGCTGTCCTCGCTCGTGCCCGCGTGGCCCTGGGAGCCTCCGACGGAGAAGTTGGGATCCACGATCGTCCCCTCGTACAGCGCTCGGTTCCTAAGTCGCTCCTGCAGGGACCGCTGCTGAATCCTCATCTTGGCGTTTTGGTATCGGCAATAGAACCTAAGAGAGGGCGTGGGGGGGGAGAGAGTGGTGTGAGCGTGTCCGCAGTCGGAAGCAAGGCTACAACACGCCCAAGCGGTTTCCTGCTCACCGCTGCAGCGCTGCTCTTGTTTCATCTACAGCCCTGAGCCAGTGGTAGAAATTCCTCATTCCAAATATGTGCGTACGCATGTACGTTGGAACTTCTTTCCGCACCGTACGTAGCCAACCGTGCTAAACGGCGGTGGATAAGTGCTGCTGCTCGTCGGAGGTGGATAAGTGCCGTCCATAGTACAACCGCCGTTGACTTCCCTAAAAGGCCGTACTCATTTTATACACCATGCAGGGATGATGGGTTAAGGCAAATTCCAATCAGGATTTAAATTCGCAACCTTCCGATTGCAAGCCACTCACTCTACCGCTGAGCCACCAAGGCAGGCGAGTTAATAAACACGTTCCCATTTGCTTTCTATTGCATCGTTATCTGAATAGCGAATGCCATGAGATTGCATTTTTTTGTTTAACCAGCTATGGCCGCACGGAGCTTTATGAAACTCACTAAATATGACAAAAGTAATGTTAAGGGTGTTAGGACAATGCTTAGTACCCCGGCCTATAGGACATATTAACCGTGACACTCGCAGTTGCTTGACTTAAGATCTTTGATAACCACTTTAAGTGCTGATCTGATTATCATATATCATTAAATATAAATGCTTAGCCTTTGTAAACTATGATGACGCATTTTGCTCGGTGGAAATGACTCCGTCATCGCAACTCATGCACGCCAAGGCCAAAATAAAAATAAAATTTGAAATAAGGAAAACCACAGACATGGAACAGCTACACTGAGATTGCGTGACTAACCATAATAGATGTTAAGGCGAGTCAGAAAACGAGACACGTTTTCGCCAAAGTTATCCAAAGCAAGACATGGATTTGGAGAAAGAAAGGCATACCCATCAATAGAGATAAATTTAACATTTTAGATTTCTTCACAATTCATGATAACCAATGTAAATGCGTTAATAAACCATAAGAGGCCTTAATGAAGAAGGCTACGACAAAGCAGGGCTCAATATAAACTGGGGCCAGACAAAATGCGTGTACAAGTCCATCATCCAAAACAACAATCCACGACGCTCCTGCACATGAACCAATCTCAACGCTCTGTCTCTGAAGTGGCCATCCGCTCGGACGAGTTCCACCCTTTGGCTGCCATTCCACAATCAGTCTCGGCCATCTGCCACTTATTCCGTCGAGCGACTGTGCTCTGCCCAAACCCCCTTAGCTCTTCTGAGCGGGTCGACAAGCGGTCTCCATTTTTGCATTTGTTGTGATCCGCGTATCCCTTCTCCGTATCTCAGCGTCAATTCCAAGCGAGCATCTCTCCGTGCACCTTTGTCTATAAGACGTCATCAGTTACTGGAGCTGGACTGGTCCATGCGCCAAGGGATAGGGATTTCCCACCCCTCTATCACGGCAATCAACTCAGCACTGTGCCATCACTCTCTGAGCATGGAGACATTATCATCGGACTCTCGCTTGCTGTCCACTTATCGCTGAGACAACGCATCAGCCGGATGTGCCGGAACTCCCGAGTGCACGTCACAAGGTAATAATGTTGCATGCAGCACACACGTGTGCCAATGTTGATGACATATATCCTCGTTTGTTAACATACGAGTACAAAGTCACAATGTGTGTATTTAACGTTTCTGTAACTTGATTGTAATTGCACTAGGTTCAGTCTAAAAATAATCTTCTGGAGGCAACTTTACACGACAGGGAATTTATTATCCAACAGTGATTCGCGGTTGTGAAATATTTTCAATTTCTGACGTGACGCAGTTTCTGTTTTACTTTTGACGTATATTTGCTTTTCACTGCTGTTACTCTATTTTTGTTCTGTTCTTGTCATTTGGGTGACTCAGGCAACTAGCAAATGAGACTCATGCTGGTCTCTTGGTTAGTTCTCAGCTGGATTAACAAAATCAACTTGAAACTCGATGCTGCGTGCAGTGCACACGCGAGCGAGCACGCACTCACTCACCAGGAGCTCAGGGTGGTGAAGATGAATCCTCCCATCGCGACGTCGCAGGAGCGCCGTACTCGGCCTTCGGGACACGCAGACACACGCACGCGGGCACGGCCGCAGAGTCACCGATCCGTCAGTAGTCGGGTGATTCAGTGACTAAAACTAAACGAAATTATTTTATTATTTTAGCGGATGAGGCCCACGGAGCTGTGTAGCTCTTTTTCAGAAGCGTTCAGGCCACAAATGATCGCTCAACAAAGTGGCTTATCACGTGGACATTTATAGCAGGCTTGGGAGAGGGAGATGGACTGGTGTGGTGCGGTGTGGGAGGTGTCAGGGTCGGCCTCTATGGAGGAGGCTCGTGAAGGACACTGCTGGTCAGTTGGGGGCAGTCGCCCTCCAACAACGGAGGGCAGAGGAGTGACGCTCACAACAACGAGCGGAGCACCGGGCGGCTAAAATACAGCAAGTTGGCACAGTGGGAGGCACAGCTGGTGCATCTGCCAATCATCTCAGTCAACCCATGGCACCGGAGTCTGTCCCGTGACCTATCAGCGAGCCTTCGACACTTCACGTGGCCACAAAGTGCACCTGGCCTGGCACAGGCGCGGTGGTGACGTCATCACCACTTAGTGGCAAGATGGTGACTGTTGTTGTTGAGGGAATGAGCCGTACTCGTGAAGAGGAAGTAACTGAGGCCAAAGACGGTGGCTCCCGCAGAGCCGTGCAGCACGCACTCCCTCGCACACGGCGTGTTCTGCACGTCCAGGATGCCCAGCAGCTTGAAGCTCTGCACATTCACACGCAGCACACACGTAGGGGCACGATCAACAACAACAGCCGCCATTCTCCACTAAGCGGCGGTGATGTCACCAATGCCGCGCTTGTGCCAGGCTAGGTGGTGCGCTTCGAGGCTTATTGCGTGAAGTGTGGAAGGCTCGCCGACAGGTCACGGGACAGACCCAGGTGTTATGGGTTGACTGCCTGAGATGATTGACACTGACACTGTGACAAATAAGACAATGATACCCCATATAGAGCTTTTACAGAATGTTGAGGCCAGTGCTGTTAAGCGAGCACCTATGAAGGCCGGCATGGCACACGAGGGGGTGCGTGGCTAGCACCATGCCCAGCTGCCTTTGTCTCCCCAGTGGCGATGTTCACACACTGCACCAAGTACTCATTTAAGGCTGAGTCTACCTATGGGAGCCCCACAACCGGTCCAGATAATCGTCACTGGTGTTGGCCGTGAGCGGGAATCGAACTCGGGTCGCCGGGTGCGTAGCGCAGCGTGCTAACTGCTACACTACCGCTCCCCACACTATATGACCACAAACACACCTTCACAACACGTAAAAAAAAGGCAAAGATCTCCAGCGTAGCCTATACACAGACTGTTGGGGAAAGTGCTGTGAGTGAGCAGCACCTATGAAGGCCGGCGGAGCACATGAGGGGGTGAGTGGCCAGCACCACGCTGGGCCAGCTTTGTCACCAGTGCTGGTGTTTTGTGCATTGGGATCCTAAAATGGAATCAGCATTACAAATTTGAATTATTATTATACACTGCCCTAGTTATTGCTGAGCTGACCTACAGGTGGCCCAGGATCAGTTCGGATATAACTTGCCGTCGATGGCGAGGAATTGAACTTAGGTCAACGCAGTGCATGGAACATTGTACCAAATCTCTCTATTCGTATACGTAACAACAAACGGTGATTAGATTTACATTCATTGACTGGCGAGTTACGCGACCCGCAAAGCCATTTGTGGCAAGGTAACATGGCACTCTGGATTGTGTGCAAATTTAGTATTTCTCCTGACTGGTTCCTACTGCCCCTGCACCGACCACTGGATCCCAAATGTGCGCCTTCGAGGTCTGTGGGCGTTCGTGAAACGTGGGAATTTCCAAAGCAGGTGTGGGCAGGCTGGCAGGCTCGGTGTAAAACCGTGGTGGCGTGTGGCGGCTGAGGTCAGCAGCAGGGCCGCTGAGAGCGTCACAGGCGGTGGTGAAAATGGGACGGAACGCTCCGGAACACGCCGTGGTGGGAGTGAAAATTTGAACCTTGCGACTACGTTCCGGAAGGAAGCAAAGGGTTATTTTTGTATTCAGTTGACTCACAGATTGACCCCGAGACTAATCAGATTGACCCCTAGACTAACAGAGAGACCCACAGACACGCATAGAAACGCACAAGCTCAGATACCAACAGACACGCTCAGAGACCTACAGACACGCTAAAAAATCATCAGACATGCACCGAGACCCAGATACACGCCCAGAGACCCATGGCCAGGCTCAGAGACCCACAGAGATGCAAAGAGACCCAGATACACGCTCAAAGACCCATGGCCAGGCTCAGAGACTCGCAGACCCACGACGCTCAGACACCAACAGACACTCACAGACACCCACGGACACTCACAGACACCCACGGACACCCACAGAGAGCCAAAGACACGCACAGAGACCCACAGACATGCTCAGGGACCAACATGTGGAGCAAGGCTCCTCCCTCCTCCATCTCTTCCTCCTCCTCCCATCTAGTTGTGGTGGGGGAATCATGTGTGTCCCCAATATTGCCTTGACATTTCCAGCCCTGGTAATAGTTGTTACACAAGCACAGTCAGCCTGTTGCGGGATGACAAGATGGGTTGGATGTTGAACTTCTTTCGCACCGCACGTAGCCAACCGTGCTAATCGGAGGTGCGGAGCTGGCCTGGACTAGCACATGAAGCCTCACAAGATGCCCACAACAGACCAAGGCCAACACGAACATGGGCGTCTCTGTCCAATACAAACTCCATGGATATTTATCCCAGGGTGCCTAAATACCGGTTTGTAATCAGCGCCTTGAGATGTACTCCCAGTTACAGTAGTCGCTTCAATTCCCCACGCACATTAATTACACGCATTGTATAATTCTGCGTTGAACTAGAACCAGTATCGAGTCGAGCTAGTCCAGTCGACTGCTGCTGACGAGACGAAGCTTCACGTGGACACGGGGCGCAGTTTGCGTGCTCCGAGTCGATGCCGCTGCAACGCTTCACTCGCGCAAGGCCGCGGGGCCGACGGGCTGCGTGAGGAACGCAGAGGCAGGTGCCGTGAGGGGATGGAGTTGCCTGTTCAGCCTGAACCCGTCTCTCCTCCTCCATAGGACTACGTGACCCCCACGCGTGACCCCCACACGGTGTGACCTCCCTGACGTGACCCCCCACGTGACCCCCTCACGGCGTGACCCCCACCCCCCTCACGGCGTGACCCCCCCCTGGCGTGATCCCCCAGCGTGACCCCCTCACGGCGTGACCTCCCTGACGTGACCCCCCGGCGTGACCTCCCTGACGTGACCCCCCGGCGTGACCTCCCCACGAGGTGACCCCCCGGTGTGACCTCCCCGGCGTGACCCTTCACGGCGCGACCCCCACCCCCGGGCGTGACCTTGCGCGGAGCCGCTGCCGTCTCCTCGGTGCTCATGGCGGCGCGGGAAGACGACGACGGCGGCGGTGATGGCGGTGGTGGTGGTGATGATGGCTGTGATGGCGGTGGTGGTGGTGATGATGGCTGTGATGGCGGTGGTGGTGGTGATGATGGCTGTGATGGCGGTGGTGGTGGTGATGATGGCTGTGATGGCGGTGGTGGTGGTGATGATGGCTGTGATGGCGGTGGTGGTGGTGATGATGGCTGTGATGGCGGTGGTGGTGGTGATGATGGCTGTGATGGCGGTGGTGGTGGTGTGATGGCTGTGATGGCGGTGGTGGTGATGATGGCTGTGATGGCGGTGGTGGTGTAAGACGACGAAGACGGCGACCTCGTCACCACGTGACTAACGCCGCGTGGGCCGCGCGAGACTCGGTGGGGGGAGGCGCGCGCGCGGCGATGACGTCACGCGCGTGACGTCAGGGGAGGAGGGGCCCAGCGCGAGCGGGGAGGGGGGATGGGTGTGGGGGGGGGCGCGAGGGGGGAAGGGGAGGAAGGCGGGGTGGGTGGGGGGGTGGGGGGGCACCATGGGGGGGGGGGGCTGGGTGGAGGGGGGGGGGCGCGTGGGGGAGGGGGGCTGGGTGGGGGAGGGGGCTGGGTGGGGGCGCGAGGAGGGATGGGTGAGGGGGGGCGAGGGGGGCTGGGTGGAGGGGGGGCGCGTGGGGGAGGGGGCTGGGTGGGGGGCGTGAGAGGGGAGGGGGTGTGACGGGGGAGGGGAGCTGGGTGGGGGGACGAGGACGGATGGGTGAGGGGGGCGAGGGGGGCTGTGTGGGGAGGGGGGCTGGGTGGGGGAGGGGGCTGGGTGGGAGGTTGTCAGAATCAGAATCTTTGTTTTTGACTGCAACAATCCGATGGCTGTAAAGCTCTTTCACAGACGTCCAGTAGGTGCGGATCAGAAAGACACAAACACCGATAGGAGTGCAAAGTAGAGGAAAGTTAAGCCAGCCACTGAATATAAATACGTACATTAGTACACATTGCATCACTACATTCGTTTTCACACAAAGTGCTTACCACAAATGAACCACAAAACCTTTGCTGGTCTCGTCAAGGAGTATAAACCATCACCCAGCGAACTCCGGTCATCCTCGCAGTAGCAGTGGCTATTGGCCAACCATCGCTTCCGCGGCCGTCTGGAACGCTCTCCCTTCCGATATTCGGAAGCCACTGAAGCTATTAACTTTTAAATAGGGATAAAAAAATGCTTTTCTTTAGAACTGCTTTTTGTATTTCATTTATTGTCCTTCCCCCACACCTCCGATTATAATTATCACGGTTGGCTACGTACGGCGCGAAAGAAGTTCAACATACATACGCACATACATGTGTACGCTCCAGAGCCTGCTTGCTTCATTAGATGCTGGAAAGCCGAGAGGCTGATGGACTAACATACACTCCATGCAATGTTACAACTTGGTTTTAATCCCAATGCAGATATTATACTTCTCAAGCAGCTGCTCTTTAGATAAAGCCAGTTGCTGACAGTCCCAGTAGAAACCTGCTTCTCTTCCAAAGGAGACTGTCCTTGTCTCTTGCTCAAAACCCTGAAGAGGTTGGTTCTGATGCTTCACATTTAACGTGAAGCCACGGTGGTGAGATGTTAACTACCTCGCCTGGTATACAGGAGGTCGTGGGTGTCTCATTCTCCCCGCGGTCGCTGGATTTTTCTCCGGGTCCTCCAGTTTTCCCCTCCACAATTAGAATCAGCGTGCTGCTAAAAATGTCCACGTGATAAGCCACTTTGTTGAGTTTTTTAATTTGTGACCAGGTCGCTTCTGAAAACGAGCTACAGAGCACAATAGGCCCTTACCTAGTAAATTATTTTTAAAAAGTTTAAAGTTTACTTGAGTGTGAAGCATGTTAGACGTCCAATTTGCCAAATTGTACTTGATAAAACATGTTTCCACTGTCATCTGGGCCTAACCATGTCCAAAGTTGTGCAATTGCCGTTTGCTCTTGTAGAGCCCTCTAACGTGAAAACGAGATGTATAGAGGCCGTCCATAAATGACGTCACACACCTGGGGGGGGGGGGGGGGGTCAGACATTTGTGACGATGTGTGACGAGGGGGGGGGGTTTGAGAAATGTGACGTCGCATCAAAATGCGCAACTTTTAATAAATATAGACAACACGTTCTACTTAATTAAATAGACTTTTTAATACAAGTTTTCTCTTACAACATATGTGCAGCGCCACATTAAATACGCACTACAATGACAATAGTTTGAAGCGATTTTAAGCACGGTGCCTAAATCTCAACGGCCTCTCGTCTGGCTGATATAAAGGTTACTGAATTAATAAATGAACGTCCCCACTCTGAACAGCAATCACAACAATCACAAGAGAGAGAGAGGGTCACAGATCACAAGCGTTTATTGAGTTTTTTATTATTATACAGTATATAGACTTAAATTTAAAGCTTTCGTGACTGCAGGGATTCATCTTCTTGGTTCTTTCGGTAAAGTCATGTAGGATGGAAATAATAAAATAATTCTCACGACGTTTCGGCCACTGAATGACTGTCTTCTCGACAGACCTGGTCTTCACCTGAGGACGGCTGCTTGCGTTGTGGCCGAAACGTCGTGAGAATTATTTTATTATGTTTTATTATTTTATTATTTCCATTCTACGTGACTTTACCGAAAGAACCAAGAAGATCACCTGGAGTTTGCTGTTCCTCCTCCGTTAAAGGAATACGGACGATGGCACTTTATCGTATGGGCCATGGTTTGGGTTGCATAGCCATAGCGGCACTGTGGCGTTGTCTTCAACGAATCGCTACGTGTCTATATGCATCTCTATGAGTCGATGCGTGTCTAAATGCATCTCTAGAGGTCTCTAAGTGGTCACTGTGGGTCTCTGTGGGTTTACTACGTGGGCTGCATGTCCACAATCGGACAACGGTGACTTGTGTACACGAAGCTGAAGCATACATGAAGTGGCGTGGATTAAATGTCGTTGGATTTCCCTTCACCCCGAGGAAGGATTGTCGACACTAGACAGTAAAATGGAAGCTTGCCGGTGACTCGAGCTCCGGGAGAGTGAGATTTTGTTTTTCGACAACGTTTCCCGAAATGTCTTCGCCGTGAAGTAATACATCACGGGGTCAAAGCAGCAATTGGTGCTCACGAGGCAATGCGAGACGATGTCCGCCACTCGGATCGCGCACTCGGCGGCGCAGCTGGGCACGTGACCCAGACGCATGGCCCTGTATAGGGGCAGCACCGCGTGGAACGGCACAAAGCAAAACACGAACAGAGAGACGTTCACGACGATCATCGCCATGATCCTGTGCTTGTCGGACGCGTCGTTGCGCATCGTCCGCGGCCTGTGCAGCTCGGCGAGGACGGCGCACGAGCAGCACAGGATGACGGCGAGGCACGTGAAGCAGATTGTCCCTGCGGCCACGATCACCCACAGCAGGAAGGAATCCCACGAACGCTTGGAGAAGCTTTCGAAGCATTTCGGCTCCTCCGAATCGGTGAGAGGTCTGACGAGCAGGCTCGAACTCGCCCCGACGGTGAAGACCCACACAGCGAAGGAGGCAAACTTCGCGTGCCGGGGCCGGCGCGCTGAGCGCGAAGAGATCGGGTGAACAATGGCGAGGAAGCGATCGATGCTGATGAACGCCATGAAGAAAGCTCCACCGTACAGGTTGACATAGAACGCGGCGGTACAAATTCGGCAGAAGACCTCGGTGAATGGCCATGCCCCCCTGTGGTAGTAATAAATCTTGAACGGGAGCGTGAACACCAGGAACATGTCGGTGAAAGCCAGGTTGATCATGAAGATGACCGTCCCCAAATTGCGACTCTGCAGGTGGAAGAATCCCCAGAGGGCGACTCCGTTGAGGGCCAGGCCCACGATGAACACCACGCTGTACGTGGACACGAAGAGCGTCCGCTTGAGTCCCCGGAAGTCGCACGCGCAGCCCTCCGTGACGTTCCCGGGGACGCCGCTCGCGTTCGCCTGCATCGCGGGCTCGCCTCGGGCTTCCTCGCGCTCCACTCCGCTTCGGCACACGAATCCTGAAGTTTGGGAATATTCGGCAGGGAAAAGAAACAGATTGGCGGTATTACCGGTGGTGTGTGGTAACAATAAATCAACAACTATTTTTTGACAATTATTATACTGGTAGGAACCACCTGGTTCCACCAGCCCACAGGGGATTATTGTGTCCGTCTGTCCATCGTCACAAATATCTGACCCCCCCCCCCCAGGTGCGTGACGTCATTTATGGACGGCCCCTAAGTTCGAGCGACACGTAGTCATACTTCAGTGTTAATTGTTCAGGTCATGGATTTATTCATGAGAGTGGAGGTTCAGGATATTGGCACGCTTGATTTATCCCAGATATTTACGTATGCCTGCAACCAAGTAAGCACAATTGTACCCGATCTCATTGCCTCTCAGAAGCTAAGCAGGTCTTTCAGCCTGGTTAGCACGTGAATGGGTGGCGACCAGGGCTTGCCGGGTGCTTTAGACGTGGGGTTGCGAGGTGCGGCCAGGAGATGGCGATGCTGAGTGGCAGCTCCTTGTGTGTGTGCTGGGTTCTCTCTGGGTTCTCCAATTTCTCTTTGGTTCTTTCGGTAAAGTCACGTATAAAGATAAAATAATAAATGAAATACTAGCATACGACGTTTCGATTGCAACACAAGCAATCATCATCAGGTATAAATTCATTTATACCTGATGATGATTGCCAAAGAGTAATTCCTGCAGTCACGAAAGCTCCAAATTAAGATTTCTCCAGTTTCCTTCCCACTCGTTCATGGAATCGACCAAACGTCATCCCGATGCAGGACCGTCCTGACAAACGAGTCCTGAAAAGTCAGATATTCCTACTGGACATCTGTCAAAAAGAGCTTAATAGCTCATCGGATCCCTCCAGTATAAATACACATTCTGATAATGGAAATATCAAATCAGTTTTACGTAACGCAGTCAAACAAAGATACCTCACTTGAAGGCGAAGATGCTGCTGTGATGTTACGATTAGGACACTGGGTCTCCTCGCTAAGCATTTTAAACTATGGTGCAAGTAGAGCTCTTAAAGCTTCCCTCCTGCCCCACCTCTGTCCACCCAAAATTCTATTGAACCACGACACCTCGCTGATCTCATTCTCGATTTGAAGTCTTCGTGACTTCACGTAGGTGAAAAAAAAGAATTTAAAAAATAGTGATTTAATTTTATTATTTCTATTTTTATTTTTATTCTTTTTTCACCTCGCTGATCTCGTTAAGGAGAATGAACCATCACTGCCAACTCCGCTCGTCCTCGCAGCAGCAGCGGCGGCCTTTGGCTGGCCATGCAACAAAGGCGGTCACCACGCCGCGTGCTTTCAGATGCGCTTCCACGGCCACCTGGAACACTCTTCTGTCCGATATTCGGAAGCCACTGGAGCCGTGCACTTTTAAATCATCTAAGATTAAAAACTAAAATCTTTATAACTGCCTTTTGGGTTTAGTTTGTTGTCCTTCCCCCGCACTTCCGACTAGCACGGCTGTCTATGTACGGTGCGAAAGAAGTTCAACATACATTGTAAATTAATACACCGCAGCTGATCGCCAGATCGCGTGTGGTGGGGTAATATGGTGGTACTCGCACTTTCCCCAAGATATCTGACCATCCTGGAAGAGTAGGCCTAAAGTCTGGCAGCAGTGGCGCGAGCGAGCAATTGCAAGGCTGCACCGCCGCCTGTGATACTGTAAAGCAGCCACATTGCAGCATCTGTAGCGGTGTCCATGGCCTGCGGGGCCACTTGCGGCCCCTGGTGGCCTTTGGTGCGGCCCCTGACGTGCGGCCACGCCGACAAACACACAAATTGTGAAAACACCCCCCATCATCATCATCGTGCTGCTGTCAACCCATCAATGGATTCAAATGTGTGGCGGCCCTCAAGCTGATGATGTCTTATAGGCTAAAGTGCAGATGTAGATGCCACTGGTTCTTCACGTTCTGCAGATGTAGATGCCACTGGTTCTTCATGTTCTGCAGATGTAGATGCCACTGGTTCTTCATGTTCTGCAGATGTGATGTAGATGTCACTGGTTCTTCGTGTTCTGCAGATGTAGATGCCACTGGTTCTTTACGCTCTGTAGATGTAGATGCCACTGGTTCTTCACGTTCTGCAGATGTAGATGCCACTGGTTCTTCACGTTCTGCAAATGTTGATGCCACTGGTTCTTCACGTTCTGCAGATGTAGATGCCACTGGTTCTTCACGTTCTGCAGATGTAGATGCCACTGGTTCTTCACGTTCTGCAGATGTAGATGCCACTGGTTCTTCACGTTCTGCAGATGTAGATGCCACTGGTTCTTTACGTTTTACAGATGTAGATGCCACTGGTTCTTCATATTGTGTAGATGTAGATGCCACCACCGCCATCTATTGCGCGACGGTTGAACTTACGACTCTCGGTCCGAACAGGCAACTGGACATACGGACCATCTTTGTTCGTATCTCTTAAAGTTCGTGAGTCGAATGATGTTCGTAAGTAGAGGAGTCTCTGTATTCTGACTTGCACACGGCCCGTGTGATTCCTTCAGCAGTGAGAAGCCGCGCCCACGTTCCCCGCGGCCACAGCGCGGCTCTGCGGTCAGCGCGTCTGAGCTGGCACCGACAAATTTAACTTTTTGGGAACCGGGGATTCATTCGCCCGCGATTAAACTCCGCGAAGCGTAGCTGAGCCCAGCCACCCATGACTATGCAGACGACAACAACGACAACACCACCGACACGTAAACATCGTTTTAGGTTCAAGTTGCACTGATTCTGGTCAACATGTCAGCTCTGGTGATTATAACTATTGGTCTGGCTGTCACGTGACGGAGATGACTTTCTAGCAGAGCAGGCGCTAGGGAGGGTTGCTGGGTTTGAGCCTTTCACCACCAAACGCGCCGTGGAGTAACCACCAGGCTTACTCTGCTCTAGCGGTCTTCTTATTATTATTATTCGTATGGCTGGCGAAGCAGTTGTAGTTTTATCTTCTTGGTTCTTTCGGTAAAGTCACGTAGAATGGAAATAATAAAATAATAAAAATAAAACATAATCAAATAATTCTCACGACGTTTCGGCCACAACGTCGTGAGAATTATTTTATTATGTTTTATTATTTTATTATTTCCATTCTACGTGACTTTACCGAAAGAACCAAGAAGATGAATCCCTGCAGTCACGAAAGCTTTAAATCGAAATTCAGTTGTAGTTTGATGTCGAGGTTCGCGATCCATTCAGCGGATTCAGGCTTCCTGGACAGAAGCTCCTTCCTTCACTCAGCTGCCCTCATATGGAACTGCCTCCCCGATGAACGCATTGTCAGCGAGATCACCGATTCTGGTCTCCAGGTCTTCACCGCACGCCTCGCGGGGACCGAGTCTTTGAGCTGCAGCGAACCCAACGATTACGCCGATTAGATGTGCTCATGTCTGATACTGCTGCTGTTCACAATTGCATCCAATAATAAGAGGTTGCTTCGCAGTGAGTCACTGTCACGGTGCCCCCCCTCCTCCTCCCCACACGGCTCGACTGCCCCCCCCCCCCATCCGTGATGATCTGAGACCAGCCCTCACTGCATCTGACAATCATTTCTGTCATCCAAATCGCCTGTGATTATTCGGGGAAGCTGTTGGAAAGACACAGATTGCAGCTGTCCTAGTTCCGTATGACTGGATGTATGGTTGAGTTAACAAATAAGTGTCGAAATAGAAATATACTGTAGTGGTCTGCGTCGGGAACGTTACCAGAACGAGATTGCATTGAGCTGATTAAAGGAATAAAAACGGTGGCATTTATTTCCGAACGGTTATGTAGCGTTACAGAATGGCATGCATTTTAATAGCAAAACTTCCATCTAAATGTATAACCCAAGAAGGAATATTCCTAAGGTGAAACTGTAGAAATGGCATATGAACTGAACCGTGTACTTTTATTCAGCCTGCAGAGAAGACACGATGAATTGAATGAATATTCAACTCTTATTTCCTACTTCTCTGGAAGGAACCTTGACATTTTTTTATTTGTTATACCATCAGTATTCAACGATGCGAGTTGAACCGCATCAACTCCACAAAGCATGGCAGTAGATGCCTGATGCACAAATTGAAAAAAAAACCTCTCAGGCAGTGTGCGACTGTTGTCATCCAGAACAGACCGTGCAACGTAAAATGAATGGCCCGATGCCCGATCCACAAATAAGAAGGAGACATCACAGCGATGATTCAATCCGCTGCTCCAGACGCGGTTGTCTGGCTGGACCAGCTGAATGTCAAATTGAAGTCGTGTTGCTCTGCATCTACATCAGCAACAGCCATGAGAAAGAAGAGAGCACCCCTATCACTACCACTATCACTGCCCCAACCCCTATCACTACCCCAACCCCTATCACTGCCCCTGCCCCTATCACTACCCCAACCCCTATCACGACCCCAACCCCTATCACTGCCCCTGCCCCTATCACTACCCCAACCCCTATCACTACCCCAACCCCTATCACTGCCCCTGCCCCTATCACTACCCCAACCCCTATCACTACCCCAACCCCTATCACTGCCCCTGCCCCTATCACTACCCCAACCCCTATCACTACCCCAACCCCTATCACTACCCCAACCCCTATCACTGCCCCTGCCCCTATCACTACCCCAACCCCTATCACTACCCCTACCCATACCCCTATCACTACCCCAGCCCCTATCACTACCCCAACCCCTATCACTACCCCAACCCCTATCACTACCCCAACACCTATCACGAACCATATCACTACCCCAACCCCTATCACTACCCAAACCCCTATCACCACCCCAACCCCTATCACTACCTCAACCCCTATCACTACCCCAACCCCTATCACCACCCCAACCCCTATCACTACCCCAACCCCTATCACTACCCCAACCCTTATCACTACCCCAACCCCTATCACTACCCCAACCCCTATCACTACCCCAACCACTATCACTGCCCCAGCCACTATCACTACCTATGTCACTACCCCAGAACAGGCTGTACAATAGATAACGACGCAATGCCCCGATCCACAAATACGGAGACATCGCAGCGATACACTAATCCGCTACGACTCCTGCTAACGCGCTTGTCTGCTGGCTTGACCACCTGAAGGTGACATTGTAGTCGTGTTGCTCAGCATCTACAGCAGCAGCAGTAGCAGCAGCCACACGACAGGCTGAAGTATTCAGTGATCCACGATTGCGTGGGTTGCAAAGCTTGCGTTGCGATGTGAAATCACTCCTCAGTCACACCGAGATCTCCCTTTATTTACAATACGTGTCCACTTTCCAGGATCCATGAAGCTTGGAAAAATAACTCGGAACAATGAGCAGGGGTAGTGGGAATAAAACGATCACACGCGATCCATGACCTAGCAGCACTATAACTTGAAGCGCAGAGTAACCCACCCAGCAGTAACACTAACAAGTCGTACTAACACGATCCATGGTGTAGCAGCACTAATACTTAGAGAGCAGAGTAACCTTCCCGGTAGTAACTTGTGACAACACGAGGATGCGACTCTACTTGGAAGATGGCATTGGCTATACATCTGTGAACCGACACACGTACGATTTAAATGTAATCGTGCAATCCAATTCGGCCAGGCGGCTCAGCGGTAGAGCAGACGCAGCAAGTTAACGGTTGCGAGATCAAATGCTGGTCGTGGGTTGGCTCAGCCAAGCATCCCTCCGCGGTCGATAAAATAGTGTACCACTTCGTGGGGAAGTCACAAGAGTGGTTTGCCCGAGATGGCGAACTCGCCCGATGGGAATAATTTCGCTCACTGGCTCAGGGCTGTAGACAGATGAGCACTGCTTCAAGGCTCATTTGAGCCAGAACCCACCTTGTTTAACATGAACTGTATACCGTTGGTACCTCATTTGCCAGTAAAAAATATGATAATTGGTTTTTTACCCTTTTATCTGGCAACAAAACTGCCACCTTTTTTTTGCATTATGACTGCAGGTATTGTGGTCTATGCAAACATGACTCCTCGTAAAAAAGGTGTCAGTTTTGTTGCCAGATAAAATGGTAAAAAAACAATTATCATGAACTGTATAGATTGAAGCACTATTAACATATATTTGTAAGTTTGTTCAGTCAAATCGCGGTGCGGTTTAGGCGCGACTTTTTATATATAAAAAAGCAAGCTGTTAGTAAACTGCAGCTTTTGAAACCATTTCACGTATTTTTGAACGCAGTAATTTTTCGCGGCCGTAGACGAATTATAATGTTGGCAAGTAGCAGCAACTCACCCTGCCCGTTGGCCGCTCACGATGGATCTCTCGCTGGGGCCCTTCCCGAGTCGGTGAAGTCTTGTTGGGTGTGGTCACCTGCCCCGGTGTGCAGTCGTGTGTGGTGAGTGTGTGTGGTGAGTGTGCGTGGTGAGTGTGTGTGAGTGTGTGGTGAGTATGTGTGGGGGCCGTGTGGGGAGCGGCAGTGTTGCGGTTAGCGCTGCGCTGCGAACCCGGCGACCCGAGTTCGATTCCCGCTCACGGGCCAAACACCAGTGACAATTATCTGAACCGTTCCTGGGTCTCCCCTAGGTCCACTTAGCCTCAAATGAGTACCTGGTGGAGTGTGTAAAAAAATGTATCGCCACTGCCGTGCCGGGTTTCGTGGGTTCTTGCTAAGAGCACCTGCCCCGACAGTCTGTTACGGGAGATCTTCGTCTGTTTTTGTGGAGTAGTAACAAGTCAGCAAACCACGGAAGTGCGCTCAAACCACACCGCTCCACCCTCCCACAAATCGGGAAATAATCAAATTGTGAATTATTCGAAATCTACTTACAAGAATGCTGCTTCGCTACTCTGCAGTGAGCGTCAAATGTCAAAAACGTGGCCATTGGGGCTGTCAGTGGTGAGCTAAACTACAACTCATCCTTCATACCATACTCATTTTGATTAATCAATATCGCTAACAGCAACACTAAACGCAATCAGTATTACTCATACAAATATCAAGTGTGGAAAAACCACGCTTACGCATGGGATTGCGTAACGCTTTCCCACTTGCTGGGATCCACGGCAATAGGCGCGCTGATTCTATAAACGCTGCGTTACAAGAGACGCTGATAAGAAAACTAAGTTGAGTGTCAAGCCTCCAGATGAAGTCAACAGGCGATGATGTCGATCCGCACCCAAGAGGCCGGCGAACCGAATTGTTTAGTTTTGTCTGTGGGTGGAGATATCGTGGCCAGGATCCGATGCAGAAGTCGCTGGAAGGTTCATGCACCTACAATTAGCACTGTTGGCTAGGGGCCGTCCATAAATGACGTCACGCACCTAGGGGAGGGTCAGACATTTGTGACGATGTGTGACGAGGGGGGGGGGGGGTGAGAAATGTGACGTTACCTCAAAATGCGCAACTTTAAACACATTCCTGCGGAGGGAGCTGGTAGGAACGTTGGGTTGCTCGGTCAATGGCCAGGGTCAACGGCGGCGTGGTATATTCCGCAAATATGGCCGACTGTGAGGGCGGGCACAAGCCGGCGTGAGTAGGTTAAACGTTGAGTTTTATAAGGGCACCACGGGGTGACCAACCCCTCCCCACCCAGCCCCACCCCTCCCACCCCCCACCCAGCCCCACCCTCCCCACCCAGCCCCTCCCCACCCTCCCCACCCAGCCCTTCCCCACCCTCCCCACCCAGCCCCTCCCCACCCTCCCCTCCCCACCCAGCCCCACCCCTCCCACCCCCCACCCAGCCCCACCCTCCCCACCCAGCCCCACCCTCCCCACCCAGCTCCTCCCCACCCTCCCCACCTAGCCCCTCCCCACCCTCCCCACCCAGCCCCTCCCCACCCAGCCCTTCCCTGCACACAATAATCCCCTGTGGGCTGGTGTAACCAGGAGGTTCCTACCAGTGATAAATATAGACAACACGTTCTACTTAATGAAATAGACTTTTTAATAAATGTTTTCTCCTACAACATCAGAGTGCAGCGCCACATTAAATACGCACTACAATGACAATAGTTTAAAGCGATTGAAAGCATGTTTTTTTGGGGGGGGGGAGGGGGCAGAGCTTTGTGACGTCATATTTTAGGGGGGGATCTGACTTTCTATGACGCCGTGTGACAAAGGGGGGGGGGTCAAAATCGTCCAAAATCGCGTGACGCCATTTATGAACGGCCCCATACGTACGGTGCGAACGAAGTTCAACGCACACACGGAGTCAGTGGCTGTGTGAGCAGCAGCCGTGGCCACGGACACCACGGGGAGCGGGTGGCCAGCTCCGAGGGGACAATAGCGAGTGGTGCTACAGGGCGTTGTTGAAGTTGGGGGGCTGCCGGAGGATAGCCGTGCCTGTGTATATCAGTTTCAATACTTGAAAGTCAATGAATCCACAAGGTGGCCCAGATGTCTCGTGACCCCCCAATTAATTGACCCCTAACAAATGCTGACTAATTTCTGCTTTCACACGAAAAATATTGCGTTTGCGAGAAATTCAATGGGGGTCACTAGACATCTGGACCACTTTTTTTTACAATATCCTATCTTCATTTCTAACAGTCACAAATCTCGCCCACACCCAATCCGCCGCAACGCTGCAACCCTCTGGGAAGGCAAAACAGTCGCCCCCTTCCCACTCACCAGGAGCCTCGAATGAACGTCCCTCGACGTCGTTCGAAGTCGCACTCTCGCGTTTTTGGACCACGTGCGCTCAACTTTCAACGATGCGAAAGCATCAGCCCGCTTGGGAGAGCTAAAAAACCCAAGAAGGAAACTCGCTGTGAGTGAAACTGCCTGTAGGCATGGACATGTGACCTCAAACCACATACTTGTGTTCGGCATGCAGAGAATAAATGAGGAATTGTACGTGAATGAATATTTCCTCTTTCTCTGAAAGGAACAATGAAACGTGTGTGTTCTTTTTTGCGTTACACCATCAGCATTGAACGATGCGAGTTCAATCTACGATGAAACTTGGGAGAGCTGAAAGGAGTTCAAAAGAACTCGCACGCACACACACAACAACAACCGCCATTCGCCACTAAGTGGCGGTGACGTCACCACGACGCTTGTGCCAGGCCATGTGCACCTTGAGGCCACGTGAAGTGTCGAACGCCCGCTCGCAGGAGGTCACGGGGCAGACCCAGGTGCCACGGGTCGACTGACTGAAACGAATTGCTGATGCACCACCTGTGCCCCCTACTGTGCCAACTTGCTGTGCCCTCCAACAACAACAGAGGGCGGAGGAGCGACGCTCACAACAACGAGCGGAGCGCCGGGTGACTAAAGCACAGCAAGTTGGCACAGTAGGGGACACAGGTGGTGCATCAGCCACTCGTCTCAGTCAGTCGACCTGTGGCACCTGGGTCTGCCCTGTGACCTCCTGCCAGCGGGCGTTCGACACTTCACGTGGCCTCAAGGTGCACGTAGCCTGGCACAAGCGTCGTGGTGACGTCACCGCCACTTAGTGGCGAATGGCGGTTGTTGTTGTACACACTGCACAAACCACGGCAGCAGTAAGATGCCGATACCCTGATGATGACGATGCACAACACTCCCGAGTAGTAGTGTGGCGACTGCGGCCATCGAGAACAGAGACCGGAGTACAACGTGGAGCGACGACCCACACATACGAAGAAGGAGACATGACAGCCATGACGAGGATGATGATGATACACGACTCTGCTAGCTCCTGAAGAGGTTGTCTGCTGGCTTCGCCATCTGAACGTGGCATTGAAGTCGTGTTGCTCTGCATCTACAGCAGTAGCAGCAGCAGCCATACGAAAGCTTTTAAGGGGCCGTCCATAAATGACGTCACTCACCTAGGGGGGGGGGTTGAGAAATGTGACGTCACATCAAAATGCGCAACTTTAAATAAATATAGAATTATTATAACAACACTAATTGTTATAACAACACTCCTCCAACATCAGAGTGCAGCGCCACATTAAATACGCACTACAATGACAATAGTTTAAAGCGATTTGAAGCACGTTTTATTTTCAAAATGGAAATATGGTTTTGGGGGGGGGGCAGAGCTTTGTGACGTCATATTTGAGGGGGGGGGTCTGACTTTTTGTGACGCCGTGTGACGAGGGGGGGGGGGGTCAAAAATCCTCCAAAATCGCGTGACGTCATTTATGGACGGCCCCTAAGTCAAGATTTAATCAGATTTAGTTTAAACTCAACCGGGGTGGAGAGTGGGTGGGGGGAAGTGACGTCATCACGCACCAGGCCGGGGTACGGGTGACGTCTCCACGCAGATTATCGCGGTGACGTCATCACGCACGAGCGTCCGGATTAATGGTGACGTCATCACGCATATTGTGGTGACGTCACCGCGCGCGCACGCCTGCTTGGCCGCGCGCCAGGAAGGAAGTCAACCAGGAATACAGCGTGATTTATTATTTTATTTCTATTACTATCTCTATTATTTTTATTTATTTTTAACCTACGTGACTTTACCGAAAAAACCTAAGAGTATGAATACAGCGCCAGTATATGTTTTAATGATATAAAACAAACGATGTAGTTATACTGCGCTGGCAATGGTGTACACGCGCACGTAGCAAAACAACTCGACGCGTTATTGACGGATGTGTCGCGTTGTTTAAATGTTGCGCCTTAAAGTGACATTAAGGGACTGCGGTAATGTAATCGCTGCTTCGGGTTGGCCGTGGGGCTGTGAATCGCCGTGGCCCCTTGAGCACGCGGAGCCGCCCTGCCGATTGGTTGCACGGCACGCGGCAAGGAGCCAATCAGAGCGCGTAACCGGGACGCTGCTGGTGGTTGTTTAGCAACGAGGGAGAGCGACAGGGAGAGAGTAACAGGGAGAGAGAGTAACAGGGAGAGAGTAACAGGGAGAGAGAGTAACAAGGAGAGAGCGACAGGGAGAGAGCGACAGGGAGAGAGCGACAGGAGAGCGACAGAGGAGAGTAACAGGGAGAGAGCGACAGAGGGGAGAGTAACGGGAGAGCGACAGGGAGAGTGCAACGAGGGAGAGAGCGACAGAGGGGAGAGCGACAGAGGGGACAAGTTTGGAGGAGGAGGAGAAAGAGGAGCAGAGAATGTGACAGCAGACGGAGTGGGAATCGATGAGAAGGAGGCGAGAGACGGGACGACATCGTCAGTGTGGGGGCTGAGGGCTGGGGGAGAGGAGGGAGAGGAGGGACAGAAGAATCCGAAGCAGCAACAGACGACGACGACGAGGAGATAGAGGAGTGGAGGATAAACGCGGCAGATCATCGTCGTCATCTTCATCATCATCTTCATCATCGTCAGCGTCACCGAGATGTCTGAACAGAAGGAGAACGCAGGTGAACGACGGCCGCTTGTCGTCGATGCGGGAATCAAACCTCGGGGCTGTGTCGATTAATCGATAACGATCGAATAGTGGCGTGGAAACAAGTGATGATTACGCGCAAAGATCGATAACCGTTGAGTGGGAGACCTGATGGTTAGAGATGTAAAACCTGGGGCCCTTCTCCACAGCGATACATCGCAACGACTCCGAGTCAATTATAGATTTGAAGTTTTCGTGACTGCAAGGAATCGCACGTTTTGGGTTTTTTCGGTAAAGTCACGTAGGTGAAAGATTAAAATAAATTAAATCACGACGTTGCGCCCGAAATGTCGTGATTTAATTTATTTTAATTGTTTACCTACGTGACTTTACCGAAAAAACCGAAGAGTACGATGACGAAAATGTTGTTTTTATTTGTCAACTCGAGCCCTCCCTGTCTGTCTGTCTCTTATAGAAGCGACCTGCCCACAACTGATAGCTCACACGACCACGTGGAGAACAAACTAACTATAAATCTACTTCATAATCAACGTTTTTGGGTTAGATCGCGTTATTTATAATTGTGTCGTAACCCTCCACCACCCGACACGGCCAATCAGCAAAAAAGCGTCACGTTGAAAAAAGATAAAATAAAAATTGATTAAAAGTTTTCGTGACTGCAGGGATTTATGGTTCTTTCGGTAAAGTCACGTAGAAGTAAATAATAAAATAATATAAATATAAAACAAAAAAATTCTCACGACGTTTCGACTGCAACACAAGCAATCATCATCAGGTGGAATTAGACGGTGCAAAGTATGTATTTGTGTGTGGTTAATACACGCGCAGTATCAATCAAGGAAGCCACTGCGATTCGAACCACGGCAAGCAGTTAACGCGCTACCGCTGGGCCACGTGGCCACCCAATGCCACCACAATCAGAGACCATGGGCTTTTAGGGCTTCTATGAGTGTGTTGACGACATGTAATTCCATTCTTGCGAGGTTGATTTCCATTCCCCGTGTTTGCTGTTGTAGAGACCATGGTGGCGGACATCCACAAGAGAGTTACTGAAGCTTTTGACGTGTTTGACCACGAGGGTAACAAGACGGTCGATGTGAGGTCAGCTCTTCTCGGTTTATTTAAATACCATATCCACACTGTTCTCTCGCGGCCTTGCGTACACGACTTTAAACTCGATACATTGAGCATCGCTGGAGAAATTGGGACTTGGTGACTTGATCCATCCATGATGATTTCATGTTTCTCTTTTCCACGATTTTCCCAACCCAATGAATGCATTTTGGCTGCTTTGATAATTATATTTTTTCAGAAGATAATTTTTCGCTACAATAATAGAGTTACATCTCAGCCAGTTTCTGCATTAACAATTGTTGAATTGTAATTGCAAAAGGCTGAATACAGGGTGAGTTACTGTTATGAATACTTTAACATATTTTTTATTTATTTTTTATTTAAAGCTTTCGTGACTGCAGGGATTCATATTCTTGGTTCTTTCGGTAAACTCACGTAGAAGGGAAATAATAAAATAATACAAATATAAAACAATAAAAATTCTCACGACGTTTTGACTGCAACACAAGCAATCATCATCAGGTGTAAAATCCACAGCAAGAAAAAGCAAGAAAACGTTTTCTTGCTGTGGACTACTGGCAGACTATACTCATCCACAGCAAGAAAAACATTTCTTGCAAGAAAAACATTTCTTGCTGTGGATTTCACACCTTGTTGATTTTTTGTGTTGCAGTCGAAACGTCGTGAGAATTTTTATTGTTTTATATTTGTATTATTTTATTATTTCCCTTCTACGTGACTTTACCGAAAGAACCAAGAATATATTTGGTATTCACGCCATGTGTATTGTATAAGGCTTTCCCTATGGTGGGATGATAGAATCAACATCACGCGTTTAGAGTATTTGGCTGCTATACGTTTCCACGTGATAATCCACTTCATTGTGGCCAGGTCACTTCTGAAAAAGAGCTACACGGCTCAGTGGGCCTTACCTGGTAAAATAAAAAAAATTGTAGTTTTCACAGACGAGTATAGTCTGCCAGTAGAGGCTGAGTTTCCTCACTTGTTTTACTCTGTTAATTAATTTACGGGTCATTTTTATAAATTGACCGTGCAGCTGACACCCACACGTGTCCAACACTTTTGTCAAATCACGTCGCGGAGTGCTTGTCAACCGACTGTGACTTGGACGGCAAATATTTTATGGTTAATCAGGGTAGCTGCTGGATTCAACTGCAACAAACCATGTCAACGCTACCACGAGGCCATGTTTGCACACTGCTCAGATATGTCACTCGCCAGGCAGTCTCGCACTCATTACACACAAAGTTCTTCCCACAAATGAACCACAATACCTTTCTGATCTCGTTAAGGAGCATAAACCATCAAGACAACTCTGGCTATCCTCGCAGCAGAGGCTTTTGGCTCACTGTCGAACAAAGATGGCCACCGCATCGCGCGCTTTCAGATGCGCTTCTACGGCCGTCTGGAACGCTCTTCTGATATTAGGAAGTGACTGGAGCCATGCACTTTTAAATCTAGATTAAAAAGTAATTTTTTTAAACTGCTTTTTGTGTTTAGTTTGTTGTCTTTCGCCCACAACTCTGATTCGCATGGTTGGCTACGTACGGTGCGAAAGAAATTCAACATACATACGTACAGTTCTGTACTGCGCTGTCCGGTACCTAATGTTCAAAGTAGTAATACTCCACCTGAAGAGCTGCATGCCACAGAGTCAGTGTGGAGACTAACACGTGGGTTTACCACAGGGAAATTGGCACCATCATCAGATCTTTGGGATGCTGTCCTACAGAAGGTGAAATCCATGATGTTCTGGCAGAGGTGAGTAATAGTTGTCCTGAATACTATTTATAAGACGTATACAGTATATATATATACACAGCTTAAAATGTATTGGTTTTAAACAGCAATTGATACACATTTTTAGTTGTATAGTAATATTCAGGTGGAGTAATAAGGTTTACGTCAGTATTACACAATAAATCTAATTTGCCCTGGAAAGGGCACTATGTAGATCCTAAATAGAATAGAATTTATGAAACCTGGCATTTGAGGGTAGGCTTCTGGTCATGCCAGAGAGCCATCCTCCTTGCCTTCTGGAAATCACAAATGGAATAAATAAAGTACTCGACTCGCCTCTCCGTGGAATATCTGCGTGAACGCGATTAAATTTGGGCTTTATGGAGAAGCAACATGCAACTTCTCTACAGGCGGTTGAAAACAGTGAATAAAAAAGTGGACGATGTCGCATCCCCATACCTGTCAACCCTTATCAGTGTCTACCTTATTACAGACCAATTCAGACCTTATTGGTCACCCCGTGCCCTTACAAATTTCAACGTTCATCCTACAAAGTCCCATCACAAGGGAGAAACACAAACAAACAGACAAACATGTTTTGCCCGTATTGAAACGGCTGTATGCCGTATGAACCTGAAAACTCAATTTCCCTGTGCAAGAATATGTGTAAACCTGTGTGGGTTGACAGGTATGCATCTCCCATTTCCTGCAAATTTGTCTCTCAGCTGCGAGGCCGACCGCTCTCGTCTCCAGCATGACTGGACTTCAATTGTTTGAACACAGTACATAGTTGACAAAGGCAATGATGCAAACAAATACTCATATGAATAAGTAGATTTATGCACAAGTACTTGTCAATACATTTTCGTCAATAACCTTGGTGTTCTTCACCAGTTCCTTCGCAGTGTTGATGACCGTTTCATCGCATGCGCTAAAGGCTCTTGTTTTTTTCAAATGTCACCACAGATCGAGGAGGAGGAACCTACAGGCTACATTAGGTTGGAGAAATTCCTTCCGATGATCACCAAGGTGTTGATGGAGAGAAGGTAGAGATGTTCCACTGTGTTTAAAGTTTAATATTTAAGTGGGGTACGTCTTCAAAAAACGTTAGTGAATTTCAACTCACGTGCTATATCATTACTGGCGAAACGTTGTACTCAGATTGTAAATGTTGTAGTTTGGCTCTCCAACACACCGGTGTGCTGTACTAGAAACGAATTGGCATGTTCTGTTTGCGTAACAAACCTTACTAATTGGCTGTGTCGGGTGGTGGCGGGTTTAATTACACATTTATATTTAGGCGATCTAACCCAAAATAATCTGTATTATGGATGATATTGGTCGCGAAATCTTATGTGTTAAACAAATACTGCATTTTCTCTTGTCTGTGTGCAGGTACCGATCAATACCGGAGGATGCTATTCTGCGTGCTTTCCAGGCAAGCGAATGTAATCGGTTATTTAGAAAATAATTTGGAAAAGCAAAACATAACCTAAAAAACTAAATGCGTTTGTACTGTAGATGCACACCGAGGCCGTGTCCCAGGTTGTTGCACATTTATACGGCTGTGAGTTGAACACTTCAATAAGATATAATAATATTACTAACTTATATACACAATAAGTACAAAATTTTACTTAAAACTTTCGTGACTAGAGGAATTCATATTATTTGGTTATTTCGGTAAAGTCACGTAGATAGAAAAAAAAAGTTAATAAAATAAAAACTACGACGTTTCGATCACAACACAAGCTATCGTCATCAGGAGGAAAAGGGGGAGGGCCCATGTATGTGCGTTTGAACTTCTTTCGCACAATGAAGCATCGGTACGGCACTTGCATGCTTAAGCCAAGGAGATCAGGGCACGTTCAGAATGAATTAATCGCAGGCAGTTTGTTTGCAGTGGCGGCAACTGTGAAGTTAATGCATAGGGTTATTTTTTTGTGTGGTTAATATCTTGTTGAAATCTGTTGGTCGTTTCTGTGAGGTCATGCCACCGATACTTCGCTTGATTTTTATTCTGAATTCCTGGATCTGATCCCGATGATGTTTAATGCAGTATAAATTTAAATGTGATTTAATTGCTCAATGTGGTTGTGAGAATTGTTCTACTTACCAGTGAGCTAAAACAATGTTGTGCCATAAACGCTGGTACATCATGCGACGGTTTAATGTGTTTGCCTGTCTGGTGGTGGAGAGTTTAATGTGGTCAGATCGATATGTGGCCGAACTCAAAAATCAATTGTGAATCACAGCAGCGGAAGGACGCGTTCCTTTGCACTCCACATAGGGGGCGAGGAGTGTGGATGAGTGTCAAGTTGCATTTCCTGCATGAAATATTTGCTGAACATTCGTGGCGAGACGACACAGACACCTTCCATACCTTCCTGATCTCTTCAAGGCGCATAGACCATCACACAAACTCCGGTCATCCTCACAGCGGCTTTTGGCTAGCTATCAACAAAGACAGTCACTGCATCGCGCGTGTTCAGATGCGCTTCGGTGGCCGTCTAGAACGCTCTTCCTTACGATATTAGGAAGCCACTGAAGCTATGCACTTTTCAATATAGATTGAAAACTCATTTCGTTAGCACTGTGTTTTGTGTTTCGTTTGTTATCCTTTCCCTGTACCTCCGATTAGCATGGTTGGCTACTTGAGTTGCGTTAGACGTCCAACATACATACACACAAAGGCTTCGCGTACACTTCGCACCGCACGTTTGAAAGTTGGCATGAACATTTTAAACTGATTTGGTCAAGTTGCTGGTGTAGTGGAGGTTGCAGGAGGTGGGACTCGGACCTGTACACGGATATAAGGCGAGACATCAGAGTGGTGCGATACTTGCACTGGTGTTCACCAAGGTTTTACAGAGACTCCGCTACTTATGAACAAGTTAGGTTCCAGAGGTCCGTTTGAAAGTCAATTTGTTCGTAAGTCCAACTTTACTCCTATCGATTCCAAACACGTTGTACGGCGTGTACACTAAACACGAGGAATGGCTTTAAAAGTTGTAAAACCTCATGTAGATGTAAATGCCACCACCGCCATCGATTGCGCAGCGGTTGAACTTACGATTCTCGGTCCGAACAGGCAACTGGACATACGGACCAGGTTTGTTCGTATTTCTCAAAGTTCGTAAGTCGAATGTTTGTAGGTAGAGGAGTCCCTGTACAGGACTTTGTCTCTCTCGTCTCCCTTGTCCTTTTAACATCGTGCTAAACGATACATTCGCTCATTCTGGGTGGCGTGTGTGCTAGGTGCTGGACAGTGAGGGCAAGGGGTACCTGGATCCTGAGGAGCTCACCCGCTACATGACGGAGGAAGGTGGGTTCACGCGATAGCGTTGCTTCACCCTGAGGTTTCTGGTCAGAAAGTCACATTTAAGTGTTGAGAGTCACGTGACATTTTTAGTTGGGCTCACTCGAAGACCTCATTTGATCAGTTTCTGGTCCTAAAAAGGGCCCTTTTTCGTATTTTGTTTAACAGGATAAGAACTCAAGAAATAACTGGGAGTTTTTTGTAAGAGTGACCTGGGGTATTGGTCTGCCACTAGGGGGGGGGGGGGGGGGGGCTATGGTTTCTATCTATAATTACAAACTAGTAATTTGCAGTGTAATTCTTAGCAAATTTGGCACACAATGGCCTACTCTAGCGAATACATGACGTCAGTGGTTCTTAAACTTCCATGGCGAAGTAGACAGCATCATCACGGTCATCACACTGGCAGCAGTCAACACAAAACCTGCTCTACTCACCATATCTGGATTTGAATTAACGATGTCCTATTTTGTCTAAATGTACACTCTGTGTGTTGCAGTCTGCACGTTGCCACATAATCTCTGCCCACTCGGGCATGTTGTGCCCGTGCAACTACAAGCTACCGGCACAAAATCATTTCATTTGTTTCGTTTTGAGGACAAACTCTGCATGCAGCTACACGTCCTGAAACACATCCCCAGAGCACAGAGTGTGCAGCACCCATTATTTTATCGGTTACATCCCTGATTGATTGAATTAGAGAGGCATATGCTTTTGCAAACGTTGCTCAAGTACGCCAGTCTCCCCTGAATCATGCATCGTTCACACCTCACCCCCACCCCCTGCTGCTGCCCAGCACAAAACATGAATTGTCTGCTGCCTTTTGTGCAGGAGAGCCGTTCACTCAGGAGGAGATGGAGGAGATGCTCTCTGCTGCAGTGGACCCAGACAAGAACCTTGTGTTTTACAAGGACCATGTCTCCATGATGGCAGTGGAAGAAAATTAAATGTCCGCATTTAGTGCTGCTCCTGATGAGATTTCACCTTTGCCGTTTTGTTCTTGTGTACGAATGTACGCTGACATTCTTTCGTGCCATATGTAACCAATTGTGCTAATCAGAGGTGCGGGAAAAAGACAACAAACTAAACACCAAAAGCAGTAATAAAGAAATAGTTGTCAATCTCGATTTTTTAAGTATGTATTAAACAAAGTGTGATGGATAATTTGATGCGTTTGACTGCTTTGCTATCTGAAAACTTAATTCTAAAACAACGATAAGGTACTGAAGCCCACAAGGGTTATTGTAGTTTATTCTTAGGCACGGCAATGAAAAGTTGAATAACAAATAAATAAAAAGTTATCTGTAATTAATTCAAACGTTCGTACAATGCTGTTTTCTGCAATGCTTATTATTAATCATCGGTGTGGAATTCGGGGAGCTCATTTGACAAGTGGAATTTTGCACGTCCAGATTTAATCGCTCAAGAACACAGAAGGAAGAAGTTGCTGCAGGTTCCTTCATTGATCGTGGGACACATTTCCTGCACCTCCAATGAGCACGGTTGGCTACGTGCGATGCGAAAAAAATTCAACATACGTACAGATATTTTACAGATCGGGCCACGTATGCAGGCTTTGTGTGACTGCCGCCGGTGTGATGACCGTGGTAATGCTGCCTACTTCGCATTGGAAGTTTAAGAACCACTGACGTCATTTATTCGCAAGAGTAGGCCATTGTGTGCCAAATTTGATAAGAATTACACTGCAAATCACTAGTTAGGAATTATAGATAGAAACCATAGATCCCCCTAGTGGCAGACCGATACCCCAGGTCACTTACAAATAACTCCCCGTGTTTCTTGAGTTCTTACCCTGTTAAACAAAATACATTTCAAACGTGAGCCTAATGTAACATGTAGCAATGCTTTCTCACTCTACATTTCAATATACAAACTATATAATTATTAAAAAGTATATGTTTTCCAATTTAACTGCGATTGACTTTTACATACACAAGTAAATATTTTTACCGTAAGTTACAAAATTAAACGCGGAGACAAAAGCAACGTTTGTGCCATCCCTTTACAGTATGTTTCCATATCTATCATTTAAGCATCTCGATTTGCAATTGTCTACTTTGTGTTTGCACGCCGTGTAGGAACGTTCTTGTGGGTCCCATGCAAGGCTCCGACACAAGGGGAGCGTTTAGCGCGTTCACTTTATTGCTCTCAGCGGATTTAAAAAAACTGCTGAGCGACGAAAGATAGGGGGTCAAAACCATGAGATTACAATGGGGCGCTTGTGCCACATGTCATCCACACACGAGCAGCGAGGGCAAGCAGAGGAATTCTTCTGCTAAGTCACGGCCTAAATTAATGGGACCTCGAACAATCATCAACTGTGTGCCGGTTTAAAAAAAAATGCTACTAAATATTTTGATAATGTAGCTTTACGTTAAAATAAGCTGAGCGGTAGATAAACCTTTGTGTGAGCGGCGAATGCGCTTGCTGTAATAATCAGATATCGATCAAAGCGACGAGTTAAAGCGATTGAAAAAATTCAAAATACCTATGTATCCATTACATGATTAGGGGTGGAACTAGAGTCACCTCCCTCGGCATCCAGGTGATTAATGTGAACTGTCGGGATTCAGCTCCACGATTAGTTTCAATTACCAATTGTTTCTCGTCTTGTTTTCCAAGCTACGTGTTGCAACCCTGAAACAGAACTCTTCACGAATCGACGCATGGACTTCACCACGAGCCATTTACCACTCGTCATTTCTACTCGTCAGCGTTTTTCGAGGCTTCTTAACATAAGTGTGTATGGGTTTTAAAAAATAACTTTTGTCGGTATTTTGATGTTCCAAAAGCTGGCATTTTCAGGCATAGCGTAGTCAACGTGCAGTGATTACTGGCGGTGGATGTCTGAAGCCCAGCGTATTGCAGGGGTTTGGGGGATCACAGTGTGATCTTGTACGCAGCTTTTCCCCCTAGAGAGTGGCTGTTTTTTGACCGTAGAGCAAAGATGCTGAGATACCTGAATGGATTATAAAGCGTTATCTCCCTTGTATTCATGGGTGGCTTTGGAAACTCCGGGTTTCACCCACGTGGAACAGTCAATAGGGAAAATCCCAATGCTGCACTCACACAAGTGCCGATACCCTGTAAGGTTGCCATTTGTACATAACTATAAATAACTATTACATGTAGCCGATGGTAGTGCTATCCTTCTCACCCTTAACATTAATGAAACATTGCTTCATGTTATAATTTCGCTCTCAATTTATAATATTTTCCATGTTGTAGATCACATTCAAATTAAACACAATCCTGGGTAATTACAGGTATCACCATACTCATATTGCGTGTAGGTTTTAAGAGGTCACCCTGTTATCCGTGGTAGGAGTGATGGAAAGTGGAATAAGTCATCCCAACACATGTTCATCATTTTTATCACTTTTATTCATAATGCATAACTGGTAAACTACAATAATAATAATGTGTTATTAATACTAGATTTGAAGCTTTCGTGACTGCAAGGATTCATATTCTTAGGTTTTTTCGGTAAAGTCACGTAGGTAAAACATTAAAATTAATAAAATAAAAATAAAATAAAAATCACGACGTTTGGAGGCAACACAAGCTTCCGTCTTCAGGTGGAACCGTCACAGCCACGACAGCTGTATCAAATGTGTTATTAATACTTTTTTGTCAAATCAAACATTGCATCCCAATTATTGCAATGACACCACCTACAACCCAACCGCTCACCCTCTGCAAACCTCTCGAGACGAAGACCCTCTCAGTGCGTACCAGTTTCAACTGACCCAAATCGACTCCGGCTACGATCCGTGGCTGCTGCTGCACCCGCCAGCGCCCAGCTTCGGGGTCTCCGGCCCAAAGACCTGGAAGGACGCTGCCGGCTCACGTTCGGAATCCATCCTTGAGTCTCAGCCAGTTTCGCGACGGACTCTAAACGTTGTTGTTGTTGCTTCAGAGAGTCCACTTCAACGTGTGCTCAATGCGCATTCGTGATGGACTGGACTCATAAGAGTGCACAATATGAAATGTTCTTCCATAATACGTTACTAGTTGGCTGTGTCGGGTGGTGGCGGATTTAACAGCACATTTAGATATTTACACGATCTAACCCAACAAAACTGTATTATGGATGATATTGGTCGCGAAAGCCTACGTGTTAAACTCAAATGTTCTTACTCCCAATACCAATCTTAATTTGGAGCTTTCGTGACTGCAGGAATTACTCTTTGGTTCTTTCGGTAAAGTCACGTATAAAAATAAAATAATAAATTAAATAATAGCATACGACGTTTCCATTGCAACACACGCAATATATACCTGATGATGATTGCTTGTGTTGTAATCGAAACGTCGTATGCTATTATTTAATGTATTATTTTATCTTTATACGTGACTTTACCGAAAGAACCAAAGAGTACTCCCAATACCGTTAACGACTCTGCGAATCTCTCTCCAGTAAGGAGACGTAATCAGAATCGTCACGTATACTGGAGGAATCCCATGAGCTCAAAAGCAAATTTTCACAGACGTCCAGAGAGAGCAAGACAGAAGATTATACGATCATTCGCATTGTTATACAGTTATACATTTATGTCGAACGCTTTATTAAAGGTGTCCAACTACGTTTGGAAGTTGTATGGTATTGGCTATGTCCGTATGTCCATACTGAAGGGTGGGGGTGCAGTCTGTTAGTTCCTCTCACTGACAGTATCTAACAAAACCACGTTATTTTCAACTCGCCCGTTACTCCACTAATAACTTCGCTTGAAGCAGCAGCAGCAGCTCGGTATATATATGTATGTTGGTGTTTATATTGAACATGAATGTTGAACGGTGCCAAAGATCCCCAGGGGTTTGATCTCCCACGAAGCTGGAAATCGATCCTCAATCACACCGAGATCTACCTGTATTTACAATACGCGTCCACTTTCCAGGATCCATTAAGCTTTAAAAAATAACTCGGAAAAATGAGCAGGGGTAGTGGGAATAAAACGATCACACGCGAACCATGATCCAGCAGCACTATAACTTGAAGCGCAGAGTAACCCACCCATCAGTAACACTAACAAGTCGTACTAACACGTTCCATGGTGTAGCAGCACTCCAACTTGAAGCACAGAGTAACCCACCCATCAGTAACACTAACAAGTCGTACTAACACGTTCCATGGTGTATCAGCACTATAACTTGAAGCACAGAGTAACCCACCCATCAGTAACACTAACACGCCGTACTAACACGTTCCATGGTGTAGCAGCACTTGAAGCGCAGAGCAACGTGCTAAAGAGGAACAAGAATCCGTGCCGGCTTCTTCGAGGTGACCAGCAGTTCATATGTAGGAGACGCGCTGCTGCCAGCGCGCGTTGGAGGGGGCGGTGGGGTCGCGTTCGTGCGCCTCCTGCTGCTCCTGCTGCTGCTCCTGCTGCGCGTACGCCGAGCACAGCAGCAGGGCGCAGCCGCACAGCAGGGCGGCCGACGCGGCCCAGCCCACGTAGATGCTGGAGCCCAACTCGGGCTTCTGCGGCTCCGGGACGAAGGGGTCGAAGAAGTCGCGCACGACGCGCGCGCACACGAAGCCCACGGCGGCGAGACACAGCGCGCCAGAGAGGCCGAGCGCGCAGCCGCCTGCAGCGAGATCGCGGGTCGTGGTGGTGGGGGGGAGGCTCTGGGTAGTGGTGGGGGGGGGCTCTGGGTGGTGGTGGGGAGCTCTGGGTGGGGGGGGGGGGGCTCTGGGTGGTAGGGGAGGGCTCTGGGTGGTGGTGGGGGGGGGGGGGCTCTGGGTGGGGGGGCTCTGGGTGGTGGGGGCTCTGGGTGAGGGGGGGGCTCTGGGTGGTTGGTGGGGGGGGGGAGCTCTGGGTGGGGGGGTGGTGGGTGGGGGGGGGGCTCTGGGTGGTGGTGGGGGGGGAGCTCTGGGCGGTGGTGGGGGGGAGCTCTGGGTGGTGGTGTGGGGGGAGCTCTGGGTGGAGGGGGGGCTCTGGGTGGTAGTGGGGGGGGAGCTCTGGGTGGTGGTTGGGGGGGGGGCTCTGGGTGGTGGTGGGGGGGGGCTCTGAGTGGGGGGGGGCTCTGGGTGGTGGGGCTCTGGGTGGTGGTGGGGGGGGGGCTCTGGGTGATGGTGGTGGGGGGGGGCTCTGGGTGATGGTGGTGGTGGGGGGCTCTGGGTGGTGGGGGTGCGGGGCTCTGTGCTCGCCTCTCACCTGCGAGCAGCAGGCGCGGCGCCCGGCAGCGGCAGCAGGCTGGCGGCGCGGCGACCGCGACCCCGAGCAGGGCGAGCAGCACGGCGGGGGGCAGCAGGGCGCGCGCCGGCTGCAGGGCGCCGGGGGCCGCGAGCAGCGTGAAGTACTCGGAGCACTGACGGTGGCCGAGCAGCGCGCGCTCCACGCACGTTTGCCACAGCCCCTCGCTGAACACCTGGAGCCACGGGGGGGTGGGTAGGAGGTTAAGGTATTGATTGGCTTTGTCTGTATGAGAATAGCGGGTGTAGGTTAACGTCGAGGTCAGCGATCCATTGGCGGTGGCTGCAGGCGAGGCCGAGCGAGTGGTCGCGATGTCACCGGGGAATGGATAATTTCAGTTCGGCACGATTTAATTTAAAAAAAAATTTTTATTGATTAGGTATAACCATGTGAGCCATGCGGCTCTTGACTCGGGTGCAACCGCAACGAACAAAAACATGAACAAGAAACATCTTAAAGTGACTACACGCAAACAGAAAAATACAGGAAAAAACAGCAAAGTCTTCTAGAAAAAAAGCATCGTATTTCAACGCTGTGTGAAAAAATCCTATTGGGATGCAAGTCAAACAATAACAACCATAAGACAATTTAGATTAAAGTTATCAGGCTAACTCTGTACTACAACAAACAAACATGGCTAAACCAAAACGTTTTCAAAATCACCAAAATAAAGCTGTTAAAAGCAATGTAACAGTGATCATAGAACTGTGATTGGGGCGATCGCCGTCTGAATCAGAATCGGAAAATGTGATTATTGCTGGAGGAATCCGATGAGCTGGAAAGCCCTTTCTCACAGATTGTCCACTAGGGCCAGGGTCAGAACGTTACAACAACAAAAACGACAAAAACTTAAAAAAACGATAGGAGTGCAAAGTTTTGGAAATGTAAACAATCACTTAAATATATACACACAAATAAAACCAAACTATGTTCTTCATCTTACTAGGTAAGGCCCACTGAGCTACTAGCTTCTTTGTCAGCAGTGACCCGACCACAAACGATAGCTCAACGAAGTGGCTTATCACGTGGACATTTTAAGCAGCAAATTAACCTTAAACGATCTCGACGCAGGGTGATTATTCTTAATGTGGAGGGACAAGCCGGTGGACCGTTGTGAGCTGCTCTTCTCTCTGCGATTTCCTCCCACATGTCAACATTCTCCGTCTCCTTCTTGGTTCTTTCGGTAAAGTCACGTAGAAGGGAAGTAATAAAATAATAAAATATTTTATTACTTCCCTTCTACGTGACTTTACCGAAAGAACCAAGAAGATGAATCCCTGCAGTCACGAAAGCTTTAAATCGAAATTCTCCGTCTCCTCTGGAATCTACAGGGTGTGGTGATCCACATGTCCTGTGTGACCCCCAATTAATTGACCCCTAAACATTTTTCTCCCCGTTGCATATTTTTTTTTTAAAATGTTAAACCTTACTTTAAAAAAATTAAATTGGGGTCACTAGACATCTGGATCACCCTGTACATTGGGTCCTGTTCATCCATAACATCAATTTTAGCAAATAAATGTGCGCTATGCTTAGCATATTCATCCATCTAATTGGCCTTTAACTATTCCAATCATTTGTACAGGTGACAGAGCCCCCTTGCAGCACCAACGTTTTTGGAACAACAACAACCTTAAATTTCGATGTAAAGCTTTCGTGACTGCAGAGATTCATATTCTTGGTTCTTTCGGTAAAGTCACGTAGAAGGGAAATAATAAAATAATAAAAATAAAACAATTAAATTCTAACGACCTGATGATGATTGCTTGTGTTGCAATCGAAACGTCGTGAGAATTTTATTGCTTTATTTTTGTTATTTTATTATTTCCCTTCTACCGAAATAACCAAGAATAACAACAACCTTGTTTCCTCCCTTAACATCGTAAATCTTCCTTAAAAAAATCTCCTGAAGCAGAAGATTAGTGCTGGATACAACCGCATTTGCAAATGCGATTTGTAACTTTCATCCTTACCTGCGTATCGATAGTTAAATCTTAATGTGCAATTTTATTGAAAGACGACTCAGTGTTGTCTTGGCGTGGTCTGCGACAGCTTTTGCTGCCTTGTCCAAGCTTCGGAATTGGTGGACTTATGCAATTTTCACTTATATACTAAATGTATTTGATTTATATTTAGCTAAAATTTTGTTGCTGTAGTTTTCACACCTGATGATGATTGATTGTGTTGCAATCGAAACGTCGTGAGAATTTTTATTATGTTTTCTTTTTATTATTTTATTATTTCCCTTCTACGTGACTTTACCGAAAGAACCAAGAATATATTCTTAGGTTTTTTCGGTAAAGTCACGTAGGTAAAAAATTTAAATTAATAAAAGTAAAATAAAAATGTAATAAAAATCACGACGTTTCGGAGGCAACACAAGCTTCCGTCTTCAGGTGGAACCGTCACAGCACGATAGCTGTTTCAAGTAATTTTATTTTTATTTTACTTTTATTAATTTTATTTTTTTACCTACGTGACTTTACCGAAAAAACCTAAGAATATGAATCCTTGCAGTCACGAAAGCTTCAAATCTAGAACCAAGAATATATTGAGTGCTTTGCTTACCTGTCCTATGCTTTGCACTGCGATCGTTTTTATGGTTTATTGTTGTAATTTAATGACTCGCCCCTACTGGACACGTGTGAAAAATACCTTCATCGCTCATCGGATTTCTCCAGGATAATCATTAGAGATTGTGAAAAGGTTCGGATTTGTATTTATTCCTTAATGTAAGATGTCCCTATCCTTGTACCTGTAGTTAGCAAACTCCACGCGAGTTGGGGGGCGAAATTTCTGCGTTGTACCCTACCAGTGGTGCTCGAGTCCTCAAATGCCTTTGCTACTCAATGTCTGAAATGTTAAGATTTATATAATGTAACTTTTCTCTCACGACGGTCCACTGCGTATCGTTCTTGTAAGACAAAACAAATATCAGCAAATCTTTCAAAATCAAATTTGTTAATCAACTAAACTTTTTCTTTTACCAGGTACGGCCCATTGAGCTAAAATATATTATGTGAAAATGAAATAAAAATAACTACATTCTGCGATGTAGTTTTTTTTATTTTATTTTCATCTACGTGACTTTACAGAAAGAACCAAAGAATATGGATCCTTGTAGTCACGAAAACTTCAAATCTAGAATTAAAAATATATTGTTCAGAAGCGACCTGGATATCACAAATGATAGCTCAACAAAGTAGCTTGTCACCTAGACATAGATCGCCGCCAAAACTCTAAACGCGCGTTTCTAACTGTGGAAGGAAAATCCGGAGGACCCGGAGAAAAATCCACGCAATCACGAGGAGAACAGAGAAAACACGCAAACTCCAAATATTTTTATTATTTTATTACTTCTCTTCTACGTGACTTTACCGAAAGAACCAAGAAGATGAATCCCTGCAGTCACGAAAGCTTTAAATCGAAATTTATACAGAAGGCGTCAGGGTCGGGCTCGAAACCCACGACCTCCTGTAAACCAGGCGAGGTAGTTAACAACTCTCTATGCGAGGAACCCCCTTTTTGAGTAGTAGAGGAGGCAAAACAAACACAAGTTTCAAACAACACAAGCGTATGCAGTGTCTGGTTTGCGTTGGCATGAGCCGAGCTAATGGGCCCCACGGTGTTGAATCGGGGACTTCACATCACGGATTCCAGAGGAAGACTTTGCAACAGTGAGGTCTGGTGACCATACTGCGCTGAGTGAGTGCTGATGATCCCCTCCTGTCGTAGACCCTCACACCTCGTCACACCTCATCATGTCGCTTCGTCACACCTCACCTCGCCACGCCTCGTCTCACCTCGTCCTGCACCAGGTAGGCACCGAGGGTGGCCCGCGAGAGCCAATGCGGAGCAGCCGCGGCCGCAACGGCCAATGCGAGACCCGCGGCCGAGACGCAGAGGGCGGCCAGGGCGAGTGGGGCCGCGTGGCCCATCCTGCTCCTGCTGCGGCACAGCGCCACGGGCTCCTCACTCACTCACTCGCAGCAGGGCTCACTCACTCGCGGGCAAAGCGAACACAGACTCACATCACACGGATTTACACAGAGACACATGCCTCACAGACGTAAAGATGAACACACAGAAACTTAAACACACACAACAACAACAGCATCGAACACACACACACAGACTCACACAGAATTACACAGAGACACACACAGACATACAGACTCACTCACAGATACAAACAGACAAACTCACAGAATTACACGAAAATACACACAGACATACACACTCACTCACAGATGCAGACATAATTACACAGAAAAACATACAGACTCACACACACAAAGATGCACACATAGAGACAACGGCATCAAACACACAAACTCACTCAGATAGACATAGAGACAGACTCACATCACACAGACACAGAGACACAGACTCGCAAAGAAGTACACGGAGACACAGATAACTCACACAGAGACAAAGATTCGCAAACACACGGAGCTCATCACACACGAGGTTTCACCATTTACACACGGAAAATGTGCACTGAACAAAACAATAAATGTGTGAATATACTGGAACAAATGTAGATTTAAATGTATGTATGTTATAATTCTTTTGCACCGTACATATTCAACCGAGCTAATCAGAGGTGCGGAGAAAGGACAACAAACTTAACACAAAAGAGCAGATCTAAAGTGTTCGCCAGAATCCGCTGCTAGCGAGGATGACCCGGAGTTTGCGTGATAGGTTTGTGCTCCTTGAAGAGAATTTGAGTGTTCACAGTGGTAGATTACCAACGAAATCATCATCCCTTTTAAAGGTGGCGATATCCATAACCCACAACCCACTGCCGTGGCAGAGAACCAATTGAGGTCATGAGCTGAAATCCCAGTTGGAAGTCGACTCACACACCATCATCCATCCCTCTGGGTCGATAAAAAAGAGTACTGTATAACTTTCGGCAAAGTCACGAGTAGTTGTTATAATATCCTCCGCCATAGGAGTGTGGAATTTCCACCATCACTGCTAGCAAATAATAATTCGTATCCCGACCCAATGCTTGAGTTTACAGGGACACGTGTGAAAGCTGAAACGCATTGCTACGAAGCATACTCCTAACGTTAACACTTCCTCTAACCGGTGTACAAATCCTACGGAAGTAATTCTGAGCAAAAAATATTAGTAAATTAACTCCACTGTGAGCTGACAATGAATGAACTGCGAAAATGAAGGTGCCGACCTCCCCGTGTGGATGTTAGGGTCCATCCTGCATTCACACACGAGCGGTTCTCCAAGCATTGCAGTTTCCTTCCACGCGCAAAATATTCCCTAACGCCTCCAGTAGGATCATCCTGAGACTCTTCTAGACATCTGTGAAAAAAAGCTTTATAGCTTATCGGATTCCTCCAGTCTAAATACATATTTGGATGATTCTAACTTTCCCAGTTAATACATCAAGTCTATATTTTACATACATTTACCTGAGAGTGAGGCTCGTCTGTGAGGTAGGAACTCATCTGTGAGTAGGAGGCTTCGGTAAAGTCACGTAGGTAAAAAAATAAAAATTAATACCTACGTGACTTTACCGAAAAAACCTAAGAATATGAATACTTGCAGTCAAGAAAGCTTCAAATCTAGAAGTAGGAGGCTTATCTGAAACTCGCCTGTGAAAGGGAGTGAAACTCGCCTGTGAAGGAGTGACTCGCCTGTGAGTGGGAGTGAAGCTCACCTGAGATCCGCCTGTGAGAGTGAGGCTCACCTGTAAGAGAGGGCGTGACGCTCACCTGAGATCCGCCTGTGAAGGAGTGAGGCTCACCTGTGAGAGAGGGAGTGAGGACGTGCGAGGGTGACACCTGTGCCGGATACTAACTGAGTCTCACCTGCGAGTGTGAGTCTCACCTTACGTGTGTGAGGCTCACCTGTGAGAGAAGGAAACTCACCTCTGAAGGAAACAGCAATGCCACTGTGAGGCTGGTGGCCGTGTGAGTGGCTGAGGGGCCGTCTCTGGCTGCAGGTGCTGGCGCTAAGAGGGCCCAGGTACGGCACGTCGCACAATTACCGTATTCATTGTAGACAAAGAGTCCATGGCAAACCGAATCTAATTCAAACGTTCACTTTGACGGTTTGATATGGTGAATATAAAACCAATGGGCAATTTAGATCATTTAGGAACTGTGAAAAAGTATTTGTCGTTAATAACAGGGACATGCGTAAAGGTGTGTTTCTCTTCTTGGTTCTTTCGGTAAAGTCACGTAGAAGAGAAATAATAAAATAATACAAATAAAACATAATAAAATAATAATGTTAAAATAATTATTTTATTATGTTTTATTTTTAATAATAAAATAATTATTTAATTAGGGTTTTTGATTTTTATTTTATTATTTCCCTTCTACGTGACATAATAAAATAATTATTTTAAAATAATATTTTTTTTATGTTTTATTTTTATTATTTTATTATTTTCCTTCTACGTGACTTTACCGAAAGAATCAAGAAGATGAATCCCTGCAGTCACGAAAGCTTTAAATCGAGGTGTGTTTCTCTTTCAGAGTTGAGTCGTCTGTCGGTTTATTGCAGCAGTTGGTGGCTATGCTCTGCACTGATGAGTCCCACTAAGTACGAAACGGGTCTACAGCTGGTTCAGCAGTTCCACTGCTGGATTCTATTTTTTTCTGCCTGAGAACGACCGCTTGTGTTCCGATCGAAACGTCGTGATTTATTTTATGTTTCTACCTACGTGACTTTACCGAAAGAAGCAAGAGTATGGATTACTCCAGTCACGAAAGCTTCAAATCAAGATTGGGTCTACGGTTATAGCTGTCTCACTGCCGTCTGTCCGTCGGTTACATTGGCTCAAAAGAACGTGTAAACATTATTCACGGTGACATAAGACAAGAGGCCTCCAATGCAGTTCTTCAGTAACTGTTCATGGTTTTTGTTGTTGCATAATACACGAAGCTGTGCGCTTATAGTGCACGGCTCTGTGTATTGTTTTACACTTGTGGTTTTCGGGCCTGCAATTAAATTTCGACTCGGATTGGGGTTTAACGTTCATTTACAGATTTGATGACGCGATCAATGTCCATTTGAAAGTGAGCTCATTAAGAATGCAAAGCTGTCAACCCATCCGGTTTACCCGTATTCTTGTGCATGGAAATTGAGTTTTCAGGTCCATACGGCGTACATCCGTTTGAATACGGACAAAAATGTTTTTGGTTTTTTGGTAAAGTCACGTAGGTAAAAATAAATAAATTAAAACACATAAATTAAATCACGACGTTTCGGAGGCAACACAAGCTTCCGTCTTCAGGTGGAACCGTTACAACCAAATTCACTGTGCATGGAAATTGAGTTTTCAGGTCCATACGGCGTACAGAATTTGGCTGTAACGGTTCCACCTGAAGCTTGTGTTGCCTCCGAAAGGTCGAGATTTAATTTAGTTGTTTTATCATTTATTTATTTTTACCTACGTGACTTTACCGAAAAAAACTAAAGAGTATGAATCCTTGCAATCACGAAAACTTCAAATCTAGCAAAAATGTTTTTGTCTATTTGCTGGTATTTCTCCTGTGTGATGGAACTTTGTCGGATGAGCGTTGACATTTATCAGGGCACGGGTGACCAATTAGGTCTGATTTGCTTTGTAATAAGGTCGGCACTGACAAGGGGCTGACAGGTATGAGAATACTCGCCATACCGCGCAGCCGGCAGCTAATGCGTGGACTTTGTAACAATAAACAGGTACAGATGGGGCACTGTGAGTGCTTTGTTACGCCAATACTGGCGGGAAGGGGCCTCCACTTTAGACTGGGATCTCGAGAGCGAGCCGTCATCTCTAGAGTGGCATTTGGTCTACTCTTCCACGCTGACCATGACGTGTTTTAAGAGGGTATATCTTGCATGTTGAACATCTTGCACACCATCATCATTAGACCTCCTTTGCCAGTACCAAAATGTAATAATAGGGGTTTTCCACTTTTTTCTGATAGTGCATTGTTTTTGAGCTGTACGCCTTTTGGCGTCATCTGGTCTAGCACCAATTGAGACGAGGCTCAAAAGAAAGCTGTCTCTGGTGTGGACCAATCAGTTTCAAGGACAATGCATATATTATCAGTGTGGTTTTTTTTGCATTTTGACTGCAAGTATTGTGGTTAATGCAGACATGAATCCTTGTAAAAAGGTTTCAGTTTAGTTGCCAGTAAAAAGGAGAAAACCCCTATAATTATTATATCTTGCACACCGTACGTAGCCAACCGTGCTTAATCAGAGGTGCGTTGTGGGAGTATCTTCGACGATACTTGTGTAGAGTTCCATGTAGAGTATCAGTGCAACGATGCGTCGCTTCGCGTGCAAGGATCCCTGCGCCTCGAGGTAGCGATGTTTTCGTTACATCGCAGGGATGAGATGGCGATAGAGAGCCTTCATCAGTGGCCCGATCATGGATGATGATGATGATGATTATATCCCCTCGCCACCGACTCCCAAGTCCCGAGCCCCCATCTGGGATCACGCTGCCGCTGCTGCCGCTGCTGCTGTCACAGTCGTAGAATCCCACCCAGAACCGGGAGAATGCTGGCGATCACAGCGGAACAAGGCGGACGAGCAGAACAAGCACCTGGTTCGTAGAACCCAAACATCGCAACCTCGTGGCTTTAACTTTGCTTGAAGACACCAGCGGCGGAACCATCAGCCACATCGGAATATCACCGGGCCGATGCGCGCATCTCCTTCATAGATGGGGGATGACGATAAAACTACGGTGCTGCGATTGTGGCCGTGCAACACAAACGATGGACCACAGAGTAAACCCACTGCAGTCTGCGCTCCTTCATGGTGAACTGTGGATGGATGGGTTTTGCGAGTTGAGATGAATTAGAAATTCTTTATTCTTTAATTGTATGTTTGCCGTGTGGCCACACCACCAATGTGTCATCAACATATCTAAACCAAGCAGAGGGTTTAAGTGTGCTTGAGGCTATTGTTTTTGCTTCAAAATCTTCCATGTACAAAATCGCAATCACAGGAGACAAAGGAGAGCCCATTGCTGTTCCTTCCTTTTGTTTATAGAAATCACATTTCCACAAGAAATGGGTGTTCTTTAGACAGTGTTCAGCTAGTGGGGTGATATCTTTGGCTAGATATGTGCTCGTTAACAGAGTATCGGGACATTTCATTGACTCGTTGACCGGAACTCTCGTGAACAGAGAAGTCACACCAAAACTTACCAGAATATCATTATGGATATAAGCATAATATATTTACCGTAATTATATTTACGAGATGTTCTGAGTTTCTAATGAACGAAGAGGTCCTACCGATGTAGGGCTGTATTTGTTTCGTTACATCTTGTACTAATCTGTATGTGGCAGAGCCTATTGTACTATGGGTCTTAATGGGACATCAGGTTTGTGCATATTTGGTAGCCCATAAGGTCTTGGTGGCTTTGACGCCCTTGGTTTGATCAGGTATTGCTCTTCCTTGGGAATTAATGACTTCTTCTTGGTTCTTTCAGTAAAGTCACGTAGAAGGAAAATAATAAAATAATAAAAATAAAACATAATAAAATAATTCTCACGACGTTTCGGCCACAACGCAAGCAGCCGTTCTTCACCTGAGGACGGCTGCTTGCGTTGAGACCCCCCTCAAATATGACGTCACAAAGCTCCAAAAAAAAATAAAACATGCTTCGAATCGCTTTAAACTATTGTCATTGTAGTGCGTATTTAATGTGGCGCTGCACTCTGATATTGTAGGAGAAAACATTTATTAAAAAGTCTATTTAATTAAGTAGAACGTGTTGTCTATATTTATTTAAAGTTGCGCATTTTGATGTGACGTCACATTTCTCACCCCCCCCCCTCGTCACAAATGTCTGACCCCCCCCCCCAGGTGCGTGACGTCATTTATGGACGGCCCCAAACGGTGCCACAATCCGAACAAGGGGAGTCGGAGTCGCCTAATGGAATCGCGACGGTCGAATCGCCAATCGCCGCGCGCGTAGGATCTCTCCGGCGATTGGTCGATTCTCTTCACGGCAGGAGTCGACGGGGAAATCGCGCCAACTTTAGAGTCGAGGAATCGATGCAGCGGTTGCTATGGGTTACGTGACGACGCAAGCGTCAGCGCGTTGCCCGGCAAAACCACGCGGTCCGGGCACAGTGAGTCCAGTCCGGGCACAGTGAGTCCAGTCCGGGCAACAGGGAATCCAGTCCGGGCAACAGGGAGTCCAGTCCGGGGAACAGGGAGTCCAGTCCGGGCACACGGAATCCAGTCCTGGCAACAGGGAGTCCAGTCTGGTCAAAGGGAGAATCCAGTCCGGGCAACAGGGAATCCAGTCCGGGCACAGGGAATCAAGTCTGGTCCAAGAGAGAATCCAGGCCGGGCACAAGGAATCCAGTCCGGGCATAGTGAGTCCAGTCTGGTCAAAGGAAGAATCCAGTCCGGGCACAGCGAATCCAGTCCGGGCAACAGTGAGTCCAGTCCGGGCATAGTGAGTCCAGTCTGGTCAAAGGGAGAATCCAGTCCGGGCAACAGTGAATCCAGTCCGGGCAACAGTGAATCCAGTCCGGGCATGGTGAGTCCAGTCTGGTCAAAGGGAGAATCCAGTCCGGGCAACAGTGAATCCAGTCCGGGCAACAGTGAATCCAGTCCGGGCATGGTGAGTCCAGTCTGGTCAAAGGGAGAATCCAGTCCGGGCAGAGTGAAAGTGAGTTCAGTCCGCCAACTTAAAACAGTGAGTCCAGTCCGGGCATAGGAAGTCCAGTCCGGGCATAGGAAGTCCAGCACAGGCAAAGTGAACCCAGTCTGGTCGAGAGTGAAGTTCTGCTTGACCCCACTTCACTCGGTCTGCAGAGTCGCGCTGTGGAGGTGAGCAGAGAGGAGTGGTGAGTGTTTGGTGGGGAGAGTGGTGGGGTGAGTGGAGAGTGTGGTGGAGTGAGTGGAGAGTGTGGTGGGGTGAGTGGTGGAGTGAGTGGTGAGTGTGGTGGAGTGAGTGGAGAGTGTGGTGGGGTGAGTGGTGAGTGTGGTGGGGTGAGTGGTGAGTGTGGTGGGGTGAGTGGTGAGTGTGGTGGAGTGAGTGGTGAGTGTGGTGGGTGAGTGGTGAGTGTGGTGGGGTGAGTGTGAGTGTGGTGGAGTGAGTGGTGAGTGTGGTGGGTGAGTGGTGAGTGTGGTGGAGTGAGTGGTGAGTGTGGTGGAGAGTGTGGTGGGGTGAGTGGTGGAGTGAGTGGTGAGTGTGGTGGGGTGAGTGGTGAGTGTGGTGGGTGAGTGGTGAGTGTGGTGGAGTGAGTGGTGAGTGTGGTGGAGTGAGTGGAGAGTGTGGTGGGGTGAGTGGTGGAGTGAGTGGTGAGTGTGGTGGGGTGAGTGGTGAGTGTGGTGGAGTGAGTGGTGAGTGTGGTGGGGTGAATGGTGAGTGTGGTGGAGTGAGTGGAGAGTGTGGTGGGGTGAGTGGTGGAGTGAGTGGTGAGTGTGGTGGGTGAGTGGAGAGTGTGGTGGGGTGAGTGGAGAGTGTGGTGGGGTGAGTGGTGAGTGTGGTGGAGTGAGTGGAGAGTGTGGTGGGGTGAGTGGTGAGTGTGGTGGGTGAGTGGAGAGTGTGGTGGGGTTAGTGGTGAGTGTGGTGGGGTGAGTGGTGAGTGTGGTGGAGTGAGTGGTGAGTGTGGTGGGGTGAGTGGTGAGTGTGGTGGGGTTAGTGGTGAGTGTGGTAGAGTGAGTGGTGAGTATGGTGGGGTGAGTGGTGAGTGTGGTGCGTGAGTGGTGAGTGTGGTGGGTGAGTGAATGAATGGAAAGTGATGTTATGTTCACAGTGGATGGGGAGGGGCTGGTCACCCCGTGGTGCCCTTATAAAACTCAACGTTTAACCTACTCACGCCGGCTTGTGGCCCGCCTTCAGTCGGTCATATTTGCGGAATACACCACGCCGCCGTTGACCCTGGCCATTGACCGAGCAACCCAACGTTCCTACCAGCTCCCTCCGCAGGAATGTGTTCATAAAAACTGCTGAAGTAGGCGAGAGATCTGCAAAGAATCAAGTTCGCACTCGCCACATGTGCTACTTGTGGTGAACATGAAAAAAAAACTTGCTGAGATTAATATAATATTACGCGTTGTCTTTTAAAGTGATTGGTCTCCACCAGAGCCAGCAGCCTGCTTGAGGGCCTCGTCTCGCCGCCGGTGTCAGAGCAGAGAACAACGCCAAAAGACGGACGGTACAAGCGCAATGCACTGTCCTGCAGTGTTGTGTAAGTGCCGTTCATAATCGATTATCCGGGCTGCTGCTTCCACCGTTATCCGGCGGTCCCGAGCCGATCCGGCGAAACCGCTCCAAAGGGCTGCAACCAGGTCAGGAGATCGGCGCCGTTTGCGTGACAAAAAACAAGGTAGCTACGCTTGATTTCAGTGTCAAATGTATTATATACGGCACCTTATACACTACATACAACTTAATGCAAATACTGCACTTGCATGCGTCAACCCACGCGGAGCTTTCGAGATTGGAGTGGTCAGTACGGTACAGTAAATACGCTAACCTTTAAAGTAGGAGATTTATTTATGCCAACCTCATATAGTAAACAAATGTAATGCACTAAACAGACATATGACAACACCTACAAACATAACATCATGCAATAATGTGCAAAAATAAGCAATTTTAAATAATGATGATTCTTGATTATCCGGCGGTTTTGAAAATCCAGCGCCTCCACCTCCCCCGAAGCCGTCGGATTATAATTATCGATGATCGACTGTATGTATGTTGAACTTCTTTTGCACCGTACGTAGCCATCCGCGATAATCGGAGGTGCGGGGAAGGACAACAAACAAAACACAAAAAGTAGTTTGAAGAAATGAGTTTGTCAATCAAGATGAATTAAAAGTTGCATAGCACCGGTGGCTTCCTAATGTCGGAAGGAAGAGCGTTCCAGACGGCCGCAGAAGCGCATTTGAAAGCGCCGTGCGATGCGGTGACCACCGTCTTTAAGTAAAGCCTCTCCCTGCCGATGTGCCCCGAATGAGACGAAACCCAGTCCAGAATGTGTTGCTTGCCAGACGTCTGGTGTTGCTGCAAGTTTTAATATGAAACGTGCTGAGATTATTTTTTTAAACGGCATGAAATGTTGTGTTTTTGCCTTTTAAGGGATGGTGTGACCACTGTCAAGTTTAGCTGAAAGAGCCGATAGATAAAAGGTCCCATTCGTCTTTCCCAACCGCTCTTCAAATCACGTGCGGTGACCATGAATCCTCACACTGGGAGACGCCGCCTGAACCACTGGGTGGAGGACTTGTTCCCCGCCAGGTATGCCTGCACTTCAGACGACCTTCTCGGCAGCGACGAGCCGTCACCTTCGTTGGCGGCGGGGGAACAGGCTCGCCAGAGTCGAGCCCGGCGCCTGAAGGACATTTACGGCGCCGTGTTCAGAGAACAGGCGGAGGCGGCACGTGAAGCCCGGCTGAAGCACATCGCCAGCAGCATGGTTCGCGAGTACCCCGAGGAATCCGCCGCGCGAGACGACCTCGCGGGGTCTCCTCGCGAGTCGGAGCGGCGCGCGGACGGCGCGGGCGACGTGGATGTGGAGGAGCTGACGACGGAGCCGAGGTGCTTGTGGAGCAAGGAAGATGTGGCCGTCTTCAGACGCAACGCCGAAGAGAAAGACGCGCAGCTTCGCAGGCTGAAGTCTGTATTGACGGTGTCGGAAGCGGACAGGGGTGAGCTGAGGGCTCGCTGCGAGCGCCTGGAGAAGGATCTGGGCGAGAGCGTGAGGACGGGGTTGGCCGCCCGGCAGGAGGCGGACAGGCGGGCGATGCACTGCCGGCAGCTCGAGTGTGAAGTGCACAAGCTGCAGAAGTCACTTGGAGCCCTGCAGGAGGTGAGAGAAAGCGCGATCATCTAATCTATCTCATTGCTATCTCCTCGCCTGATGTGTCTTGATAGTACGGAATGGTCTAAGTATGATTTATGACTGGATCGCCCATAATGCGCCCGATTTTGTCACATCTAAGAAGCTAAGTTGGGTTGAGTCTGGACTGTGCCAAGGACTCATGGCGGGGCTACGTGCTGGATCCCACGTCCACGCTCCTCGCCTTCAGAAACTCTCGTTGACCAGTCTGGCGAAGTATGGTCAAATAACCCCCACGGACTCCATGGCGTGAACAGGGCTTAATCTGTCCAGCGGATTGACAAAGGGCTTTGCATGCATTTCCTTTCCGTAAAAAGTATTGAAATTCTGCCTATTACCAAATCACACTAAATGTACCTGATCTCATCAGATCTCAGAGGCTAAGCAGAGTTGAACCTGGGTAGTACTTGAATTTTAAGACCTTCAGCGGTCAGAATACGGTGGTGTTGAGTGTGTGACACTTTTGTATTTGTGGGTTTTCTCTGGGTGCTGTCTTGTGGTATTGGCAAAAAGATTGCAAAGCGACACGTTCCAGAAAAAGTCTTGAGACTCAGTGGTGCTTTGCTGAGCACTATTTCCCACACGTAATTAACATTGTGGCATACAGGGACTCCTCTACTTATAAACATTCGACTTACGAACTTTCAGAGATACGAACCTGTCCGTATGTCCAGTTGCCTGTTCGGACCGAGATTCGTAAGTTCAACTTCCAAGTGGCATCTACATCTACAGATGATACAACGTGTAAACCCATTCCCCGTGTTGAGTGTACATGCCGTACAACACGTTGGGAATCGACGGGTATAAAAGTTGGACTTACGAACAAATCAACTTACGAACAGACCTCTGGAACCTAACTCGTTTGTAAGTAGAAGAGTCCCTGTATACTGAAGTAAGATTAAATATGGGAAAATAATATCATATATAAGTATGTTGAACGTCTTTCGCGCCGTACGTAGTCAACCGTGCGAATCGGAATATAAAACATACTTCGTAAAGGTTAGTATCTCAAAGCATCAACATAGGTTGGTTTGCAAACGTTAATGCTTGGGGAATTTTTGCATTAATCTGCTCACAACTGTAACGCAAGGTTGTTTGCTTGTGAAGGTTGTGATTGCAGCGCATGTTGCTTGTGAAGGTTGTGAGTGCAGCGCTGGTTGTGTGTGAAGGTTGTGAGTGCAGCGCTGGTTGTTTGTGAAGCTTGTGAGTGCAGCGCAGGTTGTTTGTGAAGCTTGTGAGTGCAGCGCTGGTTGTTTGTGAAGCTTGTGAGTGCAGCGCAGGTTGTTTGTGAAGCTTGTGAGTGCAGCGCTGGTTGTGTGTGAAGGTTGTGAGTGCAGCGCTGGTTGTGTGTGAAGGTTGTGAGTGCAGCGCTGGTTGTTTGTGAAGCTTGTGAGTGCAGAGCTGGTTGTTGTGAAGGTTGTGAGTGCAGCGCTGGTTGTTTGTGAAGCTTGTGAGTGCAGCGCTGGTTGTTGTGAAGGTTGTGAGTGCAGCGCTGGTTGTTTGTGAAGGTTGTGAGTGCAGCGCTGGTTGTTGTGAAGGTTGTGAGTGCAGCGCTGTTTGTTTGTGAAGGTTGTGAGTGCAGCACTGGTTGCTTGTGAAGGTTGTAAGTGCAGCGCTGTTTGCTTGTGAAGGTTGTGAGTGCAGCGCAGAGCCAGGCGTCGCAGTGCCGCAGGGACCTTCACGTGGCGCGGCTGCAGCAGCAGCAGCTGAGGGCGCGGAAACAGGAAATGAAATCGGAGCTGCAAAAAGCGTCGCAGGAGTTTTTGCTGAAGGAGGCCGAGCTGCACGGGGAGATGGAGCTGCGCTACAAGTCGGCGCTGGCGGAGCTGCAGGCCGAACTGGGGCGGACGCGCGAAGAGCTGCAGAGGGAGCGGCAGGCGCGCGGTCGAGATCTGGCGTCCCTGGAGTTGCTTCGACGGCACTTTCTCAATCTGCAGGCTCCCAGGGTCGATGACTGCATGAAGATTACTCATTGGTAGCATTGTAAATGAGCGGACGTTGACGTGAAGACGTGTCCTCGGTCGCAGATCGTAAGCGGTTCTAGTTGAAGAGCGTCTTGACAAAATTATTATTTTGTCAAGACGCTCTTCGCCCCTCCATGCCAGCTTAAATAGTCGCTCCAAGCCTGGGGCTTGTCATTCAGACTCTGTCTCCTCGACAGACCTGTTCTACACCTGAGGACGGCTGCTTGCGTTGTGGCCGAAACGTGGTGAGAATTATTTTATTGTTTTATTTTTATTATTTTATTATTTCCATTCTACGTGACTTTACCGAAAGAACCAAAATGAATCCCTGCAGTCACGAAAGCTTTAAATCGAAAGGTTCTAGTTGTGTTATGTGAACAGGTTGGTAAAATAAAATGTTGAATTTTAACGAGACTTATTGGTCTAATAATCTTAAATGAGTGTTGGCGGAGCTCACAAATGTTGTGAAACTCCCCGTTGTGGTAGTATGGCATTGTGTTGTCGTGTGATGTTGGTGTGGTGTTGTACAATGGTGTGGGGTGGTGTGCGTTATGGTGTGGGTATGCTTTGATAGGGTTTTTGTGTGATGGTGTACCGCAGTGGATTATGGTCTATAGAGTTGGGTATTTAGATCGGAATGTGCCCCATCTCGCAAGTGAAGCAGGCTCAGCCTGGATCTTGGGTAGACGACCACCACCACACATAGGCGTGCTATAGGCTGTTGGGCTACCTTGTGGGCAGCAGGTGGCAGTGTAGCAAAAGCCATCTACCAGTGCATTTTTTACCTGTGTAGTCAATTTTCAAGCCATTTTTTTAATTTCAACCACTTTATTTCAGAAAAAAAGTGAACAGGAAACCCAAGCGTGCCACTTTTCCCGTCATTCCCCTTACGACTCGTTCCACACTCTGCCTCCCTTTAACCTCCATTAGCCCATTCTATTTCAAGCAGCAGCAATGATGCATTCAAGAAATGATGCATTCAAGAAATGATGCATGCAGAGATGAGGATGAGCGCATGTTTGGTTTTGTACCGAGTGAGATGATGAAACTCGATCTCCAGTTGCTACTCTCAGGTGGCAGCGTCAAACCCGACGGGTGAGATGCACTTCTTGTTGTTGTTGAGACGGTGGTGGGAACTTGGCACCTCTTGGCCATTGCCCCCCCGCTGTTGGCGACGGGGACATGGGCACGCTTTCACAACCAGACGAGATAAAGGAACATTGTCCAACACGCGCACAGGGCCAGTTATGGCTTCCAGTTACGTCCTGAGGGTGTTTCTCATGGATCTGGCTGCGTCAGGTGGGATGTAGACTTTGGCAGTCGAGCTTGGGTGAAGTCCAGTAAAGTCAACATGGACGGGATTTGACAAAGTAGGCTGAGTAAAAGTTGTAAATAGGTGACTTGACATGGCACGTGTGGCATAGACTCTGACTCTAGGATTCAAACACAACACGTTCATATTTTTTTCAGAAGACAATATGCATTGTAAATAATTTCTGTCAATGTTGAGTCAAACGTCTAGGCCCCAGCCAAAGTGGAATGACAAGCTGCCACAGGGCATAACGCCACGAGGTACGATGCAGTCCCGTTGGTTCAAGACATTTCCCCCATCGCTGCTGTTTGCTCGCTCTGGGAGGTCAATATGGTACTGATGACATCCGACAGTCCCACCTTCTGCACTCACAGACAAGGACATCCACAGACACAGAACCAGAGACATGCGTAAAAACAAAGAACACAACAACAACCGCCATTCGCCACTAAGTGGCGGTGACGTCACCACGGCGCTTGTACCAGGCTATGTGCACGTTGAGGCCACGTGAAGTGAAACCACAAAGGACACACGTCCATAGACACACACGGCCACACATTTTCACACTGCACGTTTGATGTCACACCAAAAAAATTGGTATTTCTAATATTCTTTGTACTGAAAAACTGTATAATACATAAAAATTTATGTATGATGAAAAAGTGTCACTCATTGGAGAGTTAACCTGTATTATGGACATTTCGTTACTGATTAAAAACTTCTCCTTTGAAAAGGTATTAATTACAAATTGAAAGTTGTTTGCAGCTGTTGAGACATGTATATTTTGACCCGAGTGGGATAAATAAATCTACGTCCTTTATATGTCAAACCATCCCAACTGGTGTCCTACCCCCCTTGGCTAAAAATGATTTCCACGCCTAAAGATGTAGAGACATGCACGGCAGGATAGAGGGCGACGCCGTGCGTTTCTCAGCATCCGTCAACATCTCTCAGGGTCGCGCCGCACCGCCCTGGAGTCGGGAAGCCCCGAACTCGGGAACAGGTGGCACTGCCCATTTTTTAAATCTTGAATTTTATGAATGAAGTGAAAAAGATTGTACATATACAATCACCAGGGGCAGCAGGGGCTGCAGTTCAGGGCCCTGGGTTTTGAGTGGTCCACAAAACATCTCCTGCTTTATACCAGTTGACAATTCTCTAGCATGAGTCAGTGGTGGCCAATACGTGGATCGCGATTCATGGGTGGATCGCAAAATATGTTTGTGGATCTCAGGATAAATCGGTACGTACGCTATCATAAGCAGACGGAAATTTTCGTGATGGCTGATGGCCAAAAAAAGTCCCCAAGAATCCATACATTAAAACAGCATAACTTCTAGCAATATATGGCGCGAGTACTTGGTATGCCTATGTATGTAGAATATAGTAGCGTACAGGGTTAAATCCATCAGGGTAATTGTTGGTCATGGCTATCTCTCTTGTAGCCCACCTCCAAGCTGATGGATCGTGCCTTTGCTTTCTAGACTTTCCCCCAATTATCGACCCCTAACTGCCTCCCGAACGAGCCAGAATCCCGAACCGGCCATAGCTGCTACCACCCTCATAGCAGTTAGTTTCTAGCGTCAACAGAAAACTGGCACAGCAACGACTGACCTCTCCGCTACTGCCTCTCACACTCCTTGGCATCATGGCCTGCTGCTGAAATTGGCTAAAGTCATCAGATTCCGTTCTACTGTGAACCTAATCGACGCGATGCCCTGCAACCGTACTTTTCGGGTTATACCTCGCTGGTGGATCGTGCATGTGCGTTGAGATCCACCAGAATGGATCTGAGTGGTGTATTGGCCACAGCTGTGATAGCTAATGTGATGATGAAAGCGATAGCATCATTATTTTCTGAAATTAAAATATTTAGGTGTTTTTTTTACTTTGATTTAACTTTCCAATACGTATATCACATCCAAACAATAATGGAGTGTTTGGCATCGGGCAAGGGTTGGGTCAATATAGTCAAGGGAAGGGAGTGGACATATACAGGAGAGTGGCCCTCAGAATTAAAACAGGCCCAGGACCCGATGAAACTTCACCCGGCCGTGGCGAGCGCACCTTGGTTTGCAGCAGCCCCTTGAGCTGATAGAGCGTCACATGCCCGTCGCTGTCCCCAACCAGCAGGCAGTGGCCGGGCGCGCGGGAGAACGCCACGCGCGTCGTGTGCACCCCACGCCGACCTGGGCTCACCAGCACGGGGTCCAGCCTGCACGCGCACACCCAGCGGCAACAGAGCCGGCGTGCTTCCACAATCGCAACGGCATTGCTGTTGCAATTGCAGCGCTCGCTCAACATTTTTTGTTCATTCCACGGCCCTCGCACTTTGTCGAGCTTGCTCAATCTTCGGGAGTTGAGAAGGCCGGGGGATGGACACTGACGGCTGTCTGCTGCCGTACTGTGCAGCGGTGGCCAATGGAGAGGGGAGGGTCGATCGGCCACTGAACAGCATGGACAGTTCGCCCGTCCCAGCTTTCGAACGGTCAGGTTTTTTTATAATCCCGAAATGCCGCGGCACACCTGTTGCAAACTGTAGTCGTGCACCGTCGCCAACACTTTGACTTCCCATACAGATTCAGCCCAAGGACGGCTTCACAATGTATTTTGCATCACGTGAAACGTGTCCACACCAGCGCTTGGAACTAAACATTATGGCCACGTGGAGTCACATGATAAAGGACGATTGTTTAAATCATCACGTGATTGCGACGTAAAAAATGTCAGACCACTTTACTCTGCTCGCTTTGCCTCATCCCAAACCTGATAGAATCAGAATCTTTATTTATACCGGAGGAATCCGATGGGCTATAAAGCTCTTTTTTCACAGATGTCCAGTCACATTGGCTGCCAGTGCTTAACATTTATATGTCCAAACATTCAAACAGGTTAATATTGCGACATATCACCTGTTGTATAGGGAAATGTACTTATTGCATGCCTAGTGATGCACAAACAGGCTCGGCCACATTTACAATATTCCTTTACATTTAAGTGCAATTAAATATCCGGCCAGGTAGGTCAGCGGTAGAGCGAAGGGGAACGAAATGGGAAGGTTGAGTATTCCAATGTTGATGTTGGTGGTTAACTCTGCACGTGATCCCCCCGGGATCGATACAATGTGCACCACTTTGTGTGGAAGTCAGCAGTGGTGGTCCTTTGGATAGACTCATCCCAACCATTGCAATGTGGAATTTACACCACTGGGTCAGCATTGTAAACAGAACATGACCACTGCGCCAATGGTCATTTCATTAGGAAATATACATTACTTCTAGATTTGAAGTTTGTGATTTAATGTAGTTGTTTTCATTTTTTTTTCCTACGTGACTTTACCGAAAAAACCAAAGAGTAAATATACATTACCTTTTTTTTAGATATAAAAACTCAACTTAACCTTTTTGTATTTTAGCAGGTGTAAGTCCCACTGAGCTATGTAGCTATGTTTCACCACAATTCATACCTCACCGCAATTCATACCTCAAGAGAGTGGCTTATCATGTGGAAATTTACAGTAGCCAAATACTCTAAATGCATGTTTTCTAAATGTGGAGAGAAAAACTGGAGGACTTGAGCAAAAATCCACGCAACCACGCGGAGAGAGACCTGCAAACTCCAAATACACAGGCCTCGGGATCGCACGACGACCCGTACAACAAGGCGAGGTAGTTAACATCTCGGCCACTGCGGCGTGCACGCAGCCCGACGTACGTGCTGCTGGACAGGTCCCACACATGCAGAGCCTCTGCGGTGAGCGCAGCGAGGAGTGTGGGGCTATGAGGGGACCAGGCGACGTCCAGCACGGCCTGACTGCCACACTGCAGGGTGAGCACGGGGAGCCGTCAGGTCCACCCTCCACAGTCCGCACGCTCCAATCGGAGGAGCAGCTCAGGAAGACTTCCGGCTCGAAGGGAGACCACAGCACGCGGTAGACTGGGCCCTGCGCACACGGACGTCGCACGGCGATTTAGCCAACCGCACCTCCGGTTAGCACGGTTGGCTACGTACGGTGCGAAAGAAGTTCAACATACATATGTACATGTTTGTCTCCATCAGTGGACGTTTTTAAGCCGCGTTCAATATGACAAATGGTTATTTTAAGTTGACAGGTTTACTTTATTACACCCGGGGAAAAACCTGTTGAGACAACAACTGTGTGATAATACAGGGCAGTTGAGACCTGAACGTACACTTGTAAATCGCAAATTACCACGAAAGTCTGAAAGCTCTGCCCGAGTAATTTTCGGCTCGTTATTTTATGCGCCGTATGGCCCTCTTTGCCAACGGCGGGCTCCACCCACTCCTAGCGGGGCCGACCCTCGGAAACGGTCGTGACTTCACAGGGAAGATGTGGAAATTTAACGGCGTCTGTAGCGTAGGTCGACTTCGGATCTGCGTTTTCAATGTAATACGGAAAAATCTCAAAAGTAACGTAAAAAAAAACAGCTTGGGATAACATAAGCTCACCCAAACATACATTGAACCTTCAATTCCGATCACTTCTCTGCTGTCATGGCGAGGAGGGGGCAGAGGGGAGGGTCGAGCCAATGTCTGGGGAGAAACCCGAGCCGGGCTTGGCCTTCTCAGGAACGGATCTGCACGGCTTGGGTCGGATTGCTTAATGCCCGGAGAAATGCAGCTCATCATTTATCATTATTACTACTACACTTGTACCGAGTGCCGTACGACTTGTATAGGAAGGTCCTGCCAAAGTTTTTGCAGTAGAGGACGATGATTGCTGCGTCTATTCCAACCGAGTGATTTGCGGGGCCATGACGCCAGTGGGGCACAATGGCCTCCTCTTGCAAATGATGTCACGGGATTTTGACCGTCCAACGTGTAGCTGATGGCACGTAGTATTTTCATGGCTAATACGTGCACAGTAATATAAGCAGGGTGGCCCCGCTGGATTTGAACCGCGAACCTCTGCAACAAGCGGCGAACGTGTTACCGCTGGGCCATGTCGCCACCCAGAATAAAATCGGTGTTTTACTTGAAATGAAACATGTAATAGTCTAGGCCATGACTGTTTCTGATGTGATAGCAAAGGGCACAGTCTTGGCATAGAGAATAGTCAGATAGCAAAATGTGCACCATGATGTCACTGACAATTACTTTTTCACGAAACTAAAATTAAGATGTTTTATTTATCGTGCGCAATAGAGAAAATATCTTGAAGCGCTTTACATCGTACGCCAATGAATATTTCGCGCGGATAAAAAAAAAAAGTTAAAATGTGCTACGAGAGAAGAGCAATGGAACTTGAGAGATCGCAGCAGACACGGCAAATGACGGCCGTGCGCAGCCCTCTGCGTGTGGGATTGTGGGGACATATGCCTCACCTGGTGAGCGGAGTAGCTGTGCAGGTGCTGCTCGCTGTAGGAGCACGAGCACCTGTGGATGAAGCCCTCCTCCGTGCCAGCCAGGTACATGTTGCTGTCCTGCACGAGCGCATACGAGCGCGAGCACACGCAGAGATGAGTGTGCGAAGGTGAGCACGTGTACACGCGCACACACAGACGCTGCAATGTGCAAGCCACTCGGTTGCTTTGCTTGGATTGGTCAACAATAGGGTTCTTCAACGAAATATCTGGTTGCACAATTGGCATGAGGAAGAGAGTGATCGTGAGGCGTGATGGCCTCAGTGGTGATGATGACCACTGGATGTTAACTACCTCGCCTCGTATACAAGAGGTCGCGGGTTGGATCCCAACCCTGATGCCTGTATGTTTGGAGTTTGCGTGTCTCTCTCCCCGTGGTCACGTGGATTTTTCTCCGGGTCCTTTGGTTTTTCCCTCCACATTTAGAATCAACATCACGCGTTTAGAGTAATAAATTTCCACACTCAGTGGGCCTTACGTGGTAAAAAAATAATAATAGTTTAATAGTTTAGTTATCGAACTGGATTCAATTAGGCATGCGTACCTGAGGATGGAAGTCGACGCAGGTTCCACAAGCCAGTCTCCAAATGAGCGCCTCATTCTTACGTTCCCTCTGCCCCTCAACGCCCGCAGTTCGTCGAGTACGGCCTTCCCCAGTCCGCTTCAGCCTCATCAGATCTGACGCGCGTGTTAGACATTAGGTTTAACTGCGCGTTACAACACAACTGAAAAGACCGCAGCTCAACTAATAGCAATAATTCCACATGCACACACGCCACACGATACCGCTGTGTGTGTGTGTGTGTCTCACCCTGGCAGTCAAGGCCTTTGCGGACGGCCCAGCGGGTGACACGACCGTCAGCTGAGATGGATGTGAGGGTCTCCCCACGGTCCTCCCCACCTCCTCCCTGCTCGAACCTCACCCACTGCACCTGCCACACTGCACCCATGTGTTTGCCCGACTCGCTGAGAGACGGCACCCAAACGCACACGTAAGTTCAGCCTCTTGGAATCAAGCAACGTTTCTTTTACACCATTGGAACCTAATTTGCCAGTAGAAAAATATGATAATTGTTTTTTTTGCCTTTTATTAGTGCGCCTTTTGGCGTCATCTGGTCCAACACCATGTGAGACTAGGCTCTAAGGAAAGCTGTCTCGGGTGTGGATCAATCAACTTCAAGGACAGTGCATACATTATCAGAGTTATGTTTTTTTTCTGCATTACGACTGCAGGTATTGTGGTCTATGCAAACATGACTCCTTGTAAAAAAAGGTGTCAGTTTTGTAGCCAGATAAAAGGGTAAAAAAAAACAATTATCAACGTTTCTTTTGTTCATAGTTTGTGTCTTGCTCCCTCATTATTGCCACGGTGGGGAGATGTTAACCCCCTCGCCTGGTATGTCGGAGGTCGTGGGTTCCATCCCAATCCTGACGCTTGAATATTTGGAATTTGCACGTTTTTCCCGTGGTCGCGTGAAATTTTCTCCGGGACATCCGGTTTTTTCCCTCCACATTTAGAAACACGCGATTAGAGTATTTGGCTGCTATAAATTCCCACCTGATAAGCCACTTCGTCGAGCTATTATTTGTGGCCAGGCTTCTGTAAAAGAGCTACATAGCTCAGTGGGACTGACCTAGTAAACAATAGTTTAGTTGAGCCTTATTCCTGTGTGCTATTGGCAACAATGCTTTGAGACACGGAATCCTATGAGAATATGTTAGAGCAGTGCACCCCATGTGTCATAGAACAGTTGCAGAATTGATATTTCTTCAGGACTTTTACCAAAGAATCCTTCAAGTGACCTTTTCACCTTTACACAGTAGGGGGCGCACTTTCTATGCATTGCAAAGGGGTCGTTGCATGGCAGTCAAACCGAAGATTTTAATTCTCAGAGGAACAATCTTGATAAATCGAGTGCAAAACCGAAATAAACTGCGGGGTTTTTGTCAACGAGGTCTCCTGCTACTCAATCCGAAGCACATATTTAGATCGGGGAAGATTTTGCTCAAATTGCACCGTTCACTACAATCGTGCCATCATCAGGGCATTCACCTTGAACATGAACATTCGCCCTGCTTGCGATTCGAGGTTGCGATTGCACTCAACACTTTTTTTTAAAGCCTGTGAGTGTCGCGCCTGTAGTGGCGGCAGGGGTCACGCGACCAAATTACATACAACGTCTGTGATTTAAAAATATATATATTTTCACACGTTAACGGATGAATCCTTACACCCCCAGTAATATGTTTATGCATTCAGGAAAACCTCCTTGAGTCTCAAGAATATGTTCAAGAGCCAGGCCGTGCATTGGGAGATGATGCCATTCACACGTTCAGCAATTCGCATGAGAAGTAATCCTAGAAACGGCACTTTATCGTAATCTTTGAAGTCTCAGTTGGCACTAGTGGTGTATGCGGAGTTTACAGTGGCTGCATAATTTACAAGAAATAATAACATGCAGTATGTAACCATGATAATAATTTTCAGCCGTTTGTAAATTCCCTGATGGATGAAAGCCTCCCCATGGCGTGTCCTATTAGCGCGGTTGGCTACGTATGGTGCGAAAAAAAGTTAATCACACATACGTACAGTTCTGGAGGTGTATTTGACCGTACTTCACCACAATGGTCAGTAAGGGCTGGTAAAGGCGGAGGACTAGTTAGCCGTGGCAGCAAATCCGAGTCGGGACGCCGGGTTAAAAATTCAGTGCGTTAACCACTGCCCCACCACTCCACCACTCCACCATGACGTATGTATGAATGAAAAAACAATTGCTTCTTACGTCCAGAATTCAAAACAACAATAATTACATCCACAGTCCTATTCCACTGTTACAATTTTTAGGAAAGAATAACTGAAATTATGCTGAGGCATTAAGCAGCCAACAACAACGACCACCATCCGCCACTGTGTGGTGGTGATGTCACCACGGCGCTTGTGCCAAGCTCTGTGCACTTTAAGGCCACGTTGAGCAACCGGGCATTGTGGCACATCCCTGTGGTTTGGAAGCAAGGGGTGGTGGGTCGCAGATTTGTTAAATGCCCAAATCTGCCCGACTGCAAGGTGGCCAAGAAACAGCAGTGCAGCAAATTGGGTTCTTGAATCGATCTGCGTGCCACTTAGAGTGCAATCCCCTCGTACGCTCGAGTTTTTTCTCTGGCTCACTCCGTCTCCCTCCCGCATGCAGAGCAATGCCTTAACAACACAGAATTAGCCAAACATCTGAATGCAGGACCCCCCCCCCCTCTTTAAGGAGTGGCTTGAGACTCAGTGAGGCTTTCCTGGACGAACGAATGACGTGAAGCTCTGACCTGCTGGTGAGAGAGGGGACGTCCTCAGCCCCTCCCCGGGTGTTGTGAACGGCGACTGTTCCATCCAGCGTCCCCACTGCCAGCAGGTTTGCGTTTGCCGCGGAGAAATCGATGCAGGTCACTCCCGACTCCATGTGAAACACTCTGTCCGGCCACTGGCATGGGGAGAAGCGACGGGGCACGTTCAGTGTGTGCAAACATGAGACGAGTCATAGGGAGTGAAGCAGTCTCGGTCAATAAAGTGATGCTGACTGCTATAGTCATATGCCGCTGTAAAACATTACAGAGGGGGTATACCTAGGGCCAATATTGAAGGTGGATTGTGGTCAGAGTAATTAAGTTAGGTGAACAAGAGTAGGTCGGAGTGCTTTTGAAAAACTGAACTTCGTTGAGTAGAATTTTGACGCGCGACTTTTGTTTCACTCAAATTGATCTTGAGGCCAACTTGATTGCCTCGTTTACTAAATGATTCAATATATTCCGGTAAATAATTCCAATTTAAGAGTTTGTCTGCTAAAATAAATTCGACCAGATAATATTGATCCAGAATGTGCAAAGGATAATGGACTGAAATGTAATGTTATTACATTACACTTTTGAAAACTCGTTTCTTTAGAAGCACTTTTTTGTGTTTAGTTTGTTGTCCTTCCCCCGCACCTCCGAGTAGCACGGTTGGCTACGTACGGTGCGAAATAAGTTCAACGTAGACATGCACAGAGACACTCTCAGGCTCTGAAACAGACGCTTGTCCATCGTTTTAAACCCCCAATCCCTTACAACACTTCGTAATAAACCGTGAAGGGTGGTTTCAAAGTACGTGAAGGGGTCGGAAGCCTCACCGTGGGATTCTTGAGTGACCAGCCACAGGCCAGCCCCTCCTTCTGGTCTCGGATCCCAAACTCCCCATAGCCCACGGCCAGCAGGTCCTACATGTGTACACGCACCATGCAAAAGAGCACACGCCCGCGTACGCGTAAGCCATCTTTAAGTAGCCCGACTGGTCGTGTAGCTTCTGATTGTTTAGAAGCCACGGTTAAAATGGCCTTCATTCACATTCTTTATTTTTCATTCTTTACGATCACAGTTTCGGGAGCAATGATTTAGTGTTCACGTCACTGACATGGGGCATCAGTACCCACCCCCCCACCCCCACCCAATGATCTGACCAGCAGCGACTGAATCCTGCGAGCTGTACAAATAATTCCAACATCGATTTTAATTAACAAAATTAACTAATTGGAGGTAAATATCTATGGTATTCTCCGGATTATAACACACAGTTTTCCTCCTGATTTTTAAAGCAAACATTTTGGGGCTCGTCTTTTAATGTGGTACTTGTGTATGTACGTGTGACCAGATTGTTTAGCTTGACATCGGCTCGAGGTTTGGTGGTGTGACTTACTTTCGAGAGCATCTGATAATCCGGAGAATATGGTGACATCTATTTGGCAAATGTGCCAATTTGGCTTCCAGTTTGTCAAATTGATCCTCTGCCATGAGGCGTTGCCATTCATTCTCCAGTCTATTCGCAAGGGCATTCCTCCCCTTCTGATAGTGCGGTTGTATGTATGTATGTTGAACTTCTTTCGCGCCATACGTAGCCATCCGTGCTAATCGGAGGCGCGGGGGAAGGACAACAGTTACCACCACAGTGCATCGGGTTGTTCGTGCGTGCGCACCCCAATGTGTGAACCTCACCGGGTTGAGCCGGTTCCAGGCCAGGCAGCTGACGTTTCGGCCCTTGGTCAAGCCGCATGAGAAGGCCCAGAGTCGCTGCAGGAAGGGGCCCCCCCCATGCACCACCGCGGGAATCTGCGCGCTGCTTCCGTGCAGCGTCTTCGGGCCGACCTCCATCCCCACGTTTCCCCGGGGCCTCCTCTCTTGCCCCTCAATTGCCTTCGCTTCCTCTGGAGCTCCCTCTTCGTCTTCCGTAACCCCATCAGGATCTGCACAGCACATAACAAACCAGAATCAGAATTATAATATTTATACCGGAGGAAACCGATGAGCTATGAAGATTTTTTTCACGGATGTCCAGTCGGGGCGGATAAGAACGTTACAACAACAAACAGTACAAAAACACGATGGTAGTGCAAAGTACAAAGGTAAACAAATCACCCAAACACAAATAAATACCACACGAAACCATCCCCATCCTACCAGGCAAAGCCTACTGAGGCATTAACTTATTTTTCAGAAGCAATCTGGCCACAAATGATAGCTCAACCGACTCATTGCAGCAGCAGCAGCAGCAGCAATATGAAAGCAATATCATAATATCCGCTATCGGGGATCGTGTGACTTGAGCCAATAACAAGAAGAAAGAAAATGCAACACAAAATGGAATGCCGCATTTGTAGCTAAGAATGCAGGCTGTGCATCCGGGCGGTGAGAGATGAGCGTGAACCCGCCGTTGGTGAGAGAAGACGACGATTAAGTTACGTCCGGTTGCTCTGACTGGTCCTCAATGCCAGGCCGCTTCTGAAATAGAAGCTAATAGCTCAGTGGGCCTTATCTGGTAAGATGAAAAAAAACTTGGATTTGTATATATTTTTGTAAGTGATTTGTTTACCTTTCCTACATTTTGCACTCCTATCGTGTTTGTTTTTATATTGTCTGTTGTTGAAACGTTCTGACCTGCCCTGACCAGTACATCTGTGAAAAAAGGGCTTTGCAGCTCAATCGGATTCCTCCAGCAAAGAATAAACATTGCGATTCCGATCCTGTCTCTCCACCACCCACCTGGCAGCACAGGCAGCTGGCGATAGGCAGCCATCTGGGGCTGATAGAGGTTTGCGACGAGCACGCGCTCCATGGTGGCCAGGTCCCGTTGGAAAGACGGGGAGCCCAGGACGGCGTCCGACGGAGGAGCACTGCTCGGCTCGGCCAGGAGCGGCACCAAGCCCGGGGCAATCTCGGAGCCCTGGGCAGTGCTGGAAGAGAGGCTGCGCTTGCTGTCTACAAACAAAAAGAGAAAGATCCCCCGCCCCCCCGTGTAGCGTTTATCGGGCTGTTAGGGAAAGTTGCTGTTAGCGAGCGCCTATGAAGGCTGGCAAGGCACATGAGCGGGTTGGTGGCCAGCATCACCCCCAGCAGACTTTCTCTCGCTCGTGGCAATGTTTACGCGCCGCACCAGGTACTCATTTGAGGCCGAGTCGACCTTGGGGAAGCCCAGTTCAGATAATCGTCACTGGTGTTGGCTGTGAACGGGAATCAAACTTGGGTCGCCGGGTTCCTAGCGCAGCGCGCTAACCGCCACCATATCGCACACACACACGCAGCTCACATGGTGGGCGGTCGCACAAAAGCCACTTTGGGAGCCGCCTGATCCGTTTGGGGGTTGTACCGTGTGTTGTTTGGTGTGACGTCCGACGTTTCGCTCCACGTGCTGGGAGCTTCTTCAGTTAGCATGTTCTTGAAGAAGCTGCCAGCACGTCCCTAATGTTTCGTGCTTAGTTTGTCGTGCTTCCTTCGCACCTCCGATTATCACGGTTGGCTACGTACAGTGCGAAAGAAGTTCAACATACATAAAATATATACATTCAAAGAGCATTATATACATGAATGCAGCTACTCACCTGTGCCCATGGAGCTTGCAGTAATCGCGGTGCCTGGTGCGAAGCGCTGGCTTGCTGTGAGACTTGTTGACGAGACGGGCTGGCCTGCGCTCTCTGCTTTACCGGTTGCTGTTTTGGAGGCCTCCAATTCGCTTAACGTGTCATGCATGTCCCACGTGCTGGCAAAAATACCTGAAGTGGGCAAATGCGTACGGGTGCGTCATTTATTATACGGTAGTCGCGAGGGGGTCATAAAAAAGCCTGTGACCTGACTTCATGCTACAACGAAAGGTGAATGCTCATTTTAAATGATATTGATGTTCAACAATAATTACCAAATTTTATAGAAATAGATTAGTTCAGCTATTTTACAGATGTTTAAAACATTCTTGTTTGTATGACGAATTATTAAATCACGTACCAAGGATGCGTTTTATGGGCTATCTTACATGAGTATGTAAAGTCATCGTTATGCCCTCTATCCTGATGACATCACTATGATGATGAGAGAGAGAGAGAGAGAGAGACACGCAAACTCCAAATACACAGCAGGCGTCAGGTTCGGGATCGAACCCACGCCCTCCTGTATATCAGGCGAGGTAGTTAACATCTCCTAGCCACCATGTGGCACCCAGTTGACACCTGCATCGGCGGTCACGATCCTGTCACACTGCACTTCCTTGCTCTTCCGCTGCAGGTTGAGTGTCTGCGCGCCGCGCTCCATGTAGCGCTCGTTTCCCACGCGGCTCGAGCACAGCTGCTTGTACGTCTGGTTACGTTGCCTGACATTCCACACACACAACACGGCGCACCAAGACGTTAGTTATGCAGTAGTCGCTGATGAGCCATCAATGGGGCCGTTTCAAATGTTCCTCCAGGTGCCACGACCCGTCGCTCCTAGCCAGGTCCCCCTGGATAGGCATCGTCTACATCTGCGAGCGTGGTGATCTGTGAACACCAGGCTGAGCTTGTTATTGCCTATTTACTCCAGGAATATAAATGAGTCGGCCTATCATTCTTGCAAAGTTTATAAATTGCTCTCGTGTCTTGTAGAAATTCAACAATGACTCTTGATTTATTGGAGGGTGGCATTTCTGGCTTCAGGCCTTCATAACAAGCTAAGCGCATTGCCCAATGCTCGTTTGACAACTGGTCGATTTGAGTTCTGATAATGACGATTGCTTCCCTGTGCCGAGTGGGCGTCGTGGTGGCGAGATGTTAACTACCTCGCCTGGTATGCAGGAGGTCGAGTTTGCACGTTCTCCCTGTGGTCACGTGGATTTTTCTCCGGGTTCTCTGGTTTTTCCCTCCACATTTCGAAACATGCGCTAAGAGTATTTTGGCTGCTATAAATTTCCACGTGATAATTTCCTAGGCTTTGCACTCATCTCGTATTTTTGGACATCTATTCTGATTCTGACTTCATTGAGCTATCATTTGTGTCCAGGTTGCTTCTGAAAAAGAGCTACACAGCTGAGTGGGCCTTACCTCGTAAAATATAAAGTTTAGTTTTGTTAGTTAATTACCTGATAGCCTCTGCCTGGCTGTCTTGTGTGGACACAGACACTGAGGTCATGTCCATGATCTCCATCGTGGAGGTTTCAGACAGCCACAGGGTGACGGTGCGGTTCAGCTCTGCCTCTCCCAGCACCTGTGGGCCATCTTCTTCCCGATTCTGCACCTCTGAGACGAGAATTCAGATTCACATTCGAGCAGAAATGAGCAAAACAGAGAAGCGTATTCAAGTAAATGTGTATGCGTCGTAGAAGACAGTACGTACGCGTAAAAAAAGTGTTATGAATGTTTGCGTGTGCCACCACGGGGTAATGTTCTCATTGGTTTATCCTGTTCAGGTAAAACATGACACGTTTAACGACACATCGATGCATCAATAACAATCGATTCTCGAGCACAATTTACGATATTTTGAGCAATTATACACCTAATTGTGTGTGTGAGTTGATTATGTATAAATATGTAACAAAAATTAGACCGTAACTTCACATCTATTTCCTAACGGAGTGAATAAAATAAACTATATGGAAAAATAAGACATAAAACAAATGGGACGCAATAATTGATTCTTAAAACGAATCCCGACCCCGATATTTTTTCAATCACCGAGGTGTGGCGTGGACTTTGGTCGCGGGTTGAGTCATGACGTGCCTCTAAGATAAGTGCCCGTGTGCGCCTGGCTACCTGCTAAGCTGCTGTAGTCATTCTGGACGCTTGGCTCTGCGATCTCATCTGTCAGGGAATCCAGACTGGAGTGGGCAGACACCGAGAGGCTGCTGCCAAAAGTGGATCTGTGCACAAGAGCGCAGACAAAATAAAAGCACACGCGTTGTACAGGCTTCATGTTTTTCGCGCGCGTCCCCGTATACAGCTACGTATAAGCGTGTGTGCTGCACCAAGATGCATGGAGACTGGAAACAAGCGATTAAACACAAGGTGTCCTGGAGCAAAAACATAGCAGGAACCCCAGCATGCTTTGCATGTGAAGGTGACATCGCCATTCTTGTGCGTGTTCTGCATTCAGCCTTGTGATGGCAAAAATATCAAAAGAACCGAGACTGTGGCATCCGTAATTTATGCAGCAGGGCAACATACATGCCTCAGGCACCAGTGGCAGCAGTAGGCAATGATGGCTATACTGCACTGATGAGTCCTAATAAGGAGAGGATGGGGCCCCCCTCCATGGGAACGTGTAATATCCATCACTGCCGATGGAGACGAGTGCCAGCTCATGGCTCAATTGAGCAAAAGAGACTCCGTGGCTCTGTGTGGCCTGGTGTGCCTCTGCCTAGCCGCACGGCTGCTTCCGCACGTGCTGCAGTGTCCCCGACGCGGCACCTGGTGAACTGGCCGGCCATGCTGGCGGTGTGCACGGCGGTCTGGTAGAAGGAGTAGGAGGAGAGCATGTCCGTGGCGGAGCCCCCCCCCCCGCCAGAGGGGCCCCCCGCTGCGTCCCCTACGCCGGCTCCACGGCTCGCCTTGCCCTGCTCTGGGGTGAAGAGAGGCCGTGGGGTCACGTCGCACCCGTTCTCATCCAGCACCTGCGGGGTTCACACACACACAGCATTGGTATGGGGGCGGTCACGTGATCCTGTGCTAGGGCGTTTGTCACTGGCACGTATGTACGTTAAACTTCTTTCGCACGACACGTAGCCAACCGTGCTAATCGGAGGTGCGCTTGTTGCAGAGGTACATTGTTTGCAACCAGCAGGCCGGCCCTGGTCATTACAGTGGGTGTATTGGCCGTAAAAAAAATACGCGCCGTTTGGTTCACAGTGGATGTTAAAGATCCTGTGCTGTCATTAAAAAAGGGTAGGCCATTGTGTGCGAGCATCATCTTCCAAAGTCGAAATATGACCGGCAAAATGACTCAATTGGGAATTATACACGGCAATCTTATTCTTCTTTCGTATGGCTGATGTAGATGCAGAGGAACAACTACAACTTTTTATTCAGGTGATCAAGCCAGATAACCGCGTTAGGAGCAGTGGAGTGTATTGCTGTAATGTCTCCTTCATATTCATGGATCGGGCCTTGCATGGCTATATGTTATACTACGGTCCGTTCTAGATGACCAGTCGCACACGACTGGAGAGTTTTGCATTTTCAATATGTGCATCAGGTATCTGTATCTGCCATGGTTTGTGCGGATGCGGCTTAGGGTGGACCATGAGCTTCTTGGAAGATCAAACCGATAACAATAATCTCCCCGTAATGTGAAAAAACTTGTTAGAGCCTTGCTGAAAAAGAGTCATGAGACTAAGCGAGGCTTTCCTGGGTTAACATGTGTATTACAGTAATAAAAAACCTATGGAAAGGTTCAGCAAACCTAGTGTGCGGAAACCATCTGTTTGGACCATATCTCTCACATCATTATCAACCATGGTCAATCCACCACTTGATGAAGGCCTCCTTCAGCAAGTTGTCGCCATCTGTCGCAATTCTGCATGGCAACAATCCATCCCGTACCTACCGGACGTCCTCTTAGACCCAGCCAATTCGTAAGGTTTGTCACGTAAATAAAACGTGCCAAAGAGAGTTACTACTTCAGTACACTGGTGTGTTGGAGAGTAAACCCACAACATTTACAGTTTGAGTGCGATGTTTTGCTGGTGATTACAGCCAGCTTCATCAGGCGATTTACCAGAATTGGTGGTGGCGGTTTAACGACACGTTTATATTTACTTGATCTAACCCAAAAAAACCTCTTATGGATAATATTGCTTGCAAACAGCCTACGTGCTAGTTCTTGCCATCTACATGACCGGCGATCTCAGCTCCAGAGTTTTTGGTGGCGAAGTGCGATACACCGTGACCGAACGTCTCCTGTGTTCCGCCGTTGAGTGTGGCTCTGACCAGCATGGAGGGCCGGAGTCCTCCCAGCGCGGCTCCCCCCGCTCTGCCCTCCGCGGGTCCTGCTCCCAAGCTGCGCCGGCTCGACGACGTGAGGATGCTGCGCGTCGTGGCGCTGCGCGTGCCCACGCGGGGGACGACGGCCAGCGAAGAGGCGCCCTGCGCTCCCAGTATCACTCCCCTGCGCTGGCTCATCCCGACGAACGTAGAGCCACTGCGCACACACACACAGACAAGAGTGCACACACACATGGCGCATAGTAGACACGATGGCGATGCCACTGCAGCGCTTGTGCCAGGCTACGTACGCTATGAGGCTATCGTGTAAAGTGTGGACGTCTCGCCGACAGGTCACGGAGGAGGCCCAGATGTTACGGGTTGACTGAGATGACTGGCAGCTACGGTTAAAGAATGGATTTTCGCAGGATTGCCTTTGAGTGATCTAGCTTCAGAAAGTTATTTTAAAATTGTGCTGGGGAATGTTTAGCTGTGTACTGATTAAGGGTGGAGTAGTGGAACAGTGGTTAGCACAGGGCTGCCGACAATTTAGCCTGCGCAGCAGCCTTCAAACACCCGTTGTTTTCACGATGTGGTATTATTCACCCACCCAAGCATTATCCAGGCTCAACGCTGCTTGGCTTCTGAGATCTGATGACATTGGGTGCATTCCAGGTGCAGTACTGTAATTGGGTCATAAGACATACACACACATGCCGTACAACAACAAAAACACACTTGGACAGACACAAACACACGTGCAGACACGCGCTGTGTGCACCCACGGACTGGCTGCAAAGCAGGAGGCGACGACTCACGATTGTTTCCCTCTGGAGTCCTTGCTCAGACTTGGTGGCAACTTCTTCATGGTTACAGATAGATGATGGTGCAGGTCTCTGTGTCACACATACAGGAGATGGTGAAGGTCTCTGTGTCACACACACAGGTGATGGTGGAGGTCTCTGTGTCACTACAGGTGATGGTGCAGGTCTCTGTGTCACTACAGGTGATGGTGCAGGTCTCTGTGTCACTACAGGAGATGGTGCAGGTCTCTGTGTCACACACACAGGTGATGGTGGAGGTCTCTGTGTCACTACAGGTGATGGTGCAGGTCTCTGTGTCACTACAGGTGATGGTGCAGGTCTCTGTGTCACACATACAGGTGATGGTGGAGGTCTCTGTGTCACTACAGGTGATGGTGCAGGTCTCTGTGTCACTACAGGAGATGGTGCAGGTCTCTGTGTCACACACACAGGTGATGGTGGAGGTCTCTGTGTCACTACAGGTGATGGTGCAGGTCTCTGTGTCACTACAGGTGATGGTGCAGGTCTCTGTGTCACACACACAGGTGATGGTGGAGGTCTCTGTGTCACATACAGGTGATGGTGCAGGTCTCTGTGTCACACATACAGGAGATGGTGCAGGTCTCTGTGTCACACATACAGGAGATGGTGCAGGTCTCTGTGTCACACATACAGGTGATGGTGCAGGTCTCTGTGTCACACATACAGGAGATGGTGCAGGTCTCTGTGTCACTACAGGTGATGGTTCAGGTCTCTGTGTCACTACAGGAGATGGTGCAGGTCTCTGTGTCACACACACAGGTGATGGTGCAGGTCTCTGTGTCACACACACAGGTGATGGTGCAGGTCTCTGTGTCACACACACAGGTGATGGTGGAGGTCTCTGTGTCACTACAGGTGATGGTGCAGGTCTCTGTGTCACACATACAGGAGATGGTGCAGGTCTCTGTGTCACACATACAGGAGATGGTGCAGGTCTCTGTGTCACTACAGGTGATGGTTCAGGTCTCTGTGTCACTACAGGAGATGGTGCAGGTCTCTGTGTCACACATACAGGAGATGGTGCAGGTCTCTGAGTAGCTAGTGAGTGTAGTTAGTGAGTAACTAGTGATTGTAGCTAGTGAGTGTAGTGAGTGATTGTAGTTAGTGAGTAACTAGTGAGTGTAGTTAGTGAGTGTAGCGAGTGAGTAACTAGTGATTGTAGCTAGTGAGTGTAGTGAGTGATTGTAGTTAGTGAGTAACTAGTGAGTGTAGTTAGTGAGTGTAGCGAGTGAGTAACTAGTGAGTGTAGCTAGTGAGTAACTAGTGATTGTAGTTAGTGAGTAACTAGTGATTGTAGTTAGTGAGTAACTAGTGATTGTAGTTAGTGAGTAACTAGTGAGTGTAGCGAGTGAGTGTAGTGAGTGATTGTAGTTAGTGAGTAACTAGTGATTGTAGTTAGTAACTAGTGATTGTAACTAGTGAGTAACTAGTGATTGTAGCTAGTGAGTGTAGTGAGTGATTGTAGCTAGTAACTAGTGATTGTAGCTAGTGAGTGTAGTTAGTGAGTAACTAGTAAGTGTAGCGAGTGATAGTAGTGAGTGAGTGTAGTTAGTGAGTAACTAGTAAGTGTAGCGAGTGATAGTAGTGAGTGAGTGTAGTTAGTGAGTAACTAGTGAGTGTAGCGAGTGAGTAACTAGTGAGTGTAGCGAGTGATAGTAGTGAGTGAGTGTAGTTAGTGAGTAACTAGTAAGTGTAGCGAGTGATAGTAGTGAGTGAGTGTAGTTAGTGAGTAACTAGTGAGTGTAGCGAGTGAGTAACTAGTGAGTGTAGCGAGTGATAGTAGTGAGTGAGTGTAGTTAGTGAGTAACTAGTAAGTGTAGCGAGTGATAGTAGTGAGTGAGTGTAGTTAGTGAGTAACTAGTGAGTGTAGCGAGTGAGTGAATGTGGTTACCGTGAACTCGCAGCGGCTGACGGCAACGCTGTCGCCGTCACCATGGCGACGCGTTTTTATCAAGAGCCGCGCTGATTGGCCGCGTCCCTCTCCTATTAACGCCGCGTCCCATTGGTTGCTGGAAGCGACTTCGCCGCCGCAGGTGCGTCAAGTGCGTGACGTCATCGCGCGTGGAGCGGTGGCGCAGCGGTTAGCGCGCCGGCCCCACACGAGTTCGTTTCCAGCTCGCGACCGACGGGGGGGGGGGGGGGACGTCCTCTTTCTCACAGAGGTCCAGTAGGAGTCCAGAGTATAGGAAAGGTATGCAAGTCACGAAAAAAATTAACCCGTAAAAACAAAGTTTTTCACTATAAATCCTTTATATGCGTGGCATCGGTTTTTATTTAATTATTCATTTCTGTTTTTGTCGAGTAAGAGTTTCATTTTTATCACATTGGTATTTTTAATAAAATATGCAAAAAAAATTCCTAAAAAGTGAAAATTTTGGAAATTTTTTTTCACGAAAATAAATTGTCACGCACAACGAGTCTGTGTGCAAAACGTCAGCTCGATTGGATCACGGGAAGTGGGTTAAAAAACGACCGAAAGATTTGCATGGTCGTAAGCGCGCAAGCAAGCAAGCAAGTGAACTTAATATAAAGGATTTAACAAGTAAACCCATAAAAACAAAGTTTTTCACTATAAATCCTTTATATGCGTGGCGGCTAGAGTCCTCTCGTCCTCTGGCTTGAGATGGCTGCCACCTATGGGTCAGATGATTGTCTGCCACCATTAAGCAATTGGTAATTAAATATTTAATTTGTTTTCCCTAAACAGTGTAAAATTTTGGATTTTTTTTCACGAAAATTAATTGTCACACACAACGAGTCTGTGTGGAAAATGTCAGCTCGATTGGATCACGGGAAGTGGGTTAAAAAACGAGCGAAAGATTTGCACGGTCCTAAGCAAGCAAGCGAACTTAATATAAAGGATTTAAAAATATATTCGCCTGTGGAGGACGCGGGGATCGATCCCGCGACCTTTGGCATGGGAAGCGAGGGCGCTACCAACTGCGCTACTCCACCACGGCCTGTGGAGGTGTTACGCCCTGGGCTCTTACACTCTGACGTTCAGCCAAAGCCATGAATACGTTCTATTTGAATAAATGTAAAATAATTTTTTTTGCCTAAAAAGTGTAAAATTTTGGGAATTTTTTTTCACGAACAATAATTGTCTGGCACAACGAGTCTGTGTGGAAAATGTCAGCTCGATTGGATCACGGGAAGTGGGTTAAAAAACGACCGAAAGATTTGCACGGTCCTAAGCAAGCAAGCACGCAAGCAAGCAAGCAAGCACGCAAGCAAGCAAGCAAGCACGTGAACTTAATATAAAGGATTTAAAAATATATTCGCCTGTGGAGGACGCAGGGATCGATCCCGGAACCTTTGGCATGGGAAGCGAGGGCGCTACCAACTGCGCTACTCCGCCACGGCCTGTGGAGGGGTTACGCTCTGGGCTCCTACACTGTGACGTTCAGCCAAAGCCATGAAAGAGTTGTATTTGAATAAATGTAAAATCATTTTTTTTTGCTAAAAAGTGTATCATTTTTGAATTTTTTTTCACGAACATTAATTGTCTCGCACAACGAGTCTGTGTGGAAAATGTCAGCTCGATTGGATCACGGGAAGTGGGTTAAAACACGAGCGAAAGATTTGCACGGTCCTAAGCAAGCAAGCAAGCACGCAAGCAAGCAAGCGAACTTAATATAAAGGATTTAAAAAGTAGAAAAATACAAATTGCAAAAGTGTCAATGTTGGCCAGGTTATGGTTTTGGGGGGGAGGGGGGGGTGCCCATGTTGGTTAAGTCGAACAGAGTGTCGCTCAACCTGAGCTCGATCACTGCTCGATCACATAGACGTGTATTCAGAATGTCCCACCTTGATCGGTGCGCGATGAGTGCACTCGCTGTAAGAGTCGCCCAAAGCACCGGGATTCTAAAGCAGCCACGTGATTTTCCGTCGCTAGGGGTCTCCCTCGTGTTGCAGTCTCGCACTGCGGCTGCTGTGTTGAGAGCTCCGGAAAAAGTGTCAAAAAAAATCCCACGGCGATACAAATCCCTAGTCCCACGCAAAAAGATCCTCCCGTATAGCCTCAAAACACACCCACCGTTCTGAAACAAAACCTCAACAAATTCCACACATCGTGTTAGTGGCGAGATTTTCACTACCTCACCTGATATACAGGAGATCGTGGGTTCGATCTCGACCCTGACGCCCGGATATTTGGAGTTTGCGTGTTCTGCCCGTGGTCATGTGGACTTTTCTCCGGGTCCTCTGGTTTTTTTCTTCTTCATATTTAGAATTGACAACACGCGTTTAGAGTATTTGGCTGCAATAAATGTGCACGTGTTAAGCCACTTCGTTGAGCTATCGTTTGTGGCTCGGTCGCTTCTGAAAAAGAGCTACATAGCTCAATGAACCATACCTGATAAAAAAAAAAAAACAAGTCTGTCATCTCACTAGGGTTTTATAAATTGAGGGACCCCACCTCTTAAATAAATCATGCGTAGTGCATCAGAACATCAACAGGTAGATGCGCTCTACTTCGGAAACGGAACATCAAAGACGCAGCCACAGCGGTGCGATTGTGCTCATGCAACCCAGACGCTGGACCGCACAGCAAACCCACTGCGGTCTGCGTTCCTTCAACGGAGGGGGAATTTTTAATTTAAAGCTTTCGTGACTGCAGGGATTCATCTTCTTGGTTCTTTCGGTAAAGTCACGTAGAATGGAAATAATAAAATAATAAAAGTAAAGCATAATTTTTTTATTTAATTATGTTTTACTTGTATTATTATTATGGAAATAATAAAGCAATAAAAATATTTTTTTAATTAATTTAATAATGTGTTACTTTTATTATTTTATTATTTCCATTCTACGTGACTTTACCGAAAGAACCAAGAAAAAAAAGGAGGGGGAATTGTTAAAGTCACCACACGAACTCTCCTCTCCCTCTGTCTCTCTGTGCCGTATCCTCTTTCATCGTGGCCAGCAGCAGACTTCGACATTGGCAACTAGCTCCTGAACGTACTCCACTGCTGCTACTGCTGCTACCATAATGCGCAAGAATAATATTTTTTTTAAAAAGCTCCTTTCCGGACTTGGCCTATTATTGAGCCCAGACAAAAACAAAGCTTTTTTTTCTTTGTTCCAGTCGGATTTTCCATTCGAGTTTTGGCTGCCAAACGGCTACCGCTGTTTTGCTAACGCGGCTTTGTGGTCGCTGTTTTTTTTGTCCGCGTTTCTCACCACGTTGACACTAGAGGGCACTACAACTATAGCAGTCAGGTTCCATGAATGTAAAAACAAACTAATTTCGTCAAAAACACTGTGGCTTTAAAAATAAACAATTGTATAATAGGCGGGCAATGGCTCTTCCTAGAGAGGTAGATACCCATCGGCCACAGCTACCACCACCCCTTCATCATTCCACTGCTGGATCAAAGCTTTTTCACGCAATTGTCGGTTGTGGGAGTCGTTTTGACCATCCTTCACCTGGTGGGTCATTTGCGGGTTGCTGTGAAGCGGGCGGCCAATGACCAGTTCAGACATCGATTGCTCCTGATGTAGATGTACCTCTCTGGCCTCTCTATGTCCTGTGAAACATTGCCTCTGAAGTCTTGATTTGAAGCTTTTGTGACTGCAGGAATCCACACTCTTTGGTTCTTTCGGTAAAGTCACGTAGGTATAAAATTAAATAAATAGTGATTTATTTGATTTTTGTAAAATAAATAGTGATTTATTTAATTTTTGTTTAATAAATAGTGATTTCTTTTATTTTTTACCTACGTGACTTTACCGAAAGAACCAAAGAGTATTGCCTCTGAAGTACGTGCTCTCTTGAAGGATGAGTTATTGACGAACGTGCCAATCTACTGGTGGATGAAGTGCAGTTTCAAGTCTTAATATCAGTCATGGGGTTGTTTGACCACACCTCGTCACGCTGGTCTGTACAGGTTAATTGAACAGGGAGCCCAGGATAGGTTCGGTTATATATTACAACGTTGAGAGTGATGTATGTTGCTGGTCGTTTGACGTTTTATAATATTATTATAATATTATAATATTATTTTATTATGTTTTATTTTTATTATAAATTTATTATTATTAATAAAAATAAAACATAATAAAATAAGATAATAGTTATTTTATTATGTTTTATTTTTATTATTTTATTATTTCTCTTCTACGTGACTTTACCAAAAGAACCAAGAAGATGCTTGTCTATTGTGCTAGGTTGTCATTATCGACACGCGACTCTCATGATAATGTTGTCGTGTGTGTATTATACACGTGAGTAGTTAATGTACAGGGTGGCCCAAAAGTGAGGACACACAGTGTTATTTAATTTTATCAAATCACGTAACGTTATTTGATTTATATTAACACATGTTCAGACGGACTTTGCGTTAACATTTATGCATGCGTTCATTCCCTTTTGAAACGAATGTGGGACTCTCTTGTTAAGACGACAGGCACAATCTTCGAACACGTTTCGATGATGTTTTGTCGTCTCAATGTCTTCGGGGTTCTCGGTCGAGTTTTTGTAACCGACGGGTTTTAGGTGACCCCCTAGGAAAAAAATAGCTATTATAAAAAAAAGAGAGATAAAATATTAAAATGTTTTAATGACAGTTTTAAAATAAACGAAATAACCCGATGTGTCTTTACTTTGTGGGCACTTGTTGGCCACCCTGATGTTCTTAGAGAGAATAAGTAGGCTTTAAATTGGCACGGATGTATAGTGAGGCATATGTCAGATGAAATCGGCCCGAGAGGACAAGCACTGAGGAGATGGAACAATGGATCTCCGCACGTGTAGGAGTGAGATGGATTGTGGAATTGCAGGACCCACGAAGAATTGTGATGTCGTGGACGAAGGGCCTTCTTCCAGCAGTGGATATGCCATGGTTGATGGTGATACTGATCAATTCTTCTTTGTAGGGCTGGGGAAGCGGTTATAGTTTGATGTCAAGATTAGCGATCCATTCAGCGGATTCAGGCGAGGCAGAGCGAGTGGTCGTGATGCCAGAAGTTCAGAATGGAGGAATCCGATGATCTATAAAGTTCTTTTTCACAGATATCCAGTCGGGACACGGGGTAAGAACGTTCCAACAACAAACAAGACAAAAACACAATAGGAGTGCAAAGTACAAGTAAGGTAAACACGTCACACAAACACAGACAAATACAACACTCAACCAGCCCCATCCTACCAAGCAAAGCCCACCGAGGTATTAACTTATTTTTCAAAAGCGACCTGGCCACAAATGATCAATAACGTGGCCCCATCATTTGGACATTTATAGCACCAATATCATCTCAATAATGGGTGGTGTCCACAGTCACAATTTGGGCTACATATCACGATCCATGTCTTCTCTGTCGCACCTTCGATAAGCACGGTTGGCTACGTACGGTCCGAAATAAGTTCGACGTAAGCCTATCTCATCATTAGACCTCCTTTGCCAGTACCAAAATATAATAATAGGGTTTTTCCCCTTTTTTCTGGCAATAAAACTGAAACCTTTTTACAAGGAATCATGTGTGCATTAACCAAAAGGCATTTTGACCACAGGTATTGCGGTTAATGGACACATGATTCCTTGTAAAAAGGTTTCAGTTTTGTTGCCAGTTAAAAGGGGAAAACCCCTATTTTTATTGTTATTGTACAGCTTATCCTCAAACGGTTGAGGGTTGTCCACGTTTTCCGGTGCAAGGTTGAACCCCTGGGGCTTCACCGCTCGGGTCAGTTACCAGGTTGTAATCGGCGATGTTTTTCCGTCAAACCATGCCGATCAATAATGAAGAGTAGCGTAACGATCGATCAAAACGAGACGGTGTTTGTGTATGTGTCGGCTGCGTGTGTGTGTTGTGTACCGAGGTGAAGTGGGGAGCGGTAGTGTAGCGGTTAGTGCGCTGCGCTACGAACCCTGCAACCCCCCCCCCCCCCGAGTTTGATTCCCACTCACGGCCACCAACACCGGTCACATTATCTGAACCGGTCCTGGGCCTCCTCCCCAAGGTCGACTCGGCCTCAAATGAGTACCTGGTGCGGTGTGTAAACATCGCCACTGGGGAGACAAAGACGTGTGCCGTGGTGGCTTTCAAAGGTGCTCAACTAGCAACTCTTGCCCAAACAGTCTGTCGAGGCGATGCGGGGGATCTGTTTTGTATTTAGGTAATAGTACGGTGCGTTACAGATGAAGCGTTAACAGAGGATGTTGCTTACGTCGTTTTACACAAATCCACTTGTCAAATTGTACGCACGGCAGTCTAATTCTTACAGCTGGTATGATCAGCAGCAGCAGAATAATCATCGTTGGCAACATCAGCATCAGGGGCAGCATCGCAGCACTAACATCATCAGTAGCATCATCAGCAGCAACATTATCAGCACCATCAGCATCAGCAGTCTCATCATTAGCAGAATAATCATCATTAAACCAATCAATAAATCGTTAGTTTGCGTACCAATATCGCCTCTCAATAAAGTGGGCATCAGTGCACATTACGACGGAACGGGACCGGTAACAGAGGGTACGAAGCAGCAACAGAGATGATGAACGAGACCCATCAGACCCTCAGCGGCTCACGCCGGCTGAGCAGAGTCAATTGCAACCGTGCGAATCGAATAGCATAAGAAAGTTAAGTGGCACATGAAGAATAAATAAAATAAATGAAAAGTAAAGAGACAGTTTTTATTTCAAATTTTAGATTTCATCACCATTATAACATAAGTTGACGCCTCTCATAATCACCATTATAACATAAGTTGACGCCTCTCATAAGGCGGCTATTGGTACCATCATCATCAGCAGTAGCATCATCATCAGCAGCAGAATTTATCATAAACGACACCAATAGCAGGCAGCATCAAAATCAGCATGATCGTCAGAAACCGGTCACCAATAGAAACATCATTATAATTATCAGCAGCTGTTGAGCAGGCATCTGGTGAAGAACTACGGCACAATGGGCTGTAGGATGTCCCTCAAAGTCCATATCCTTGATGCTCATCTTGATAAATTCAAGGAGAACATGGGAACGTACTCGAAGGAGCAAGGCGAGCGCTTCCACCAGGATATACTGGACTTTGAACGCCGCTACCAAGGACAGTATAACGAGAACATGATGGGAGACTACATTTGGGGGCTGATTCGTGAAAGTGATTTACAGTTTCATCGTAAATCTCGAAAAACTACTCACTTCTAAATTTTAGTAGTCATTTTTGCATTACTTTAGTATAAATACACCTTAATTTTGATTCGTACAGTATGTTTTTTTTTCTGACTTTATGTGAACGAAAAGACACAAATTCGCCCGTTTTCTTATTGAAAATAGGTAAATTGCAAACTATCATTGTCCTGGTCACAAAAGCAAAGTTTGTGGGGAATAATAGCCATTTTCTATACTTTTTAGGCATAAGCAATTACGATATAACACTTACTACCCAGGAACAAAAATTGTGTTACATAGAGTAATCAGCAACGATAATCATCAGCAGCAAACATAATCATCATCAGCAAATATAGTCATCAGCAGCAAACAATCATCAAAAGCAAAGATAATCTTCATCATTAGCAGCAGAGAACGTATTCATCATCATCAGCAGCAAACATAATCATCAGCAGCAAATATAGTCATCAGCAGCAAACAATCATCAAAAGCAAAGATAATCTTCATCATTAGCAGCAGAGAACGTATTCATCATCATCAGCAGCAGCAAACATAATCATCAGCAGGAAACAATCATCATAAGCAGCAAACATTATCATCAGCAGCATTCTAATCATCATCAGCACGAGAGCGGGCATCTATAAATGGGCAGCGCCTCTTGGATCGAGGCGGCTATTGTGAGTCCAGTTTGATCGTCGTCATCGTCATCATCATCAGGGGCCACAACGCACGGGCGGCTGAATGGCGCCACTCACGCACGGTGCCCTCACTCAGCCACTCCCAAGCAGCGCGCGCTGTCCTAAGTAGCCCTTTATACGACGAGGAATAGAGTGTGGGGGCGGGAGGTGTGGGGAGTGTGGGGGGAAAGAGGGGGGAGTGTGGGGGGAAAGAGGGGGGAGTGTGGGGGGAAAGAGGGGGGAGTATGGGGGGGGAAGGAGGGAGTGTGGGGGGAAGGAGGGAGTGTGGGGGGAAGGAGGGGGAGTGTGGGGGGGAAGGAGGGAGTGTGGGGGGGAAGGAGGGAGTGTAGGGGGGGGGGGAAGGCGGGGGAGTGTGTGGGGGGGAGGAGGGGGAAGGAGGGGGAGTGTGGGGGGGAAGGAGGGAGTGTGGGGGGAAGGAGGAAGTGTGGGGGGGGAGGAGGGAGTGTGGGGGGAGGAGGGAGTGTGTGGGGGGGAGGAGGGGGAAGGCGGGGGAGTGTGGGGGGAAGGAGGGGGGAGTGTGGGGGGGAGGAGGGGGGAGTGTGGGGGGGAGGAGGGGGGAGTGTGGGGGGAAGGAGGGGGGAGTGTGGGGGGGAGGAGGGGGGAGTGTGGGGGGAAGGAGAGAGGAGTGTGGGGGGGGGAAGTGTGGGGGGAAGGAGGGGGAGTGTGGGGGGAAGAAGGGGGTAGTGTGAAAGGGGGAAGGTGTGGGGGGAAGGAGGGGGGAGTGTGGGGAGAAAGAGGGGGGAGTGTGGGGGGGGGGGAGTTTGGGGGTGTGGGGGAGGAAGGAGGGGGTAGTGTGGGGGGGGGGGAGTTTTGGGGAGAGTGGGGGGAAGGAGGGGTGGGAAGGATGGGCAGGTGGGGGGAGTGTGTGCGTGTAGGAGGAGGAGGTTGATCATTGTGTAACCCTCCTCCCTCTCTCCTGAAGGACCCACCTAATGGTCCGGCTCTTTAATCAGACGAGCGAGGTGGTGGTGGTGGGTGGGTTGGTGGGGGTGTGGAGATGCGTGAACCGCTTTAGTTCGCAGATTGCCCCCCACCTCTCACCCCCCCCCCCCACTTCACACTTGCGCGTCCTTAAGAGGCCACGCCACAATCCGGTCCATCAGCAGCGGACAGGAGCCAGAGAGAGAGAGGCAGGGAGAGAGAGGCAGGGAAGGAGAGGATGGAGAGTTGAGAGTGGCGCTTGTGACGATATTCTATCAAGAACGTTTTGCTTGTGCCAACCCCGACAACCCACGACCAACACACAGGGTAACCACCACCCCCCCACCAACGCATTCAACCATACAGATATGCGCATCGCATGTGCATGTGTTACATGTTTCACACGTACACATTACGCTCGCATACTCAATATTCATCGTTCGGTATTTAAACTAGACACATCTTACTTTGCAAACACACTCACACAAATAAGTACGTTTCAGAGATTCCATATAGACACGCGCCAGTTTACATATATAACCTAATCTAATATTTATAGACTGTATACACACATATAATACATACACACTTGTTGCAGCTACGCGCTCACGCACTCCCCACATAATACGCGCATTCTGCCTTTTACGCACAACCTCAAGATACTATATTTCTCACGCATAACCTACCCACATTGACTTCAAGCCTAGCCTTACCTTTCACACTAAACACAGTGGAACTTCTCCGCAGTACGCGTCTTGCAACAGTCAACATATCACACACACAACGCAAAGGTGACCCCCGCCTGTAACACTTTAGTTGGCACGAGTGCTGCTGTAAGCGCCGACAATTGGTCAATCCGACAAAGAGCCACAGCACCCACGAGCTGCTGGGTCAAGTGCTGGCGAGGTGAGCCGCCAAGGCGGCACAGACACAAAGAACACAACTCACCGCCATGAGCTCCACATCCGAGGTGACTCTCGTCCTCAACACCTCAACGGAGCCGATGGCTGGGGGAGCCAATTCGAGCTCTACGTCGTCCTCGGCCGTGTACCAGGGCTTGTTCTCCCAGCCTCTCCTGGCCGCGGTGACCGCCACGAGTGTCCTGCTCTTCGCCTTCGGGGTGTTGGGGAACTCCATGACCATCGCGGTGTTCTCGAGAACTCACGAAATGCGCACCACCACCTACCTCTACCTGTCCAGCATGGCCGTGTCGGACCTGCTCATCTTCTCGTGCATGCCCTTCGACCTGTACCGCCTCTGGCGCTACCGGCCGTGGTTGTTCGGGGACTTTGTGTGCAGGTGCTTCCAGTACGTGAGCGAGAGCTGCACTTACGCCACCATCCTGCACATCACGGCGCTCAGCGTGGAGAGGTACCTGGCCATCTGCTTTCCCCTCTGGGCTAAGGTGAGCTGAGTTTTTGTCCCGGATTGCGGCCCCCCCTCTCCGGGATTTAAGGGGGGACGGGGCGCACGCGTGGATGGATGGTGCACAAGTCGTCACAATCACCATCATCATCATTTAGTCATCATCACCATGTGTTATTTGTTCATATGTTTGACCCTTAATGTTTATTTAACACGTAGGCTTTCCTTAACAAACAAAAATGTTATTTTGTTCCTGGGTAGTAAGTGTTATTTTCCAATTGCTTATGCTTCATAAGTACAGAAAATGGATATTATTATTCCCCACAAACTTTGCTTTTGTGACCAGGACAGTGATATTTTGAAATGTACCTATTTTCAATGAGAAAACGTGTGCATTTGTGTCTTTCTTTCACATAAAGTCCTGGCCACAAAAGCAACGTTTGTGGGGAATAATAGCCACTTTCTATACTTTTGAGGCATAAGCAATTAGAAAATAACACTTACTACCTAGGAACAAACATCGTGTTACATAGTGTTTTCAGTAATCGATTATATATATACACGTTTCAAATATATGTTTATTTATTAACAATATGACACATATATTGGTGAAAAATAAACAAACATTCAGGATCGAGCATAGCAACAAATATGCCGTAGCTCTCCGTCACGGTGTGTTTTCGTGTGGTACCAGACGCGTTGTTCGGCTCAACGTCCGACGTTTCTCGCCGCGTGCTCGGGAGCTCATTCAGTTCCAGCTGTAAAACAAATTGACTTCGATGGGTTTTTTTGTTTGTGCAGTCACTGGGGACTGGGGTGAGACCACCGATTCACGACACGAGAAAACACGGTTTAATCACAACATGCACGGTCTATGCGAGTGTCAATTTGTCTCTATGCGAGTCTACGGATCTCAGTGTGGGTCTATGGTTCTCGATGTGAGTCTACAGGTCCCTTATGATAGCCACTGGCGATGGAGCCGACTCCCCTTGAGAACCCGGTTTAACCACGGGCAGTGGCTGAGCCCAACATTCTAACTCAGGATTCTCAGCAGTCCCACCTCTGAGCCTGGATGTCCTCCTAACGACAACGACGATGATGATTTAACCTTGGCTAAATTAAAGCCTCCAACACTCGCTTGCTGGCCGCATTAAGTTCGACCAAATCTGCCGGTCACTGCCACACTCGGGGAACTGTGATGTTTCAAGTTCAAGTTCATTTATTAGGTATAGCCCTGTGAGCCATTCGGCTCTTGAATCGGGTGCAACTGCAACAAACAAAAAACTAAAACATGAACAAAAAAACATCTTGATGTGAATATGTGACTAAGTGCAAACAGAAAATCCAAGAAAAGACAGCGAAATATTGCAGAAAAAACACCGTACACCAACGCTGTGTGCAAAAATCCCAGTGGGATGCAAGTTAAACAACAACAACAACCACAAGACAACTTAGATTAAGGCCATCAGTCTAACTCTGTACTACAACAAACAAACATGGCTAAACCAACACATTTTTCGAAATCACCAAAACAAAGCCATGAAAGCAATGAAAAAGCAATCATAGGAACTGTGACGGAATTTTCACAATAAATGTCTGGACTGCACGGACTCTGATCTCTGTCTCCCGAATGCCTCTCGCAGTGGCCAGCAACAATAAAGCGCCGAAGACTCTAACGGTGTGCACAGAGGTGTAGACACAAGACCAACCACGCAGGATTGGTGAAGGCGGGGACCACAGAGAACATGGGGAGTGCAGTACAGGTTTCCCTCGCTTCATGCGGGTTCGGTTCGCGTCCGTGCGGCTAACATTTTTGTACCCCCAAAAAAATCGCTCGATACGGTCTGAATTCACAGAGATGCGGCGATGCGGTCGGACGTGGGACAACGTACTGTGTGTACTGTGTGTGTGTACTGTGTATGTGTAATGTGTATGTTGCACTATCAGGTGGATATTTATAGCAGCCAAATACTCTAAACGCATGTTTCTAAAATTTCAGGGAAAACCCAGAGAAAAATCCACGCGACCACGGGGAGAGAGACATGCAAACTCCAAATATACAACAGGCGTTATGGTCGGGATCGAACCCATGCCCTCCTGTATACCAGGCAAGGGAGTTAACATCTCCTAGCCACCGTGGCTGGCCACTTGAACAGTGGCAGGAAATCAACAGCACGTATTGGAAACTCACTTCTTCAGTAACTGCTTTTCTCTGTTTAGTTTTGTAGTCCTTCCACCGCACCTCCGATTAGCGCGATTGGCTACGTACGGTGCGAAAGAAGTCCCAACGTACGCACGGCACACAATACGCCCCCGCCACGTAACAGCTCGCAACGCAGCTCGCCCGACTCGACCACGGCATCCGTTGCTTTCACAGAGACACCGATTCCGCGCACGAGGTGTGCACGAACAATCATGATTGCCAGGTCACGTCTCCTCGGTGGCCCAGTGCGTCGCTGTAACAACGCGGATGGGGGAACAATTCACGGCACGGGCAGTAAGGAGCACGGCCGAGAAGGAAACGAAGGGTAGGGAAGAAACCACCGCGCTTGCACTCACGATGGGATTGACCCTCCAGGCTAGCGAAAGGGACGGACGTGAGTCCACCACTGGATCTCTCCTCGGGCGACGCGCATTCGTAGCAAGGCCGTAATTATCATATATATTGGGGGGGACACATCTCTCCAATATTCAAATATGGTCAAAACGTCCGTCCCCCCCAATATATTGCTATAAAAATATTAACAAAAAACAACAATTTGCTAAACCTTGGCCACAATATCTGGACTTGTCTTCATATAACAATGCATAGATTTCTGTTTCTATGATTGTGGTTATGGTTGTACTTTATGGATCCCTAATCTCTGCCATTACATACAATGAAACAAGAAATGGTAAAAAAGAAAAAAACAGAGCAATGCAATACAATACACTATTAGACATCATTGTAAAAAATAAATAAAAAGTCCATCTCATGTGTTAGTGAATTTTTTAATATTTCAGGTAGGAAATTAGTTTTCAAATTAGATTTTTTTTCTGGGGGGGGAAACCCCAGACCCCCTGGAAGATTTGGTCCCCCCCCAATGTTAACTCCATGGCTACGGCCTTGATTCGTAGAAGTGTCCCAACCTGGAATGTGCCACCGCCACCGCCACATAGTGATTCACTCGCAGAGCGATGTTTCTTGAGCCTGTGAATGCGTTCACTTCTTCATCCACCCGTTTCGTGACTCGTTGGCCCGACGCTGGTACGTTGACCCTGCGTCGGCCGCGCGCGTCAAGTCCCCACCACACGTCAGCCCGGTCGCAACGCCCCGCGCCCGCGCCGTCCACGGCACTCAAACGGGCAAAATCGTTCGTCCTCAGGTGGCCATCACGCGTCGGCGGGTGAGGGCCCTCATCCTGGGCCTGTGGGTCCTGGCCCTGGGCAGCGCGGGCCCCGTGATCTCCATCGTCAGCGTGCAGGTGGAGAAGCGTGAGCCGGTGTGCATGGTGACGGACGAGGCGCGCAAGTCGGGCAGGCTCGAGATCATCACGTGGATGTCCACCGCCTACTTCTTCCTGCCCGTCTTCTGCCTCGCCGTGCTCTACGGACTCATCGGCCGGCGGCTGTGGCTGCGGCGGACCGAAGCGGTGGTGCCCTGCATGGTGCAGCACGAGAAGGCTCACCGGCAGACGGTGCGCATGCTCGGTGAGAACGCACGCACGCCGTCACCGCCGCAGGGCCACACGAGGATCTCCCCCCTCCCCCTCTTCCCCTTCTCCCACTGTGGGTGCGGACGCTTTCCGGCCGAAGGAAGCGTTGAGCGCTGGGATTTCGGGACATTTGTTGTTGCGCGCGGTGATCCGCCGACCCTCGCTGCTGCTGCCACTGCCTCCGCAGCGCTGGAGGATTGTGGGTAGCCCACGTGCACAGCGTGGCCACCACCAGCGCCAGCTCCCCGCCCCCCTCCCACCTGTATTGCATCGTGAAAAACGATGTAGCGGCAAACCGAGCACAGCTGTAAACAGACCCCCTGCCTGGGAGACAAATCGCGGCAGACATTAGGACGGGCGACGGCCTCCGCTGTTGTATCCGCAGATCATCGGGTGCCGCGTTTGACACGAAGCGACCGGCGTGAGCTGCTCTCAGGGACCCCTGCCCCGCCTGGCGAGGACTAAGCTATTACTCCTAAACTAGTTTTTATTTTACCAGGTAAGGCCCTCTGAGCTATTAGCTCTTTTTCAGAAGCGACCTGGCCACAAATGATAGCTCAACGAAGTGGCTTATTACGTGGAAATTCATTGCAGCCAAATAATCGAAATAATCCTAATGCATACTAATGAAACGAAACTATTTATATTTTACCAGGTAAGGCCCAAATGAGCTATATACGCTCTTTTTTAGAAGCGATATGGCCACAAATGACAACTGAACAAAGTGGCTTTTTTTACGTGGACATTTATTGCAGCCAAATACTCTAAACGAATGTTTCAAAAATGTGGAGTTAAAAGCCGGAGGGCCGTGAAAAAAATAGCCACGCGACCACGGGGAAAGAGCCATGCAAACTCCAAATATACAGCAGGCGTCCAGGTCGGGGTCGAACGCACGGATCTCATGTATACCAGGCGAAGCAGTTAACATCTCGCCACTGCGGCACCAATAGCATTGACCTTTGGCGACTATCTGGCCCGTGACATCTGCGTCTCCATTCTCACGCGGCCTTTAAAGTTGCGGGGCCACCGTTGATTTGTGAAGTCGTTCGTTATGACAAATGATTGGACGTCTTTGGAGGAGAGGGGGTTGCGAAATCGCGTCATTACCTCTTTAAATCACACACGACGAGGTGGCCGAGCGGCTCAGAGGTCAGAGCTGCTGACATTCCGGGTTCAAATCCGGCTTCCAGCAACTGCCTGTTGTCAAGTTGCAGCGAGTTCACGTCAGCGATGACTGCGCGAATAAAAGGCCACCACATTAAATTGAAGGCCGCACTGAGGCTGGCTACGCTATATCCGTGCTGTGCGAGTTAAAATATCGACTCACATTAATTACTCTCGTGTCGCGCGGCGGTTAGGCACGTGTTGCCCCTACTGTGTGGGCCAGAGGTCAGTTGAAGCGATCTCAGCGGTAGCTCTTTGGTATCCGCGTCTGCGGGACGTTCTTCTCGCTTCCTGAGTTCCGAATGGACAAGAGGAGGGCCCTACCCTCGGTGAAGGAAACAAAAAAAAAAGTAGACAATTGGAATGCAATTGAGACAAGAAACAACGCAAAAAAACTGTATCATCATTAAAACCAAAAGCCTGACACAATAGCATCACTTTGCGCTTCCTTGCAACCGCGACCCACCAAAGCCAAGCACTCAGTCAGCGCCCGCAACGCGGCGCTCCGTGCCCGTGGCGGGGCCATCAATCAGCAGCCGCTCGCGTGAGAGGGCCGCATTCACCGCGGCGTTCAACTCCACAGGCCCGCCACCACGTACGCCCCACTCGTCTGTTGCGCCATGAATCCGCGAGGCGTAAATAAAAACATTTTTTAGTTGTTGCGTAAACGACGCGGGGGTTTTTTTTTTTGAGGGGGCGATTTCGAGCGAGGACGATCTGAGGACGCTGGCTCAGAAGTTATGTGGGTAAGGGGGGAAAGGGGGCAGAATTTCGTGAGGTGTGGGTGTTGAGAGCGGTCGCTGTGGTCGGGAAAAACGCGTGTTAATTGGGCGCCTGAAATGAGCTTAGCTGTGGAACAGACACACGGAGAGAGACGGATACACGTAAACAGACACAAGGAAAGATAGTCGTCGGATGGGTTAGATAGACAGAGAGAATCGCCAGAGTAAGACAAATACATATTCTGTTACAGACAAGGAGTCTGACGAGAGAGATACATAATAAAGTACAATACACAGAAGGGAATTCACGGATAATGGTAAGACAAGAGATACAGAAACAGAGGGACACAGGGCAATAAGGAGACACACGGACACACACACATAGAGTGACGCAGATAAGCTCATACAGGGAGAAACACATAGACACAGAGTTTACACAGAGAGACGCACACACAGAATCACGACTCGTGCCTCGGTGAATTCGGTTTTACCTGGCGTTCTTACAGTGCACGCTCCCGCCGCAAGGACGTTCTGTTTCACAGATGCAGCAAATGTTGTCCGCCAGGATAGAGTCATGTCGCCACGTGTAATCCCAATTGACGAAAAAAACGTGTTGCCATTTTTAAATCCTTTATATTAAGTTCACTTGCTTGCTTGCGCGCTTACGACCGTGCAAATCTTTCAGTCGTTTTTTAACCCACTTCCCGTGATCCAATCGAGCTGACATTTTGCACACAGACTCGTTGTGCGTGATAATTTATTTTCGTGAAAAAAAATTCCAAAATTTTACACTTTTTAGGAAAAAATTTATTATATTTAATTACCAATTGCTTAATGGTGGCAGGCAATCATCTGACCCATAGGTGGCAGCCATCTCAAGCCAGAGGACGAGAGGACTCTAGCCGCCACGCATATAAAGGATTTATAGTGAAAAACTTTGTTTTTACGGGTTAATTTTTCTCTCTCTCTTTCTCTTCCTCTTCCAATTTGGCCAAGTTTGGGCCCGTGGCGCGGTGCCCTTCTCGATTTCGAACGACGTCGCGGGAAACCGTCAGCGCCGTCCGCTGCGAGCGAGGCGGACGGCGCGTCGCGGAGTTTTTACGTTCACCACGGAACACCACGGCAATCACCACGGCAATCACCGGGAGGGAGGCCTGCCGCATTGGTAGCGCGAACCTCTTGGAGGAATCCGATGAGCTATGAAGCTATTTTACACAGATGTCCAGTAGGGGCACGGAGTGAGAATGTGACAACAAACAGTACAAAAACACCATGGGAGTACACAGTACAAGAAAGGTAAACAAATCACCCAAACACAAACAAATACAACACTAAATCATCCCCATCCTACCAGGCAAAGCCCACTTCTTAGGTACTGGCCACAAACGACAGCTCAACACAGTTGCCCTTCCCGCTGCATATCCCTGCTCGCAGCATCTTTATTTTGTTCGTGTGGCGCCCAAGCTCCATGCTGTGCCAAGGCCGGTGGAGTCTTCACACCTGTGCTCTCTTTAGCCTTCTCGCGCAGACGTCCGTTTCGTAGTCCCCTGTTCCCTGTTCAGGTCCAGGCTCAAGTTCCTTCCCGGCCTATCACTGGCTAACTGACCGTCTCTCTGTATAAAATAAATATTCCCACTGTTTTCTGTACAGACGTGACGCACATCTAAACTACCTAGTATTGTCCACGCGCGTCATACATGAGAGAGCCATCAGACGAAATCTTAGCGCTAAAATGTTGCCGAGTCAAGCGAAAAAACTGAATTCATCACGATGGGTTTTTTTTCTTGTATTGTTGTTCTTAGTGCAGTCATTGGTGAGTGGGCTGTGATCATCCACTCGCTACCACTTGAGAACCCAGCATAACCACCCAAACCCGGATTCGAACTTGGGGTTTCCAGTGCGGCAGGCAAAATGGATTTGGAAAATCGAGAGGCACCGAGCCATCGTTGTCGAGTGTGCAGGCCGTGCAACTGCAGCGGGGTTCACGGGCCACAAATTGAGGGGCTATCGGACAGAGTGCCCCTGAATTATTCCACTCACCAGGGCCCATGTTAACCACGCAGCGACGCTGTCCTAGCCCCCCCCCCTCCTGCCGCGGTTACACCGACGACGCGTGGATAGAATGTCCACGGCGAGTCACGAAACGGGTGGATGAAGAAGTGAACGCATTCACAGGCTCAAGAAACATTGCGTCGTGCTGGAAACGTGGGGGGCAGAGTGACTTGATGACGCCAACTCCTGTGTTTTGAGTGCGTTAATGAATGCAGGGAGCATGCAACGTTCAACACAAACACACACTCACATTGAGCATGTACACACACAGCACAAAGACACAGATCCCCCGTACAGCCTTGACAGACCGTTAGGGAAAGTGCTGTTAGCGAGTAGCAGCTATGAAGGCCAGCACAGCACACAAGGGGATAGGTGGCCAGCACCACGCCCGGCTGCCTTTGTCTCCCCAGTGGCAATGTGTAAACATCGTACCAGGTTCTCATTTGCGGTTGAGTCGACCTAGGGGAGGCCCAGGACCGGTTCAGATATTTGTCACCGGTGTTGGCCGTAAGCGGGAATCGGGCTAGCGTCGCCGGGTTCGTAGTACAGCGCGCTAACCACTACGCGAATGCTCCCCCGCACAACACACACGTACAAAACACACGTTACACTCAATATTTACATATTCCCAACGTACATCAACACACACTGTTCAGGTGCTTACGCAAGCCACCCCTGCTTCACATACTTTGTCCCACAGACACTCGATCCAAGCGATTGTTTTTTAATTGTCAGAGCTGCATTATTATTTTTTTGCCAAATTAAATCCATTAGCGAACGGAACGCGATTGGGGATTGTTGTGCCGTCCCCGGTAACCGGGCCTGAGGCCATCAACTCCGCCACACCGTAAAAGCCCAGTGGCTTAACCATGGGCGGCTGCAACCCGGATTTGAACCCAGGTAGTCGGCGGTGCCGGCTCAGGGTCTCTGACCTCTAGAGCCACGTGACCGACTCCTTTGGTGACGCTTGTCCCAGAGTCAGCCACCCCCATCACGCTTGTTTGCCCAAGACAATTTCAGATTTTCACGGTACCTTAAAGTTTATTGTGTTTAGCCAGATGGGAACTCAAGAGACCAGGGTGAGTGTTATTTGCCAGAGTGACCTGGGGCATTGGTCTGCCAGTTGGGTGCCGATTATTGCTTCTGCTGCTGCTGCTGCGTATAATCCAAATTGAGTAATTTTTCGATTTAAAGCTTTCGTGACTGCAGGGATTCATCTTCTTGTTTCTTTCGGTAAAGTCACGTAGAATGGAAATAATAAAATAATAATAAAAAAGCATAATAAAATAATTCTCACATATTTGATAACGTTTTATTTTTATTATTTTATTATTTCCATTCTACGTGACTTTACCGAAAGAACCAAGAAAATTTAGTAATGTTTAAAATTGCGAATAAAATGTGGACCCTGATGGCGGCACGCAACGGCCCACTCAGGATATCATCTCTAACGTCGACTCTGAAGCAGACGGCGAGTATTAGTAGAATTGTTGTTGTGGTTATTAAAGCCGGAGTAATAACCGGGTTGGCCGCTGGATTTGAACCGTGAACCTCTGCGATGAGCAGCGAACGCGTCACCACAGGAGGGGGGCGATGATGCCGCCGCTTCGCGTAACCCCAACGGAGTAAAATTTGCCGGTCATTTTTCAGCTTCGAGATGTTTGGCCAACACCAGTTTGTCCACTGTGTCGTGTTTTTAAGTTCTGGGAGGAGGCGAGGAATCGCGGAGGTAACCCACGCAGAGCAAGGGGGGAGGGGACGTACAAATTGCACGCAGAAGGGCACTGTGGGGCAATCGAAGGAGTCCGTGGTTTGTTTAAGCTTCTGGGAAGAAACCGGGAATCCAGAGGAAACCCTTGCACAGAATTGAATTAAATGATGACGTCACCCTGATGCTGCTCTATTTAAGACCGGAAGCAATAGGAGAGCTTCACCATTCTTGCCCGATGAAGCTGATTGTAATTATCAGCGAAACGTCGTACTCAAATTTTAAAATGCTGTTGAGTCTCTCTTCAGCACACCGGTGGGCTAAAGAAGTCAATTAATTTGTCCTTTGAAAACGTGACAGACACATTTTTTACTGTTTGGCCGTGTCGGGTGGTGGAGGGTTACGACACATTTATAAATAACGCGATCTAACCCAAAAACCTTGATTATGAAGAACAGGGGGAGATGAAACAAACAAACCCCACGAGTCGGGAATGGAACCCAGGGGACCTTCTCGCTGCGAGTCACCGCTATGCCCACCGCCCTGCCACCCAAAGGCGCCCTGCACCCACTGAGCACCGCATTGTCCCACGGACGCTGATTACGAGGCGCCTGTACCCACAACCCCCCCCCCCCCCCCGCAGTGGCCGTGGTGGTGGCCTTCGTGGTGTGCTGGCTGCCCTTCCACGTGGGCCGCCTCATCTTCGCGTGGCACGTGACCAAGAGGTCGCAGTTCATCCACGACCTGAGCCAGTACCTGAACCTCACTTCCTTCGTGCTCTTCTACCTGAGCTCGGCCATCAACCCGCTGCTCTACAACTTCATGTCGCGCAAGTACCGTGCGGCGGCGCGCCGCCTCATCGGCCCGGGGCTGGCGGGCGCGCTGTGCCCGCGCGCCCGGGACGCGCGCTCCCTCTCGGGCAGGGACCGCGCCGGCCTCTCGGGCTCCTCGGCGGGGTCGTCCTACCGCCGCAGGGCCCGCTCGGTGAGCAGCAGCGTGCAGGAGGACAGCACGCAGGCGTTCATGCTCGACCCGAGCAGCACGGCCGTGTGAAGGTGCGGGTCGGTGTGGGGTGGGGGGGCAGAGGAGGGCACCGGGGCTGGGCCCTGCGCTCGGAGACGCGTGGAGGTGACCGCGCGACGCCGACGTGTCGCCACGGCGTTGCTCGCTTCACATCGCCCGCTGCGAGGATGAGTCGGAAGCCCCCAGCTCCTGGCCCTGTTCACATTTCCCTCCCACGTGCGCTTTATCCATCGCGTCTCTTCTCCAAACCGCGTTCGCCGCCCCCATGGCAGAGATCCGTAGATCGTAATGTTCGTGTAAGCCCACGTGGATCGGCAATCGGGTCGGCTGCTCGGTAGATTCGGGTGTCTTCTCGTGAGGCCAGCGTAGCGCGGTTTGGTCACGGCTCGGAATGGCAGTTATCCCCAGTGGGAAAAACCATCCGTGCCATGAGTGAGCCGTGCTGGCTGTGAGATGACGCACACGTGTCAGTCCTTCAAGGGAGAAATGCAGTGCAAGCTTGAAATAACGGAACAAGCACACGGTTGCAACGTTTGAAATGTGAAAAACACCGCACGTTATATAGGACACATATATAATATGTATTTAATATATATTGTAAAGCGTAAACGTATAAATATGTAAAATGTTACACTCATAATAACAACGTATAGCCTGCAAACGCTTATATTTACGTATCTTTTAGAGCCAGAGTAAATCTACGAAGCGTGAGTTGGCGCAAGGCTCTGTCGGTTCGATAACGTTGATGGTTACAGAGCCACTGTTTGGACACGAGAGTTGAGACGCACAATCGAACGGTACTGCGGTTATTCTTTCCTGTTTGACATTGTTTACATGTGTAATGCTCTTTTTTTTTTTCGGTAAAGTCACATAGGTAAAACAATTAATAAAATAAAATAAATGAAAACAACTTAGGGAGGCTTGTGTTGCTTCCGAAACGTCGTGATTTAATTGAGTTGTTTTCATTTATTTTATATTATTAATTGTTTTACCTGCGTGACTGTCCCGAAAAAACCCAAAGAGTATGAATCCTTGCAGTCACGAAAGCTTCAAATCTAGAAATACACTTTCCGACCCTCTCTGCTGCATGTCGGTGAAACTGATTTTTGTATTTCACAAGAGATGGAATTTAGCCAAATTAAGTGCACCAACTTGAATGTGATTTTAATGGGGTTTTATTTATTTGTGCAGACATTTTATGGTGGGCGGACTGATCCCATCACCTCACTGCACCTGAGAATCCCTGGTTGAATCACAGGCCATGGCTTAAACCTCGATTCAGACCCCAGGAATCCCAACAGTGCCGGCCCAGCACTTGGCCACCTCCTCCTGTTACCTGCGATTTGTAGCAAGAAAGCCGTCGCATCTCAACGTGGCATCATTTCAACGTGGCAACAACAGGCCGCACGCCACCGATGAGCATCAGAATGGTAAAAACCGGCCAAGAGTTTTCACCGAAACGTTTCAAATGCTTCGTGAAAAGTGTTGGCCCATGGGTTGGTGTACTAAATGAATAAACCAAGCCTTAAGTATCTTGGTTATTAATGGGTTTTATTATTTTATTTTGTCTCTCGAAGGCCTGCCGTTTTCTAAATGTAATTGTGTACGTATGTAGGGAAGGTTTGTTGTGTGTGTTTTTAAATAAGGAATAGTACACCCGTTGTATGGTCCGTGCGTTTCCATCAAAACGTCTGCACAGCGCAATGCGGTAATATAAAAAACCATAAAAAATGTATGATACTGTACACCAGGGGCTTAATTTCAACTCGAGCTGTCCGGGGCTGAGCTGGAGAAATTATTTATCTGGCCCTACTACCCCCTCCGCTGTTTATTGGGCCAGCATTTCTCGTGCTTTGACTGTCATTGGTAATAACGTGCAGATCTTTAATTATTGATCATTAACGATATATTAAATAACTACAATTTAATTTAGTTTGGAGCTTCATAAGCCGACATCACAGTTATGGCAAGGCACATCTTCTCTGCACAACTGATATTTTTCTATCTCATTAGCAGTTTTTAACTTCATATACCTCTGTTCAGAATAAACACATTCCTGCGGAGGGAGCTGGTAGTAACATTGGGTTGCTCGATCAATGGCCAGGGTCAACGGCGGTGTGGTGTATTCCGCAAATATGCCCGACTGTGAGGGCGGGCACAAGCTGGCGTGAGTAGGTTAAACGTTGAGTTTTATAAGGGCACCACGGGGTGACCAGCCCCTCTCCACCCAGCCCCACCCCTCCCACCCCCCACCCAGTCCCACCTTCCCCACCCAGCCCCTCCCCACCCTCCCCACCCTCCCCTCCCCTCCCAGCCCCACCCACCCCATCCAGCCTCTCCCCACCCTCCCCACCCTCCCCTCTCCACCCAGCCCCACCCCTCCCATTTTTTGATGCAGGACGGACGGACATAATAATCCCCTGTGGGCTGGTGTAACCAGGAGGTTCCTACCAGTAACATGTAAGCTATAACTTACCTTGGATGCTGACTCGTTTGTTTGAGATGTTTTTCGAAGGCTCGGTTTGGAGCGGTTGGGAAGCCCTGGGAAATATTCCATGGGAAATGAAGCCCCGAATGGTGTACTTGCTTATGCGCTTTAATCTCGTGTCAAGTCATAGAAACCAACTGCAGGTGAAGTTGTGCTTGTTGAATTGAATATTGTGGAATGTGAAAATAGCAACACGATAGTTAATCTACTCGTTTATCACGAGTTTTTTCTTCTCCCGTCCAAGGACGGGTGTATAATGCAGTTAATCTGCAATATTCAATAGAAAAAATGTTCAGCTCATGATTATTAATGAGGGGGGGCGGGGGGTTGCCCCATGTGTAGTGACGTCACCCGCTCATGGTTATTGGGGAGGGGTGCTGCATGTGGAGTGACGTCACCCGCTCATGGTTATTGGGGAGGGGTGCGGCATGTGGAGTGACGTCACCCGCTCATGGTTATTGGGGAGGGGTGCGGCATGTGGAGTGACGTCACCCGCTCATGGTTATTAATGAGGGGAGGGGTGCGGCATGTGGAGTGACGTCACCCCTCATGGTTATTGGGGAGGGGTGCGGCATGTGGAGTGACGTCACCCGCTAATGGTCATTGGGGAGGGGTGCGGCATGTGGAGTGACGTCACCCGCTCATGGTTATTGGGGAGGGGTGCGGCATGTGGAGTGACGTCACCCGCTCATGGTTATTAATGAGGGGAGGGGTGCGGCATGTGGAGTGACGTCACCCCTCATGGTTATTGGGGAGGGGTGCGGCATGTGGAGTGACGTCACCCCCTCATGGTTATTGTGGAGGGGTGCGGCATGTAGAGTGACGTTACCCGCTCATGATTATTAATGAGGGGAGGGGTGCGGCATGTGGAGTGACGTCACCCCCTCATGGTTATTGTGGAGGGGTGCAGCATGTGTAGTGACGTCACCCCTCATGGTTATTGTGGAGGGGTGCGGCATGTGGAATGACGTCACCCCTCATGGTTCTTGTGGAGGGGTGCAGCATGTGTAGTGACGTCACCCGCTCATGATTATTAATTAGGGGAGGGGTGCGGCATGTGGAGTGCTTTAGTGGAAATTTCCACGCGGGCATGAATATTAATGAAGGGGGGAGGGGGGCTCTTTTGCAGTGACGTCACGCACGGATGTAGCACTGTGCTGCGTAGATTAATTTTTTACCGTCACTTTCTGTAAAGAAACGTCATATTTGAAGCGACTTTGCGTAATAAATTATTTAATTCTGCTCGACCTTCCTCTGCGTTAGTGTAAAAACCCACCCGCTCATGAATATTAATGAGGGGGGGGTGTGTGGGCCTCATGTAGAGTGACGTCACGCGGGGGAGGGGTGGGCCTCATGTGGAGTGACGTCACGCGGGGGGTGGGCCTCACGTGGAGTGACGTCACGCGCGGGACGGACAGACATTTCTGGGTGATTATCGTAGATAATCCCACTTGCCAACGCTGGCCCAACGTTCAACGTTTACTGTGCACCCTATGTTATTGAAATGAACCCCCCCCAACCACCACCGCTGCTGTTGCTATTTGCAGGGAAATTATATCTTTACCATATGCTCTGGAATATAAGATGCACTTTCCTCCCCTGTATCTGAAGGCAAAAGTTGGGGCCATGTGTCTTTGTTCCGTGCATCTTATTGTTATATAAGAATAGAGTTTACCCTTTCTGGCAATAAAAAAGTTGTATTATGATGTTAAAACACCAAACAGAAACATTTTGCAAGGAATCATGTCTGCATTAGCCATACATACTTGTGGTGAACATTAAAACAAAAACATGCTCTGGTAGTTTATGATGATGCATTGTCTTTGAAACTGATTGGTCCACACCAGAGACAGCTTTTGTGAGAGCCTAGTCTCCAACAGCGTTAGACCATGATGTAGCTGTTCACCCCAAGCTCTCAGTGCCCTGATAGTGTATTGTATTTGTGGTGTTTGCCTTGGCCACACCGAGATATGTTCTGGAGGTCTCTTGGCCACATCTAGATATTCTAGATTTGAAGCTTTTGTGACTGCAAAAATTCATACTCTTAGGTTTTTTCGGTAAAGTCACGTAGGTAAAAAAAAAAAATACTGAGAAATTATAGGGAAAAAATAGAAATAAAAGAAATTATTTTATTTATATTATTTTTTCTATTATTTTTTATTATTTACCTAAATATGTTCTAGAGATCACTTGGCCATATTTAAGACCAACGAAGTGGCATTTTAAGGAGCAAACTGTTAGAGCAGCATCGATCTTTCTGAGGATCATCGGTAGCGAGTGGCTCTGTGATTCACAATCCACCGCGACGATGCAGAACACGTTTTGTACACTGCTGTTGCTGCGCTGCGCTGAATAAAGACCCCCAGCGCTACGGCACTGGGAATCCCAGCGGCATTCATTTGCGACGGGACAGACTTTGGTGGTGAGACGCAGAATGCGGGAAACCGGTCCGGAGTTTTCCCGATAAAATTGGTCCAAAAGAATTCCCCGTAGCGCTCACGGAATTCAATGCTACGTTGCACAAATCTCGCGTGGTGAACGGAACCCCTTGCGTGTTTATCTGTGTGCTGTTTATTGATTGGGAAAAAAGACGAACCGGTGCTGTCAAGTTCAGTTCGCGTTGTTTTATTGTTGCGCGTGTGCTCGCTAACGCGCCAAATAAAAAATTAACCCGTAAAAACAAAGTTTTTCACTATAAATCCTTTATATGCGTGGCGGCTAGAGTCCTCTCGTCCTCTGGCTTGAGATGGCTGCCACCTATGGGTCAGATGATTGCCTGCCACCATTAAGCAATTGGTTATTAAATATTTTAAAAAATCCTAAAAAGTGTAAAATTTTGGAATTTTTTTTCACGAAAATAAATTGTCACGCACAACGAGTCTGTGTGCAAAATGTCAGCTCGATTGGATCACAGGAAGTGGGTTAAAAAACAACCGAAAGATTTGCACGGTCGTAAGCGCGCAAGCAAGCAAGTGAACTTAATATAAAGGATTTAATAAATAAACGCGTCTTGAAACGAGGCTCCGACGTTTCGACCTCGCTCCTTGCCAGCCTTGCCCAACGTCGCACGCAGAGCCCCCGTCGGAGCCGGTGGGAACTCGTTGGGCTGAACGTTGACCTCACCCCGAAGAGGAGCAGACACAGGCGCAGGCCCTGCAATGTCCTGCTCATGCCACCGCTGGCGGAAGGGGACCTCTAATAGGAGGCACCCCCAGAGGGTGTTTTTGGCCTGCATTTCCACACTGGCCGGAAGGCCTTGAGAGAGGTGTGAGTAGCCCACACTTTACCCCACCACGTGCTGCACCGTCGATGGACTTGCAGTGGATAAGACATTTGTGCTGCTGGCTGTACAGAGGCAGTGCGTGGGGGCTCTAAGGAACGTTGCCATCGTCTCAACCTGCTCGCCGGAAGGTGTCATTCGAATCGGCGACTTCTGTATTAAGTCCAGTGAGCTAACTGTGGCACCACTGTGGCAGCAGCATCATCATCACCACCATCATCATCATCAGTCATCTTCGGAGCAAGGATACAACTGAATTGATGTATGGACAACAAAGGGGACGAGACCGTCGATACTTGTGGAGTGACACCCGACACAGCGGCCTTCAATAATAAGTCTTTATTTATTCCAGCACGGGACACGGTCTTCAAGGATTCCCTTCACTCCAAGCGTCCCGAACTCTCTCTCGCTTCCCCTTTATATATCCCTCAAGCCTCTTAACCGAAGGTTCCTTGATCTTCCGGCTTTCCCTCCAGCCAATCACCTTCCCACTTTCCCTCACGGATTCAAACCCTTCCACCCTGTCAATAATCCTCAGTTTCCCGCTCTTTCCATGTTGCATTTCTACCTCCCAATCCCTTCAATTACATGCCTCTAACCAATCCCATTTCAGGCCCGTTAGGTACCGATCAAAGAGGGCTTTGTTTTACTTCATGAGTGTCCGTGTCATGCACGCCGTGTCCATAACGTCGGCTGAGTATTTGCGGTTGTGAATGAATGACTACACTTGGGATGCTGTTGGCATGAATTACGTGATGTAAAATGAAAGTATTATTGTCATGCCCTGCATGTAATTATTATTTGGGTCTTTCGGTAAAGTCACGTAGATAGGTAAAAAAATAACGAAAAACGTTCTCGAGATACCCTGCGAGCCTCACCCACGGGGTCAACAACGCGCGTCACCATCATCGTTACAGGGTGGCCCACAAGTCAAGGACACGACGGCGAGATGTTAACTACCTCGCCTGGTATGCAGGAGGTTGTTGGTTCGATTCCCACCCTTGACGCCTGCTGTATATTTAGAGTTTGTGGTGTCTCTCTCTCTCTCTCTCCCCCCGTGGTTGCGTGGATTTTTCTCCAGATCTTCTGGTTTTTCCACGCGCATTTATAAGCGTGCGTTGAAGAGTCTTTGGCTGATATAAATTTCCACATGATAAGCCACTTTGCTGAGCTATCATTTGTGGCCAGGTCACTTTTGAAATAGAGTTCAGTGGGCCTTACCTGGTAAAATTAAAAACAAATTTGTTGAAAATTATTATCACAGGATTATTAAGTTTATTTTAACAAATGTTCAAACGAATTTCCATTCACATTAAAGCACAGGTAAATTATATTTTAAAGTGAATTAAGAACTTTTTTGTTGTTAAGATTACAAGTGTAAGCATTGAACACTCATCAATTACGTAGTCTCAATTCAAATAAATAGAATAACCCGACAGTGGCCTGGACTTTTTTGAGCAGCCATCCCGAGGGGAAAGTCGTGACCCCGCAGTGACCCCGACGCAAACGCGTGGATCATTGTTGGGGTCATCGCTGGGGGTTAAGTGTGGGTTCGTTGTCAACAGTAATTGGGTAACTGAAGGAATGGCCGTGGCAACAATGAAGTGGTAGACTTTTGGGGTATCATCTTCACCTGAAACTACAAACCGATTTACGAGTGAATTGCAGACAATCGATGCCTCGTCCGTGTTTGGCAACAACTCTTATTCTTTCCTTACCTATATATGTAGAACTTCTTTCGCACCGTACGTAGCCAGCCGTGCTAATCGGAGGTGCGGGAAATGCAGTGGTTAGAATATAGTTAATCTGTGACTTTACCGAAAGAACCAAAGAGTATGCATTCCTGCAGTCACGAAAGCTTCAAATCAAGAGTATGGTTAATCCCTCGGCATCAACTGCGGTCAAGCGGAGTTCATTATTGTATTTAGGCTGTGTTCATGAAGGCAATGAGTATTGGCAAAATTTGATGGGAGCGTCTTAGACTTGATATTTACATATTGTAAGAAATATTAATATTGGGTCCTTTGTAAAATGCACTGGGATACGGGGTAAAGGCTTCCCTGTGCCGTAGTGATTATAGGGGTTGTCTGACTTCACCATGCTCATCAGTGCAAGGTAATGAAGTGTGGATGGGTGGGTGGCCTAGATATTCTAGGTCACTTAAAATTAGAATTATCTTACCTCGTCTTTTGACTTCTCAACTGGTGAAACTAATCAACTTGAACTCACCATCGAATGGTAGCCATGGACAGGAATGAAACTCATGTCCGCTGGGTTCAGGGGTGCAGTGCACCAACCACTGCACCACCACTCCACCCAATGGGATATTTCTCGGTTATAAATGGGCGAGATCCCAATACGTTGTGTACATAAATAACCCGTTATAAGGCAGTGCAAGTGATGAATGCAATGCATTTTAGATATAAATCACTGCCAATAAACAGCTCCCAATGCAGTCCCTCACTGTCGTACGTTGCTCCAAAAGGGTCACCGGGTTCAGGACGAGTGCGTTAACCGCTACGCCACTGCTCCACCCACTAAAATATAGTCAAGGGCTCTTTCACCATTGCTGTTATGATTATAATGCACTGGCACAGAACACACGCGCGCGCTCGCTCCTTGTTTATGTTGCCGATGATTAGCCCCGGCCAGCAAGGTACACAATCATATTTAAAGCCGACAACGAATACAAACAAACGACTCCATCGCTCCCCAGCCACCCCACCCACCCACGTCCTCGATTGGCGCGGACCAAAAAACATTGGCAGAGTTCACGGAAAGGGTCATTGACCACGGCCGGCGAACGTGACGGTCTCGCAAATGAACGGAAACGAACGAGCAGCGTCGCGATCGCATCGGGTGCCAGCGATCCGCTCGTGGCTCGCACGACGATGGCAGCCAGTGGGCCCACACGTCGCCTTTCAGCTTCGAACTCCCCGACGTGTAAAAGACTTCGGGGGAAGAGGAGAAGGAGGGGGGGTGGAAACACCGCGAGGTCAGCCGCGGCACGTCCCCCATGTCCTGCACCTCGGGGGTAGTAACTCCAATGGTGCGAGGCTTCGTTGCGGCCGCAGGGCCGCGTGAAGCGAAGAAGTCGCTGCTTTTGGCCCGTGGGCCGCAGAATTTGGCCACCAAAGTTAAACGAAGATTGGGGAGCGGGGGGGATACACACGTTGGGCTTTCAGCGGCATCCCAAACTTGGCGTCGCGAAACATCTCAACTCGAATTCGTCAATGACCCCGTTGTGTGCGCGTGGCCTCAAACAGGAAAAACATCAAAGGGGGAAACGTTTTTGGCAACAGCCCTTCTCAGCACGGACACTTCCAGAGCCGCCGTGAGCTCGTAAACGGTGGCGAGGAGATGGCAACTGCCTCGTCTGGTGTACAGAAGGTCGCGGGTTCGATCCCGACCCTGACGCCTGTGGTATATTTGGAGTTTGGATGTCTTGCTCTCATTATCATCATCATGGTGGCTCGGAGATGGCAACTGCCTCGTCTGGTGTACAGAGGGTCGCGGGTTCGATCCCGACCCTAACGCCTGTGGTATATTTGGAGTTTGGATGTTTCGCTCTCATCATCATCATGGTGGCTAGGAGATGGAAACTGCCTCATCTGGTGTACAGAAGGTCGCGGGTTCGATCCCGACCCTGACGCCTGTGGTATATTTGGAGTTTGCGGTGTCGCTCTCTCACCGTGGTCGCTTAGATTTGTTCTCCATGTCCTCCAGTTCTTCCCTCCACATTTAGAATCAACATCACGCGTTTATAATATTTGGCCACGATACATTTTCCACGTGATGAAAATCCCACTTCGTCGAGTGATCATCTGTGCTAGCCAGGTCGCTTCTGAAAAAGAGCAATATACCTTTGTGGGCCCTATCTCGTAAAATACAAATGTTTAGTTTTTGTAGTACGTGCTGTGTTAGGATCCTTGCCCGAAACGTTGCATATCATACATTTTCCTTTGAAGGACACACGCCGTTGTTTACGAACGTGTGCTGCGTTGTGTTGTGTTGCGTTCGTGCACGACTGCCAAATGCGGCAGCAGCGGTCACCCACATTTTGTTTATTTTATTTCACAAAAAAACCCACAATGATCGACAGAGATGCAAAACGGCAAAAACAAGGGGACGCGACAGGCGGCAGATCTCGATACAACTTTTATTGTTGATATGATAACAATATATATTTATACATATATTAGCTACAGATAAAGGTAACGTCTTACATACATACTTAAAAAGTATTATTTGCAGGATCTATATAGTACATTATTATGGCAGCAATACGTATGTTAAGACTGCAAGGCTCGACTCGCGCGTGTCACTTGTAGTGTCCAGATTCTGGTGGAGGGTGCCATTGATCAGCCTCTCGCGAAAAAGCGTCTAAAGGAGTTGGGGTGGTCGTTTAGTTTTTATTTATTGTATTAAATGTTTGTGTTTCTTTTAATCGCTGGAATGTTCGCGGTTAATGAGGTAACAGCGGTCTTATCTGCTGCTGCTGCTTATTGGTGTTGACAATTGTTCGTCCTCTCGACGAAGCCACGCGGTGCTGAGTCTCGCCGTGATTTCTCAAACGGAACGGCAGCCGCTGCAAAGCGGGTCACGGGGGGTCACGGGGGGCCACGGGGGGCCACGGGGGGTCACGGGGAGGTCATTGCCCCCACCCCCCTCGGTCTAGCCGACGAGAGACCGCGTCCGACTTTCTCGCCCGGTTAAAACAAAATCAACTTTTGTATGGAATGTAAAATCGTCCCTCGCAGAGACTCTCCACGCGACATTAACACAACTGTCCCGACAGCACCAACGGACGGCTTAATTTTTCAATCAGCTCTGTTTTGATTACCCCGTTAACATTTTCAATTAGTTACTCCAAAAAAATCCAACTTAATAAAACATTCAAAACGAGCCACTTGCCCTTCTTCAAACGTTGGCATGAAAATTGTATCCACAGCACAATTAAGCGCCTTGATTCTGCATACAAAAAAAAACGAAATTTGAGAAAATTTCAACTTAATTTCCCAACAAAAAACAAAGGTCTTACTTTAAATTTTGATGACGATCTGGAAATGTGGCTGAACCGTGAGAAATGTTTTACGAAAATACTTTTAGCTAAATAAATTCATATTTTTTTGTCGTAATTTTTTTTGTTTAAAGTTTTCAGGTACAAATATATATACTTTTGTTTGTTTGTTAAATGTCCCCTCAAGCGAAAGCTTACGGATAGGAGGGCAATGGGCTGGATTAACAGATTCTGCAAGCATATTCGAATAGGAAGGCACAACTGGCGTTTTCACCCGAACCCTTACAAACGGCCAAATGAAATGCATTGCTATCTGTAAACATTGTCTACACGTACAATTTCAAAGCGAATTTTTTTTGTGTGTGTCTGTAGATGATGTAAATGAGCGATGTCTTACACGCACCGAAGGTTCCCCCCCCTGCCCCCCCCAAGGAATAATAATGACAGAGAAGCGACGACGAGAAGAAATGGCTACGTGGAATAGATGAACTAATGTCGCCGTCTGAGGCTTTAAGTTTAAACTCGCGAAAAGCTTAGGAGACTACGAGAAGTTAAAACCGTAACAAATTAGCAAATCGCACGCACGCACACTCTCATTGTTCTTTCAGCGGAATCACAATAAATACAAAGAATAAAACAGCAACGGTAAAATGTGGAACTTAAAACAAAAATTGCACTGATAATAATAAAGAGCTCAACTTAATATTGAATGTTTTTGTGTTTCATTTGGGATTAAAAAAAAAAGTGACGGTTCGGGTTCGTTGTTCTGTTTAGAGAGGTAACGGTGCCAACTCCTGCTAGCAACACGCCTTGAACCTGTGACGATTTCACCTTGCGGGGTCGTGCGCGCTATACGCAGGATCTTCTCCAAAGGCCTCCCCACACTCCGCACCTGATTGCAACTCCCAAACCCACTCCTAACGCCCCCCCCCATCCCACCCAGTTGCAGGAAAGTCCCACAGACGCTCAAGTAAATGGTGTCGAGTGCGGTGTTCATAGGTTACAAGAATTGAGTCTTACGGTCACATTCTAAATGGGGGGGGGGTCATCAAGATGCGCCCACAAACATTGAACGATTTGATACCGACCGTGCACCTGCCATTGACAACGCGCGTCATGGCAGCCCTGCATCTGCTGCTTCTGCGAGATTCCACATGGGTCATTTGCCTCGCTGCAGACTTCGTCGATGCAAGGCTACGCGTTTGCGTTTCTGTATGGCGCGACTTTTTTCTTAAAGTGTTTCTTTTTTATTCGTTACGCCTGTGACGAAAGAACGTACAAGTGTAAAAAAAAGCCGTCTAAACGCACGGAGGTGCATGGACGTGCTCGCTCACCCTCCCGCTCAGCCGCGCTCAGACGGAGAGGTTGTTGCGACTCCTCCTTACACGGCTCGCGTGGACCGCACACGCGTTGCCAAAGCCGTTTCGTTCGAAAGTAAAACAAAAAAATTCTATATATAACACCCACCAAATGACTTTCCTCCGTTCGTCAAGACCAACCGTTTGCAAAGCCACGCGGTAAATGTGCAGTAGATTGGCTCAGCTCAGGGGACAAAGGGGGAAGGAGAGGGGATTATTTTCAAGCACCATAACGTTTCCGTAAATCCATCGGTAAAGCAGCTACACTCGGATACACTTTGGCAAGCATTCTTCCAACATCGACCGGTTTCGTCGAGACACCGGCATCGTGGGGGACAGCTCCGGCAACAACTTAAATAGACACGAGAGGTTGAGCTTCGAAAAAAAGTCGAGCGGTTAAGGGACGCAAACGCAGGGGGGAAAGAGGGTTCTTCTTGCCGCTGTTGTTTTGTGAACGTGTGAACGTGCGAGCGTTGAAGGGAGGGCGTGCGGACAGCGGACAAAAAGCGTCCGCACCACCACTACACTCGCCGACACCTCGACCGCATGCATACAAAAAACCAGAAGAAAAAAAAACGGATAAACAATTCTTTGATGCACAAAAAATTAACCGAGACATGCAACGTGTTGTCCAGCAGTTTTTCGTTTTTTGGTAAAGAGATGGTATTTATTTATTTATTTTAAGCCTTAAAAGAAAATAAATGGATTTTTCCCACCCTCCTTCTCGCCAGCACAGGGCTAACTTGTCAACAACCCTACAACAACAACTGGACTGGACGCGTTCGCATCCATACTTAAAGCTTGGTCGGAGTAGAGAACCGTTTCTGACATGGGAGAACATTGGGAGACAAACGGGGAAGCCAGCGCTCGACTCGGTCTTCTTGACACGACGCTCTTGGGGCGGCGAGGGGGACCGAGAAGCCTTTAAGATTTAGCAGCAATCAAGACGTTAATATTCATCGTGAGCGAATAGTGATTTACGCACGCGGTCCGCGATGGCGTTTCGTTTCTTTTCCAACCAGAGCTAAACCACCCCCCACCCACACACTTGATAACTCGTCAGGTAGGAATACGACTCCGCTCGATCAACGTGGCAGTAACGACCTTTGGGGGAGGAGAGGGATGAGGAGGAGGGGGGGGGGCAAAGCTTGAAATGTATGACTTGAGAAAACAAACGCACGCACGCACGACAACAACAAAAAATAGAAATATAAGAAAAAGAGGGGAGGATATAAAAAACGGAACGAAAAAAACAAAAGCAACATCATTTAATACTGGATACATATATAGATGAATGTAAAAAAAGGGCCCAAAAATGTGCCAAAAAACGTGGTTTAATGAACTAGTGTTGGGACCAGCAGCTGTGCAAATATAAGAGAGCCTTACAGCAAGTTCTGTCGAGTGTTTCTTAGCAGAGCGCGTTTCTGTCCAAGCACACCGCCGCGTTGCCGACGGCATTCTTTTGCAGGATAAATACTCGACTTTAAGAAATGATAGTTAAAAACAGAAATACCGGTTAATAAAATGCATAGAGGAAGGGCGGGCAACAAGATGAGGGTTTTGGCAACGAGTTTGCAAAAGTTTCCTCTTGTGTTACGATACCATCTCACCTGCCGCTGTATTTTGGTTAAGGCCTCTCTCCTGCGTAGCCCCCCCCCCCCCCCCGTTGGCTCAGGCCTCAACCAGGCCGGAAGGCCTCAAGCTAGCTAGCAACTACGAGTTCACAGCCCTTTTACAAACGATGGAATACAAATTGGCGTGACATGCTAACGGTTGAAGATCAACCATGAAAATCAGGAACAAACCTTGTACCATCTTGCAACCCATATTCGCCATGTACTTGCACACTATGAAGCTACACATAAAAAATTTGTATTCATTTAGTTAAAATATTTCACCTGGGTTATTCCCGTGAGATGGAGCATCTCGTTTGCAAGGATTTCCAGGGTATTATTATCATTAAGGCTCTTATGTTTTTACCATTATCATAATTCTCTATAAAACAGCCAATATCGATTTTAACTTGACATGCAATAAAATTACCTGTATGGAACAGTATACATATAAAAGGATGCCGCCATATATAATTAAGGCAAAAAAAACACATTAAATTGCAATACAATTAAAATAACAGCATTTCGTTGAAAAAATAAAAAGGTTCATGCTCTGAATGTTAGCAACCCACGTCTCTTGGCAGAGTCCAGTTGTGCGATCTCAAAGTGACACCAAGGCTGGAATTAATGCCGCCTCGAATCCTGACTTAATTTTTTGTTTGTTCAAGAAGCCTCCCCACCTCCTCACCCCCAAATGGGGGAACCTTCCAATTTGGTCACAAGGGGCAGCAGACGCACCCAGATCGCGACGCGAGCTCACATTCACTGGCAGTTCTATAGCTTGCTACATAAAAAGTGCTTTTTCCCACCCCGGACCCCCCCCCCCCCGCAAAAAAATATAAATCACAACCTCAAATAATAATTCAAATGTGCAGGCTAGTTTTCATAGTTTCCCCCCCCCACCCCCTCTCATTTATTGTTGTGTCTTTTTCCGGCCCCTCTCCTTTTTCAAACAAGGCACCACTGACATTGCAAGTATATATAATAACGGTAATCACCATATAAAGCTTTCCCACTGAATATCATCTGATTTACAGACGCATATACGTCGACGTGATATGCAGTCAGGCACTTGATATCATCTAAAGGGTTTTTTTTTTTATGCCAAGGCATATTCATCGTTATAATCTTTTGCCGTGCCCTCCTTTTTACGGTCGGTTCAAAAACGTATAAAACTGCCGCACAAGGCAGAGGTCGCATGCTGAGGCCGCTTCGCTCGCCATCGCGACATCTTTCATCAAACGATCACCGCGAGTGACTTTTAAACGAAGAAAGCAGCAAAGCGTACGTACACGGGTGGCCTCGAAACCTCCCACGTGTTCGAAAAACCCACCACCGGAGGTGACAATCTGGTACTGGTATTACCGCGGCTTTTCGGACGAGGCTACTGCTGCTTGGAAATGGCAACATCGTGCAGTTGCTCTCAAGATCTCTAGCGGATTTACTTTTTATTTTTCCTCTTACATTTGCATAGCGTAGCATCCTACCGTTCATACAAAGGCGAGTCTGCATTGGTTTGGTCGTGGCATCCACATCTCTTAGAAATCGCTCTTCGCGTCTACCAAAGCGCGTACAGCATTTTTGTGGAATTATGTCAAGGTTACGCGAGTACGGGAAAACAAAAACAATCGCTACGACAACAAACGGAATACGACGACCTCCGGAACTGACCCTACACCGCAGAAAGTAGCGGAGCGCAAAGTCCGTTTTGAGTTCGTGGCGGCGGCGCAAACCGGCCAAGCTCTATCAACCTTTCTGCGTGCGAGACCGGAAAAATAAGAACGGTCTATTGGTTTGTTTATGGGGGGGAAAAAACATGTCATACCAAAAACAAACATGGTGGAATCTTCCCTCGACATCAAGCTGACCCTTTGGGATTTACATGATGAGCAGCTGGATGATGAAGGCGATGAAGAGGGAGCTCGCTCCGAAGCCCAGCAAAATGAGCGCCGCGAAGCGCTCGTCACCGTTTTGAAATTGGTCGGGGCCAGCGGCCTCACCGAGGCCTAGCGGCTCGCCTGACTGGGCAGCCTCGGGACGGCGGGGCACGAAGCTGGCCGAGGGGCTCGGCTGCCCCACCAGCTCCGTCTGTGTGGGAGCAGCCAGGGAGTCGCCCCCGCTGCTGGTGCAGACACTCTGGCGCGAGGCGCACACGCGGAACCTGTACTCGTTGTTAAAGTGGAGGCCTGGGATCTGGAAGGAGGTAGCCATCCCCTTGTAAACCTGCAAAAAACAATGGACAGCGAGAGAGCAAGAGAGGGTCAGTGGTGGGGATGTTATTGAAACTCAAATACTGTATTCTCCAGATTACACGACAGCACTTTCCCCAATGTATTTTATACATTGCCACATCAAATACAGTATAGTACACAGTACATTACACAATAACATAATAAAACATCAAAACAGTGTCTTTAAAAACAACGGCGCCATGCCTCTCGAAAGAAAATTAACGCCGAACCGCTTGCACGTTCCGAGATTGAGCAGTGAACGGGAGCCACACCCTGCAGCTTGCAGACGTCTCGGACTGAGAAAGGGTTAATGTGAATGGGGTTTGCGATGCGACGCGGTCTATGCGGTGAGAGAATTATAGTACAGTAAAAAAAACGGACGGACAGCTGATAAGCGCCACAGGTGGCCACGAATGGTACTGTGGCGCGGAGAACAGCGGCCTCACGAAATCTGTAAATGCGTGTTGCAGACCCGTGCTTAACCGTGGATACTTGGTTGCTAAATTGAGATACAAATGATAAACCGTGCATACATAAATCTGTGGGTTGGCAAGTCCGCGGTTAGCGAGGGATGTCTGCGTCCCCAGTATGTTTCCCGTGAGGCCACGAGCAGGGGGTCGGGGGTCACGCGGTGACATTTTTGAGGACCCCGGGACCCGCCGTGATATTTGAATTGAAAAAAAAGGTAAGATCCAAATGAATAAATATCCAAAGGCCGCCGTAAGCAAGCCGGCGCGCTGAAATTAGGTGACCTTTCTCCGCCAGCCGGTGGTACGTTTGGAGGGAGAAAACAAATCCCAATGCAACTGTGCGACGTTTAGCAGTGGATGCTTTCACGTAAAATGGCCACTCCTTGAAACGCAAAGCCGCGTTTCCATTCTGCTGTGGCGACGTGCGTTCATATCGCATACGCCTTCAAACAACCAGTCGTACTTGAGTCTGAACCGCTCACTCTGATGTGCTGCGAGAGTTAGGGGTCAAGGTGGGAGCACGTGGGAAAGCTGATGTACCCAGGGCAGGAGAGAGAGTGCAGACGAGAGGAGCAAGAGTGCCCACATGCGATCGGGCAGAATTGTCAGCAAGGGGAGGCTAATGGGGCGCAGAGCGTAAGTTAATTACGCTTGATCACAGTCAATCAACGTTTGCCGCCGAGGTACGTGGCGAGGGAGAGAGGGCGCGGCAGCCAGCGATGGCGAGCCCACTTAGGGAAAGCGGCACTCAGCTCGTTTATTTGAGCTGCGCTCGCTTCGCGCGGGCGAATTCTGCTTTAAAATGCGATTTGCGGTATTGTTTTTTGCACAACTAAAAGCTTCAGGGGTGGCGTTACGGACTGAGTGGCAATATTTCACACGAACCGTGAAGACACATGGGACTCGCGCTGTATTAGGCGTTACATTTCTTTTCAAATAGATACGTACGTGATGGATGGGGCGAAGTGGTTAGCACACTGCCTCGTGAAACTGGCTACCTGAGTTCCGATTCCTGGCCAGGGCTAACGTCAGCAGGGAGCGATATCGTGAATGTCCTTGGGCCAGCAGCCCAACCCACAACCCGCACTGACCACCAAGCTGGTGAAGTCTGATCCAGCGATCCCTGCAACCGCCGTGGCGTGGAGATGCTTTCCCAGCAAAAACATTGAACCACGTTCCAACGTTGGCCCAATGTTGGCTCCAACAGTGGTCCGAGTTTGACTGTTGTTAAACGGACCATTGCATACAAGAGTATGCATAATGCTTATTCACCAAAAAAAGTATACGGTACTTACATATTTGTAATAAAAAATTACAAATATTTATTAATCCAGTGCTGGACGTTGCCCTCCCCCCCCCTCCCCCATGCCGTGTCGGTCACATGGGTCACTTGACCATACGTCACACAAGTCACCCAGAATGCACCTGATATCTCCTAATCTCGGAAGCTAAGCCAGGGTAGCGCTGGGATGGTGCTTGGAAGGGTGACCGCCGTGCATACAACAAGCGCTAGAGGCTGCTGCGGGGGCTTCGCTGTCAGCAGACGGCAACACAGCAATATCCGCTGCTGTACTGTACTATGGATCCAACATCTATGCTTCCCCCCCTTCTCCAAACCGCGTTAACAGGCGTTGGCTATACATGGCCGTCAAATAACTCCTCATGATCCGCAGCGTGTGGGAGGGGGGCCCTGGTAAAGCAGTGGGCTGGCAACAAGTTATGCGTACGTACACATGAACATTTGTACTTGTTTTATAGAACTATGTATATATGCAGAACTTCTTTCGCACCGTACGACGTAGCCAACCATGCGAACATTCACACACTCAAGTTGGACAATAATATATATTTTTATATTATTTCACTTATTTACCCAAGAAAGCCTCACCGAGTCCAACAGTTTTCTCAGGAGGGAAGCAATGTCGCTACTGCTGCCGTGCGATCCAAATTGTGACATTTTCAGGACTTTCGGATGTTTTGGGCCAATTGCATGTTCTTTCTTTGGCAGGAAACCAGGGAACGCGTAGGAAACCCGTGCAGAGTGGTTACAGAACATACCAACTGATACCAGCTTACCATCACCACATTGAAACCCACCCAAGCCTGCTTGCTGCGAGGCACGACTGCTACCAACGTGAAGCGAACGCACCGGGCTCGTTCGCTTCACTGCCCATTCGCTGCCCTACGACCGTTTAGCGTCTCCCGGTGGAACCGTGCACTCCCACGGGGTCGCTCCTCCAGCCTCGCGTAGCAAGCTCCACCAAGGCGCAGGCCGACATCGCAACACGGCACACACCCGACTCCGCTCCAGCCCGCTGTGCGTTCGTTTCATCTTAAACTCCCCCCCCCCCCACCCCTCTTCTCTTTCTCCACAAATCGATACTAAGGATACCATGCGTAATAGTCCAGCAGGGCCAAATTAGCCGCCGGCGGCGACACCACGCGCCACGGCAATCCATCGGAGCGCGAGCTCGAAACACGGCCGGCGGGCTACCGCGGCCCAGGAGGGCCTCACATGGACACGGCAACCGCGGGCTTCCTTCTCCCCTCCCTCTTCCCCACCGCCCCCCCCCCCCCCCCCTCCGAACGTGTCACCACGGCGGTCAGAATTATGGGGCGGCAAGCCCCCTAATGCGTAGCCAAGTCCCCCCCGGCCCAAGCCAACGCGCAGGGCAAAGGTCGACGGCGGCAAAGGGAAGCGGCGGGCGTGCAGCCGGGCGCGCGCGGCGATTTTTCCCGGCGTTCCCTGAAAATTGAACAAGGAATTTTCCCCACGCACGGCAGGCAACAAAAGCCAACATTGGTTCAATTCGGGGTGCGAATTTATTGGTGAAATGTTCCGCAATGGACGGAGAGCAATTGCCGTTATCGAGGCTGATGTAGATGGAGCTTTGTTGGCAAATTAATATTTCACATTTTAAAAACATTGCGCCGAGCAAATGACGATGCCGACATGACGATGATCGTGGGCTGGATGTAGTGCGGTGCAAACGTCATTTTGCCGTACTGCGGCAACTGTTGCCACGGTCATCGAAAAACTACGGGCAGGTAGGGATCATGGCCTCACACCACAACGTGTAACCCCTGACCCCCTTGCCTGCATCAACCGGTTGTTAGGTCCTCGGCAAATGTTCGGTTTGTCCGCACTGTGTGCCACACATTGCTCATGCAGCCATTACCAGACATCTTCGGGATGGATAAAAAAATAATTATTCTTATTTTTTTTAAACGACAAACAGCATCCGAAGGGGCAAGAGGAAATTAAGTACAATGTTGCACATCCGAGATGTTCCCTGGAGTACGCAAAACAACACGCATGTACGGAACGAGTACGAGGGAGGATGATAATAATGATGACAACAGAAGACTTTGGTATTGGCGCCGTCGTTCTCATGGCCTAAGGCTATCGCCGCGGCCTAAGGCCATCATCACCCGGGAAGGCGCGGCTGTGCTTCAGACACAGGCTCCATTCAGTTCACAGTTAGCGATGTCACTCCATGCTCTCCCTACTAAGTGATTTGCGGTGTCATTTTTAAAAAATTCTGACTGGTGATGTCGGCACACGATGGCCACAAGGGACATGGTCCCCACGGCCCATGACACCGTTTGTTCAGTGGATTCTAAAATGCCATCACTGGCTGTGTAGTTTTATTATGTTCCAAGAAACGATTATTTCACGGAAGCTGGAAGGCTGAGATGGATTGCTTTCACACCCTGGGGGGGGGGGGCTTGCCAATGAGCTTAAAGAATGAGGCATCATCAGCAAGCCAGCAACAGGAGGGGAGGGGAGGGAGGGAGCATTCCGGTGCACTGCACTGGAGGTGACCACTCAGAAGGCAATGTGGAGGACTGATGGAGAGCGCCAAGAATCACAGCAGGAGAGAAGACGGAGTGAGATTTTCGTATTTTCTCTGCGACCCAACCGCGACTGCGGCGTGCATCGGTGCACGAAGAGGACGTGTGGATTGCAGATCAATCGGGGTTACAAAAAAATATGATATCGCTACATCGTGCGGTTCCTTGCCAGTCCACTGCTGGATGGAACGCTGTGTCGGTCGTGTGGGTTGCTTGACCATACTTTGCTGCGTTGGTCAGTGCAGGTGGTCGAAGTGTGGGCACAGCCGGGGACTGGTTCAGATATCGCTCGTCACCGATGGCAGCTGTGACCGGGAACCGAGGTCGGTGCACCGGGTTCCATGGTGCAGTGCGTTAACCACTCTGCCACCACTCAGCCCCAAGGACGTGTGTGTGTATGTATACACATAGAAATGTGTCGTTAAATGTTGTATATACGCTGCGTGAATGGATTATGATGTTTACGTTGATGATAACAGAATCTATAGAAACACTTTTATTTCAGCTAGAATATTCCAGTGGACTTTTAGTACGGAGGAGGTGGGCATACCCACAATTTACCCCTACCAAATGCTGTTGAAGAGGTTCACGGTTCGATTCTAGCGGCCGCCCAGGTTAATGGCGCGTGGGGAATAATCGTAGAGTTACTACGCACCGTCTGCTTCATTTGTTCACATGACAAACCTTCCTAATTGGCTGTTGGGTGGTGGCGGGTTTAATGACACATTTATATTTATGCGATCTAACCCAAAATCCTCTACTATGGACCATGCGTCTGTGTTCGCCCGACTTGATTACAGCAACGCAGTACAATTCTGGATTCCGAGTGAGGTGCTGGTTAGACTGTGGCTCGTTCAGAACGCGGCCGCTAGAGTCCGTAAGCGCCACGCCGTGTCGCGAGCAGCACATCACACTCACCTGCTCTTTTGTCTGTGCATTGGCTACCAGTCAAATACCGAGTGGACTCTAAGATCCTGCTGCTAGCCGAGAAGGCTCTCAATGGGTGAGCCCCGCAATATGTAAAGGAACCGAGATCCATCTCGATGACTCCAATGAGTTCCCCGAGATATTCGAAGCGCCTTCTTCTAAGCACTCCGTGGTCAAGGCTCATTGTGTGCCGGGGTGATTGGGCTTTTGCCGGTGCAGCTCCCAAGCTTTGGATTGCTTTGCGTTTGCTAAAAATAAAATCAGAGTCGTTCGATATATTTCAGTCAGTCTTGAAAACTCACCGCTTTAGAATGGCCTCTACCTCCCTAGTTCTGGCCGTTTACCCTGCAGGTTCTGTTAATTTCCTGTGTTCCATCATACACGGTGCATTGGGATCTACAGATGAAATGTGCCTTAAGAAATGTAAATTATTATTAATATTAATGATGCTTTCGTGGGTAAACGGGTGTCATAATAACATGCGACGTTTTTTTATTTTACCGGGTAAGGCCCACTGAGCTATGTAGCTCTTTTTCAGCAGTGATCTGGCCACAAATTATAGCTCAACGAAGTGGCTTATCGTTGTGTGGAAATTTAGAGCAGCCAAGTAATCTGAAAGCATATTTCTTAATGTGGAGGGAAAAACCGGAGGACCTGGAGAAAGAAAAATCCACGTGACCACGGGGAGAGAGACACGCACACTCCAAATATACAGCAGGCGTCAGGGTCGAGATGGAACCCACGACCTCCTGTGCGCCAGGCGAGGTAGTTAACATCTCCCAGCCACCATGACCCGCCGACAGCCTTCACTGTACTCATCAACCCAATGCTACTGCCAGGTGGACAACGTACGCAGCCAATCAGAGCACGTGGGGGGAGCAAAGTACCTGCTTGTACTCGGAGTCGCGGGGGCTGTGGAGGTAGAGGCAGTAGAGGAGGGGGTCACCGCTCATGGGGGGCACGGGGTCCCAGGAGACCTCGCACCGGCTGCCCTCCAGCTGAGTCACGCGTGGAGCTGGGGGGGGGGGGAGGGTGCGGAGTGGCCAGCAGCGTCAACGTCGTCATCAACGTCACCATCATGAGCATCGTCGCCGCCATCATTGCGCTCGCCGCCACCGTCTTTGGCACATTCTCAACGGACTTTGCTTCTGCCTACCATCTCCCGTTCTCATCTCACTACTCCTCTCCCCGTGGTCCTCCTCCCTCTCCCCGTTGCATCTTCGTGGACGCTCGCAAACGGCTCTTGCCTCAAAATCCCGTACGGCCGCGTGCGGGGGTGCGGGGGGGGGGGGGGGGCCCGCGCGGGTTTAGGGACGCTCGCAAAACAACGAGCGTACAGCGCCACCACGGTGGAGCGTACGCGGTGGCGCGCCCGACAATCATTTCTGGCGAGATAGCCCAAAACGCGCCCCAAGTCCCCGCGAGCTCCCGCCGATACGCGCGCCGCGGTTCTACCTTTCGGCGCGGGGGGGATGGCCTTGCCGGTGGTGAAGCTGTGGAGTTGGGAGTACGGGCCCCGGCCGGCCTGGTTGGAGGCCCTGGATGCGGAACCTGTACTCGGTGCTCTCCTGCAGCCTCTGCACCTTGTACGTGTGGCAGGGCCCCGAGTAGACAACGGTCAGTCTGCACACCCACGGGGGGGCGGAGGGGGGGCGGAGGGTAGAAGCACCACACCATCGTCATTAATAGACTTTTGGGGCGATTGCTGTTAGGCGAGTAGCGCGTATGAAGGCCGGTACAGCACACGAGGGGGTGGGTGGCCAGCACCACGCCCGGCTGCCTTTGTCTCCCCAGTGGCGATGTTTACACACCGCACCAAGTTGACCTAGGGGAGGCCCAGGACCGCTTCAGATAATCGCCACTGGTGTTGGCCGTGAGTAGAAATCGAACCCGGGTCGCCAGGTTCGTAACGGAGCGCGCTGGCTTCGACACTACCGCTCCCCACACACGTAAACACACACGCACACCTCACAGCAGGTGCTGCGCCTGCTCTCGGTTCACAACTGCGTGACAGAGATGCACGCAAAGCCCCGCGCTCACTAAGCACGCCGGCGACGCGACCGCTCAAGCTCGAGGAGCCATGCTCGGCAAACTCGGCAATATTGGGGAGTGCAAACAAGGGGGGGGGGGGGGGCAACAATTCTTTCTGGAGGGCGACGCACGCACGGCCAACACGGAAGGCTTCGGTGGGAAACGCGAGGCCGGATTTTTCTCTCTCTCCTCTTTGCCATTACGAAATAAAGAGTATTGCTTTTCGCCGCCCGCCTGTCACCAGTGCAATGGCCGTAACCACAGTGAGATATTTCATTGCGTTAAAAATTTACAAGCTCTTGACGAACCGCGTCGGGGAAAACGAACACGCGACGACAAGGTTAACGAGAGCGAAGGGGGGCGGAAGCGTGGATGAAAGATGCACAACGCCGCGAATAACGCCGACGGAGGAAAACGTGGGGGTTGGAAAATAAGCACAAATTAGAGACGTATTGACTTAAGGAAAGTAAGCAGCCTTGGGGCAGGACACGTCATGGCCACAAGGCACGACGGCCGACGGGCAAGGATGGGCGACTGATCGGCGCGCCAAAGAATATTTCAGAATCAGAATATTTATCGCCGCTGGAGGAATCCGATGGGCTATAAAGATTTTAACAGTTTAATATTGCCTTTGTCTCCCCTGTGGTGATGCTTACACATCGTACCAGGTTCTCATTTGAGGCCGAGTCGACCTACGGAGGCACAGGACCGGTTCAGATAATCGTCACTGGTGTTGACCGTGAGCGAGAATCCAACTGAGTTTGCCAGGTTTGTAGCGTGGTGCATTAACCGCTACACTACCGCTCCCCAAGACACTGCACACACAACACACAAGTAAACAAACAACATCATTTGCGGTTCTTTGTCAATCCACTACTGGATGATATTGCAGTTTGATTTGAGATAGCGGATGGAGGAACTGAATGAGTGCTGCTTGAAGAATACAAAAGAGGTGGGTACTGGGAAACGGAAAGAGGAGGGGGGGGGGGATGCGTCTGAGACGGAGATGGAGCGACGAAAATCAGCTTCTGTGCTGGGTCTAGCATTTTGTAAATTGCAGTGATTGGATTAACTACGTACAAGCATGTGTAAACGTATGAATATAAATGTATTTAAAAATAAAACCCTTGGAGATAGAGAGCATTACAACAACAAATACCTAATGTGAATCCAACGGTGTTGGTAGCATATGCTCAGGGATTTGACAAAGCCATAATGAATCCCACGAAAGATTAGTCACCCAGCCTCAGGGCCTAAAACCCAGGGTCTCCACCATGCCAGCTCAGTGCTTAGACATGGCCATCATGAATCCTGTGCAGTGCGCTGCGATGGCTCGCGGGATATGTTCATGATTTGTGTCTCTCTCCATGTCTCTCTTTGTGTCACTCCACATCTCTCTACGTTTTTGCATTCAATCTCTCAACGAGTAGTGACAAAGGCATAAACCATAATAATCATGATTATTGCACTAAATAATACATTCTAGACTTAACTATTTTTTTTATTTTACCAGGTAAGGCCCACTGAGCTATATAGCTCGTTTTTAGAAGTGACCTGGTTACAAATGATAGCTTAACGAAGTGGCTTATCACATGGAAATGTATAGCAGCCACATACTCTAAATTCAAAACACAACAATACATTCCTAGAGCGCTTTTCTACCAGGTACTCAAGGCACTGGAACACCACAAACATCATAGTTCAAGTCGAAGAAAACACTAAGAAGATCGAGAGAAGCCAATTCAGTGCACCACACCGCCGCCATCTCCCAACCACAACAACACCGGGCACTCGTTCGACAGCCAGGGCGGGAACGCGCTTGCGGCCACCACCGGCAATGGGGAAAAGCGACGCCTTCCGGACGGCCACACAATACGGCGTCGTATCGTCGCGACTATTGGCTCGAGCCATCCTCCCTGGACGCACCTGCCCTGCGTGTCCTCCGCGGCCAGCACGTAGTGCGTGGGCTCCGCCATCGACCCTCCCGCCGCCACTGCCACGGCCGCGGCGGCCGCCCCTCCGGTGGCCGGGCGGCCCAGGCTCTCGCCCCAGCGCAGCTTGAGGCTGTGGGGTCCCGGTGGGGCGCACTCGAGGCGCGGAGGCGCCGGCGGCTGGGGCCTCGTTCGGCCCACGGCACGGGCTCCCAGCGGCCCCGCGCCCAGGGCGTTCACGGCCTGCACGCGCACGCTGAGGGCGGGACGGGCAGAAACGGGACGGGTCAAAAGTCAAAAGTGTGGAACGAATGGACGAACGGGACGGATAAACGGAAGGATGGACAGACCGACGGACGGAGTGGCTAGAACGGATAGACGTACGGAGTGCATGGAACGCATGAACGCAACAGATGGATGGACGAACGGATAGACAGATGGTCCGATGGAAGTACGGAACAAATCGTGCAGGCAGACGAATAGACCAACGGATCGCCAGATAGATGACAGATGGAAAAGACCGGCAGATGGAATGGATCGATGAAACTGATGGAAACAATTAAACAGAGAGAACAGATGGACAAATGGTAGAGATGGACGGATGGATGGACGGACGACAGATGGAATGTTAGTAACAAACGGACAGATGGAACAGAGGGAACAGACAGATGGACACTGGCAGACAGTCGATGAAGGAGCGGGATGAGTGATGAAGGTGCGAGAGGTCGCCGCGGAGGAGTGAGATGCGGTGTAATTGGCGGCGACGCAGGATTGGAGACGAAAGGGCAAAGATCGACAATAGCCGGGGCGTGGGCAGAGGGTGAGGGGGGAGAGACGGGCGGTGTTGGGATCGGGGCAGAGGAGAAATGCGAGGAGAGGGAGAGGTCATGATGGGAAAATGAGTGAAGATAGAACACAAAGCGGCCAGGGCACGGATAATGGATAACTTTATTTCATTTTACAATTTAAAGCTTTCATGACTGCAGGGATTCATCTTCTTGGTTCTTTCGGTAAAGTCACGTAGAATGTCTTCTCGACAGACCTGTTCTCCACCTGAGGACGGCTGCTTGCGTTGTGGCCGAAACGTCGTGAGAATTATTTTATTATGTTTTATTTTTATTATTTTATTATTTCCATTCTACGTGACTTTACCGAAAGAACCAAGAAGATGAACTTTATTTCAGTTGCAGCTCGCGACAATATCTGATGGGGTGTTGAAACTGTTTACGAACCAATGGAAATTCCAAGACGGCAACCGAGTTATGGGAGACTTAGCTGGGACACATGACGAGCTGGCTTTCCCTTCTTCCTCTGTCACCCCCCCACCCCCCACCCCCCATGTCATATAGCCACCCACAGTGAGTCTCCCAGCCTACTGCTCGTGTAGCCACACCCACTACTCACATAGCCCCTGCCCACTACTTGGGTAGCTCCACCCACTGCTTAAGCAACCCCACCCAATTCTCAGGTAGCCCCATTCGCTTTATAGGGACTCCTCTACTTACGAACTAGTTAGGTTTCAGGTGTGTTCGTAAGTCGATTTGTTTGTAAGTGCAACTTTTAAACGTGTTGTACGGCATGCACACTAAACACGGGGAATGGCTTTAAAAGTTAATCTCCTGGAGATGTAGATGCCACTAGTTGTTCTTACTACCACCCTCAACACATTCACAACTCTTATGGAAACACAATAGGGGTTGATAATGTTCGTGAAAAGCGGAGAATGTCGTAGTGAACGGCACAGCGACAACACAACAACAGACGATGGCAGCGGCCTAGGCAGAAATGCTGGGAATGCTGAGTAATGACACCGAACAGGCAACTGGACATACGGACAAGTGTGTTCGTATCTCTGAAAGTTCGCAAGTCGAATGTTCATAAGTAGAGGAGTCCCGGTACACATGATTACTACAATAAGGGAGCCTTTCATCCAGCAGTGGATTGATCATGGCCAATAACGACGATGATATTGTATTGTACCTGTACTCGTTGTCCGGTTGCAGGTTTCGTATCACGTGACGTGTGTTGGCTCCGCCCCTAACGGACAGCAGTGGCCACGCCTTCTCCGCTGACCCTTCCCCCTCCATCTGTCCTCGGCCAGTCAGGTGTAGGGTGTATCCCAGGATCGGTGCGCCATTGGAGGGCGGAGCCTCCCAGCCGGCCAATAGGCAGGTGGAGGGTGGTGAAGCCTGAGACTCAACCTGCAATGCAACATGGGTAGCTATTACCTAATTGCCTCAAGTTGAAACGGGTGTGACAGTTTAAGCGAAGGCCCATGAACGTTTAGGTTATAAAATTAACACGTGGTTAATAGTGTGGGTGTGTTAACCATAAAATACGCGCTCTGTCTGGTTCAAGGGAGAAGTTCTGGATCCCGTGATGGAATTCAAAAACGAGCGTTGAGGGCCGGCATCATGGCACAAACTTGTCAAAGTTGAAAACAAGTATAACCCATAAAAACAAAGTTTTTCACTCTAAATCCTTTATATGCGTGGCATCGGGGCGGCTTGAGATGGCTGCCACCTATGGCTCAGATGATTGTCTGGCAGCATTAAACAATTGGTAATTAAATATTTTAAAAAATTCCCTGAACAGTGTAAAATGTTGGAAAAAATTTTTTCACGAAAATGAATTGTCACGCACAACGAATCTGTGTGCAAAATGTCAGCTCGATTGGATCACGGGAAGTGGGTTAAAAAACGACCGAAAGATTTGCACGGTCATAAGCAAGCAAGCAAGCAAACTTAATATAAAGGATTTAAAAAGACTCCACGCTGCCGGAAAACCTCGCCGAACAACCAGGAGGTTACACTCCTGGAAAATGCCGCATTGGGCAAAACTGTGTTTGACAAATCATAGGACCTTATGGGGAAAAAAGGTGGCTTTGTGTTCCCTGGGTCTGAAATGATCACCTCCTGCCTCTTTGTTCAACTAATTTTTCACAATTTCCGCCCTTGTTATTTGCACTAAGGGATGCCCAGAGTCAGTTTCCATTTTCCCAATGCGCTACCCCCTTGCTGTCGAGCAAGCGCCCAGCGTGTTGTGATTCAGAGATGGTAAGGTTTGTCATTTAAACAAAACATGCCAATTCGTTACGAGTACAGCACACCGGTGTGTTGGAGAGTAAACCCACAACATTTACAATTCGAGTACGACGTTTCGCCAGTAAATACAACCAGAATTATCAGGTGACAGCCAGATCTGTGGAAAAATCCTCCTCCTGTTTCAGTCTTCAATAGAGGGATAGATGTGATGTCATCTTTTTTTTTCTAGATATGAAGCTTTCGTGACTGCAAGGATTCATACTCTAAATTACTGCCTTGATTACTGATGCAGTAATTTTAGCTGTGACGGTCCCACCTGATGACGAAGACTTGTGTTGCCTCCGAAAGGTCGTGATTTATTATTTTATTTTATTTCCATTATTACTTTGATTAACTTTTAATTTTATTTTTTACCTACGTGACTTTACCAAAAAAACCTAAGAGTGTGATGTCATCTCTTGTGAGCCAATCAGGTGTGAGGGCCAGAGGGTGGGGGGGGGGGTAACGTATGCATATACACTGCTTGTTATAGCAGCGTAAAAACACGTCGGGGGCGAAGCGTCACGCCCCCGCGTTCCGGAAAGCAGACCTCATTCAGTAAACTGTGCGTATAGCCGACACGCGCGGTCGATACAGACGTATGTGGGCATGTGGCCAGGTTTCCCTGTACTTAATTGAGGGAAAAACACAGCAGCTGTCACCACATACTGGTAAAAAAAATAAACTTTACAGGACTCTTCCTGGAGAAGAGTCTTGAGACTCGTGACGACTCGCTGATATCGCTGGTTGGGCTTGGTGCGAGCATCCCCTCGCTGCTGTCTCGCCGGTGCATCGAGTGCAGCGGTGGTGCAATGGTTGCAACACCAACGCTATTGAACCTGCCAACGGTTCGATTCCTGCTCAAAGTTAACATCGGAGTGGTCCTGGGTCTCCATTAGGTTGACTCGGCCATAAATGAACACGCGGTGCAATGCGTGAACGTCGGCACTGGAAAGGCAAAATGAGGACGGGCGTGGTTCTGGCCACACCACCACATCCTCGTGCGGTGTTCCGGCCCTCACAGCGCTCGCCCCAACAGTCTGTATGGCTACACGGGGGACCTGTGTGTTTTGTCACGAGCACATAATGTTTTCAATTTGGGTTGACGAGGGGCGAGGTCGGCCATACCTCCGGCGACGCTCCCTCCGCAGACCCCAACTTCTCCTCCTCTGGGTCCATCAGGCGGAGTGACGGAACCGCGCCAGGCACCCAGGCCGGAGTGACGTAGACGCCCTCGGTGCTGAAAGGACCCGGCCCCACCGCATTCACCGCCTCGACAAGTTGCAGATGAAAGGTGGTTTGGGGGGGGAGGGGGGCGGAAATAAATAAATGTGAAATCATAATCGTAAAACACAGCGCAAAATGAAAGAATAAACCTTTTGATACACATGCCGACAGAAAACAATTCATGCGTTTGTTCGTCCCTACGTGGTTTGACGGGCGGCGCGCGGATTTATAGAAATGCGCCGATCGTGGCGGCGGCGGCCGGGGCCACGACCTCGCGTCCGACGAAATCAACAACAAAAAACGCGCAACGGACGGATCGCGTCCAAGCACAACCTGCAGCATCGATCCCGGCACATTGTCACTCCCGTTGCGCCGGTATTGAGATATATTTAATTTAATGCTTTCCCAACCGAGGTTTGTAGTAAATGCCATCCGGTTCGTCTGTCCACCCGTCCGTCCATCCATCCGTAATGGAGATGGGCGAAACCATGACTCTGGTGAACGTTATCCACTACGAGCAGAACCATGGCAGGGAGTCGTGGTGCCATCAGGTACTTAACATATAGAAAACGGGAAAACTTTACCATGGGGGGGGGGGGGTTGCGCAAAACTTGGGGACAGAACCCAGCACAACGACCACTATTTGAAAATATGCAGATGCTTTTCGCCCCGACAGCGTGGCGCAGGATGTTTCCTCCGACCGGGAAAAGCTGCCCAAGCGGAACCCCATTCAAACCCCATACCCCCTTCCCCCCCACCCCCTGTACCTCCCCTCCCCTCCGCCCCACCACCACCTCATAACCTCGCGCCAAAAGACTGACCTCTCACCCCAGAGGTCGCAAGCAATCATTACCGCGTTATTACCTTCACGAGTGAACACAGCGGCCGCCATCGGCACGCTCCGAGGTAACAGATCCCTCAAATTGATTTGGTTGGAGCGTCGCGAATCCGCGGCGTATACGTTGCGTGCGAGAACAAGGGTGCGCAATATCCAGCCTTACGCTTGCGTTTGGCGAGCGAGCGCGTGCGCAAGTTCGCGAGCGTGTCGGCGGATAAAACGGGCACGTTGGTGAGCGAGCGAGTGAGCGAGTGAGCGAGCGAGCGTCCGCGCGCGGTTGAGCGAGCGCTATAGGTGAGATAGGCGGTAGGTGTAGCGACCGAATCTGTTGGTGAGCGAGCGTGCGCGTTCCGAGGACGCGTTGGCGAGAGTTGAGCCAGTGTGTTGCTCGAGTTAACGAGCGAGTCTGCGGGTGAGACATTGAGTGAGCGAGTGAGCGAGCTGCCAGTGTGTGAGTCACCTGCACGCGGCAGTAGTAGTGCGTGGCGGGCACCAGCCCGTGCACCTCGTAGCTCCGTTGGAGGCCGCAGTAGACGGGACGGAACAGATCCCCAGTTCCACGCCACTCCAGGCGGTACTCGGAACACTCCGCTCCATTGCACTCCGTCTCCTTATAAGGCGTGGTGGGGGGGGGGGGGAACAGTGACCCTTTAAATGAAAACCTCACAGTGGCCGAGCAGAGCCAAGCCACAGAGTCTCCAAGTGAGGCCACCCCCAGGTTAAAAACTCGCGAGCGAATGCAGTTTGTACGGAGAACATTGCGAGTGGTCGACACACGGACGGGTGAGGGAGTCAGTGAGTGAGTAAGCGAGGGATAGATGGACGAGCGAGCGAGTGAGCAAGTTTGGGTTTGTCACGGTAAAAGACGGGTAGCATTTGAGTAGCGGTTTGAGCTGTGGTAACAGCCAAGGTTGGGGCTATAGTAAGGGTTAAACTATTAAACTAAACTATTTGTTTTTATTTGACTGGGAAAGGTCCACTGAGCTATGTAGCTTTTTTTCAGAATCGACCTGGCCACAAATGACAGCTCAACGAAGTGGATTATCACGTGGAAATGTCACGTGTATCGCAGCCAAATACTCTAAACGTGCGATGTTGATTCTCAATGTGGGAAGGAAAAACCGGAGGACCTGGAGAAAAATCCACGGGACCACGGGGAGAGAGAGGCACCAGCGTAGTGGCCATGGTAAACACTGGGCGCTAGCGTGGGGGGCGAGGGCGAGCACACGGTCGGCCGTGGAGCGTCTTGTTGTTGTTCTCTCTCTCCATTATCGACGGGAGCTCATTTCACCACGCGATGGGGGCTGCCTTTGCGAGCATGGGAAAAACAGCGCAGGCTCCGATGAACGCCTCCCACCGCCCACACCTGCCCCCACCACGCCCGGCTCACGATGCAAGCCGCTGCCCGCCATTCATCACGGTAATAATGAAGGTCGTGCGAGTGGCGCAGGTAAAAGGGTCGATGCGGTTACATCACAGGATTACGGGGAGACTGATGGGTGCAGGCAGGGCCTTCGTTCAGCAGTGGCAAGGCAAATGGCTGATGACTGGCGATGCATGGAGACAGAGACACAGACAAGAGGGATGGAGAGTATTGTGGGGAAGCTAAACGGGTTGCACCCCGTGCCCATGTTGTGCATGAGGTGGTGGCCCTGATGGTACAGAGAGACACAAAAGACAAAGATCCCCCATATAGCCTTAATGGACTGTTGGGGCAAGAGCTGTTGGGGAGCACCAACACCACGCCCGGCCACCTTCATCTCCCCAGTGCCGATGTTTACACCACCGCACCAGATACTCATTTCAGGCCAAGTCAACCTAGGGGAGGCCTAAAACCGAGACCGGTTCATATATTTGTCACCGTTATTGGTCGTGAGCGGGAAGTGAACCCGGATCGCCAGGTTCATAGCGCAGTGAGGGAAACCACCACAACACTACCGCTCCCCACAGAGAGAGAGAGAGAGCAACACACAGACACGGAGATACGCGGACAGAGGAAGAGAGACATGGGAGAGGATTTCGAAATAAATTGGCACAGGCACCCGTGTGTCCACGTTGTACAGGAGAAGATGGCTCTGGAGGATAAGCACTGTGGCCTATAGTGCCTCGGGTGGGGGGGTACGAAGGGGGGGCAGTGGGGGGTGGGGGGGACGAGGGGGGGGCAGTGGAGGGAGCCCACTCACCTCCCAGCACACAGAGGCACAGGTGGCGTGCACGGAGGTGACGACGGGCGTCAAGCAGCGTGCGGGACACGAGGCTGCGGTCCGGAACTCGGAGAACTCAGAAAACACCCCGTGCTGTGGAATACACCGCCAATGCAAAGACAAAGGTGTAGCCTTTAACAGACTTTTAGGGGCAAGTGCTGTTAGCGAGCACCTATGGAGGCCGGGAGAGCACACGCCCGGCCGCCTTTGTCTCCCTTAGTGAGCGATGTTTACACGCCGCACCAGGTACTCATTGTAAGCCGAGTATGCACATATACACACACACTGGTAATACATGTACACAGATGAGCGTACAAGTGGATATACAGGCAGATGATAAACAGACACGTGGGCACACAGGCGCACACGTACCTCAACGTACAGAGAGAACCAACGGACGTGGACTGATCGACGCGCGCGGACACACACGCTCGCACGGAACGGTGACTGTTGACCGTCGGCACTGACCCCGGCGGAGTTGGTGGCTCGCACGCGCACGGTGTAGACGCGGCCCGGCAGGAGGCTCTCCAGCACGCACTCCGTGTCGGGGCCCACGTACGCCGCCGCCGCGTCGTCCGTCTCCTCCGCCGCTCCGGCCTCCGCCGGCTGCTTCTGCTGCCCCTCCGCCGCCTCCTCTGCCTCGTCGTCGTCATCGCCGTCGTCACCGTCGTCGTCGTCGTCGCCCTCCTCGTCCTCCGAGACGGGCGCCACGGGCCGCATTTCCAGGCGGTAGCAGCTGACGGGCGCCCCGCCGTCGTGGCCGGGCGCGGCTGTGACGGCGGCACAGGGAGACGCCGCTCGTTACCGGCTCGCGCCAAATACAACCCGACCCTCGTGCGGGCCCCGTTGGTAGCCCGGCCGCGACCGCCAGCGGCGCGTGTACGTCTCAAGGGATCGATGCGCGCGAGCGCGTCGTGCCAATGTACACGATCGACGTATGGTCGAGATGCGTGTTCACGTTCGCGTCGATAAATACGTCCGTGCGTTTATCGATGCACGGGGGTACGTATTGACATACGGACGCGTGCGTGTCGGCGCGCGTGTCGGGGTGTGGGTGTGCGCGTGCATCCCCCAGGCTCACCCCATCGCAGGTGAAGCTGCTCGGGCTCGGGGTCCCGTGCGAGGTCGGGGGGGCAGCACTTGCCCGGCGCCACCGCCGGCGTCTCCACGGCGAGCACCTCGGAGCACTGGCGTCGGCACGGACAAAGACAAAGATGCACCCCGACCGTGTGACCTTTGGGATCGGTGCGGCCAGCGTCAACAACTGCATCGCCCTTTGGCCGCCCCGAAGTGACACCGCTCACTCCACACCACCACCAGGTGCTCATTCGAAGCCGAGCTTGACCGAGGGTAGAGAGGGCCCAGGACCGGTTCAGATTAATCGTCATCGGTGACCGTGAGCGGGAACTGAACTCGTTTCTCCGGGATCGCAGTGCAGCGCGCTAGCAGCTACAGTACCGCTCGGCATGGAGGCAGAGACACACAAAGACAAAGATCCCCCCCCCCCTGCGTAGCCTTAACAGACTGCTTGGGCAAATTCTGTTATAGCGAGCATAACCTATGAAGGCCAACACTGAGAAGGTGGGTGGTGTGGTGAGCACCAAGCCTGATCGTCTCCCCACTGCTGATGTTTACACACTGCACTAGGTACCCATTTAAGGCTGAGTTAAGCTAGGGGAGGCCCAAAACCGGATCAGCTATTCTATTGATCGCCGATATTGGCCGAAAGCGGCAATCTGAGTCGGGTTCGTGGACGGGTTGGTCGGTGTGTGTGGATGGGCGGTCTTCATCTAGCAGTGGATGAAGGCCACCCATCCTGGTGACGATAATGAAGATTAACTGGCGCATGATGAATGGAAATCACGTGAGGTTCGTTAGGGGGTGGGGGCATGCGGGATGACAGGGTCACGGTGATACGACAAGGTCATAGTTCACAAGCCATGTGTGGGGGTGGGGGGGGGGGAGTTACTTGGCTGGTGCCACCCGCGGTCACGCAGGTCACGCGGAGACGGTAGAGGGAGCCCGGGGAGGCCGTGGTGAACGCGTGCTCACGGTCCAGACCAGTGTAGACCACGCGCCAGTCGCCCACCACCCCTGCTGATGGCACACAAGGCGAGGGCCAACGCTCTAGCACCGTGCAGAGAGACGCCAGCTCGCTCGAGGATTCACTCACCAGGCAGCTCGCTCGCTCATTCACCCACAAGGTCGCTCACCCATTCAATCACCAGTCAGTTCACTCGCCCACTCACTCGCCAGCTAGCTTGCTCGCCCATCTACTCACCAGATCTGTCGCTCATTGATTCACTCACTCATCAGCTCGCTCACCTATTCACTCGCCCACACACTCACCCATCTCTCTCTCTCACTATCTCTCTCTCACCATCTCACTCAACAGCCAGCTACGTCGAATCACACGTCTGTGTAAACATTTTGTATTTCTTTAAGAGAGATTAAAACATCATAAGCTCCGACAATTATAGAGAAGCAGCAGCCACGAGCGGCTTAGTCGTGTTTTGTGTGACTCCTAAGCCATTGTCAGGGAAGTTACAATGCTGAAGTCACGGTGAATCCCACTGGAGGTCGCGGGTTCAATCTCCCGGGATGGGCGGCAGTTGAAACAATTCGGGCAGTTTGTAAAATATTTCCACCTCTGTCCATCCAGCATTATAAACGGCTACAGGACAGTCAGTGGATGGGCAATGCCACGTGATGGGTGGGGTAAAGTGTGAGTTACTCCTAGACACACACACGCGGACTGTTGGGGCGAGGGCTGTTAGCGAGTAGCACCTATGAAGGTCGGCACGGCACACGAGGGGGTGGGTGGCCAGCACCACGCCGGGCCGGCGTTGCCTCCCCAGTGGCGATGTTTACACACCGCACCAGGTACTCATTTGAGGCCGAGTCAACGATAGGGGAGGCCCAAATGATCGTCACCGGTGTTGGCCGTCAGCGGGAATCGAACCCGGGTGGGCAGGTTCGTTGCGTAGCGTAGCGCTGACCCCTCCCGCTCCCCATACGCCCAAGACCAAGACGCACAACCGAGACACTCTGGCCAAAACAAGACAGTTTTCCACATTCCGTTTCCACAAAGCAGTGGAAGGAATCAGAAGGCACGGGAACAGCCATTTTCCAAAGCAGGGCGCCTCCTTAATCGGCCCAATTACCCACGAGAGGCTCGGCATCACTCGAGCACAATTACAAGTGCAGTCACGCCACATGTCGACCAGCGATTCCTGGAATCCGGGGACCTGCCCCCCCGCGACGGTTAATCACGACTTAATTGCCACAGGTAGGATCGGTGGAGGCTCCATCCCGCGGGGGCATTTAACCCTCGACCTTCAGCGCCTTGGGGTGCGGGACGGAGAGGGAGCCCGGACGGGGTTGCCAGGCAACGGCAGCGGAAGAGTCGGGGGGCGGGCGGGAGAGGGAGGAGCAGAATGAGGGAGGAGGATGAGGAGGAGGCAGATGTGGAGGATGAGGGGAAAGAAGAGGTGGGGGGTGAGGGGGAAGTGGAGGAGGAGGTGGGGGGTGAGGGGGAAGTGGAGGAGGAGGTGGGGGGTGAGGGGGAAGTGGGGGAGGAGGTGGGGTGAGGGGGAAGTGGGGGAGGAGGTGGGGATGAGGGGGAGGAGGTGGGGGGGGGGAGTGAGGGGGAGGTGGAGGTGGGGGGTGAGGGGGAAGTTGGGGAGGAGGTGGGGGTGAGGGGGAAGTGGGAGTGGTGGAGGAGGAGGTGGGGGGGGTGAGGGGGAGGCCGTGTCGGCTGAATCCGCAGGTTGATTTACAAGCGAATGGGGTCGGTGCGGTCACCACCGCATCCGGCACATCCCGTGTCGTCATCGCTGGCCGCACGTGGTGGTGTTCTTCTTGCCGTGTGCCACCGGCGGTAACCGCTGAGTGTTTTCTTACTCTCGTTGTTCAGAAAGATCTTGCGGAAGGCGATTCTCAGTAGCGAGATCATGGCCACCCAAGTAGGCAGCACCACCAACCCAGTAAACGTGCCAAGGTTGTGGGCTCGTGCCGTCGGTCTTCACGTCGGGCGAACGTTCCACGCTTGCCGTCTCGTGTGCGACGATCACGGGCAAAAACGTAAAACGTGACCACTTCGACGCCACACCCGTTGGGCACTCTTCCTTGTCTGCCGCAGGGTCCAGACGTACAAGTTGCAATCCCCGCCACCGGATGAGGCCCCCGCCAGCCTAGCCCGGGTACCGCGCCGAGGTTATGTATGCGTTCAGCGGACACCCTGGGCACCCTTGAAAGAGGAGGAGGTCTCCATCCCCAGGGAGCACGCGGGCAAAAAAAAACAACAAAACATGGGGGCGGGAAATGATCAAAATCCGCTCACCGCTGGCGCTGCCCTCGGCCATCTCCAGCTGGTAGCGCATCACGTCCGCACCGCCGTTCTCCTTGGGTGGATCTACAGACGCACAGCCACGCGGTCAGAGGGCACGCGAGCTGCAAACTGCTGCTGCTGATGATGCTGCTGCTGCTGCATATGGTGATGCTAACGATGGTGGGCTGCTGGTGTTTGTGCTGCTGCTGATGTTGCCGTCGCTTGCAACCGCTTGTGGCGGTGCAGCTGGCAGTGCCGAAGCTGCTGATGACAATGACGAAGATGATGATGGCGATGATGACGACGGCGCCGCTTGCGCTGGCGGCAGAGGCGGCGCAGTCGCCCCCCCCCCCCCCTCCCCCCCCACTGGCGCTCACCCCAGGCGGCGGTGAATCCGTGGGCCGTCGCGTCGCCACGAGCGTGCAGCCGGGCGGGCGGGCCGGGCCGGTCGGGCGCCGTGCTGAACGTCACCACGTCGCTGGGGCAGCTGCGTCCGTCCACCGAGCACGAGAACAACTTGGCGGGGGGGGGGGCGGGGGGGGGGCACGGGAAGGAAGGGGGGAGGTTATGGGGGGGTGGAGTCGAGTTTAGGGGCAGCACAGCAAGCAGGATTTTGAAGTCTCCCGCTGGTGCTTTTAGGGTTGTGCAGTGCATTGCTGGGCACGATTTGTTTCCGATGATTTTCCCGGGAGCTGCTCTATGTTTATATTTTATTTTGGCTTTTGGGTGGAAACAGGAAAAGCCAGAGAAGCATCCCGAGTCTGGAATCGTCCCCAGGCCCTTCTTGCCATGAGGCGGCACACAGGTGGGCCACCACCGTACCACCACCGTACCACCACCGTGCCCCCCACCGTACCACCACCGTTCCCCCTCTCCTCGATGCTGGCGAATCGTGAACGTGCAGACTTGAGACCTTTACCCTGAATCGATAGCGGGAGCCGCGGCACAGGTTTCTGACCGTACAGCTCAGCTCCGTGCCCGTGTACCGCGCCTGGAACCCGCAGATCTGCAATACAAGACGAAAGACAAAGATGCTCTGTGTATAGCCTGAAGAGAGTGCTGGGGCAAGCGCTATTAACGAGCACCGATGAAGGGCCGAAACAGGCCCACGAGGGGGTGGGTGGCCAGCACCGCACCAGGCCGCCTTTGTCTCCCTAGCAGCGATGTTTACACACCGCACCAGCTACTCAGCTGAGTCGACCTAGGGGAGACCCAGGACCGTTCAAAAATAATCGTTCATGACCGGTAATCAAACTCGGTTTCAATGTGCAGCTCCCTGAAATACCGTTCTGCACACACACATACACACACACGTACACACACACGCGCACACATACACACACACATACACACACACACAGACGTGTCGCACGTGAGTTAATAAACCACACAGGTACAGAAGCACGCACGTGCACATCACAAATGGGATGGGATTGAACAGGAACATAGCATTACGCTTCCCCCCTTGATGCAAAAGAGATTCCTCATTCAAGCAGGTCCTAAAGAGTTGATGGACACGGCCCGGTTGCCAATGACTCACGAAGAGTCACATAGACTTACAAAAAGACAGATTCGCACGGACTTGATTAAACTGGAATCTCAAATGTGGCGCGAGTTGACGGTCTCACGCCTGGGACTTTGGGAGTTGCTGCATTTTGGGAGGCGATGGGATGAGGGAGGGGGGGGGAGGCCCTAGGGGAAGGAGAACGCTGCGTGAAAACCGTCGGTGATAATCGCTGCAACCAGGCGCCCGTCTCACCGGCACGTCCGCCTCCCCGCCACCGCCGCCGCCACCTCGCTCCCTGGCCGCCCGCTCCGCCGCCTCCTGCTCCTCCTCCTCCTCTTCCATCTCGAGCAGGTAGGAGAGCGCGCCGTCGGACGAGGAGTCGTGCTGGGGGCGGGCCCACTGCAGGATGAGCCAGGACGGCGAGGCGCGGAGCAGCCGGGGCGGCGCGGGGCACGGGGGCGCGCTGCCCGACGTTTGGAAACACACCTCCTCGCTGAAGCCACTGCTCCACGCGCGCACACGCACGCACGCACCACCAGAGTTCCATTAGCAGCCACGGCTAAAATCGGTGGCAAGTGCCATCGCAGTCGGCGTTAATTCGGCCGCGGTCGAGGCGACAAGTGTCAAAACTTTATTCATGCGGCAAAATAAAGTCTTAAAGTTGTGGGTTTCACCGAGTTTAGGTTTGCCGTGCATTTTAGTGTGCGCTCGGCACGCACACGTGTCCGGCGTCCCCGTTGCGCGTACGATTGTGCATGCGTGCACATGCGAGTTCGTCTGCTTAGGTGCGAGTCTGTCTATGAGCGCGTGGCGTGGGTGGTGCGTGCATGCGCGCCCACCCCACCTGGTGCCCAGGTCGTTGCGCGCTGCCAGCCGGAACGTGTAGCCCTGCGCCGGCTGCAGGCTGCCAAGCCGGCACTGCTTCTGTGAACCGGAGTAACACTCCCGGAACGCGTTGCTCCGCTTGCCCTGCGTGCGCACACAAGGTGGGGGGCAACAGATCCTCCGGGGGTTGCTCGCGCGTCGCGGCGGGGCCGCCGCCCACCGATGCCCGTCTGCGTTTCAAGGAACCGGTGGTTCCGCCGGCGGCGCGGTGCACGATGATGCAGTATTGAGGCTGACCGGACCATGAGCGGCAGCGGTGAACGGAAATGGTTCGCCGCGGCGCACAGTCGGCCACGTTTCATGACGCGGCCGAGCGCCGGTGTTGTTTGCCGGCTGTTTGCAGTTCGAGGTTCGAGCCCCCGTGGGCTGCCCTGGTTAATACTGCGGTGCTGCGTATTAACCGTGAACACCACGCGGCCGAGGTGCAGTGGACGTCACTCGCAAGAGAGTAACAGCATGCCACGTGTGCCGGCGTTGCAGTCCAAATTTGCCACATACGGAAGATTAGACCGCTCGCTAGTCAATCTGGAAACACACCGCACTCCTAGTGTGCGACTACCGCAGGCTGTGTCCGCCTAGCGGGTCGGGTGGGAGGCTGCCCCCCCCCCCCCCCACCCCAGCATAGGTAAGAGATCACTTGAAAAGATTCCGGAAATAGTTCCGTGAGACCTGTTGCTGCGGGCCACTATTCTTTATTCTCACGACACACCGCCGACAGCATGGTCACAATAAAATGCTGAGAATGTTGGGAGAGAAACTTAAAGGCTGTGCCCCTACATCCAGAACACACAATGATAACAACATTAACAATGATAACAACATTAACAATGACACGGGTGCTTTGGATCCATCCCCCGAGGCGCCATCCCGCCAGCGCTCGCTCGAGAGATTTGCGAACGGGAAATCTTTCCGGCTCTCGAAATCACAACACCCTCGGCTGGAATTAAACAAAAAGAAAGTGGCAAGGCGGCCGCCTGGCCAGGACCCCGCGGACAATTTCCTCCGATTACGGATTCGCGAACGATCGCTCTGCGTAGGCAGCAAGGTGTGGGGGGAGGGCGGTCGATGCCGTGAGGTGCTACGCTTCATTAGGGCCAACACCGAGATACAAATTGGACCCCTGCCGGGTTTCACCGCGGTCGAATTGTCGGCGCGTTTGTCATATTTTACGTGGTTTCGCTGAACAGAGTTTATTCCGATTTGCGCTATTGGCATTGTGTCCGTGAGATGAGGAATCTATTCGGATCTCTTGCAGAGCGGCGCGGCCCATTTGTGCAAGCAATGGGCCACGGAAGCGGATATCACAAAACTTCCCCTTAAGTGACGTCTGGTTCCCACAATAGCGAGCAGCACCTGCCCTGCTGCCCGGACCATCAACCCCACCGCGCTTGAGAACTCGTTTTATTGGCAGGCGGCCGAAACTTGGATTCAAACCCAGAGTCTCAGAGGCAACGGGAGTGCGTGGACGGGAGGAGAGCGAGATGAGGGGGGAGAGAGCTAGGAGAGCGCGTGCAGGGGGAGGAGAGGCCGCCGCTCACCTCGTCCCACTCGAGCAGGTATCCCGTGATCTTCGAGCCGTTGTCCACAGGCGCCTTTGGGGAGGAACAGGCGCGGGGGGGAGGAGAGACAAAGCGGGCAGGGGCGTGAGCACGGGGGCTACGCGCGCTCGCCTAGGCCAAGAAGGGAGGCAGACGATGAGATGGAACGCGACAAGGTGGACCCGCATGAGGAAAAGAACACAGACAAGAGAGAGGGGGACAGAATGACACAAGTGGGTGGTGGATTGAGAGGTTTGGGGTGGAGTTCGTAGTTCAGGGTGAGGGGTTCAGGGTTAGGGGTTGGTGGTTCAGGGTTGGGGGTTGGTGGTTCAGGGTTTGGAGTTGGTGGTTCAGGGTTAAGGAGTTGGTGGTTCAGGGGTTGGTGGTTCAGGGTTGGAGGTTGGTGGTTCAGGGTTGGGGGTTAGTGGTTCAGGGTTGGGGGTTGGTGGTTCAGGGTTTGGAGTTGGTGGTTCAGGGGTTGGTGGTTCAGGGTTGGAGGTTGGTGGTTCAGGGTTTGGAGTTGGTGGTTCAAGGTTGGGGGTTGGAGGTTCAGGGTTGGTGGTTGGTGGTTCAGGGTTGGGGGTTGGTGGTTCAGGGTTGGGAGTTGGTGGTTCAGGGTTGGGGGTTGGAGGTTCAGGGTTTGGAGTTGGTGGTTCAGGGTTTGGAGTTGGTGGTTCAGGGTTGGGGGTTGGTGGTTCAGGGTTGGGGGTTGGAGGTTCAGGGTTTGGAGTTGGGGGTTCAGGGTTGGGGGTTGGTGGTTCAGGGTTTGGAGTTGGGGGTTCAGGGTTGGGGGTTGGTGGTTCAGGGTTGGGGAGGGTTGCGGCCGCCACCTTCCAGTGCAGCACGAGTGACGTCTTGTTGCGCTGCGTGAGTCGGGGGGCCGCGGGGGGGTCGGGGACGCAGCCGTGCGTCGTGAAGCCCACGGAGTCCGAGCAGGAGCCCCTCGCCGAGGCGCACACCGTGCTCACGCTGCACGCACGCGCACAACGCAAAGGTCCCCCGTGTAGCCTTCACGGGCTGTTGGAGCAAGTGCCGTGAGCGAGCGCCTGTGAAGGCCGGCACGGCGCACGAGAGGGGGGTGCTCGTTTTAAGGCCGAGTCGACCTAGGGACGTTAATTCCAACGGGGAAATTGTGCGCGCTTAACGAGGCGCTTTTCAGGAATACATCGACCGGGAGGAATTGCTGAACATCGCCAGGACACTCACGGCACACCACATCCGGTACACATTCCGCTACTAAATCACGGGGAGACGTTCAGCGAGTGAGAAATGCGGCCCCCCAGTCCTGCTGCCGCCAAACTCCCAGCGAGCCAAACGGGGGCAGCACACAGACTCCTCTCTGCCGCTGGGGGGGGGGGGGGGGGGGCACCCACCGGACGTGGTAGTCGGTGGCCGGCCGCAGGTCCCGCACGCAGATCTCACGGTCTTCTCCGCTGTCGGGCAAAGGGTCGGGGCGGTGAGGGCAGGGGGGGCGACACCCAAAATTAGGAGGGCACAGAGGGGGCCCCCACCACTTGTAGAGTCCAAGGCGTCCGTGCACCGCTGCTGCTCCTCCACAGCAGCAGCAGCAGCCGGCGGTCACCTTTAGGAAGCGGTGGTGATGACGCCGCAACGTGCAGCGAGTGCATGGCCGAGTGCAACTAGGCGGCCAGGTGAAACGTGGAAGGAGCATCGCGGGGCAAGTGTGATGCACGATACGCCTGGCAGAGGCTCCCCCCCACCCCCGCTACTCTCCTACCTCTCCCCCCCTTCTTCTTGGGGTCACACACGTGTGCACACACACAGGGGCAAAAAATATTCCAGATCTGCTCAACGACTTCAGGACTCTCTATGGACTCGCCATCACTTACCTCTCCCCTCTCACCTCACTCTGCACCCCATCCACGCACTCTCCTGCCTCTCCCCTCGACTCTCACTCTACTCCCCTTCACACTGTCCCACCTCTCCCCTCGCATCTCACTTCTTCCCCTACACGCACTCCTCTCCCCCTCTCCCCGTGAGTCTGTGGGTCTCGACAGGAGGGGTCCCGTGCGGCGATCTGCGCCGCGCCACGCGCGAGCCGCCCCCTTACCTGTAGATGACCTGGTAGGCCCCGCCGCCGCCCGACTCGGAGATGGACACCTCGTAGCGGCGGGGGCACGGCGGCGAGTGCAGCGGGGAGCCCCCTCCGCCCCCGCCACCGGGGCAAGGACGGTGGCCGTTGGTGATGGGCGCCGGCGGAGGAGCCGGCGGCGACCAGGAAAGCAGCGCCGACCGCGCCTGCACGTTCGTCACCTGCGGCGGTGGTGCCCCGACACCGGGTTCTCGTTAGGAGCGGCCGCGACGCCGTTCGGGATCGCGAGTCGATCGGCCTACGGGTCCCCGGGACGCCCGCGCTGTCGGCGAGCGCCTGTTCGGTGCCGTTGCCAGCACGCAAAAAGGGGGGGGGGACCGGTGTGGCCATCGCCACGCTCGGCCAGTGCCGATGCCGAGCGAGGACTGGTGGGGGACTGGGGGGAGGGGGGGCGCCCAGTACGACGTCACAAGTGACACGCTCCCCCTGCCCCCCCCCCCCCCCCCCACTAATGCAACGACGTTTTGTCTCTCTCCAAGAGGGTGGCCAAATAGCGGCGGTGTGGCAGGGGGGGGGGAGTGTGGGGGGTCAGGGTCCACTCCTCCGCTGTGACCCGTTAGCACGCAGCGGCAACCCCAAGAGAGTTGCGAACAAGGCGGTGCTGCCGAACGGCCGTGCGATTCAGGTTCCTGCGGGACCCTTGGCTCGAAGCGCTGCTTGGCACGTGGTGCGGAGGTGGGGGATGTGTGGGGGTATCGGGAGTGCCGGGAAACTGCTGGCACAATCCCGCTTGCCGACCGACTCTCCCTCGTACACCCGTTTCGCTCACTCGCGCTCGCTCACCCTCCTTGCTCACCCGCGCTCACCTCGCCCACCCGCTCAACCACTCACGCTCTTCACCTTCTCGCTCGCTCACCTATTAATCCGCCCGCTCACCTCGTCCGTTACCAAAAGAATAAGTCTACATTATAGACTGCCAGTACGCTCACCGAGGTTAAGAACTAGGCTACAGTCTACATTATAGACTGCCAGTACGCTCACTCAGGTTAGAACCAGGCTACAAAGTGAACCCCTGCCCCCCCCCACCCCCCCAATATAGAAGTCGAACTCCGCCTGTGGTCACTATCATTACTCCACCAGGTAGGGACGTAACGTTGCCCGTTATTTAGAAGCGCGACATTTGTTTACGCACGAAGGCCTCGGCGAGTCTCAAGACTCACCCTGGAGCCGGGGTGCTGCCAATCTTGCTTGTTTGGTCAAATCCACTGAACAAGCCTTTGGCAACGCACGCGTGTGTGTGTCCAGATTATTGAACCATGAGAAGGGCCTTTGTCCAAAACGTTGGCCCTAAAATATTTGTACATTCACGGCCGCGGTGTTGCCGATGAATAGCGTCGAGATGTTGTTTGGCGACGGCTGTGCTCGCGCAAGACTGCCAACGCAGCAGCGGCAGTCACCCAACAGCACACGCGTTGGGGACATGGAAGGCGTGGGGAGACTTGCAGTACTGCCATCTCCTGGCCACCACGGGGACCCGAACTAAACTCACCGGATCCCCACACACGCAGTGCGCTTACCCGCCGCGTCGCCGCTACCCCCCCCCCCCCCCGCTCGCATAGCCCCAAAGTAACAAACGCACCGTAAGTTATTGCTCATCAAGTCGACTAAAAAAATTGTCACCCAGCGTCGATTCACGAAATCAATGCATGTTTTTGTTTCTTTGTCCCATTGTTGCCGTCCAATTTTCCTGCGTCCTCTTGCACCGCCCCGTCCGTTCACCGGCCCTCACCGTGAACGCGAGCCGATGCCATCTTCGTGAATCAGGAAAACAATTGATTCCGCTCGCGTAAAATCAGGAGAATCGGCGCACACAGACGACGCATCGCCACGTGCCGAGCGGTTGCGTAACGACCGCATGCGACGGAAGTCGAGACGAGTTACCTGCGGTCTTCCGATGGAACTCGCGGCGTCTTGCGGTTTTCTGAGTTCCACATCTGTCTCACCTGTAAGCACACGCGCACGCAAACAAACACTGTCAAGAAAGGAACTGTTGGGAGTAAGTGCAGTTAAGCAAGTAGCACCTACGAAGGCCGGCACAGCACTCGGGTGGGGACGGGGTGGCCAGCACCACGCCCGACCGCCTTTGTCTCCACAGTGGCGATGTCTTACACACCGCCCCAGGTACTCATTTGAGGCGAAGATAACCTCGGGGAGGCCCAGGATCGGTTCAGATAATCGTCACTGAGTCTTGGTCACCGGGTTCCTAGCGCAGTGTGCTTAACCACTGCACAACGGCCGCCATTCGTCAATAAGTCGGCAGCGACGTCCCAACAAAGCTTGTGCCAGGCTAGGTGCACTTTGAGGCCGCGTGAAGTGCCGTAACACGTTGCGTCAATTCACTTCGGTGCTCTTCGCAGCCGCAGTGCGACTGTTCACTCCGGTGACCCAAGTTAGAGGCCCAGATGAGATCCCTGGAAACGGCCAATCGTGTTCGCCCACACCGTGCCCAACTGGCGTCCTGTCACGAGGCGACTTCGTTGCCAAACTCTCGAGGGGGGGCAGTGCGGCCCCCCCTCTGGAGTAGAACGAACGGCCCCGCTGGGGTGGACACCTCAACGTTTCGCCGGTAATTACAACAGCAGCCAGCCTCATCGGGCGACGGCCAGAGTTGTGGAGAGAGTTGCGGAAAAATCCTCCAGTGTCGGTCTTACGTCCAGCAATGGATTGATCACGGCCGACAATTACATGTGCCACATCAAGAGAAAGCCTCGCCGGTTTCCCGTCAAGCGGTTTAAGGTCGACGCAAATGACTCACAAGGCCCGGGGAGAGAGGGGGGAGGGGGCATGAACCCACAAATCATAAAACCGCTGATCGCTGTGGGGTCGACAAGAAATCCAGTAAACGTGGAACACGTTGAGCCCAACCGTGGGCCAACGTAGGCCCAATGCTTGGCAGACTTAGCGGGGACGATCGCAGTTCCTCTTCCGAACCGAAAGAGGCCAGCAGAGGCCAAGACTGAAGCAATTCTCTCCTGGGGGGGGGGGGGGCACTCCCCGTCTGTACCACCCCCCCACACACACACCTCCCCCCCGTAAACACGGTGCTATGTTAGCAGTGGCGAGGCGATTGAGCGCTCGACCCCCACAGCTCGGCCACGGGAAACGACACGGACGACGACAACGAAGCGGGATTTGGATTCAGAAACGGCGTCGAAGTACAAGAGACCACCGCCGGGACTCGGTTCGGATCCGCCGGGCGCGTTGCGCGCTCGCTCGCCTTTTCGCAAGTGGAAGGGACGTCAATTTTGTTCTAGATTTGAAGCTTTCGTGACTGCAAGGATTCATGCTCTTAGTTCTTTCGGTAAAGTCACGTGACTTTACCGAAAGAACTAAGAGTACGTCAAATTTGATTCACGATCGGGGTGGAAAAACGTCCGACCCGTTCGAAGTTGACGATGCTTTTGTGATATATTCTTTTTGTAAAACCGCGACCCTTCGCACGGCTTCCTGAAAATGCGCGCGGCGTGGCATCTGGCTTGACAAACACATGGAGTTGATTGCGAGGGGGCACGGGGAGAGAGAGAGAGGGAGGGAGACGATCGGCGGTGATTGTCTCTGCCTTTGAAGTGCGCCGGCCAGACTGGCCAGCCGCTGTGCCGGCTATCACTGCCACGAGGGCACTCACGCACACACTCACGTACACACTCACGCACGCACGCACTCACGCACGCACTCACGCACGCACGCACTCACACACGCACTTACACACGCACTCACGTACACACTCACTCACGCACTCACGTACGCACGCACTCACGCACGCACTCACGCACTCACGCACGCACTCACTTACGCACTCACGCACGCACTCACTTACGCACATACACACTCACTCACGCACTCACGTACACACTCACGCACGCACTCACGCACACACTCACGTACACACTTACGCACGCACTCACGTACACACTCACGCACTCGCATATGCACGCATTCACTCACGCACTCACTCAAGTACGCACGCACTCACGTACACTCACGCACGCACTCACGTACACACTCACGCACGCACTCACGTACACACTCACGCACGCACTCACGTACACACTCACGCACGCACTCACGTACACACTCACGCACGCACTCATGTACACACTCACGCACGTACACACTCACGCACTCACGTACACACTTACGCACGCACTCACATACACACTCACGCACTCGCATATGCACGCATTCACTCACTCACTCACGTACGCACGCACTCACTCACTCGAAATACGCACTCACTGGCATACGCACGTATTCACGCACACACTCACTCGCAATACGCACGTAATTCACTTACACACTCACTCACATACACACTCACGCACTCGCGCACGCACGTACGCACTCACTCGCAATACGCACTCACTCGCATACGCACGCATTCACTCACGCACTCACTCGAATACGCACGCACTCACGCACACACTCACGTACGCGCGCACGCACTCACGCACGCACTCACACACACATGCATGCACTCACGCACACATGCATGCACTCACACACGCTCGCACGCACTCACGCATGCCGGTGGCTGGGCACACAGCTGCAGCAGCAGATCTGGCAGCCACAGGAGCACCACTTTAACCGTGCCTCCTCCTTCAAAACACACCAAGCTAGGAAAATCCGCAATAGATTCTTGGGTCAGGCCGCATAATGATCGGGGCCATATTTGTGCTATGAAGAAGGGCCGTTACCCGAAACGTCAACGATTTTATATTTCTCTCTTTAAGGCCACAGCGTTGCTGACGAACGTTGCAGAGATTTGTTGTTTGTTATTTGTGCCTTGTGCACCACTGGCGAGGCAGCGTCAACAATTAATGTGACCGGAATTGGTGCCGTCAATCCACTCTTTTTCCCTCCGTGCGGCCGATGTTGCTGAAGAGCAACGGGCTCCAATTTTCCATAATAGAGGTATTTTTGGGGGGGGGAGTTAGATCACGTAAATAGAAATGTGTTGTTTAACCCCGCCACCACCCGACACGGCCAATTAGTGAGGGTTGTCACGTAAACAGAACGTGCCAATTTCTTACTAGTACAGCACATCGGTGTGTTGGAAAGCAAATCCACAACATTTACAATCTGAGTACGACGTTTCACCAGTAATTACAACCAGCTTCATCAGGCGGACAGCCATGCTTGTGGATAAATCCTCCTGTTTCGTTCCTTAAATAGAGGGATAGATGTCCCTATCTAATTGGCTGTCGGGTGTTGGCGGGTTTAGTGACACATTTATATTACGCGATCTAACCCAAAAAAAAACCTTTATTATGGATGATATTGGTCGCAAAAGCCTACGTGTTAAACAGGCTCCGATTTGACAACGGGCCAGTTGAAGAGCCGGATGATTGTGCCACTTGTAGTGGAGTTTGCGTATCATCGCGTGCCGACGATGCCCCCTTAGCTTTCATGGATGGACCGTAGCTGCAAACCGCACACAGATGTGAATCCTCTATTTGTGCATAAAGTGCCAGCATCGGCTGCTGCTGCTGCCGTGGTTTTTGTCTGAAAACTCCGACACAGCTAAACAACTTTGTTTTGTCACGTGTGCACTAAGCCCAACTCCAAAATCAATCATGTAAATTAACACTGGCTGCCAACAACAAACGTGAAAAGTAAGAAAATAAGCAAGCCTGTTTCCCGTGGCCCATGTATCGCTTCACACCACCACACGCTTTGTTCTGGGAAGTATTTAATCGCACAATGGAAGCCGTCGAAGGGGCAAAAACACCCGTCTGAAAGTTTGCGAAAAGTCCTTCCCGCTCTGGTTTGCGTCTCCCAAGTCTCATTGCGACACCTTGATCGAGTTGCAAGGCAATGCTTCCCTTCTACGTGACTTTACCGAAAGAACCAAGAAGAGGCAATGCTACGTTCAAGTTTTGTTCACGTGGGACCATCTCTACGACACGTTATGGACCGACAGAGAAGAGGCATAAACACTTTTGGAAACGTTAAAAACCTCCGCTTATCAAACGGTTCAACTGCCTTGGGATTGTATCGCGCGGGAACGATATCGCGGATCGAACGAGCTGCGCAACGCACTGCAACGGGCTCGCCTTTGGTTCAATAATTTTAAAAAACAACAGTGGCTGGGGATGGCTAAGGGTGTCGGGGAAACGCTGACCGAATTATTTGTTCCTCTGTCGCCATCCCTTGTGGTTCTGCGATGCCACAAAATCCCTCCTGCTCCTGGTACACACGCGCAAACTGATGCCGTCGCTCCATCTCCGCAGCGGTCGTTGCGTGTCAGATGCGCACCGTCACCAGTCTCGTCCATTTTCCCACGATCCCATTTTTCCCCGCGAGCCAAGTGTCCTCCTGGTGGCCAAGCCCACGTGATGCCTCCAACTGGCACGACGTAGAGCCATCGTGTTCCTCTCCGTGTCTCTCGGTGCAATTCCAAGCAGCGCACATCTTTCCCGTGTGTCTTTGCGCACTTTGTGCCATTTTTCTCCCTTTGCGAATGTCCGCGCTTCTGATCGGTACACCACATGCAACGGTCGAAAACTTTCCTCCCCAGTCACAACGGCGGTACGATGCCCTTCATCGTCAAGATTGTGTTTTCCAAAAAATAAACGGTAAAAAATATACATCAAATCCAAACTACACTAACTGCGTCTCGAAAAATCATCCCAGCAGTTGGAATCAACAGGAAATCATTTTAAACCTCTGCCTCTTGTGAGCAATTGTATTTTACGATGACTACTGAGGGCCTACAAAGCCCCCCCCCCCCCCCCGCCGTCTTTTACAAAAGGCCTGTGGGAGGGAAAAAGCGTAAACTCTTTTCGTGGGCCACGGCAAGGCATGGCGATGGCCTCAGGAGGCTTTCTCTTGTATTTTTAAAACTGGAAAACGGAGGCATTGGTTCCGCGGGGGCACTTTGGCGCGTGCTCCGCAAATCGCCGCTGTGCAGCTTAGCGGATTTCACGCCGCTCCGTTACCCTCG